GGGCGCGGCGCTTACAAGCTTGACCTCCCTCGCCGCCTCTCTGGTCTTCACCCGGTCTTCCCCGTCGTCAAGCTGCAGCTCGTTGAGGACGACCCGTTCCCGACACGCCCGGCTCGCGAGGAGCCGCCACCTGTCATGGGCCAAGGAGCTGGCGAGGAGTGGGAAGTCGAAGAGGTTCTGGATGCCAAGATGCGCTATCGGAGCATTTGGTACTTCGTGCGGTGGAAGGGCTACGATTCGTCGCACGACCAATGGGTTAAGCACTCTGATATCTTTGCAGAGGACGCTATAGCGGCATTCTACCGCAAGCACCCCAACAAGCCACGCGTCATTGCCGCCGCCATCTTCGACTCCCTTCCGTTCCAGCACCCCTCTGCCACCATCCGCACGTTGCGTCGAGGCGCCGCAATCCAAGGGGGGGTGATGTCAGGGGAACCCCTGTTTCGGACCGCTCTGCCTTCGATCAGGCATGTGATTGCGCTCGCGTGACCTGTCAGCTGTCACATGCCGCGGCCCGGACTGCCGCGCCGAGCGCTTCTCCTTGATGGGCACATGGCCAGGTGCCCCATTGTTCCTATTGTCCCCGCTCCCATTGTTCTGTCATGGCCGTTGTACTTATTGTCCCCATTGTTCTTTGTTTGTCGCTGCACGCTCCATTGTTCTTGTATCATATAAATAGTGGCGCCTGGCAAGGAGAATCCCCAACACAGTTTCTCTTTGGATTCTCCCTTGCCAGAACTCTGAGATCGGGTCTCGAGGTTGCCCTTACAGGGCCTAGCTCTTCACGTGCCCGATGATCCCGAGGTGCGTTTTCCCGAAGGTCTCCACAGCACTCCTTGTAGCTACCGTAAGGCTTGGGTCGGGCTCAACGTTACCCGTGGCCTGGTGCTGTTTGCTCGATATGAACCCTTCACTGCGATCGCAGAGGACGACTAGATGATTCGGTAAAAGGGTAAGTGGGGTGATAAGGGTGAAGAGGATATAGCGGGCGTAGCGGTGCAGTGATGCAGGGTAGGAGGTAAGAGGTCCGAGGGTATGAGGGGAGTCTTCAAATTATGTGACAATCAACCCAAAACAAAGTCGAAAAGAGAAGTGAATTTGAAGACTGGAGAATACAACCAAGTAGCTACAGTATTTATACCCAAATCCAGTCTGAGTCATATCTACAACTAATGAGTCATAGGGCTATGTACCGCATGGAGCACTGGTCATGGGTTGTAGTAGAACCTTCCGGAGCATATGTCGCGCAGCCTTGAATCGATAAGAACCCTGGAACCCCTAGGCCCGGACCGTCTGATGCCGTGATCCGTGATAAGATAATCCGTGTCGAGATAAGATGAGATTGTCGAGGATAAGATGAAAAAGAGTCGAATTATGACACTGATCAGTCAGGACCTGTCTGATCGTTCAACTTTTTCATTACCATAAAAAGCAACCGATCTTAGATAGCGTAGCTACTATGCAGTTGTACAGGACTTTACTAAGCACCATTGTAGACAGTATAAGTAGCACATCGTTTCTTTGTATTGGGAGCTTTCCCCTGGGCTGTGAATCATACCCATATCAGATTGTTTTTGTGCAATTTGCGTGTTGCATGATTCCGTCTTGAGAAGTTCTATTACCCTTGCCCGGTTGCGACAAGTTGCTCCCTGAGCACTTGTAGCTACTGTGATTTGAGTTTGAGTTGAGATATCAGAAAGTTGGATTCGCTGCTTCTGGTTTAGTTGCGGCATCTAGTGTTGTTGCCTTTGGGCTTTGTTGAGATTGTTTTCCACACTTCTAGTTTGGCAGTGCATTGACTAGTTGTGCTTGGGTAGTTTTGGTCAGTTGGCAGTGCGTCGACTTGAGAACTTTGGTTCCACACTTCTTGCTTGGCAGTGCATTGACAAGTTGTGCTTGGGTTTTGGACATCTGGATATTGGCTGTTAGTTGGCAGTGCGTTGACATGGCATTTTGGTTTTACTAGTTGGCAGTGCATCGACTCAGTACTTTGGTTGTATTGGTTGGCAGTGCGTCAACTTGATATTTTTGGGCTTTGCGTCACCATCTGGATGCTGTTGCTACAAGGGATCTTAATACTTCGTATTAAGCTCTGACTTGTGATATTGTTGGTTGTGGTTGGATTAGTGTTGGTTTTGACTGTATAGAAGATATTGGTTGAGACACCATTGTTTGCTATATATAAATTCTTGTTGTCGACTTTGTCTTCCGCAACTATTGGATCTGTGTCTATTGAGAGTTGTGATACTGGTGCTCTGTCCACCCTGAAGCCCTCGCATCTTTCACACACTGAGAAGCTGATTACAAGGAGTGTGAACATGTTTATATTTGGGTTTACTTTCATAGTAGATTCATCTGTGAACGCGCTCTCAGCATTTCAGCGGGTGTAGCGGTGAGGAATGCAGTGGTAAGAGGTATAAGGTAGGAGAGTATGAGGGGAGTCTTTGAATTATGTGACAATCAACAAGAAATAGAGTCAAAAAGAGATGTGAATTCAAAGACTGGAGAATACAACAAAGTAGCTACAGTATTTATACCCAAGTCCAGTCTGAGTTATATCTACAACTAATGACTCATGAGACTATGTACTGCATGGAGCGCTGGTCATGGGTTGTAGTAGAACCTTCTAGAGCATACATTGTGCAGCCTTGCTGTTGGGAAAAATGGGTCAAAGGGTCAATTAGATAATTGTAGTGTAGGTTTGCAATAGCAATAAGATGTAAGGGCAACTCCTGCCAGCCCAAAGGAAGAGAGCACACAGCACACAACAACCTCACATGAGTCTGAGCACAGAGGGGGATCCTTAGAGACTATCAAATACAAGGGAGGTATACTACTCACCTGAGCACAGAGGGGGATCCTTAGAGAACGATTCAAGGATCCATGTGCCCAGGTGTCACACTATATAGTCAGCTGTGACAAGTGACTGATGATGATGGGATATCACTGCCATGGAACAATAGCAGATGACAAGTAGATAATGACAAACCCAGATAAGATAGTGAGTGGCTCAGAGGGGCCAGTGACGGCCAGCTCCTGAGACACCAACAGTGGAAGGCCACACTGGAGGAGCCCAGTGGCCAGGCCAGTGCCGGGCCAGCCAGTGGAGACATCGGAGGCAAGGACCAATGCCTGACTGGGAAGAGGGGTGGTGCGGATGAGCGCAAAGGCATCTGGTACGAGCCTGTACGGCAGTAGACCACATCCGCGGGAAGAAGGCCGAAGTAGAGGGGGAGGAGTGCGTACGGCAGTAGCACTCCCTGGTGCAAGGAATTGGGCTTGGCTAGACTGCTTGCGGGGATTCGAGGGAGATGGCCGGGGGAAGGAGAAAGAGGGCGGATGTTGGCATGGATGGAGATGAGGATTGGAGGAGGAGGAGGAGGCTGGGTGATCGACAGGTGAGCAGGCACGGGTCGGCAGAGAGGGCGCAGTGGGTCACGTGCATGGTCATGTGCCCAAGGAGCGTGGCGTCCCCTGACACTTGAAATGTGATGTACTAGTGATAATAAACCCTATTGACCCTACACTGTTGCGCAATACTGTACCGTGCCAATCAAATCGTCAGGGGGTGTGATGCGTGACACAAAAGATCAATTCGTCAATTCGTCAGATGCCCCCATGACATGTGACATGTTGATTTTTTTCGTCAGGTCATGCATTCACTTCCCTATGGAGTGTGAACTGCTTGCAACTTGATCCGAAGCTATCTGTATGATAGCCCCAGACAGACTCAAAACAACACAGGGAAGGGTACACAAGTATTTCTAACACTTCAGCTGAACCCCACAAGCCTTATTTATTTCCGAACGGAAAAATGAATTCGTCACCTGGGCATGTGATGCGTGACATCAAAACAAATTTCGACTTCGTCAGGCAGCCTGTGACGCGTGACTGACGATTTGATTGGCACGGTACAGTACGTGAGTTTTACAGATCCATGATGGGCAGCTTTCCTGCATAATTTCTGTTGACTGTGTCATTGTTGTGCAGACTTGAGTGTTTTTGCATGACAGATAGGACAGAGTGATGAGATTACAAGATTGGTCATAGATAAGGAATTGATCACACTACAATTGGCTTGTGCCCATTGTGTTACTGCTGTAGCGCCTTGTTGCAGCATTCCTGTTAATACCTCAGACTGTCCTCCTCGCCTGACCTGGTTCATTTGTGTGTTGGAAGTTAGCCAAAAAAATTAGTGACATCATTCCCAAATTTTTGCCTTTTCAAACTGTGCAGCAGTATCTGTGAGCCTTAAATGCTGTTAAGTTGGCCATCAAGAATGTCTGTGGCTCAATGCATATCTTCAATGAGCTTCCAGCTGTATTCTTCCAGCTCTTGGAAGCGACATCCACTGGCAAAGTGTTTATGACATTTGTTGCATTGCTTGGTGTCTATTTTGAAGTGTTTGACATGCTATTACAAAATAATTGGGAGGGTTGGGAGGGGAAAACTTAAAGCTCATCAAAAGGATCACATGGACAGAAGGATCTGGAATATGTTTATCTTGTCTTATCTCTTATCACTCTATCTTATCTGTTGCCCTTTTCTGCAAAAACACTGAAGTCTGCGCAACAATGACACAGCCAACAGAAATCACATGGGAAAGCTGCTCATCACGGATCTGTCAAGCTCACATGTTGCGCAACAGTGTAGGGTCAATAGGGTTTATTCTAGTAATTAGCAAAAGTGTTGGTGTAGACACCCTAAATCAGATGAACCAGGCACCAAAACTTTTTTCAATCAAGAGTAGTCTCTGTAGACAATGTTGTTTTGAGCTATTTGAGAAAAGACTTCCTGACAAGCAAGGAAGACAAGGTGCACAGTGACAACAAGAAGAGGTTGGAATGCTGTGCACCTTTCTATCTAATCTACCTATTTTATGGCCTCCAGATTTTGACTGTGGATTCACATGTGGAGATTGATGTGAAAAACTCAATGTGAAAAACACCCACTCAGCACTTGACTCAACTTTCATCATCTCATCAACAAAATCGGTCTTGTCCGCACCCAATGATGGACAACTCGGACAATTTACAAATGACGACAGACTTCACACACAACTTCCGTATCACATGAGGGCACGCACTGGGCACGTGTGCGCTAACCCGCGGCATATGGGCAGTTGGTCTATCTATGCCCGACATAGGGTTCCCGCGGATCCACAGCATGGCTCTCTATTCTCCCATGGCCGGGACCGACTATTCGTGTCTCTCATCTACACTTGTTCCGCTTCGATTATAGAGTAAATCGCTGGGGTGAATCTATTCTCGTGATCTCAACCCCAGTGACGGAGGGCATCGCCCGACGAAACCATATGGTTATCCATACTTGCAGATAAGCGGAAGGACGGCAAAGTGCTGATTTACTCGATGCCATGACTGTGTCCCAAGTCCCGGGCGCACGATTGTCATCTCCATCGCCTGTTCTCTTTCCTGTCTGCAATGTCGCCTACTGCCACGATCGTGCACGACGGACATGAAAGTTCTGCGACGGAGAAGGATACGACGGCGTCCCGCGGCTCAACCAGCACGCCCCCCGGTGATACGAGCACACCTGCAACGTCGGGGAAGAGCCGCGCATTCTATATGAGCTTTATGGCGATCATGGTCACGACGTTCCTGAGTGCACTGGATCTGACTGCAGTTGGGACGGCGCTTCCGACTATAGCAGCGGCGCTGAAGGACACCAAGGGTGAATTCACATGGGTGCGTCGCGGGTCCAACGTTTTCGCGCTTTTTTGTTTACCGAAAGGCGCGACTTGCAGGTCGGGTCCGCCTACGCGCTGAGCAGCACGGCGTTTATCCCGCTCAGTGGGAGTATGGCCGACGCATTTGGCAGGCACGTTCGTCGAAGCTGTCGCCGTATCTCATGTCCTTCATCTCCATGCGTGCAGGAGGCCCGTCCTGTTGATTTGTATCGCGCTCTTCGCGATCGGAAGCGCGTTGGCCGGCGCAGCCCAGAACATGGTGTGTGAGCACAGCTTTTTCCTGCATTCCATGCTGACACTCGCGAATCCAGTCGATGATGATCGCAGCCAGGAGTGCGCACTTTTTTTTCGTGATCCCGATATTCATCTCATGTGTGTTGCAGCTATCCAAGGCATTTGAATGCCTTTTGCAGGCCGACGGTCTATTGACTGCTGCTATGTCTAGGAATCGGCGGCGGCGGAATCCTCAATCTAACTGAGATTTTGATCGCAGACCTGGTCCCTCTGGCTGAGCGGGGACTGTATCAAGGTCTAGTTGGTTTGATGTGGTCTTTGGCATCTGTACGTGATTGCACATGTGCAGCTAAGCATCTCCTCATGTCATTTACAGAGTATCGGGCCTCCCATCGTCCGTTCTCCCAATTGCATGGGGCGAAGAATGATACTCATCAAAGGCTACAGGGTGGTGCATTGGCCAGCAGAGGAAACAAAGCCTGGCGTTGGCTCTTCTGTACGATTTCTCCGATTCGTCTTGGCCGAGCTGACGACTCGCAGTCCTCAATCTTCCTCTGACCGGCCTCGCTTTCCTTCTGGTCACGATCTACCTTAACGTCAAGACTCCACCCGGCACTGTGAAGGAAAAACTAGCGAAGGTGGACTGGCTGTAAGCTCATCAGATTGAATGACGATCACCGTCCTCATGCACTTCAGTGGCAATGCGATGGTCATTATCGGCTCCGGACTGGTGATCATTGGGCTTACCTGGGGTGGAATCCGGTACCCCTGGAGCTCCGCGCCAGTTCTGGTGACTTTGATTCTGGGGGTGCTGTTCCTATTCGCGTTCGGGGTCTATGAAGCAACAGTGCCTGAGAGACCGACTATCCCGCTCGATGTCATCGGCAATCGCACCTCTTTGAGCGGGTGAGTGTCTCCAATTCTGGCTCGTCCACTTACTCAACCCTCGGAGGCTACTAACCACTGCGGCTCACGGGATTGCGAGCTTGGGTGCGGTGGAGCATTGTTCGTATTCGATCCGTGCGCTAACGACGAGCAACCAGCCATCATCTACTATCTGCCCGTTTTCTTTCAAGCATGCTTCGGTGCCTCGCCTATCCGGTCTGCGGTGGACTTTCTCCCCGGTGCCCTTCTCACTGCTCCCTTCGCACTGATTGCCGGTCTCCTGATCATGGCTGGAAAGCGATATAGAGAAGTGAACTGGATCGGATGGATATTCATGATCGTCGCATTTGGCTTAATCAGCACATTGGAGGCTACTGCTTCTACCAGCCAGTGGGTCGGGTTTCAAGTCGTTGGAGCCATCGGCACTGGATTAATCGTCAGTCTTTTCACTTGCCAATTTAACGAGCCCTGATTTTTCCAGTTCTCTGCTCCCGTGTTCCCCATTCTCGCACCACTCAATCCTGACCGAGCGGGTTCTGCGCTGGCGCTCTTCAGCTTCACCCGGTCGTTTTTCCAGACATGGGGCATTGCAATTGCCGGCTCGATCTTACAGGTGTGTCTATCTTTCTTTGCTGCGACAAACGACTCACTTGCTGCTTAGAATGAACTGAGCCGTAATCTCCCGCCGGCTTTCGTAGCCCAGTTCCCACCCCACTACGAAATCGCATATGCAGCGATCCCTGCGATCGATCTCCTCGATCAACCACTCAAATCAGAGGTCCAAGCGGCCTTTGCCTCCAGTATGAGCGTGATCTGGCAGGTCATGATCGGCCTATGTGGGCTTGGTTTCCTGCTCAGTTTGCTGATGAAAGAAGTACCGATGAGTATGGATGTGGACGACAGTTATGCCCTTGAAGAGGAGAAGGTTTCAGACATAGAGAAGCTGTAGAGTTCCGCTGGATGGTTAGTGCAATCACCAAATTGTATCATCACACCACTTTTCGCAGTCTCGAGCTCGATTATGATTTTGTGAATCTAACGAATGATACGGGCAGGCAGCTCTGTGGAGACAAAATGCCAGATGTAATGTGTCCAGCCCTCCAGGACACCAGCGCCCGCCATGATATGTAGACAGTCGCTCATAACATGAGCATCCGGTCGCAATCTGCCTGGTCGGTCGATACCCAGCCAATGTATGTTGGGATAAGAGTGTCCGCTGAGTACTTTCTGCTCGCAGAATAAGCATATACTGCGCACGAAGACGCCGAACGCACCTCAAACTCCCTGTTGAACTCCCAGATGCTGCCCCAGTTGTACCAATTCCATACAAAGGGCTTGATCTCCGTCCACGGGCTTTTCCAGTCATGGCAGTCCTCGTGCCCAGGGAGATACGCACGGACCACAACCTGGCGTTCCCTGCCAGTCTCCAGCCTGTGCGCGTCCAGCGCCGACTGCATCTCCGCGGACCAGTGCTCGACGACCTGCGCGAAGAACTGAATCACGCCTTCGATCCCGTTCCCGGGCTTCGCCTCGTCCTTGAATCCCGCAAAGAGCGTCGTGGTCCAGTGCCCCGCAGTGCTGACGACCATCGTCTTGTAGTTGCCCTTCGGCAGCGGCGCCGTGAAAATCTCGAGGTATTCAGCCGGCGTGAGCGACCACATCTGCTCATCGCTAAGCAGCTTGAACTCAGGCGGTGCCTCGGGGTGCAGCGAACGGTGCAGATCAGCGAGCTGCTGCTCGCTCATGAGCGCGTCAATGCGCCGGAACGTCACCAGCGGTGTCTCTTCGATGGAGAATCCAGTAGGGAGCTTCAGGTGGGGGATGAGGGGAGATTTTGGATCGAGGTAGAGGTTTTGTGGCCAGGCGCGGTCCCAGTACGGATTCGCAACGTAGTCCGGCGTGGCCCGGACGTGAGGGAACAGCGAACATGAAAGTGAGAAGAAATGTCCCTCGGTAATGGAGTCTTTAGTGGAAATGAGTACACGAATGAAGAATGTAGAATGGAATGCTTGGAGCGCACCGCCAATAAGTAGCCACCCTCCACCCTCCACAAGTTCGGATAAAAGATTGAACTGCGCCATATCTTGAATCTGACATTGCTTGTTGTCCGGCGTCCACTTCCAGGACGTCACATCTGGGAACCGGTTCAGACGCTCTTCGCTGTCGGCACCAAGATGCCACCAGTATTCTCGTGAACTGGACAACGGCAGCGCGTGTGTGAGTCGCGTCTCTGCAGCTTTCGGTGCACGTGTTGCTGCTCACCTCGCACAAGCCTCAAACCCGCTCAAGCTCAATACCTCCTCCTTTGCATGCACCGACGACATATTCGCGCTCGGATTGCGGAGCCATGCGCCTTGATTGTATGCTTCGGGCGGACAGAGGCCTGTCCGCCGGGACCCAAAGAGGTCGTAGTTGGAGAACCGGTCAGAGTTCGAATATGTCACACGCGCCAACAGGAAGAGCGCCAGCAATGCCCCAATTGCAACGAACCTGGAGCCCAGGGAGCGCGGCCACATGAACATGGCAGATGAAAAAAAGGAAAGGATCGTGATATGTACTCAGTAACTGAGGTACGGTGTCACTGCTAGCAAGCGGAAAAGATCGCTTGGCATTGTGGGGTGCTAATCATATTTCGCAATCATCAAAATTCATCTGCACAGCGACAATCACAATTGGCTACGGCACAGAGCCCGTGCGAGCGTCCGTCCTCCCCGAAAAACCAGTCCATGATATGCGACGCGTGTCCTCCGTGCTTGCACGTCTGGCAGATCAAAATTGCGTCGTCAATGGTGTCTGCACAGGGTCAGAGAGAATTGAGACCCAACAGCGCACACGTACCCTTGACAGTAGAATAAAACATCTCCGCATCTCTCACTGCATCCGGGACAATGCTCAGCGTCATCAAACACACAGAGCATTGCGGAAGTGATCTGTTACAATTCGCACAAGTCGTCGGCTAATTGAAAAGGTCATTTGCGCGGAGGTGAATTTAGTTACCATTGGAACGCACCCTATGTTTCCCGGAATCTGGTCCTGTCACTGGCTTATTGCAATAGTTGCAGCGGATGAGAATCTGTCGGGGAGCCCAGTCGACAGGAGCCCGGTCTCCGTGCTCGACAGCGTCCTGCACCAATCCACCGCGCTCAATGTCAAAGCTCACGCGATAATGGTGAAGTTTGTAGCCATCCAGCATGTCCCGATACGCTTCTACCCATCTTTCTGCCCGCGTATGGGTGAATTTGGCCGGGCAAACGTAAGAGGCGAGTATGGCCGCAGTCTGGAAATCACCGGAGCGGTCGACATAGCTTTGGAGGATGTCCAGGCCCCGTTTGGTGAGACCAGTGACCATGAGCCCATCTACATGCCCTCCGCGACACGAGTTGTCCACACAGTTCAGCAGATACGAGGAAAGCGCATCATCCTCCAAGAACTGCAAGGCGATGGCCAAACGCTCTCGGAACGGTATAGCCTCCTCATCCAGAACCTCTGACCAGTCTCCAAGCGTGAGATGGGTAAGCATGGCCCGCAGGTAGGGATCTTGAATCCGGATGATCAGCTTCTCGCAGTGCTCTCGGAAAGCGACGTTTCTGGCCGAGGATGGATCAGCCGTCAGGGCAGCGAGAGTTCCAGACATCATGTTATCGGTCTCATCATTGCTTCCCAGGAGTACATCAAGAGCCTGCGCATGCTTGTTCGCGAAGACCAGCCAGCACGCCGCGCGAGTTCGCTGACCGTCCTGCTCCCATCTAGCAAGCATGATTGTCAGCAGCAGACACTAGTCAGGGTCAAATCCACCTCCACCTTTTGACGTGCGCCTGCAGATCTTCTTCCCGGAGGCTCCAACCTAACAGCTTCAGTCCAATCTGACGTTGCAATGTCTTGGCAGAGTTCACAGCGTGAAATTTCCAGGGGATCTTGTCGCCGTTACGGAGAGCCAGATCTGACAAGGCGGCTTGAAAATTGCCATGTAGGTCATCTGCAGGCGAGCGGCCGTCTCGACTGGGTGACCGACTGCGTGTCTTCGCTCGTTCGAGCGTCTGCTCGGTTGGAGGTGCAACATGAGGAAACCCGAACCAGATTCCCATGATACCCTGATAAGAGAAATCATAGCCGTGAAGCCGAGGTGTCGGCACACACAAAAAATCTTGAGCCTCTTTTCTGAACGTCAGTTATCATGTTGAGGCCGGGACTGCAGCACTCACTGTTGAGCCATGTCCACAATCCAGATAGCATCTCGGGCACAGGAGCTACATCGTCTCGAGTGACGGTTGTGTTGTGGTATGGCTAGACTGGTCAGAAGCCCGTGACAAAGCTAATACAAGCAGAGCACACACATTGCCAACGCTGTAACCTCGCAAGCATCTTCTGCGCATCACCATGGAAATGTCGTCCTCAATGAGATGCTCGATCCCTCTGATCCTGCTCGCACTGCGACTAACAGGTGCTGCTCGGATCTTCACCTCGAGGGATTTTACAGGAGGCGCTGAATCTTTGGTAGATGCGCTTTTCAGTATCGCCGGCCGCGAGTTGGAACGAGAGCGTTGAGTCGGCTCGTACGGATAATGTCGCATCGAAGACGGACTGAACGTTCGGGACTTGGAAACCGAGACCGGCCTAGTCGCAGAGATCCCTGTCGGAGCCGAGACCCGAACGGCTGAAGCTGGAGACGCGTCTCTCAACGCAGCAATCGAAGAGCTCATGAGTGTGCTTGAGCTGTCCGTCGAAAGCGCCGGAAAGCCGTCATCATCCCCTCGACCAAACAACACCGGCCGGGGATCGAAGGAAGGCATTGATCGCCTTCCTCGCAGCATGTGCTGTTGTGGTGATGTCGACTTCGGTTCCGACCGACTTTTGATAGCATCCTGTTGTTGTTGTGCGTAGCGGAACTGTTCGAGAGAAGACTCTCGTTCGCGCTGTTGAATAAACTCTTTTTCCAACTCCTCTCCATCCAATATCCCAGGGAAAACGCGGTACCGGTGGCCGGCGCTGACGGCTAGATCCCCACGGTTGCTCCAGACAGCCTGCTTTGGTGTGTCATGGAGTGCGCAGATTTCGAGGTCGCCTTGCGGGGACACAACCATCACCTCAGACGTCAATGATGTCGTGGGCTGAGGCACAAGTGCAAAGGACGACAGGGTTTTGGGAAACAGTTTGGCTGCTCACTAGTTAGATCATGTTCAGATCCAGAGGCACCCACTCACTTCGGCGGGTATCAGACAACACGAGCGAGCTATGGCCCACTTCTCTGGTTGAAGCAGATGTGGCCCAGGGAAGTCCAGCCGTCCACGACTTGCGCGCGAGCCGGCTCGAAAGTGATGATCCCTCAGCAGGCATCCCACCGTCCGAAGATCCCGTTGCCGACCCAACGTCGACTGTTCCCTTCGTCCCCAAGAGATCCCAAAAGCGCACGTAATTTGTATCTTTGTGCAACGCAGCAAGGGTCCCACGCCGTGTACGAGAGAACTCGATCCCCACATAAGGGGCCGCGGGGCGCACGAACGCACCATCGCCAGTCGCGTCCTGTTCCGTGAAGCTGAGCATTGGCAACGGTGCTATCTTGCGCGTGTCCCAGACGCTCACGAACCCTTCACCAAACGTCGCGACGCGGTGCGGGTCGGACGGGTCAGTCACTATGCTCTGCACTTTCGCCGCGACGCTCGTGATCGCAGGCGCCGCCGTCCGGACGTCGAGCAACCGGAGCCAGCGGGATGACACGCCAGCGAGGACGAGGTGGTTCGTGTTTGCGACGTAAGACACTGCGGTGACGACCTCCGTGAGTGCGTGGTGCTGCACTGTGCGCGCGTCTGCGCGGGGCGGGAGCTCGTTGCGCGGGATGAGCGGTTGTGGGCGCTTCGGCGAGTCCACGAGCACATCGTTTGGTGTGGAAATCGAGAAGGACAACTTGCTGCGAGTGCTGGAGATGTCGTAGATCACCAGACTGGCATCGTTGCGCATTTTGTCGAGTCCCACTGCGAGGTAGTTGGGGTCGAGTCTACAGAAGTCGAGCGCGTTGCAGGAGCGCGAGTTGCGTGCGGTGAGTGAGATTATCGGACCTCCCGATAGTACGCTGGTGCCTCCCGCCAACCGCCGCGTCCTCGTCGCCTCTAATCGCAATAAATCTATCCTCCCCGTGCTCAACCCCACCGCCACCAGGTCATCGAAAAAGGGATCTGGAGACCATGCAAATGTCTGAACAAACGCTGGTTCACAAAGCGGAATTCGGCCACGATGGCTGGCATACCTTCATGAACTGCAGGTCATGCTGCGAAGTGATGTGTCGGATTTCTTGCTCCTCTGCAGCCCATTCGTAGAGTGTGATTTGTGAGCCGCCGCCGAGTATGAACTTGTTTCTTTGCAATGGGTGCCATAGAAGACGCTTGTCCGTGTTCACAGAACCAACCATAAGGCATCAGGGCAAGGGACTTCCCTGTCATCATCCGTCACAGTGTGACGTGCTCCGCTTGTTGTCCAAATTAGGAAGGTTGGTCGATCTGAGTGATACTTACCAGTTTCCAACCGGAGCAAACTTCGGTAAGGAGATGAGGAGAACATGCTACTGCCTAGCAGACTTCAATCCAGGGGGAATGATGCGAAAAGGACAGCTTCGAATTGACTCCAACACCCGACTAGAATAGAGCAAGACACAAACAGATCACACTATGACGGTCTCGAATATGGATGGAAATTGTGTTGCCCCCGCATGTTGTTTCGCGCTGCACCCTGGGCGTTGGCGTTCATAGCCGCCATCCGGCCCACACCAGGTCCCATCATACTCCGCATTCCCATGCCAGTCATGGGCCCCATCCCCATGCGCATAGCGCCCATCCCCATCCCCCCGCCCATCATACCGTTCATTCCACCCATTCCCATCCCCATCATTGGATTCATGCCCATCCCCATCATGGCCATCGGATTCATGCCCATCCCCATTCCCATCATAGGATTCATGCCCATGCCCATGCCCATACCCATCCCCATGCTGTTCATGCCTGTAGCATTCGCCATCATGGGCATCTGCCGCTGCATCATCATCGACATTTGCTGTTGCGGGTTGATGCTCGGGGTCCGCGAGTTCGTGTCGTTGAAGGATGCGTTCGTCGTCTGCTGTTGCTGCCGCACCTGATCACGCTGACTCCTCGGTTGGGCCGCTTTCACCTCGATCTTACATGATCATAAGCAGCGAAAAAACCAAATAGAACGACGTCGCGAGCGCACCTCCTTCTCATCCAGCACCAACCCGATCTTGCCAACCAATTGATCGGAATTCGTGGCATCCTCAAATGTCACAAAGCCAAAGCCCTTGGAACGGCCGGTATCTCGATCAACCATCACTGTCGCATCGACGACCTTTCCGTCTATCGACAATTGAGGTTCCGAGCGCAGGAAAGTTTAATGGTCGCTCACAAGCACCAAAAAAGTCTTTCATAGACTCTGACGTCGTGTTCGGTGATAGACCTCCAACAAAGTATCGCGTGTTGCGGATGTGCTCTTCCCGAGGGATCGCCCGCTTAGGGTCGATCTATGCCATAAGAAAGTTCAAGCCAGTCAAGCCATAGATCTGAGCAACAGGACAGACCGATTTTCCATCGAGAACATGATCTCGCCCAAGCACAGTCGGGACTACTTCTCCATCCTCAAAGGTCATGAACGCGAATCCCCTTGAAGTCCCCGAGGGGTCTCGCATGATCGTGACCGCATCGACCTTGCGCGTCGTTGAATCCGAGCTCGCCGCGGGTGCTAGACAGGAATCCCGTACCTTGCCAAATTGCGCGAAGTAGTCCCTTAAGCCCTCTGCACAGATGTCACAACAAGCGCGTAGATTCGAAAACATAGATACAGTACCATCTGTAGTGTCCCAGTTTAGCCCTCCGACAAACATTTTGCTATTGAAGGTGTAGATGGTAGCAGAGCACAGCAGAGGCAGATCCGAAGTAGCAAAGCAAAGGATAGGCGCAAGGAAAGTTGATACGGGTATCAGTATCGTGTTGGAAGGAAAGCAAAGAGAAGACCGCGAGTATCAAGGTAACGTAGAGTCTGTCTGTCTGTGCGTACATCCAGAATACGTGCAGTGCGGTAAACGTAGCATATATCCATGGATATATCAGCCACAGAAGAAAGAGGACACTCACCCGTGATCGTGCATTTCAGAAGGTTTCTTCCCGAATACGGTATCACCGGCCTCGTAAGTTGTGGCGCCATGCGTTGGGATGGCCGAGGTCTGCTGGGTGCGAGCCGGCATTGAATGTGGGATGGCGACGCTTTCCGGCCGCTGCTGGCGCTCTTGACTGGGTGTTTGCTGATAAGAGGCGAATTGCTGCGCTATCTGGGCCGAGTACGATATGTTGTTGGCAGAATTCGATGGTTGCATGGAGGACGAGGAAGGCGGGGAACTCTGTACAGCCGAGGGCTTGGGAGGCAAGTCATGCCTGACCAGCGAAGTCGGTGCGGATGCAGGCGCTGTGCTGGGTACGTTGCTGCTGCTCGATGTCAGACCTTGGATTTCGCCCGTGGATGGTTCGAGGTCGTCGTCGCCATAGATATCTGTTGAAAAGTGAGTGTCTGGGAAGGAAGATCACTCAAGCCGTCTGACCTCCGTATAAGTCATCGAGGGCCACCTTGGACATAGTAAGAGCACACAAAGGCGGCAAAGTCGCTGTTGCCAATGGGCTGCCAATCATTTGTTGATAACTGGTCAATAAGACCAAAGTGTCGCACTTAGGCTCGGTCCGGAGCGCCGGATCCTTTCACGCTGACGGCCACTTGAGAGCATGCTCAGCATGGGCCCATGTTCAGTTTATTGCGATGTTGTGCCTCACACCTGCCAAAATCCTACATGATCATTGATCTGCAAATTCGTTCTTACCGTTGGAATCTTCTCATTCAGCTGGTCATCCCTCGTCAATCGGCTGCTGCTGTTGCTCTAGTAAGATGAAGGACAATGCAGACCGGTCATGTTATACTCCACTCCGTCGTCCCATGGTTGTCGATATCTGTCTGCGCCGCGCGATTTTGACAGATCGTATTCTGTTCATCTGTTCTTCGGCGTTACACATGAGCCTTGGGGATGCTTGGAACGCGTCTGCCGGTCGTTCCATGCGCGCTGACGCTGTCTCATTGGCTTCATCATGAAAACGTCATTGAACGTCAACCGGATGAACGCGGGCCTCGGAGAGGCGTCGACGCGGAGCCGTCAGCACAGGAATTCTCTTCCATGCGAGTGTTCATCCTTCAATACTTGTGTGTCAAGCCACACCAAGTCTCGTGTTGCATTTAACCAAGGTTTGGATGATGCCGTCTTCGGCATTGTCCGCGCCTCTTCATTATCGATATTAAATGCCTCCAGCGGGGACTGTGGGCAAAGGAAAGGTGGGCGTCACTCGATTAAGAGCGCCGAGCCGTTTCTTTGAATGAAACAAAACAGGGTCGATCTCCGAGAGTCGGCCGCCCCTCTCGCTTAGCAGTTCATCCTGACGCAGGCGACGATTGTGTGTACGCGCTTACAAGTACAGGGCTGGAACGCTTCGTCAGTCAGGTCCTGCGTTCTGCCTCGACGTGGCAGATTCGAGCAACAGTCCCCGCGCCACCTCAGACGGTGGCACAAAGAAGATCTGGGGTGGCCAGTGTTCCTTTGAAGCATGAAACGGGCCGCATGCAACGTCCACCGACACTTACATAGTTCCGTGCCACGCGAGAGACTTGCCGCAGCTGTCGGAACCAATATAATAAACATCGACAACAGTATCGGGCCCTTTCATTCTCACGGAGACCCCAAACAGAAGATTCAATACTTTACTTATCCAGAATCAAGACACAATTAATTATACCGTTCCACATTGGGTATCGCCACTGAAGAGATCAGAAATCCATGCACTCCTTCAAAGCCTTCGTCAGCCTCCAAGCAGCCCAAACGGCGATCAGTGTCGTCATATCCAGGCTGTGCGAGAACATGATCAGCCCGGCGCCCGTCTAAGCGCCAGACTTTGTCAATGTCAGGATTCTGATCTGTTTGTGTGGTACAAGGAATGTTGAGAACAGAATGGGAAGGATGTTCTACAGAACACGTCTGGTGGTTCCACACCTTCGAAAATAACTTGGGAGCACTACGAGGCTTCGCAAGGGAACCCCCACGAGGGTTCGTGCCCGAGCGACTGGGCCACGTTCATTGCGCTTGCTCGGCCTGTAGAACGCGTTTCTTCCGGGCATGTGATACTGCACGTTGTTCTCAGATCCTGAGGAATGGAGGACAGGTCGACAGCAAGCCAACAGTGGGCGTTCCGCATTCGAATTCTGATATGTTTTCCAACAGATTGTTGGGAATCCTCTTGAATTCAATCGAATTTAGTTCATTCACTATAGATTAGGTGAAGAGTTTTAACCTCAGCGTGGTAAGGGAAAAGAAGGAAGGAGACAATAGTGAGCTATGGAGGAATAAGGAAAGAGTCAGTTGGTCCCCTCTCCAAGAACAGCGGACGCTTTTCATTTCAGAGAAACGAATACACGCTCGCCGGGGCCAACACCGAGGCAAAAAAACTCTTCACACAATACCCACCTTCAACTAAGGTATCCCTGAGCACGGTAGTTTGGCAGAGGCATTCGGAATGCTGCATAAAAGCATTTATCCCTGGCGACGGTGTGTTCCCGAGTTTTCGTCATGAACGCTGACGAAGGCATAGAGGCTGGAGCGAGGTGAGAGAAACGCGCCGAAAGATTCCACGGGAGTTCCGAAGAAATATTGATCAGCTTTGATCAGCTTCGTAAGAGCAAGCCGAAGGTCAAGTCCTAATGGAGATAGACGCGATCGTGAAGTGTTGTGACGCTGTCACCATGAACCAAATTTCAAGTTGTTTCCGATAGGATATTTTCCATTTTATGCGAACGGAACGACGGTCTTTACGGCACCAGGCCTATTTGACTACTCTCTCTCTCCGCTTCAGCGCGTCGCCTTCGTTGTCGTATGCTGCTTGGGTCTCCGCTCTATCCCTTCTCCTATCATGTCTGGCACGCCCTCCCCTGCTCGACTTCACACCAAATCCTCCGACATCTCAGAGTTCTTCCGTGTAGGAGGGCACAGTTCTAGACCTCGCGCCGGCGACGCCCCCAAATCTGGCCCCTCGTCCACTGCATCCTCGTCTCCAGCGTACCTCTCAGAACCCGAATCGTCCTCCAGCCCGCGGCGCCGGAGTATGATACCTTTCCTTGGCCGGCAGAGGAAAAAGTCGGCGCACGCCGACATTGCCAATGTTGCTGCTGTTGCTGCCGCTGCTCATGTCAATCGACAATCGGAGGGAGAACCGCGATACAGTAATGTGTCCAAGGCTTCGAGGAGGACATTGCCTTTGTGAGTCCGTTGCTGGGTGGATTGTGCTCCCTCAGTCTCACAAATCGTACAGACCAGAGGTGCCTCTGCTGCTTCATCGTCATGAGACACCTGAGCGATCTTCCGTTGCCTCGAGCTCATCTCCACCATCCCTTGGTTCTAAAATTGCCGCTCATTTCGTTCCTTCACGACAACGCCTCATCAGTCTTTCCCCACGCAAACCATCACCTTATAACGAAACTCCTCCCTCCTCCGGAGGCCTTGCACCGCCGGCCAGTTCCTCCCGTGGAACCTCCATGGATTCCACCTCATCTGACAATCGATCCAGCACTCCTCGTCCGACCATCACTGTCTCCCTCTCGCCCGATAATCTCGATGGCTACGAGGGACTCTTCACTCTGCCGACATCCGAAACGTCGAAATCGCCGTCCCCAAATGCGGAGCTGAGACTTCGGTCGGATGATCGGATATACACTGGATCGCCTGTCAGTGACCGATCACCTAGTCGATCGCGAATTTCTCGTGTGGCGCGCAAATACGTCGGTTCAGCGATGAAACAGTCTGACGTGGACTCGACAGATGCAGAGGACTCAGAGGCTGTCATGTCAGACACACCGAAATCGTCACCGCCAATGCATACGCCAATAGTGGAAAAGCGACGGACGCTGGCGACGACTATGCCGTATACGTTTGCAGAGAAAGCACCGAGGTCGATCATGAAGTCGTCTGTGATTGCGCTTCCTCCCGCGTTACCGCTGCCCCCACCGCCTCCCAGTGATCCGCCCTCGCCAACTCTGCTTGGCACACCTCCGTCGTCGTCCGAAGCCAGGTCGCTAAGGCGCCCTCGCGCTCACACGCTGTCCTCGACACCGATCCCGTTACCATTCAAGCCCCCAACATCTCCGATCGCGACGGTTCCCTCTCGTCGGCTGAGCAAATCTGAGAAGATCCCTATACCACTCAACGGGCCTGCGCCTGCTGCTGGGAAAGACGCCTTTGACATGGCGACCGCCTCCGCAGAAGAATTACGGCAGGCGCTCGTCCGCAGAAATCAGCAGTTCGACGAACTTGCCAGCTATCTTTTGAAGATCACGGAAGCACATGTTGCCGAGAAACATGCTCTGTTGAAGAAAATTGGTGCTCTCGAGCAAGATGCCACGCGGAAGGACAACGAGATCAAGGGCTTGACGTGGCTTGTGACGAATAACCGCCCGGGCAGTTCTGATACTATCAAGTCCACGGCGTCAACGATCAAACCGACCCGTTCCAGCAGCGCTGATGATTTCGGCGCGCAGTCTCACCAGGCATCGGGTGCCGAGGATTCTCACTCGGGCTCCGAATCTCTTCAAGGCTCGAGCACGGCTGATTCCTCGTCGGAGCGACGCAGCAGCAAAAGCAAGAGACACCCGAACCCGAACAACAGTTTCTACCGTATGTCCGCAACTGAAACAGCATCCTCCTCTTCATCCACTACATCCCTGCTGACATCTGTCACAACGACGCCCTCGACCCCTGCCACGACTGTCAGCTCCCTGAGCTCCATCCCGGAATCGCGCGATCCCATTGTTGCGGCTGCTATCCTGGCCTCGGAGAAACAGCGAGCAAAGCAAGAACGCAGAGCGAGCAAGACCGTCGACCGGCACGCCTCGGCTTCCGCCACCAGTGGGGTGTCGGCCTCCGCAGCTTATGCTGCAAACCTGAAGCGCGGTAGGCCCCCATCGATAGCTCAAGTGCTCGCCTCCTCCCCAAAGATGGACCACGTTCGGGATAGACCCCGTCTCTACACCAGTGGCTCGGCATCAAGCTAAGGTCCGCTATTATCTGTGAAGCCGTTTTCGGTCTAGTCTCACATCCTGGTCAGCACCCTGGTAACCCAATTCGTACCCCACGTTACTACCCCCACGCTCCTTCAAATTTTCGCCGCCGCGCTCCTTACCCTACATTCGACCCAGGAAGTAAGATATTTTCTTTGCAACATGTAATACACTGGCGAACAATGTGTATCCTTCCGCATTTATGTATTCTTTAGCACATATTATTATTATAATGCATACAATTTTCCTATGAGGTATTTTAAGCCGGTAGTAGGAGACTCTCGATGTTGGCATGGAGAGCCCGAGCGTCTCGGATTTGACTATCATATGGTGCTGCTGATGGATCGTCTACAAACAGAGAGGTCCGGTACTGCGTGTGATTCTCAAGGTTTCTTTATGCTCGTAAGGAATCCCATATGGAGGCAAAAGTGATGCAGGTGGGTGCGCCGCTGCAGAAAATGACAATCCCGACACAAATATTAGTATAGCCACCCACCGCTTGCTGTGGACCGATGTCACTATCCCGTATCGCTCTACTACCGCTTTCAACTCCTCAGGCGAGTGCTATCCATTCACCGACAGACACCGCGTCACTCCCCCTTTGATGCGTTCTTGAAGAAAAAGAGGCATGGGCTTGGTGTGGGAGACGAATGTTGGTTGCAGGCGGCGACCGTGTAGATACAATCCGTGGAATATAGCGTACCGGAAGAGCGCAGCGGCGTCAGAGTGCCGGACGAAGTCGATGTACGGGTGACATGTGGGTTGGGAATGGGTTCGATAGATTGGATGCACACACGGCAGATTTCTCGCCACCTGTCTCGTCGATATTGATTCGATCGACCAATCCACCGCGAATATGGGGATCAAGCGCCGCCAAGCTCACTGTCGGAGCCAATCTTCTCAACAAGACAGTCCGAGAAAAGTTCTTCAGAGCCTCATCTCTCGAACTTAGTGCGACGGTGCGGCGGTCTCGCCGGTTCTTGACGTGACATCCCAAGTTCATGAGGTCTGTCCGAGCCTGCGAGTCAAGTCAGTGTGAGATTCCGGGAATGTCGTCTGATTTCACTTCACGACAGGCATTGACCGACAAGAAGTTGGCTTTCACTCCCATGGGCGTCACGCCGAGTTGATCTATGAAGCCGTACGTTCTGCCCAGCTTCCGCAGAAGCTCGGCACGAGACAGTCCAGCTACTAAAGCATGCGTTGGTTCCAGGAGCAGTGCTCTTGTCTCGGACCTTCCGATCCGCGAGGGCCGCTCCTCCCCCCAAGAAAAGGTCAAATTCTCTACGTACATGATGACTTTCTCGTGTCCAGTCACGTCGTCATAGAAGCGCGCGGCATCCTGAGCTTTGAGGAATATCAAGCGGATGGTGCGACGCCCATCGTGCATGTGATCGTCGGCGACATGGAACAGCGGTCCAGTCAACACCAAGTCGAGGACTTCGGAGACGAGGGCCTTCGCGTTCACGTCATTGACGCAGACCGTGTACTTCGCAGATTTCGCTACTGAGTAGTTTCGTACACAAGAGCGTGCCCACAGTGAGAATGAAGACAAACGACGAGCTAGCATGAAAAAGGCATGCCCGTTGTGAGGGCGAAGAGGATGCGGAAGATGCCGAACAGATCAATGATGACAAGAAATTCACGACTCTTCTTCCGAGCTGTAACAGCGAGCGAACCCCACGGCTTGAGACGCGACAATACGTGTCGACTGAAGGTATGAAATCTGACTGGTCTCCTAGAAACGCAAACTGATCAAGTTTTCCCAGTCCGCACGTCTACAGCATGATTCTGGCAGCCAGCCTCGCTCGAGCTTCCGTCCGTCTGACCGCACGACCGGGAGTCTCTCACATTCGCAATCTCCACCGCACACCCGTCGCTCTCAAGAAAAAGAAGCCGGCCGCTGCTGCAGAGGACCCGTTCGAGAACGAAGCGGAAGAACAATGGGGCGGTGAAGTGGAAGACTTATTTTCCTCGGGCCCGTCCAAGCCAAAGTCCACGGTCGTCAAGTCCATTCCGGTGGTGACCAGCTCTGCCACCACTACGGAATATCGCGGTCTCACACCTGCTGAACGAGAGGCCAGGTTCCAGAAATTGTACAAATTTGTGGAAGCAAGAATCGGACCCAAGCCCTCCGTGACATCCTCCAAAGCCCGACGCTCTGTGTTCCCGCAGCTCATTCAGCTGTCCACTATTCCGGAACACCTCCAGTCCATCGTCGCCCTAATGCACCCGTGGAAGAATAGCAGCCTAGGGACGCAAGGGAAAGCGCGACTCGGAGCAGACGGCAAACCGAAGGGTGTGCACCCATATGATGACGCCACCAGTGAACATTTCGCTCGTGAGTGGATATAAACTCGCTCTTCTTTCTCCCCTGCCCCCGGCGTGCGCTAACTCGTTGCCGCATCCTCCAGGTCGATGCGAGGAACTCAGAGTTCCCGAACTGGCGCTGAAAGTTTTCGGAGACTACTCACAACACGGGTTGAAGCTCACTGTCCCCGCCGGGCGCAGGATCTTGCACGGACTCGTAGCCAACGAGCGCCCGTTCGAGGATGTCATCACTGCGACGGCACTGTACGAGGTGTATGCCCTGCCCCCTGTTCACGAAGATCTGCCGTCGAGCGCACTGCTTCTCTCAGCGTGCTTGCGCCATCTGAAAACCGCTGAAGGTGCGCAGAAGCGGAAGACCCAGGCCCTGGTCAATGGGCTCCTGGCTTCGCTCGAGCAGAGCCTTAAAGCGACGCCGCCGATGGCGGCCAGTCGCGATATTCGAGACAAGACCATCCGGAAATGGCTGAAGAGCGCCATGCTAGATCTCAGTGCTTTCTTACAGGAGAAGGGACAAGCCAAGAGCTGGCTGGAGCGGTGGATGGTGCAAAGCAGGTTTCTCCCTGTTGCCAATTAGAATCGATGAATGATACACTCTTTGCTTTGGTTCAGTTGCTACAGTACAGTTACATGCAGGGAATACGACGTTTCCAGCTTCAAATACACATCAGCGCGGAGAAGATTCTACTGTACAGTCTTGTTTTCATGGCCTTCTCGGTCTAGTCTTCAGGATATTCTGTTCGATCCAGTTCCTGCACGATCCATTGCACGACGCAGTTCACGTAGTGAGCCGATGGAGCGGTATCTTCTTGTATACCATCCGATTTCTTGTTCATATCGTTCAGCCGAATGATATGGGTCCTAGTTGGTATGAGCAACGAATGCAACCCAAGTGCGATTCTACTTGCCGGTCTCTGCTGCTTCAGTCGCTTGAACTGCGTCAGCAAGCCTTTGTCGACTCGGCCATAAGTCTCCTGTTGAGTTTGTGAGCAATTGCGAGAGCACAAGCCTGAACGGACCTTTTGCCAAGCCATCAGGTCCATTGCACGGATTTGGTCCGCATATATCCAGGCAAGGTCATTCGCCTGAGCTTTAAACGCTCGGCCTAGTCGATGGAGTCTCTTTTGGCCCTGGCGCTCGAGATAATGGTGCCAGTTCTGCCACTGATGATATTCTTCTTCTTCTAGGAAAGGATGGATGCTGCCTTGATGGATAGCAGCCCAGGATTCACGACTCTGCGTCACTTCGGTAACTGACTGCACATAGACCACAAAGACATACCTTGGAATATTCCCCTATAGACGAATCAGAGGCAGCAGGGACCTCCGATGCACGCCGCTCCCGTTTGCTGAGCTCGAGTGCATATTCAAGCCCATACCACTCAGAAGCGTCAGCAGGGTGAGCTTCTACGACAGGATTCTCTGAGACGCTGGAGTCGAGATTGGGGGATTCGAGGTCTTCTACCAAAGGTTCGTAGTTCTGTGGGTCACAGATCAGGGTAAGACGGGATCATAGAATCGATATTCACCACTGCACGCTCCGGCTTTTTCCCTTCTTTGATTTCCATGGAGTGCCGATGCATATACGACGCTTCCTCGACGATCTCCTCCAGGTTATGGAACCCACAGTCGGCAAGGTCCTCTTCAAAGTCGCCGTAGTAGGCGTCGAGAAGCTCGACTTCGCGCGGTACGATGGAAATGTCCGAAGTCATGGATTCAGGTGTAAGCGGAGGGGTTTCGTCTAGTTCAGACGAGTCGTAAGAAGTGGACGGGGTTAACGAAGGCTCGAGGGAATCAACGCGAGAACCGGTGTCCAGGCGAAGGTTGAGATGATTAAACTCATCCGAGAGACTAGCGATGTCGTCAGGGATGGTGATTTCCAAAACCTGCCCGTGGTCTAGCATATCCGCCGTCTGGGCCATCTCCTCAGTATGTACCTGAGTCTGCTTCACGTTGATGTAGACAGGTTGCGTCGAACGCGCAGCCCGCGATGCGAGGCCAGACAATAGAGTCTTGACGCCTGGAAAACGTCGGTGGGGAGTGGATGGACGCGTTGGTGTCGGAGTCGTTCCGCCATCAAGCAAGACACTCGCGCGATTGCCGCCTTTGACAAAGCCGGAGATGGAACGAGAAGAGGCGTGCATGTCGGCCCCCTCACCTTCGTAGAACTGCAGCGAAGAAAACGCTGGGAGGGCCGTGACGATCGTGGGGGTGGGCTGAGGGGTCACAGTATTGGAGTTGAATAGGCTTCCGAGAGTTCCTGAACCGCTACTGAGATTGCGAAGCTGGGAGAGAAGGCCCGGGGTTTTGCTACTGGGACGAGCACTCTCTTGTGAGACCTGGTGGGAGGCAAGGCCTGGGTGGTGTACGTCGTGGTTCATATTGGAGTATGCAGGGTGCTAGACGCCCACGTGACATTGGAGTTTCCACCGTGCCCCTATGATGAGCGCGACGGGAACATGCCCAATGATACATCTGAAATTTTACATTAGCCAGCACAGTTCGAGCGTAATCGAATTTTGCGCGTCGGGGGACCTTCATGGACGCATAATACTCGAAGGAGGTGCGTTGAGACCTTTCTGAATCACGAGTGGTTCCGATCCCCCGTCTGCATTACAGACCGAGGACAGCCTGATATTCAAAGATTCACAATTTGAATTGCTTTCTAGCGGGAATTACTTGCTCCTGGGATAGTCCTCTAGACTTCTGTCTCGAAACCAAGCATCCACTAGCAGTTCGAACCTCGCTTCGGACCGCATCCGGACCGATCACGTCTTTGGTACAGTAAACACGAATGCGATATTTCCGTCCGGAAGGATAGGATGCCTAGATTGCTCTGGTTCAAGCACACAATGACGGACGCCCTCCTGTACTACATCTAAAGAGTCGCAAAAGGCCCAACATCTCGAAGAGTCGACCACGAGACTACTTATAAGTACTGGGCGCTGGACTTGGTTCTCCGACAATCCGATTCGTCTTAAGGCAAGCATATTTCCGTAAATGCTCCGCTCCTCGCCACCATCCGCTAGTCCTTCTCATAGAAGCACATGAACAATGAAATGCTTAGTGGCAGAATCCAAATGGGGTAATCACATTGTCATTACTTCGATCAACCGAACGACTGTATCCGGTTCTTGTTCTCCCCTCATGTCTCGCGCTAGTAATCCATGGACTCCCAAGGGGCAACAAGAGGTGCAGATTGGCTCCTCTCTCAACAGAGCACTCAAGGTGCGAATGGGTGAGACGCCGCCAGCGAAACGCTCCGGGCCGCCGCAGCAGGACTTCTATTCCGTTCGATGTGCGTTTTCGCCCCTGCCTGCCCGTCTTACGCGTTATTAAGCTTCCCTGCCTCAGATAACTTCAAGCCTGTGTCGTTGGACACAAGCCAACCCGGCACTGTCACTATTGTCGATGACGGACGAGGGGGAGATGCCATGGTCCATTGGGAGCAGCCGAGCCGAAATGTGCGTGCTCCTGCATGCAGGATATCCGAGGTAACTGATCCACTGCAGGCAGCAGAGTCGATCAAGTTTGAGGGACGACAGACGGCCTCTAAGGATTTCGAGTGTCTGCTCATATACGACGAAGAGACTGGGGTGTGTTCAACACGCGTCGCAGCTAGACAACGTGCTAACTCCTACAGTCATATAAGCTCGAGAAGCTCGAATCTACTATGTTTCTGACGAGGACAAGTGGGGGAGGTGAGCACAATTCACTCTGCTTTGAGGGTGCGCATTGAGTCTCGTGCAGCGAATCCGAGTGGTCCTTCCACGAAGCCACCTGTGGAGCGCAGCCTTGGCGATATCGATGCCGAAGGAGAATCGGACGAGGAGCTCCCCCAGTATCTCCCACCTCCACCACAGAGGGAAGAGGAAGAAGAGGACGACGATGTAATGGAGGCTGTGCCTGTTCTCCCGCCTCCACCACCAGCAGTCAAGCCCTCGAAGCCGACTCCAGCGCCTAAGCCCGAGCAGCCACAACGAGCAGTCAACACTGCGACCGCCCGACCCATGAAACCACTTCCTACCACGAAGAAGGTCACGAAGAAAGCTCCTCCTCCTCCTCCGACTGCTTTGCCTATCAACGACTACGAGGAAGAACTGCACTTTGGAAGGCCAGCCAAACCCGCGCGGCCATCACCTCCGCCGCCGCCCACGCCAGTCGCTCTATCGCTGCCCGGTTCTTCTTCGGGCTGGATCGCACCACCTGCGGCGAAACCAGACCCGCCGCGACCTGCGTCTCCAGCCGTTGTCATTGACTCTGATGAGGAGGAAGAATGGGACGAAGTTGAAACCGCGCCGATTGCGGATGCTGCCGGGGACGATCTCATGGACGAACTCGAGATGGAGCTTGCGGCGGAAATGGAAGAGGAAATGGAAGAAGAGCCGGAGGATTTCCTGGCGGGTGAAATCTCCCAAGCTCCAGACTCTGAGCCACCGACGAGACCGATATCTATGAAGGAGTTGGCGGCTGGATACCACGATGACACGGACGACTACTCCTCCAGCGACAGCGACGAGGACTGATGAGTGTTTGACAGACTAATGATACCTTGTGGATCTACAATACGACCGGAACTCTTGCCACACTTACATCCACACACCAATACTACTACTACTTATGTACAGATGACGTCCAGTATGACTCCCTCAGGCCTGTACGACAGATTGAACCCGTTTTTATATTCTCCCAGAAAAAGCACACTACAACCTACTTACATACAGCAGGGAGAAAGAGGCGGTGAAAAGGTGGTGGTAAGCTAGGGAAATGCGATATCTGAATGCATCTATCACTCAAATTATAATGTTCATGTGGCTGGTATCGTGCAAGAAGAGTCCGTGGTGTCTGAAATGTCCCTGGAAGTCGACAGAAAAAGCGACCCCTAGTAAGTCGCCCCCCGTCATCGAGCGCCACCGCTTTAAGCCGAGGCAGAAGGGGCCGCAGCCGAGGAAGCCACAGCCGACGCCGCGCCCGAGGCCGCAGCGGGCTTCGGCACCATCGTGATACCATTGACAGTGAGTTTGCCATCAGCGGACGGCCCGTCGGGAGACGGTCCGACGGAGGCACCCTGGACGGGGGCAGAGCTGCCGTTGCTCGACGAGGCAGAGCTACCGGTCGAGGCGGCGGCGGCGGCTCCGGTGGCAGTCGAGGCTCCGGCTCCAGCGATGATCGACGAGGCCTGGTCGGGGCTGATGGTCGTCGTCGAGGACGAGGTCGCACCGGACGACGTGCCGGACGAGCGGACGAGCTGGCCAAGCATCTCGGGCTGGCTGTCGACGAAGAGCAGGGTGGGCCCGGCAATCTGGGTCTTGGTGTTGCGGTCGACGACGTTGTTGGCGAGGGGGTCGTTGTCAGACGTGATCCAGATGTACACGGGTCCGTTGACACCGGAGGGCACGACACACTGGTCGATGGGCAGGTTGATCGAGAAGGTTGCTCCGCCGACCATCATGTTGCAGAATTGTCCCTACGACGCGTGTTTAGAAACAAGGACAGGAGCACAGCGCTTTCGAAACCCACAGAGCTGGTGACGTTGGTTCCGGAGAACTGGAGGGAGGTACCGGGCTGGATGGAGCCAGTGTTGGTGATCTTGAGGGGGTTGCCAGCTGCAAAGAAGATGAGCAAAAGGACGGAAGAAAGCGAGCCGCGCAAAACGCACCAGTGATTCCAGTGTCACAGGGCCCAGTGATAAAGGGACCAGCGATGGCCAGGACCTCCGTCGGGGTCAACGAGACATCGAAGGCAGACGGGATAGAGGACCCGGTTCCAGAGAGGATGTTCAAGCTGCTCTGGTGACGGGCCTCGTTGGTCAAGATCGAGGCAGCAGCATCGAGGATTCGCGGGTCGTCAAGAAGGGTCGCGCCGCCCAGGTACGCAGAGACACCGACGTTCTCAACAACTCGTGCGGTGGCCAACATCGTCGGGACGTCCGTGAGCGCGGACGAGAAGTCGAAGTTGCAGGTGAGGGGTGTCGCGCCGTTGTCGGTCAGCGCCTGCTGGAGGAAGGATGTGTGTGTAGCCTCGTCGGCGCCAATCGTGCTGATGGTCTGCACTGCGACCATGCTCGACGAGAATCCGGCGTTGGAGAAATCGGACGCCTGGAACTTCGCGAGACCCTGCATGTAGAAGTTGGTTTCGAGCTGCTCGAGTACGTTGGCGAATTCTGCATTGGAATCTTAGAGGACAAGGATTGATAACGATAAACCTGACGACGCACGGAGGACCAGGGCGTCAGTGGCGGACGCGCCGCGGCGGACGGGACGAGCAGATGCCAGGAGCGGGCCGGCCAGGGCGGCGGCGGCGAGGATAGAGGAAGAGTAACGCATTTTCAGGAACAGTAACTACCACGAAGAGCCTGCTATAAAAGAATGTGTGGAGGATCGCAAGCGATGACCAAAGTGCAACCGGGCAGCTAAGAATGCCTATCAAAGACGATGAGGGGAGAGGAAGAAGAGAGCAGACGGCGGGGCTCACGAGGGGCTCGGGCAAAAAAAGGGAAAGGGAGAACGAAAACGGGGGGGTAGCGCTCTGATTCGTTACCGCCCTTTTGTCAGTGTAGTGCGACCCAGCAATACGGAATTGATCGTTGATGAACCGGATACTCCGGTATGTGATGAACTCATTGTAACTATGGAGATCTGACCGGCAGCCTCAAACGAATGCTCGATTCCGTGATCCAAACGAGGGAAAATGTGTACACAACCATGGTACGGTACATGCGCTGCAGGAGAAAGAAAGATCTGCCCACGTTCGGCTACTGACACCTCGGATGCTCTACTTCTTTGCGATGGCCGATATGAATGGTCGGGCTCAAAGATAGCGCATATGATGGGCAAACAGACGGAGAGTCGAAGGGTTGGTTCAATCAATCCATCTGCATGCTCGTGTCTTTTGCGTGGACTGATGGATGGAGAGTTCGTCAGACTGAAATGAACAGGGACCGAGAGTCTAGGCCCTCCAATGACAACCAATCCCAGGCATCGAGTTTGTCGCTTGCCCATCCTCTGCGTCTGCGCTCCCAATGGGCCAAGCCCCCATACTACAGATGACAGGCAAAGAATCCATTGCACCACTGTGTCGGGCGGAGAACGGTGCAGGAGACCAGAGGAGCTCAAACGGCAGGACGTGCGCTGGGCATCAAATCGGTTTCTCTTGCGGATACCCTGAGAGGCCGTAGTCAACAGTTGGCAGGGGGCTGGCCAGTGTCATTAACAACGGCTGAGCGATGAACAATGATGCAGCCAATCAGGACGCTCGATCACTGGCAATTTGAGATGTTTGGTCGATAGAGCCATCGCTTTGGGCTGGGAGTGCATCGCTGTGCCGAGAGTCGGGATGTCAGCATTGCGTTCTTTGTCGGTTTCTTCCTTGGTGGGTCATCAGCAGCATAGGATCGAGTCACAGCGACAATCTCCGCGGTTTCACGAGCAGTAGCAGCACCGCCTCAATCTAATCTTCACTGCCACAAGCCAGCCTCGTGCCTCCTAGTCCGACGTTTAAACGTTCAAGATTGACTTCAAGCAACAGCGTAGATAGTACATACAGCCCTTAAATATACGGATTAGAGTTCGTAACCGGGAGGGGCATCTCCAGGCACGGTGGTGCCACTGACGGACGTCGACGGGCCTTCACCGGGCGATGTGTACACAGCTAGGATCCCAACAGTGAGCATACATCCACCACACACGAAAGATGGAGGGAGAGGGGACAACGCACGCAACCCGTCCTCGTGTTCCGTCTCCTGGCGTTTCATATAAATGGCCCTCTCGCGGGTCTTCTCGAGCGTCGCGACAAACGAGAACATGGGCGTGTCCTTGAACCTCAGCTCCGCCGTCGTCCCGCTCGTCAGACCGCCCTCCGCCGCCGGCTTGATCTCGAACGTGAGGTAGTTCGAGCCGAAGGTGGGCTGCTCGAACTTGGTGGAGAGGATAGACGGCAGCGAGACCGACAGGGAGTCGAACGGGGATCCCGCGGCACTGATGAAGATGAACTAGCAGTGCGACCGTGCATCCAGTGAGATCGAGGGATGTGGGAAGCACACGGATCTCAGACGCACCCTCATATCCGTAACGAAGGCCCTCCCACTGGCCTTCAGCGTCTTGGAGCCGCCGGATCCCCCCGACGCTGCCCCCGGAGCCGGAGGGGCATCTGGGACGCGTAATACCAGGTCGGCGCCCTTGTCGATGGCGGAGATCGTCATTTCATGAGGGAGCGGAAGAGGGGCGTTGTCGGGCCCGAGCATTGCCCAATTCAATGCCATCGCGGTTGTAGTGGGAGGGGTGTATCCAAACGGTGCTACTGGTGTGCGACTTTCCTTTTGGGGCAAGAGGCTGGTGATTCGATGCGCAGTTCCCCGTAACTGCAGTTCTCGATGCGAGTCTCGGCACTATTACCAGTCCCGTAAAACAAGTATGCATTATTCGTGTGTTAGCATCTACGTAAGGCCCCGAGAAAAAATGCAATAGAGAGCGAATGTGTGCGTAATCATCCATATCTGCCACAGTGCATGGCCTGAACCTAAACCTAACTCACTCATCTGCGCAAGTTGATGTACCCGGCGAACTTTGGCGACGACAACAAAACTGGGAGACCAACCCAGAGTAGCCCAAAGATCGCCCAGTACCATCATCTTGGGACCGGCGTCGCCGGTAACTGGCTAGCGGCTAACGACTTCGCCGGCGGCGGCGACTCCGAGTCTGCCGCAGACGTCGACTCTGGCGGCGACTCTGTTGTTGTCGGGGGAGTCTGTGTGTCCGGTGTGGTCGTCGTTGCTGTTGTTGGCGGTGTTTGCGACGCAGACGGCGGGGGCTTGTCGGATGACGGCAGCGACACAACCTCCCTCCGCTTGCCGTTCGGTTTGGCAGGAACATGCAGCCGTTCAGCAACCTGCTGAGCCTTGGCTGCTATCATCACAGGCCCCGTCTCCGACCCGGCGGGTGGGGCAACGTCGGCCCACATCTGCAAAGCCTTGATCGAGCCCCACTCGGTCACCTTGTTGTTCAGCCAATGGTGGTTCACTGGTTTCGTCAAAAAGTCGTTGCACCCAGCCGCCAGCGCCTTGACTCGGTCCGAGTTCAGCGACGAGGCGGTCTGTGCGACGATGATCACGGAGGATCGATATGGGGATGCACCGCTAGTCGAGCTTCCATCGGCTGGTGGATATCCCTCGGCAGCGTTCAGTTTTTCCAGCCGCCGGATCTCTTTCGTGGCCTCGATTCCGCCCATCACCGGCATTTGAATGTCCATCTACCGGTACTAACTCAGCAGCATATAAAACTGTTCAGACAGCCCGCGTACCAGAATGAGATCAAAGTTCCCGTTCTTCCACTTTTCGATGGCCTCCAATCCATTTTTGGCCACCTGACATTTGAGCTTCTTCTTGCGCATGAATCCTTGGAGCTGCATCTGATTCACCACGTTGTCTGGAGAACCGAAATGAGCATTGGCCATGAACAAGCAGGAACACACAAACCTTCGACGATGAGCACGTTGATCGGCGGGACAATGTCCATCAGTGGCGCACTGGCCTTCTCGAGAGTCTTGGGATCCGGAGTCACGGTCCGCCGCCGCACTGGTCTTCTGAACGATGTCGGACTCGTGGAGCTTGAAGGCGAGGTGGGAGAAAGTTCTGCGTCTGGCTTGACCACTACTGGAGCCGCCGCCGCCGTTGCCACTGGTGGCAAAACAGGGGGCTCAATGGAATGAGCCACTTCATGCAACGACGAAAACGTTGGATTGTCGCTCACGACCCTGGACAGCGACGAGCGCCGACTCGCACTGGGCAGTGTCAACTGCCCGCGATCTCGCTCCATCAGCGCTGGCACAACCGGCGGCTGCGGTCGCTTACTCACACTTTTGGTACGCGGACTGAAGTAGATGCCAGATGGTGCAGCCGCGCCGGGACTCTGGATGAGCAGACCAGAACTGGCCGTGGCGCCGAGCTGGACGGCGGCAGCATCCTCGCCAAAGTACTCGCTCCCGGTATGGGAGATCGCCAGTGGTGATGGAGGGGGCGGTGCACTAGTGAGGCCTTCCTTTGTGCCAGACCGGGTGGAGCGGTCCGAATTGCTTCGAGCACTAGGCGGTCGTAGTCCAGAAGCCGGAGACCGCGCCGAAGCGTAGCTCATGAACGACGGCGACGGCGAGGAGGGGGAGGTCGCAATCGGCAAGAAGAACGGATCCACGGGCGGTCGGGTCACAGCCATGTGCAGCTGGGTCAGCACCCGCTGCGGCCCAGCTGGCTTGGGCACGATCATCACTTCGGGGATGGGCGTCGAGGTACCCAAGAACGTAGACAAAACGGACTGCAGCACATCCTTGACCACTTTGAAGTTGGCCAGGCTCGTAAAGTGCACGATCACAACCGAGGACGCAGGCAGAGGGTTGGACAGCCGCGGGACTTGGCTCGTGGACCGGCGAGTATGCTGTGCAAGAGGCGGTCGTTTTAATGTCAGCGGGTACGGCGTGTCGCGTCGTAAAGACTCCAGACGATCTTTGAGAACAACGACATCGTCATCGATGAAAACAAATGACAAGCGCTGGGATCGTGTGGGAACTTCAACTTTCGCAGGGGCTGGGCCTGGTGCATCAGATGTGAAGGCGGGTACAGCAGCGGCCGCCCTCGGGGAACCACCCACGACCTCCGTTTCCGCCTCTCCATCTGTCGGTATGTGGCTCACATCCATACCCCAGTCAGCCAGATATCTCGTGACGTGCTGCGCAAATGACCCCTTGGAAGAGGAGTGCAAGGCAACCTTCGCGCCTTTCAACGTCTCCGCGAAAGCGGTCAACTCTTCCAAAGTCGGCTCCTCTTTGCCAGCACTGTTCTCTGAGCGTGATGGGCTAGAACCCCCTCGGGAGGCTCGCTCCATTGTGAGCGAAAGCTCGCAAGTACGGACATTCGTCGAGGACGGCAGGTCATGGGAGAGCTGTCCACCGATCAGACGCAGCAGCCGACGGAGGATCAGACTAGAGAAGTGCGGGTCCTTTCGAATCCCATCGTAAGACGCACGGTGTTTGTGAGCGATCTGGATTGTGCAATGGATGGGTCCTTCTTCTGACACGGGTGAAGATGTGATGGCATCCGGGACCGGCTCCAGGTCGTCGGAAATCAAAATCTCCTGACCAGGTGCTGGGGCAAACCCGATAAACAGCCCAACTTCGATGGCGTCTCCTGGATGCGACACAGATATGATTTGGCGCAAAATCTTGTGGAAAGTCAGATGATGTGGGACATGCGGGGAAGAAAGCTCACATGAGACAACGTAACCGTGAGCCCGCTTTCTGAGCCTCTCACCCAGGCATACTTCAGGCTAAGGTCGCCATGATAAAGCACAAGGTCGATCCCAGCTTGAGCAGCGGCCCCACTCATCACATCACCAACACTTTGCAACAGCTCTCCGAGATCGAATTCTGTCGGCAAGATAAGCGGTGGAGCGCCCCAGGCCGGCGCTTCCGGCGGCTCTTCGCAAAATGCCGGGATATTGGCAGAGAAGTAATTGAGATTGCGCATGGCCGTGAAAAGGGCATTAACGGATGGCGTCGGTACCGACAGAGCGCAAGCCGAAAATTGCTCTTTCGTGGAGTCGAGCACTTGTGGGGGCGAGATCTGCAGCAGCGTCTGGATGGCCATCTGCACCATATCCGCAAGCTCCAGCGACAGCTCAAAGAACTGATACGATGTTGGCGTTCCTGGATCAGATACTCCCGACGTGCGAAGCTGACTCAAGCTGGGGCGGTGGGGATTTTGGAGTCGACCGAGCTGGGGGAGCGAAAATGCGCGGGAGAAGCGCGGATGGGCGCGAGGCGAATTGGTCGTCGGTGTATCATTACGTTCCTCATCTGCGTCCGAGTCGTCCGGAACCTCAGAAGGCGTAGGAGGCCCCGATGGCTGCTGCTGCTGCTGTTGCTGCTGCGCAACATCGCCTGCGCGGCGCACGAATGTAAATGTCGGCTGCGGATTCGCGACGTCGTCCCTAGCCCACTCGGCAGCTTCGCTCAACTCGCCTTTCCAGCCCCCGTTGTCGTCCACCAGGTCCAATGGCCCTGGACGAGCCTGTTCTACTTCCCCCGACATGCTAGGGAGTGAGTCCACGCCTCAGTGCGCGCAGTGAACAGGACCGATTCCGATAGGGAGTCGTCCAAGGACAGCACGCCTGTGAGCCCTTCCACACCTGTCTCGATTATAAGTACTCCTCCCGTCTGCTCAAAGAAAGTGGTGCGCGCTCGTGGCCGAGAATTGGAGTGTGCTGACGTGCGTGTGTGGAGAGAGCCGACGGCCGTATCAGGGCACCCGTCGAGTTTCTGCAGGCGATAGAACGCCGAGAATCACAATCCACCGAGAAATGGGGTCCGACAGCGATTGGAAGAGTGGAGGGAACGAGGCCGGCTAACACGAACAGCTGCCAAAATCTCGGCTTTGGCGTTGTTGTCATCAAGCCGCCGGCGCTGTCTCTCTCACCAGCACCACCCAAAATGAAATTTGTGGAGACCTCGCTGGATATGCCGCTTTCCACGTGGGGCGTGCGTAGTACTGATTTTACAGACAGTCTCAAGATATGTGGTGAGCTTGGGGGGGATAGTCAACTGCCCTATCTTTATGTGTGTGTACAAGCGTTTTGAGATAGGCTACTAGTAAGATAGTTCAACGTCGCCCTGGATACATATATCAGCATGGGTTGAAGCCACTGGCAGATTATGGATTTACCTCTGCGACCAAATCCATGTCATGGTAGCTGACGCGGCGCCCAGCAGCAGCTCGAGGATCCTCTTTTGCATCCGGCGGTGGCGGAGGCGGAGGTCCTGCGGTACCACTCGACGGACCACGAGTGTTCCTCCGCGCCTGTGTATTGCCATTTCCGCTCGATAAGGCTTGGTCAAGGCCGGCAGGTTTAGCGGGTAGTTCCGCGAAGCCCCCCAGTCGATCAGTCAGTCGGCGGTTATTGGGTCCCTCGTCCCGCCGGTGGTTATGATGATGACCGTTGTTGGCATGAGGATGCATTTTGCCATATTGCTGCTGGTCCCGGTAGTCCCTGAACTCGGGTCCAGTGCCTTGCAGCCCGTAGGCCTGAGGAGGCACCAGTTGATTAGGACCCATGGCACTGACCGGTGGCGGATGACTGAAAGGCTGTATACGATGTGGATCGAGGACGAAATTGTTGAAGAACGGAATCTAGAAGTCAAGGGTAAGCACTAGCTAGCGGAGTGCACACACATGGGTCCCTCACATCATCCAGAGTTTTGATCAATTCAGGGTGCTTATTCGCAACGTGCTTCTCGACGAAGGACGTGGCTTTGAAGAGCTTCTGGCATGTTTTGCACCGGTACTTGCCTTCGTCCTCTTGGGAGACATACTCTTTAACAGCTTTGCTGAGCTCGCTGGAACGAAGATGAGCGTGGCCAAAACAAGCGACTGACTACGCACTCATCGAAGTTTTTGCCACCGTAGTTTCGGGGATCGACGGCTTCTGGGTTAATCAGTACCGCCACTTTGGAATCCAGCCACTCGATCCATCGTTCGTCTGGCAAATGAGTTGAGATCGCAGTCACACTGAAGCTGAAGCGGCTCACCCGTCCGCTTCCAATCCTTATCCTTGGGTGCGCTCTTGACACCATCCTTATCATCTTCGTCCATGGTCTCGTCGGTCTTATCCTTGGACCTGACTCCTCCTTCAGTTTTGATATCGTCCATCATCAACTTGGACAGGGGCTTTCGTTCGTGCTTGATACATTTACGCTGCAGCTCTTCCAAATGGTCGGTCACAACAGCACAGTAATAGCACGTGTTGAACGCAGCACGCAGCAGCGCGAGATAGAGATCCAGCGATACGACCGTCTGAGGACGATGAGATCGGCATCCGAAGTAAAATGACCCCGCGAACCTTTTTGCTTTCATATGCTGCCTGATCGCTCGGGTCGACAAGCCCTTGTTGCGCGAGCTCAGACATGACTTTCTCAATGCGAGCCTCGACAGCGTCACAACCCCGTTCTCGGGGTTCTTCCTCATCCTCAGCTTCCATGGGTGCATCTTCATCGTCCTTAACAGGACGTTTCCACGCCCGAAGCTCAGATGCTTCTCGCTCCAGTTTTTGAGCAAGCGTTCGGGCATTGGTAAGATCCTTCTCCAGCCGCTCAGGTCGACTAGCAACTTCCGGAGCATACCGGACACGGTTGGTAAAAGGTTTGAGGATGTGAGAAACGTGTAACTTGAAGCCCTCGATCTGGACAAAAAGGTCGGTACCGATGCGAGCACGGTAGCAAGAATGTACCTTCTTCTCGGTCAGATCATTGATCGCCGAAGTGATATCAACATCGTCTTTGAACCGGATCCAGCCAGCGCGATAGTAATTGCGCTTTTGCAAAGGGTCTCCGAGAGCAAGATGAACGAATCCTGGGACCTTGCAACAAGCCTGACGGATGCTGTGAGGATGGCAGATCCGAATAGATACGAACGGTCACCTACATCTTCCAATTTTACACGACCAATATCAGGAGGAATGGTTCGTATCATAACTTGAACTCCCTCAGGCATCACAGAGACTTCATCGCCACGATCCGCTCTGCGGTCATTGTAGGAGCTCTTGCCATTAACATCACCTCTTGTAGCGTCAGCATCGGTGGGTTCTTCTTCAACGGTCATGTTGAACTGGATGTCATCCTCCTCCCCCACATTCCGAGGTTCTTCAGTCGAATCGCCGATGCCTGAATCACCATTGGTAGCGTCCGGTGCGCTCTCCCCGCCGTTCACCTTGGCAGGTAACTCCGGCTCAGGCTCAGTGAATTCAGGATCAAATTTGCCAGCATCCAAGTCCAGCAAGAAGTTGCTCGTCCTGTCCTTCCATCCTTCTTTCCTGACCCTCTTCCGGAGCGTTTGGAACTCCTCCGTTGGATCATATTTCTCATTGAACCAAGGAGATTTTCGGTGATGGTCAAACAGGATCTGAAGCTACAGGATACACAACGATTCAGAACCATGATTCGACTAACAGGAGATCCGAACATATGCACAAAGTGAAAGCAACGGACCTGGTTTGCAGCAAAGCTCTTCTTGTAGTTCTCCCATCGCGTTTTGATTCCGTTTCGAGGTTTCGAGCCGTCACCAGCCTCTTGTTCAGCAGCCTTGTCGGCATTGTCTTCCTCCGCAGCCATTTGAGGGTGGTTATAGCGGAACCAGTCGGCAAATTGTTTGAGAGAGGCAGGATAGTCAAATGTATGAGGGTCAGGAGGAACTCGACGATGGGGAGCACGACGAGGCGGAGAGTAGCCAGACGGGCGATGTCCATCTGTACGAGTGAGATATGAGTGAACACGAAGGAGCAGATGTTGCATTGAGCCAAACCGTAGTCATCATATCGTGGCCGAGGATCATAGCGGTCACGGTCGTACGGGGATCCAGAGCGTGGGCGCTTGCGGCTCACTGCAAAGAGAGTGTATCAGTTACCACGACTTTGAGACCTGTCCTTCTACAGATACGCACTCTCTGGACCTGGACTCCGACTACGCCCTCTGCGGTATTCATATTGAGCGCGGTCTCGTTCCCACGAGCCATATCCGTTCCGGTCACGACCATACGGGTCCCAGTCGCGAAGCGAGTCTCTATAGGTGTCCTCGTATGAGGGATACGGGGCACGTCCAGGAGACCTCGAACGAGAGCGCCTTGGCGGCGGTGGGTAACCAGAATTCCAAGCCATTCTAGTGACAGAGAAAGAGAAGAGAGAGACGAATGGCGCATGAGCCTGAGAAGTTGAGAGGTCGCATAGCAAGTACGGACCTCGTGAGGATCGCAACCACTAGATCTTGTCGTCGTGGTCAGCGATGAGTTCCTTCCACCCAATTTGCGTTCGTTTATGCGTGACAACGTGACAGACACGTCGTCACGTCACTTTCTCCTACTCGCGAACAAAATTGTAATGGACGAAATCGTCGCCAGCAGTTCTAAGCTCGAAGGGAACCGCGTGTTGGATGAAGTAGACGTGTTGGAAGCAGATCGGGAAGAAAGCATCTCTGAAGAGGATGAGCTCCCGGAGGGAATGGATCCGGAAGGCTTCTCTGGTCCGAAAACAATCAAGCCTCTCTCTCGTGAAGCCCTAGCAGCCTTCCAAGCTGCCCAAGATCGTGCTGGTGTCATCTACATCTCCCGTATCCTCCGGGCATGCGTCCTACCAAAGTTCGACACTTGATGAGTGCCCATGGCGAGGTCGGCAGAGTATATCTCCAACAAGAAGGTCAGCTCGGAACATATCCTGGATGGATAGTCTTTGACGACCAAAACAGACGCCAAACGTGCTTACCTGCGGCGGAAATTCACGTCCACAAAAAAAGCTCACTTCACCGAGGGTTGGGTCGAGTTTAAAGACAAAAAGGTGGCTCGGATCGTAGCGGGGATGTTGAACGCACAGCCTATTGGAGGAAAGAAGGGCACCCGGTGGAGGGACGATGTCTGGACCATGAAATATCTTCCCAAGTTCAAGTGGACAATGCTCACTGAGCAGATCGGTGCGCTAACTACACCAAGCCCTGCATTCTTTCTGAAGGATCTCCAGCACACGAAGCTGCGGTCCACACGGCGAAACTACGCGTCGAACTATCTCAGTCTCGTCTGGAGCAGCGTGACTACCTCAAGAATGTGGAGCTCGCGCGCGTTCTCGACAAACGGGTCGAGCGAAAGAAGGAGAAGGGAGAAGTAATGGAACTCAAAGAGCGACCCAAACGAAAACGATCCGAGGAAGACGACGATGCGTTCCAGCGAAGGCCTAAGCAGCCTACTCTCGCACACTCGAAAGAGGAACATCTGAACACGGTCCTTGGCAGCATATTCTGACCCTGGTGGCTCCGAAGTCTGCCCTGGAACACACCTATCACAAAAATTCAATACATAGATCTTATAACGGGTTGTCGCAATCGATGAGTTCCTTCGCCGTTCCTCCATCTATTATCATGCACAGCGCAGACCTCTCAATGAGGATTTCACGTGTCGGTAAAGCGGATATGTGTCCAGTCGCTGATGAAGCAGTGATCGAGCGTTCAATTATGCGGGTAATCGGCCTTACCAAGTCACGTGCCGGTAACACGGATCCCCTGATGTCGTGCAGCGACGACGCGTCAGACGGGCTGCAGGCTACACGGAACTGCGGTGCGCATACAGCAAGATATAAACCAGAGGATGTATCTCCTCAACCATCCCCTCGGTGTCTGCCACTCTCACAAGGACCATGTCTTCACACTCTCATGACATGGACGCGCAAACACTTGCCTCTGGCGATGGCGCCACCAACTCGCCACAAGGCAAAGGACGCGCGTTCTACCTCAGTTTCTTTGCTATGATGGTCACGACCTTCTTGAGCGCATTAGATGTGACTGCTGTTGGGACTACTCTGCCCACAATCTCGAATGCCTTGAATGACACCAAGGGCGAATTCACTTGGGTCCGCATTCGGCTTGACACGGACGCTTACGCCCTTATTCTGATTCAACCATCCAGGTGGGATCTGCTTACACGTTGAGCAGCACAGCTTTCATTCCCCTAAGCGGGAGCCTTTCAGAGGCTTTTGGAAGGTGCGTTGGTGAAGCAACGTCGTCTTGTCTCGTGTTCATGCCCTTACAGACGACCGGTGATCTTGACATGTATTGCTTTTTTTGCTCTTGGGAGCGCATTGGCTGGTGCAGCTCAAGACATGGTCCGTACACCAATTGCACACACGTATTTGTTCAATCTAACGCATCATCAGAATATGATGATTGCTGCACGAAGTCAGCCGTTTTGCTACTCAGTTACAAGCTTTTCTGATCTGGTTCTGCAGCCATTCAAGGCATTGGAGGCGGAGGGATCATCAATCTGACCGAAATCGTCGTTGCAGATCTCGTGCCGCTCGCTGAGCGGGGATTGTATCAAGGTCTTATTGGTCTCGTCTGGTCTTTCGCCTCTGTATGTCTCGATCACTCGCCGTTACTCATCTTGTGACGTTTCTTTGCAGAGCATCGGCCCTCCCATCGTATGTCGACTTGTGTTCATTTTCTCTTTACTTGAGCTTTCCAGGGCGGGGCACTGGCGAATCGCGGCCACAAAGCGTGGCGCTGGCTGTTTTGTACGTTCAAATGTTATCCCATTCAAACGATTGGCACTTATCTTCCGTTTCAGTCCTCAACTTGCCGCTCACAGGCATCGCATTTGTGCTCACGCTGTTCTTCTTGCGAGTCAAACGACCTGAAGGCTCGACTTCTGAAAAACTTCGGCAGGTAGACTGGCTGTGAGTCTTCATTTGTCTGCTCTCGATGTCACGCTTAATTTGTCCCAGCGGGAATGCCATCGTCATCGTCGGTTCTGGGCTCGTTATCATCGGATTGACATGGGGTGGGATCCGCTATTCTTGGGCATCAGCCCCTGTTCTGGTTCCTTTGATCTTGGGATTGGTGCTTTTGGTCGCATTTTGCTTCTACGAGGCAACTGTTCCGGCTCACCCGACCATCCCTCTGGATGTCATCGCCAACCGCACCTCTCTCAGCGGGTGAGTTTTGTTCCAGTGCTCACATTTTATTTCGCGCTCATCCCCGTAGTCTCTTGGCCACAGCATGTCACGGCGTCGTCAGCATAGGTCTGAGATGTTCGGCTAGTCCGGTCATCCTCGTTCTGACCAAGCCTCAGCACTCATCTATTATCTCCCGGTGTACTTCCAGGCTTGTTTCGGTGCTTCGCCGATCCGCTCTGCTGTCGACATTCTTCCCGCTGCTTTGCTGATCGCTCCGTTTGGATTGGTCGGGGGCATCTCAGTCAGCATCGTCAAGCGCTATCGAGAAGCGAATTGGATTGGTTGGGCTTTTACTGTTGTCGGGATGGGTGTCTTGAGCACCCTGAAAGCGACATCATCCGTCGGATCCTGGGTCGGATTTCAAGTTGTGGTTGCTGTTGGATTGGGACTATTAGTAAGTGATTCTGAGTGCCTTGGAGAGGATAGAATTTCATGTACATAACGCAGTTCGCCGCCCCGGTGTTCGCCATTCTCGCACCTCTCCCTCCAAGTCGTGCAGGTCCAGCCTTGGCCCTGTTTTCCTTCGTTCGATCCTTCTTCCAGACTTGGGGAATTGCCATCGCCGGGACGATCCTCCAGAACAGACTCAATCGCGACCTCCCAGCGCCATTCGTGTCGCAATTCCCCCCGCATGAGGAGATTGCGTACATCGCCATCCCGGTCATAAAGACTCTCGACGAGCCGCTCAGAGCACAGGTTCGCGGCATATTCGCAGATAGTTTGGCAGAGATTTGGCAGGTTATGATTGGGATCGCTGGGCTTGGGTTGTTGGTCAGCTTGCTGATGCGCGAGATCCCTATGGCGGTCGTCGTCGACACCAAGCATGCGCTTGACGATGGTACCAAGGATGTGGAAATGCAATAGACATATTTAGTAATACCTTTAATCACGCTTACGATTCCGATAATATCTTCGGGACTTGTAGTGATAATCTAGATTTTGCTTGAAATTAATCTACCAACTGCACTCCCCCACGTGACACCATTCTTCAGGCGACAACCACTGCCAGTGGAGCCAACTGTATGCAGAGGATCTCGACGGATATCTATCTTGGAGTCCCAATCTTGTTCAAATCCTTGCATCATCCGCGGTACAGCGCATGTTGAAGATTATGGACCCCGGGCCGGGCAACCGTGACCAGCCAAGGTCATTCCCGAATCTCAAACACTTGGTCTCAATCATCACCAACCCATGTCTACTCAATACTATCTCGGAGTCGACGTAGGCACTGGCTCCGCCCGTGCCGCTCTTGTCTCTGCCAGTGGCCATCTCGCTGCCTCCGCTACGGTCGATACCGAGACGTACCGCGATCCTACGGACCACCGCATCTTCGAGCAATCGACCGCCAACATCTGGGCCGCGATCTGCCGCGCTGTGAGCGAGTGTTTGGCGAAGTCGGGTGTACGACAGGAGGATGTGCGGGGGATCGGGTTCGACGCGACATGCTCGCTCGCTGTGACGGACGAGGCGGGGCGTGGGGTGTGTGTCACGCGGGGTGCGGGGCTTGGAGAATACGGGGAACGGGATATCATTCTCTGGGCCGATCACCGGGCGGAGAAGCAGGCTGGACTGATCAACGAGACCGGGTCCGTCGTGCTGGACTACGTCGGCGGGACCATGAGCGTGTGTGCCGAGTTCCTAGGTTGAGTTGGGCCGCGGGAATCTGATGTTCTCAACAGCTGGAGATGGAAATCCCAAAGGTCCTCTGGCTCAAGCAACACATGGACCCGACCCGCTTCTCGCGCTGTCACTTCTTCGATCTTCCCGACTTCCTCACGTATCGCGCGACGGGCGATCGAACGCGGTCAGCGTGCTCTCTTACGTGCAAGTGCTCGTTCGTGCCCAACGCCGGATGGAACGACGCGTTTTTTCGTCAGATCGGACTCGCAGAACTCGTCGATCGGGGGTACGCCCAACTCGGCGCAGCGGGTGGCCCGCAAAGCGTGCTGACAGCAGGGATGCCTGTGGGGAAGGGCCTGTCCAAGCAGGCTGCCCAGGATCTAGGATTGCTGGAGGGCACTCCCGTAGGGAGTGGTGTCATCGACGCGTGTGTACTCGGTCCTCGGTTAAACATTTCTGCTGACACGACTCAGATATGCAGGCTGGCTGGGAACTGTTGCGGCACGGGTGACGGAGAACGGCTCTCTGTCTCCTCCGCCAGAACTTGGAGACTCAAGGCACCGTCTGGCAGCTGTCGCGGGAACGAGCACTTGCCATCTTGTTCAGGTGTGTCACTCGTCGGCATCATCAGCGCTTCCTGAATTGTGTTGATATAGAGCCCGGACGGTGTCTTTGTCAATGGAGTCTGGGGGCCATATAAGGTAATCTCAGGTTGTGTCTGTTATAACGTTAACGCTTGTGATATAGGACGCGGCGTTCCCAGGCTGGTGGATGAACGAAGGCGGGCAATCGTCCACAGGACAGCTGATTGATTTCATTCTGACGACACACCCTGCTTATGCTGCAACAAAAGCCAAAGGAAACGTGTTTGCGTTGCTCGAGGAGGAGTTGGATCGCTTGTGCCAGGCGGAAGGAGCGGAGAGCATCACTGAACTAATTCGGGGTGCATGGATGTATCCCGATTTCCATGGTATGAGTGCTGTTTCGTAGTGCTGCACTGTTCCGGTCGCCGAATTCCACAGGGAACAGATCCCCCATCGCCGATCCTCAGATGCGGGGTGTTTTGGGTGGACTGACGCTGGATTCTGGGGTCTCTGATCTTGCACGCAAGTACGCACTGACACTGGAGGCCATCGCACTGCAAACGAAGCACATCATCGACGTCCTGAACGGCCGAGAGGGTGGAGTCAAGATCGTTGGTGGAGAGAGCCCCAAGCCCGGGCACGAGATCGATTCGATATATGTTTCCGGAGGCCAAGCTCGCAACTCGGCACTGATGACGTTGATTGCTGATGCCTGCGGGATGCCGGTAGTCGTGCCAGCATCGGAAGATGGCGGAGACGGAGCTGCAGTCGTGCGTGGCGCGGCTGTTCTGGGTCGTTATGCTGCCGAGTCTGCAGAGCAGAACAAGGAAGCAGAGACTCTTTGGCGCGTCATGGTGTGTGGTGGCGTGCCATATTGGAAAACCTGCTTGACTTTTTCAGGTCGAGATGACACCACCTGCGTCCATCATTGCCCCTCGCGCTGCTCCCCGAGTCAAGCGGCTCCTCGATGCTAAATACAGCATGTTCAGAGAAATGATCGATTTCCAGAAACGATGGCGCGGGGAAATGGAAAAGGTGATGCGAGACTAGGATGCTTGAATTGATGGCTTGCCCTGAAAAAAAAGTATTTATGTAAGTACGTATCCCTCATGTGGAATCCATCTCTCGAAACAGAATACATATTCCAAAATAGGATCAAGATCTCCCAGATGTCGGATGCATGACTGACCGCGGAAGAAGCCGACGAGCAGCACTCGATCTGTCGTTATTTGCAGCCGTCTCGAGGCCTGTAGGAGCTGCTCCATGTGAATCGGACCTGGGACAGCTTGTTGGTGCAGTCGACGGTGTCAACCGCGTCTTGATTAGTCCGAGATGAGGGCTCCAATTCGTAGTCAGAATTAGTGCACTGCGGCTGTAACAGACAAGCCGCTAGGCAATTTTCAGTCGTAAATATGCAATCTGGAAGGCCGCCGCGGCCGGTCACATTTACCCCGCAACTGATGTGTAAAAGCTTACCTGAATGAAACCAAGCTTTCGGAAGACGTACCTGATCATGAGGAACCATTCTGAATAGGATACTCTCACCATGGTTTCCGTCAGTTCCGAGTAGTTCGCTAGCTGCTACTTACGTTCCGCCGAGGAAAGGCGCAGCCTTAGGGGTCGAAAATTGGCTAGGGCTACGAGAATCAAGTTAGTGGACCGACGATCCCGAGACTCGGGTGGCGTCCTTGGCTTATTGCCGGGCTGCACTGCCCGGTATTCGCAGATATCCATGCGTTCTTCGTTCACTGGGCAAAATGGACCTGTTTCGGCATTTCGCGCGGCTACTACTACAAAACGCGTGACAGTTGTGTGACCCTAATCTAGACTGCGTGAGCGCCTGCACTCCTTGACACATAACCACGCCGGTTGGCCTTCTTCTCGTCCAGTACCTTCACCTTCTTGCCGGTGAAGATTGCTTTCACGATGGCTACCACCTCCTCTGTTCCCAGAACCGGATCCCTCTCCCATATCCTCAACGACTCTCCACCGACTCCCGTGCAAAGTCATGCGATATCGTCCCGGCTCCCTTCTCATTCTCCAATGACCAACGAGTCTGCTAATCGACCAGACCATCGAATTGGGACGGATCCTTGGCTGAGCTACGCGCGAGTCGGTCATACTTCGCCCAGCGGTCCATCTCCCAGACACATCTCCGTCCACACGTCGCCCCAGAGCATCGGTAGCCATGCCCAATACCCAGCTGCGATACCGTCAATCACTAGGTGGCGCGCATCGGATTATAATCCGGACATGCACGCGCGAGAAGCTGCATTGGAGACCACTTCAGCTCACATTCAGAGTGAGCATCCTTACATCGCTCGCGCCGCGCGTCGTCCTGATCGCTGGACAGAACTGGCGCAAATGTCAAACACTCCCAGGCCGCCTCATGTTTCGCCTTACATTCATCCTTTGCAAACATTCTCAATGCCGGCCTCACCAGCTGTACCCCGCACACCTGACTTGGCAGGTACGTGATCCATTCTCTTTAGTCGAGGACTCTCTGATGTGATGGTTAGATTATCAGATGTCTGAGAGGGCATCAACTCGGCTCATTGGTCGGCCACAAGTATCATACGAAGAGACAGGAAATGTCAATCCATCTTACCCAATCCAATCTACCTCTCACCTGCCGCAAAAACGAGGAGCGTCTGACAGCAGTGAAAATGATGATCGGCCACCCAGGTTCAGGCGCAAGCTCAATTCCAAGCAGAAGGAGACCAAGGCAGCTGGTGGTCCGTTTCATTCCTCCCGTCCACATATTCCAATGGACTGATTGATTTCGACAGCTTCAAACAAGCGCCCGGGATCTTCAAAGCGATCAGCCAAAGTAGACAGTGTCGCTGGTGAGCGCAGTCGACCTTTATGTTCGAATGTTTTAGTAAACTGTTCAGCAGGTGATCCGCCCGACATGATATACCAACTATCTCCCAAGCTGCCGATAGATCGAAGCGATGGTATTTTGTACCCGCTGCGTCGTCGATGTCCTGTCTTGACTTTTGAGCAGTTTCTTTCACCATCCTGCCCGTCAGGCTGTCATCGGAGGCCAACCTCACACGGGAGCCCCAAACATCACGATGCATGTCGAACCGGTTCAAATCCAAAGGTTTTCCGCATTGTGTATCGTGCACGCGACGCTGGGTTGGAGACACCTGTCGATTCCAGAATCTTCGTTCCTTTTTCTACACAAGCACAGGCGAACTAGCTGGTTTCTGTTTCTATGAACGACGAGACCAGCCAGCGGTACAAATGGAGTATCCGTCCAACTGGAATGCGCCTCTGACCAAGACGCATTTCCAACTCATCAAGGTTGGATTGCTTGATCTCTGTGCGAAAGTCGCTTAAACTTCACAGAAAACCATCGCGACAGCCCTTCTCCCTATTCTTAGAGAGGAGCTCGAGCACACCCAACACAGCGCTGTCATCTACCGCCCTCGAGAAAACGAAGTTCGTGCTACTTGTGGTGAGCTGGCATTTCGAATTGCCGTTTCTCCATCTCAAAGCGATATCTCTGCCCAGATTCCTGCCTGACGTCCATCTTCGCTTGTTCTTGGATGTGTCGTTTGTGTGGTCGTGAAGCTTGCAAAGAGTGTTTCGAACGAGTCAAAGACCTCACCGTCGTAGAGGTCAATACGGAGCAAGATATGGCCGACCAACGTGCCAGAAAGGACAAGCAGGCACATTGTAATCCTTTCTTCCTCACATGTCATAAGCGCAACGATCACGGCGCCAAGGATTTCTCCCCGGTGACCCGTTTCGTCAAGAAGGAACTTGAGCAGCCATTCGAGACATGGAACTTTTTGCGGTGCCGGCGGACAGTGCTGGTTCGTTGGCAGGCTACCGCCCTACTCTGCCGATGTCTCCCAGCATTGCCGTGTCCGGCGAGATACCATTTCACCAGATCAAGCGCTTCAAGGATGCCGAATTGAGCGAACAAACCTTTGCCTTGCTATGGGCGCAAGGCGAGCCTGTCCTGGTCACCGACACCGGGAGCAAGCTCAAGCTCGACTGGGATCCCCAGTACTTTATCGAGAATCATGGGTCGGAGGATTGCCTCCTGATCGACTGCCAATCAGATCAATCGACTCGTCGGACGGTCAAGGAGTTTTTCAGCACATTCGGCAAATACGAAGATAGAAACCAGTGCTGGAAGCTCAAAGTGAGTAAAGCCGGTGTCTACGCCGACACGCTATTGATGACCTCCCTAGGATTGGCCGCCTTCGAGTGATTTCAAGACGTCATTCCCGAAGTTGTATGAAGACTTCAGCCAAGCTGTGCCCATCCCGAACTACGTTCGAAGAGATGGGGTGCTCAATATCGCTTCTCATTTCCCCTCGAACACCGTCTCTCCTGATCTCGGTTGGTCTAATATCTGGACCATTTCACAAGCGCCTCATTCGTCTTTGCAGGGCCGAAAATGTACAATGCGTATGCTAATCTAGCAGAGGAGGGCAACAAAGGCTCGACGCGGTTGCACATGGACATGGCCGATGCGCTGAACATTCTGACCTACGCTGCGCCGTGCCCCGATGGATCTCCGGGCTATGCTGCTTGGGATATCTTCCGTGCGGAGGATAGTTTCCAAATTCGGCAGTTCCTGGCCGAACAGCATCGGCAATTGGGTCAAGATCCGATTCACAGCCAACAGATCTACCTCGAAGATGACATGCGACTGCGGCTGTGGCAAGAGCGAGGGGTGAAGAGCTATCGAATTCTGCAGAAGACGGGGGAAGCCGTGTTCATTCCTGCTGGCTGTGCACACCAGGTTTGTGGCATCTGCTATTGGGGATTGTTCCGCTCACGATCGAGCTCTAGGTGCGAAACATGAGTGACTGCATCAAGATCGCCGTCGATTTCGTGTCCCTCGAGAATGTGCAGCGGTGTGCCACGCTCACGAAAGAGTTCCGTCAGGTGAACACCAGCAAGCTCTGGAAGGAAGACGTGTTGCAGCTGCGGACGATGATGTGGTTCGCGTGGTTGTCTTGTTTGATGCAAGAAAACAATTCCCAGTCCTGAACACTTCTGTATACATACATATATTTTCAACTTGGAATCAAATGTACATCTCACATCATATTCACACAAAAACATCTTCTATCGAGACAGGGTTCTTACGGCAATGGCATGGCAGAAGCATATCATTGTCGCGGGCGGCATGGCATACATTTTGGAAGGTAGGATGCATGAAAAATGTAGATAAGGAGAAGAAACAGACGAGCCCAAACGCCCATCCACCGCTTAAACCTCCTTGACCTTGACGGTACCACGCAGAAGACCAGTCCTCCGGGCAGCAATGAGACCGACTTTTTGACCGGGAACGGCTTGGCGCGAGATCGTGGACGCCTTTCCGATGTGCTGGTGGTTACCACCACCGTGGGGGTGGTCCACGGGGTTCATAGCCACACCACGAGTACGGGGCCAGCTATATGCGGGTTAGACATCAACTCGGGAGAGGAAGGCGATTACAAAAACGTACTTGTAACGCTTGGCCTTGAATTTGTAGTATGCGCGACCCGCCTTGAGCAAGGGCTTGTCGATACGTCCACCACCAGCGACGATACCGACAGTTGCACGGGCAGATCCAGAGACGGTCTTCTTGGCGCCGGAGGGCAGACGGAGACGGGTCTTGTTGTCATCGGGCGAGTGGCCAATGATGGTAGCGTAGGCACCAGAGGTGCGGGCAAGGGCACCACGGTCACCGACCTTCTCCTCGACGTTGCAGATGATCGTACCCTCAGGGCACTGACCGACGGGAAGAACGTTGCCGACAGAGAGAGTCGCCTTCTTTCCGCAGTAGACGAAGGCACCGGTGTGCAGACCCTCAGTGGCGATGAAGGTCTCCTTGCGGAGCTTGTGCTGGTACGGATCCCGGAAGACGACACGGGCAAGGGGAGCACCACGTCCGGAGTCGTGGATGATCTCTCGAACGACACCGCGGATGTAGCCGTTGCGCTCAGCGAAGTCGAGGTTACGGAGCTGCGCCGGGTTCTTGTTCAAGTGCGTGTGCGCTTTGAACTAAGATATCATGGGTTAACTGCGTGCACCCATCACTAGATCTTGGACATACGATGGTGTGCGACCGCCTCTGTGCTCGAATAACCCGACCCATTTCTGTCCAGGGTATATCAGTTCCTATTCACCGGCCGTTGTAGGAAGAGAAAGAAAGGAAGCGCGTAGTCGATCCGGGGCGTGGTCGATGATGTTGAAAACGGTCAAATCAGTTGCAAATTTCACATCTTTCCTCCACACGAGCCCCGGATGCGATACGTCGAGAAAACGAGTTTGTGCCAGGGCGAGCCAGAGTGAGGACTTACATGCAGCGATGTCTTGAGGAAGGACGAAGGGATTTTGGGATTGCCGCCTGCCTTGTTCACGTGTAAACTATGTAGCTTTGTCAGCTCATCATGGGCTGTGCTGACTTCCATCAGCTGATTTGATTTCAAGTGCCAATCAATACCGGTGACCCTCGCGACGCGACGATCATGACCCTCTCTTCTCTCCTTGTGCAACTCAAAGTTCCTGGAGAATACAAAGAACTGTCTGAAACATCAGAGATCGAGCTTGTGACGCGTCTTCAAGTGTGGAAGAATGACACGCTACGCATCCTTCAAGAACTCAATACGCGCATCGAACAGAGCACCGACCTGTCGCTGGACGAGCAAGCTGATATCGTGGCTGCAGTAGCACCCTTAGATGGGGATTCGGAATGGACGGAACTTCCATCGCAAGAATTGGCTCAAAGTGGGTGATATCCAATTCCTACCCGCCCACGAACGTACTACCCGCGTGTTGTAGATATCTTACATAGATTCATGGATCCTCCTCTGACACTCGTGACCCACATCCTGCAAAATAACATACGACCGTTGTTCCGCTCTAACCCACATCCCGAAATGAACGCAGAGACGGGACGGAAGCTTGCACGTTCCGCGGGCGGCCCGAACGCGTCTCAAGACTTCTTCGAGTCACAACACTGGAAGGACCATCCCGGGGCTGCGCGTACAATCTTGTGGTGTGTAGAGAACATTCCGGTAATGACGAATCGCATCCTTGAGATGGCGCACGTCCGCTCACGCTGAAACTGCGATAGACGGAAGCATACGACCAAGTGTGGCATCTGGTCATTCCACCATTGATGATATTGCTGGACGATTATGAGGCACGATATAAACTGGAGGGTGTGCGGATCGCGTCTGAAATGCTGAAACGCGTTCCCGGCTCCCTCTTGAAGCGGACAGGTGTCGATGGTTTACTCTCCGTGGTCAGTCGTTTGTTTGTGGCAGTCAGGGCTCACATACCAACACCCGGCAGTCTTTCCAGAAGGCACTCACTTCATTTGACCGTCCTCAGACCCGTGAACTCATTCCTACCACGGTCTATGTTTCACTGGCTCTTATTGAGGAGACCACCTCGATCGGCTCGGTGCAACGCTTTGATCAGCTCTCTGCTCTGCTGGGGGATGGAATCATCGCGAGCATCTGGCCATACGCTAGTGACAAACTCGATGCCTTGGTTGCTTCCGTGGACGCACTGCCTCCCATTTTCGAAGCACTAGGAGTGGGCTGCGCTCGTTATCTCAAGGTTCTGTCGCAGCCGCCACCTTTCCCTGCGAGTTTCACCTATACGAGCAGGTTCTTATCGCGCAACTGGTCTATCCGTTAAATCCCAGCGGATATCGAAGCAGTTCGGTGGAGTTGCAGATCGTGTCACTGCGTGCTTTGGCTACTCTCATCACGGCGTGCGCCGAACGGATGGAGCATTGGAAAGGAACAATTCTAGCTGCCGTGGCACGTTGCTGGGTGTCACTAGTGGAATCGGGAACACCCGACGATCCAAGTGAGACTTCCGGTTGCTTCCAAAATTCTAGGCCCCTGACCGATTTGGAGGACGACAGAAACTGCAAGATGTATGCCAAGCACTGGTTGTTGCGGCTCCCTCGGTCTCCGGGGTGCGATCTCTTGTTGAGTCCTACTCGCGATGTTGACCCGATATTCCAGGATTACGCAAGGTTGCAGGAACTTGACACAATGTTCGAGGACATGCTAGTACGCTGAGCAGTGGGTATTTCGATGCAAAAAGCTTTTTCTTCGATTCGCGACTGCCGATGAGATAATCGCTGTCTAATTTCCGGTATTAGGGCTGAAACGCAAGCCATGGGATGCGAGCAGGATGGTAACCACCGAGGTCCCCTTCGCGCTGATGCAGGGACCGTGTCCGAGTATGCACAGGGGTAGGAAGAACACATCGAGCTAATGGAGCGGGTGCGCGATCGTCGAGATGAAAGTGAAAGTGACACGGGGCTTAGAACTCGCGGAAGGATCGCACAGGGTGATGCCCATCGGCAGCCCGGCATTGAAACGCGCTACATACGTGGTATTAGCACGTTCAGTCGCTCTGTAGAGGCGTCGACAAAAAACGAAGTAGTCGCATCCCTACGCATTCAGGTGCACTAATGGTCGGTTTACATGAGTTACAGAAGAGACCAGTGTGCTGCACCCTCATACGAACTCGTTCCAGTGCAGCAGAAGTTCAGAGGATGAATGAGATTTTGCGCAGCATGAGTGGATTATGCGTATACATGGGGCATAGTAACATGAGGTGGAAGAGACATCTAGTCGGAGCCGCCAGTTACTCGTGCTGAGTTGGAACCAGTCAGATTGGATATCAGGGAGCGAGATTATCACGCACTGTAGATAAGCTGCGCCGAGTGGTGCACAATGGGCTTGATCTGTCCGTCCTTCTCGAGGTGGCGAATGGCCACACGGGCAAGAGAGCCGTTGATTTTGAGACGCTCAATCAGGATAGATTGGGAGATGAAACGGAAGGTCGGGACTTCCTTCAAGATACGGTCGTACAAAGGCTTGTCGAGGGTGACGGCGTGCTGGGCCTTGTCCTTGACCTTGCCCTTGGACCACTTCTTCTTCTTGGCAGACTTTCCTCCTCCACTTGATGTCGGTTTAGCTGCTGCTTTCGCCTATCGTCGTCTGTCAGCATTCTGACGAAGTAAATGCAGTCTCCGTCGACACCAAGGATGAGCGACGAGATTTGGAGGCGGAAGGGCTCACCATGGTTGACGGCGTCGAAAGGGATACACGAGCGCAGGGTGATCACGAGGAAAACTATACAGCGCCTTGACCTGACTAATCTCTGGCATCAGATGAGATTGAGACTCCGCAACGCGACAGCACGTACAAACACGACTCGGTCACGTTTGTTTACGAACGCGCTCGTGGGAACGTCACGCTCCCTCATTTGGTGTATATAAAGTGTACCCTCACTTTGACCTCCCTTAACACCTACCCCCATCTCCTCAAGACCTTAAGGCCTCATTATCAAACACAATCATGGCCCGCACCAAGCAGACAGCTCGCAAGGTCTGCCTTTTCACGCCCTGCCACCGATCGTCGTTCCTGATTCTCGCTGCAGTCCACTGGAGGCAAGGCTCCTCGTAAGCAGGTCCGTAATGTTTCGTCCTCTTGCTTCGTCCCCATCTTACTCTCGCTCAGCTCGCTGCCAAATCCAATGCCGCTCGCAAGACCGCCGCCGCCGCCGGAGGTGTGAAGAAGCCTCACCGTTTCCGACCTGGAACCGTCGCCCTCCGCGAGATTCGTCGTTACCAGAAGTCCACTGAGCTGCTCATCCGCAAGCTGCCTTTCCAGCGTCTTGTCCGTGAAATCGCCCAGGACTTCAAGGTGTGTTGGGTCGTGGTGTGCCACCTGGAGAACCTGCTTGACTGACGCTTCCTTTCAGACTGACCTGCGGTTCCAATCGTCAGCTGTGATGGCTCTCCAGGAGGCTGCCGAAGCTTACCTCGTTTCTCTCTTCGAGGTGCGTCACAACTGCCTTCCCCGTCACCGCCTTCATCTGTACTCATTACTCTTAGGACACTAACCTTGCCGCCATTCATGCCAAGCGTGTGACCATCCAGCCGAAGGACCTCGCCCTCGCCCGCCGTCTTCGTGGAGAACGCTCTTGAGCGAGGCGCGTCGATGCACATCCCTATTCTGCCGTCGGTCGATGTCAGATCCGCCGCACGTGCCCTGTAGATACGCCACTTTCCTACTACTTATCCGTGTATAATTGTATGTAAATGCACAAATGATCAGCACTGGTCGTTCTGTTGTCCAGTCCTCGTATCAAAGCCCGCATAGCAGCCAAATAATGCAACACTCAGTTCAAACACAGCGCAGGATGCTAGTATGGTACAAACAGTGCTAATAACAGTCCGAATGCAATCATAGTTATACAGTCGCGGTGTTGGCATGCTTTTGAGTCAAATCGTTCACCGCTGCGGCGACACTGGCCAACCTCGTCTGGTTGACGTTAACGTCGATGACGGTGCTGCCGTCTCCCAGTCTTCCCGAGATATACACCGAGTTGCCAATGACCAGATTATTCGGCGTCGCCGAAAACCGATATCCGCAGATGGTCCCCTGCGAACCGACCGGACTCCAATCGGTTTCCAAGATCCTCGATGCAGAGACGTTGGATAGCACGATCGTGTCTTGAGCTTTGGGATGCACCGGCATGCAGATGGGGTTATTGCTCAAGAGCAGATGCGCGGAAACGACGTGCCCCAGATTGAGGGAATGGCGAGCAGCACAATACCGTCGAGTGAACTCTGCGAGCGAGAGTGCGTTGATCTCCTCGACTTTGAGCACTGGATATGGAAGCGGAATAAACGAGTTGTGGATATAGTCGGACAGAGATCGGCCAGGAATGAGATCGCGGAACGAGGCAAAGTTGCAACAGTGGGCTAGTGTTTCTGGCGACGAGCCTTCGGAGTAGATGGTCTGGAACACATTCGATCAGGGACGGGAGCTCAACAAGATTTCTGCATACCTTCATCAGCCAGGCAACCAGGACATCACCGGTGGTCACGAGCAGGTCAGAATCTTGGGTTCTGATCTCTGCTTTGACGCCCTCGACCAACGGCGTTAACGCACTTTGCGGGATCACGAATACACGGTGCGAAGCGCCTCGCCAATAGCGTTCGCGGAGGTGCCAACCGACGAGTCCGAGCATCCCTGGCAGTCCGAGCGCGCGATATCCACATTGACCCTTGCCAGTGTCCTCTCCCCCAGCGACCTTGGCGTTCAGCACGGATGTGATATGATTCTCTTGGCGTTTCTCGGACGGCGGTGGCGGTACGGTCCACTCCTGACCAGCCATCTCAGCAGCAACGGCACGCATGATCATCCCTGCGCCGACGCCGTCGAAGATTCCGTGGGAGCGTGCAAAGCCGATGCATGCGTGCGCAGGCTGGTCGCCGACTGCGGGGAACTGCGTCACATGCCAGCAGGTGAGCGGGCTGCGTCTTGCTGCCCAGTCGGCGTTCTGCCGGGGAGTGGTCGGGTGCAGAAAGAGCGACTGGGGGAGGGCTTCGGTGTTCGTCTGGAGAGGCAGTTGGATGAATGTCTCGAGAGGGACTTCGGCGATGGACGATGTCAGGACGAACGTCGGGTAGTCCGTCGGTAATGTCTCATCCAGAGGAACGGCGATTTGCCAGAGTTTGGGCTGCAGGCGGTGAGCATCGGTGTGTCGCGTATTATAGCGAGGCCGCATACATGTTTAACGGCCTCCAATCTGCCCGCGAGAACTCGCCATTTCTGAGTGACTCGTCCCAGCGCAGCGCCCAAAGCCTCTACATCGATGGCACCTTGAACCAGCCATCCGGTAATGAATGTCGAGCGCTCGAAGGAGTTGTCGAAAACAGAGAGCTGATACCGGGACCAGCGTTCGGGCAAAGCATGCGGAGCAGGTGTGAGAGGCGAGGAGCTGTTCATGGGAGAAAGAGAAGAAGAGACAAACGCCGCTGTACAGGGGTGAGTGAACTGGTGCGGGTCTCGCAAACTGTTGTCCACATTCGGATGTTTTTAGAACTCATGCGTCGGCCCGGGATCAGGCAGTCCGTCAGTCAGTCAGTCTATCTGACGGATACAGCCATTTGGTGTCTACATGCAAATCAGCATGAGAATGCCGAGGGCGCCATCTAGATCTGATGCACATCGGTTGCGACATGGCAGGGCCGAATCTGGGCAGGCGCTGTGAACGATTTGGGAAAAGTTCCCATGGATTGCGCGAATGTTGCGCAGTCGGCGACGGTGTGGTGGAGAAGGATGACCCGCCCAATGACCGCCGGCACGTCGGCAATCACATCACGGGACCACGTACGTCACCTTCTGCTTTGGGCTGCTATGAGTTGAATCTTCTCCACAGCTCCCGTTCACACCCCACCGGCTGGGCGCACGCCATTTTTGACGACGCCAGGATCATGACGTGTGGAGGAGCCCCTGAAATGTATAAATGGCGTGTCAGGGCCTGCTAGCCCTCATCAAACAATCTCACTACACCTCGAACGCAATGCCTCTCTTCGGATCCTCTCACCATCACTCAACCACTCGCCGAAGCACGGAACATCGAGGCGGTTGGTTCTCTGGCCGCACCAGTCGCAACCGCAGGGCTGGCGGACTCAGTTAGTCCCAACAACTCGATCTCTGGAGGGGAAGAACTGACATGCCTGGTTACAGAAGCTGCCCTGGCAAACCCCAACACAACGCATCATGGCAGGAGGGAGGCCAAGCATGAGCTACACGCCATGGTATGACGTTTGTTGCATGCGTGCTCAGTTCCAGCACTCAACTCCACTGACAGGGTCGCTCTTCCCACGTTCCTTTCATGACCAAGGTCAAGCGCACTTTGGGCATCCGCAGCACACCCCGCCGCGAACGTCACCATGTCTCGCGCAGCCGACGCTATTGAATTTTTTGACGACGATCATGATTAATTGTAGTAGTAACATGTCTGTATACCATGTACTGTATACCCACTTGTGATTGTGAAATTATTTACTCCAAAGTGCACGGCGTCCTCGGCCACTATGTTACCATGAGTCAACTACTTTCCCGCAACTTAGAACGAATGGAAAGTATGATAACACGGTTACATGCGCAACTGTATAACAGCTATCATGAAAGAACTACAGTACTACGAAATTCCGCCTGCTGCCTCACGGATGTCTTTCAATTTCTGTTCCCTCTCATCCTGATCATTGACGTGTTGGTTAAGATGTCCAGTTTGAATCAAAGCTAGGGACGTACATCATGTTTCCTCTGCAACGCTGCCAGCTCCTCAGCCTGCAGCTTCTTCTGTTCGAGATCGGCGTGCAGTTTTACGTCTTGCTGGTGTTTGAGCTAAGGGCGACAGGATGAATGATGGTATCGCGTGATTTGAGTCACTGGCGCACACCTTCAGATCTCTCTCAGAGCTCTGTATATCGTTCAACAACGTGTCGTGGCGATGAGTTGCCTTGTTGAGATCTTTGGCGGCCTTCATCTCTAGCTTGTTCAGCTTCTCGTTCTTCTTCTCCTCTTTGTTGAGAGACTGAATCCAGGATGGATCATCGGAGCGTTCGACGGAGGGCCAAAACGTACCTTCTGGGCTTTTGTAGCGGCCTTCTCTGACGCATCGACATCTTTGAGAGCGTGTTTCACTTGATGGGCTTCAGCGTTCCCTTCTTTGAGAATTTGCTTCTCCATTTGTTTCAGGGCTGAGGGATCTGAGGGGAGCGTATTGATGTGTGCTGCCATGGGGAGAGTACTTGCGAGTTTGCTTGAACGTTCGAGCCGTCTGCTCGCCTTTATAGATAGAATGCGGGTGATGATGTCATTCAGCTGCTTCATCGCTCCTGTCTTGTGAGGCAAGTGGCAGATCCACTTCCTTCTTCAGGACTAGCGCACGCCGAAGATCCGGAAAACCTTGAGCTTTTGTCCAGAAACGATGCAGACGTTCAAGCTCATGCAAGATTAACGAAATGGGACTCAGAGCTGGAGGGTAGAATTGAAGGAGACGGTCAGCTTAAGATCGAGATCTCGACACAGCCTCCTTCGATTCACCACTAGAGCTTCATAGAAGGAGACCGAGGAAATAGACTTGAGTCATTGTGAGATCCGAAGATAGACATGTGATACATCGTGGTCGATACTTGGCTAGTGTGATGAGGTCTCAGAGAGTGTCGAGTCCGGTGTAGTCGTACCCTCCCCACGCAACTCGCGCAGCTGGTTCGCGCGTCCCTCCTGGCGATGCGAAGATGAGCCCACCAGACTGCTCTAAAAAGCAGGATCTCACCGCATTTTCGATTTGCATCTTGAGCGCTTCGGCGGCAAGAGCCCTCTTCGCATCTAGCTCAGCTGCCAATCTCTTATCCTCCTGGCGTTTCAGCTACAACCCACCGAATTTGGAGATGAGCAGGACAGAGATCACAGAGCGCATGACACACCTCCGCGTCGCGTTCGGCGTTCTGCAATTCGACAACTGCGGTTTCGTGTTGATGAACGGCTTTGTTGAGCACTTTCTGGGTCGCAGTCTCGAGCTTATTGATCTTCTCGACTTTCTGCTCCGCCTTGATAGAGGCCTACGAGAATTCGCCCAGTGAGTGTTTCTCGCCTCTCGCCCGATGGGATAGACGCGACTCGCCTTCTGTGCCTTGGCTTTCTCCTTCTCGATGCTCTGCACGTCCTTCAGCACCTGCTTGACGTCTTCGCCCTCACGCTTCGCGTCCTTGGCGTATTTCTTTTCAAGCTTCTTGATTATTTTAGGCGAGGCACCGCTGGCGACGGATTGGTCCAAGTTCAGTGGGGTAATGATGGTCATGATGGACTGTGGTTAGATAGAGACGCGTCGGCGTGACCGCGTTAGAACGCTACGTCATCTGATTCCAGTAAATAATTGGAATTGGTCGAAACTTGTTTCCTCTCGGACTTTTTTGGAGCAGGTATGCTCTATGCCCGCGGAGAGTTTGGGGAACCTTGCCAGCAGCGAAAATACTGAGCATAGATATGTCTGTATTGTGAAAGGGACTCGTTACCGAGGTTGTGGCGAAGGTTCCGAAATGTGACAACGCTCCACCGAAGCCGTACGTACCGGTATTTAGCCGAGTACTTCGTACGAGATCCTTTCAACCCCATGCCACCTCACGCTCCCGCAGTGCTGGAATCGGATCCGGAAAGTTCTAACCATCAACGGCCTCAACCACCGCACGGATATTGGGCAGAAGATGTCGATGTCAGCAGTCAACTGCTCCCTCGCTCTGAACCACCACTCTCCGACGACGAGGAGGTCCCTGCTTCCCCCCCGTACAAACGACAAGCCAGCCGCTCCAACCTCACAGCGCGCGACGGATCCCCGAGCCCAAGCTACCGCTCCCGCTCGGTGTGGAATCCTGATCGCAAGGACGGCTTCGCAGCCAACGACGAGCCGGACAGCGAAAAGGGTATGAACAAGGCGTCTGTGCACTACTCCGAAGACATCTCGGAGGTTCCCATCTCGAGCACCACCGCCAAGACTCGGCTCCGCTAACCGCAGCCTCTTCGGTCGCAGGGACTGACGACGAGGATAACGACTCGGACTACGACTGGTTAGACGAGGACGATCTGGTCGACGCTGAGGCCAAGTTCGAAGAGCGCATGGGAGCACACGCAAAGCCGACAGGTTGGGGCATGAAACGGCGCGTTCCTGTCACTTGCCGTCTTTATAAACTCTAACTGGGATGATTAGGATCTTCACGCTTTTATTCTCGTCCTTGATAGGATCAACATTCTTAGCAGCCGTCCTGGTTGCGCCAGCTTTGATCTTGCATTTCTTCTGGTACAACAAGGACAAGTCCGAATACCGACATCGCGTTATTCTGAACGTCCAGGCATGGCTGTTCTGGGCTGCGGCGAATTTGCTCATCTCATGGTATCTTGCCATGATCGTTGACATCGTCCCCTCTCTCGTGCGCCTGGTCATTGCCGTCGCATGGGGCCACGTCTCGGAGTACATCAAGTCGCGGATCGAGATGTACAACTCGATCAAGAATACGCTCAAGCCGATCCTGTACGCAGCGAGCGCCTGGGTCTCGTGGCTCATCATATTCGACCACATCTTCCAGATGCACCCTGGCGATGGGCGGCGTCCGAACAGCGAAGCATACACGGACACCGTCTACCAGGTCGTCGAGTTCTTCTTCTTCTTGACACTGGTGCTCTGTCTGCAGCGACTGCTCTCCCAGCTCGTTGCATTCGCGTTCCACCGCACGGCATTCAAGGACCGCATCGAGGCCGTGTCGGAGACACTTGCCGTGGTCGAGCAGCTGCGGAACCACCGCCCCAAGTCGAAGCGATCGTCCGGGTTCCGCACGCCGCTGTTCGGCGGATTCGGGTCGCCCACGGTGGAAAGCAGCCACAAAGACGGGTTCCACTTCATCAGCTCCAAGTTGAAGGATCACAAACGCCGCGCGGAAAACGAGAGCGTCGATGCGGAAGCGCGGGAGGGCTCACCGTCGGGGTCTCGGTCTCGGCCTCTGAGCAGCTACGGAGATGACCATAGGTATCCGCCCTCGCGGGACACTCGCGACGTAACGCTAGTTGGCACGGCAGCCAAGGTGCTGAAGGACGCCGTCCTGCACGACGCCCGGAATATCCAAGGAACGGACGCCATCGCCGACATGGACTGGAATGTAACTTCGGCCGCCGAAGCCAAGGTACGTTCGCGTGGTCCGTTTTCAAGTCATGACAGCTCAAACAACCATAGCGACTCGCACGGGCCATCTACACAAGCCTGAAATCCTCATCGCGCAACTACCTGACCGGAGCCGACTTCCGGCCTGCGTTCCCCACCGCTGAAGCAGCCGAGGCCGCGTTCCGCGTGTTTGATTCTGACAACAACGGCGACCTGTCGCGTGCGGAGATCAAAACGACGCTGCTCAAAGTGTACAAGGAACGCAGATTCCTGGCTCGGTCGATGCGCGACGTTGGAGCGGCGCTGAGGACCCTGGACCAGCTGCTGTTCTTGTTTGCGCTCGTGATCCAGTTCTTCATCAGCTTGAGCGTGTTCGGTGTCAACATCACGTCGAGTCTGTCCAGTGTGTACACGCTGGGCATCGGCGCCAGCTTCATCTTCAAGACGGCTGCTAGCGCGGCATTTGACTCCATCATGTTCCTGTTCGTTACGCATCCGTTCGACACTGGAGATCGGTGCATCATCGACAACGAGATCGTCGTGGTCAAGAAGATGACGCTGTTTGCGGTACGTTGTCGATGCAGGATCTTTCTCATTGCTCATCTTCGAACGCAGACCATATTCCAGCGATCGGATGGGGCAGAGTCGTACTACTTCAACAGCCAACTTGCAGCAAAATTCATGTGCGTGTGAATTTCAAACAGTGTAAGGCACTCCCGGCTCACGTTTTGGTTGCAGCACGAATGTTCGCAGGAGTGGAGTATGTGTTAATTGTGCATGAGAATTGCGAAGGACTGAACCTGCGATCAGAAAACGTTCGAAAACTTGACGATGCAAGTTGCGTGGCGCACTCCCCTAGCCAAACTAGACGCCCTTGAAACAGCCATCAACTCCTGGCTGTCGACCGAGCAAAACCGGTGGTTCGTCCCCAGCACGAGTATCATGATACAGAAGGTCGCGTTCCAGCAGTATGTCGAGTTCACCATGGCAATCGGGCACAACGGGTCTGTTCCCCTACAAACTACCAGTGCGCTGCTGACCATCTATGTATCCAGCACGTGGCAGGACTGGAGCCTGCGTAATGCTCGTAAAACAGCATTCCATGCCGCAGTGCAACACTACTGCCGGGAACTCGGCATCGACTGCTACCAAGCGCCGCAGCCCGTCATCTGGGGCGACCCGAATCTGTCTCTCCCACCATATCCGACGCCGGCCAGTCCGCACAGCGGGTACGAGACAGAAGCGGCTGCCAAGATGGGTAAGTGACGCTTGGCTTCACTCCTCCGGCTTCTTCCGGGCTGTTGAGGGCCAGGACACATGGCAAAAAAGCAGCTATGCGCTCGACTGGGGCAGGGGACTGAGGCCTTGGTTGGACCTCGTAAAAGTCATAAGCATAGACAAAGTCTTGGACAAGCTACATACTAATTTTAGGCACAATTCGCTACCAAATGCATCCACAAATGAGGCCGATGATTCATTATGCGCAGTGTCAGAGGTGACATCCGTTCCTTATACCGCGCCACGGATATCGAGCACGGAAAGGCGGCCGGGTCTGTCATTCGGGGAGCGAGAGAGCGTCGGATCGCTATCTGGATCGGTTGCACGGATCCACTCTCATTTACCATGCCAAGTACATTAAAGTCTATGCGAGAGGTAAGTGTTCCAATAAAATGCATGGCTATATGTATCAAGTATGTAGGTAGTCTATTTCGCTTTCGCTTCCAGTATTCGTCAGTCCGCTCTAGATGAATAATCTGATCTCCACTTGTACGTCATATGTTCCAGTGAGCATCTGTGTCTTCGCGTGAGGCATTTGAGATGACGCATCAGGCTGTCTTCCGGGTTTCTGGAGCTCGGGCTGTGACAAGCTTGCTTTCCAAGGTTGCTCGACCGGAATTGCGGAGACGTTCGATGTAGACGTCGCCTAGTGCCGTGGCAGGGGTGAAAACTCCTCCAGAACGCGCCAGACTCGGCAATGATTCGGGAGAAAGGGCAATGGTCAACGCAGCTTCCCCGATGAGGACTGGGGTGCGAGTTACAAGGCTGACACAGTGCAGTTACCGACCACGCACCTGAGGTAAAGCTATATCCAGGATCTCCTTTGCCCGTCAGGACTGATTTGACTACTGATGGCTGAGAACTAGTCGATGAGGGCGAAACTGCCGTCGTGATATTGGTCACTTTGACCCATCCGTTATCTCGTACCCTGATCAGACGTTCAGCTCTTGCGCCGGGAAGATTACAAGTGAAACTGCGCACGACTGAGATGGACCGTCGCCTGCTTTCGGAAGGACTTTCAAGAGCAACCAGCGGAGCTGAATCAGATGAGCAAGCATCAAACAATATTGCGGCCGCACGCACAGGTGTAATCATCATACAACCGAGCCCCAAAATGGTTCCCAGCGTGATCAAGATCGCCCCGGTGACTCCTTTCGAGGACACAATCATCTCATCATACTTGAAGTTGTTGCCGTACTGCATGGACGAGCTACCAGGCGAGCTCTTGAAAAGGCCCCAGGAGCGCTCGACAATCGCACGATTTGGTTGTGTCATGAAGAAATAGGACCCGACAAGAGTTTTCCCTGATTCGGGTATCGGAAGGCGATACAACAGGCGTGGAGCAGGCGCCGGTGTGTCTCCGACGACTGAAGATGGTTAGTACCGGGAATCACTTCCGCAGGTCGCTAACGACATACATGGGCTCAGCGGATACGGTATCCTCACGCTCGCGAGATCGTTCGGATGGACCTCCTCCAGCATCGAGACCATCGTGGCGATAGTTCCCCCCGAGATCCCCCCTTCACCTCGTACGCAGAAATGGAAGTATCGATGTTTGCATCACCCGTCGCTTCTCGTAACGTACGGGCACTGAGGTATGAGAGGATGTCGGCGGGGACAGAGTCGAACCCACAGGACGGAACGATGATCGCCCCGGTTTTGGACGCCGAGTAATGGAATCTGGCTCGCAGGTGAGTGGAGAGATCCCGGGGAGACTGGTACCAACGATGTTATGATTTGCTTGATCCAATGCGTCTCGCCTGTGAGGTCGACGTCTACAGAGCGGAATAATCGAACCAGCGCTTTCGCTCTCCTCAGATAACTCACAATGCACGCCGTTTCTCACGCATGATTTCACCACCGGTGTGCTCCAAGTCCAGAACGGACCCACGGTGTTGATCACGACAGACTTTCCAGCAACTGCGGCGTCGATCTGCTCGGGGCGGGTGACGTCCACGACATGTAGGCGCACAGCGCGCTGAGAGCCCAGCTCGGAGACGACAGCATCTAGACGCGTTTTGGAGCGCGCAGCAAGTGATAAGACGAATGAGTCGCGGTCCTTGTGAGAGGCGAGGTAATGAGCGATCAGGCGTCCGGTGAATCCTGCGGGAATGTGAGTTCCTCGCATGAGCTACCGAGAGTGCGGCTTGCCAGTTGCGCCGAGGATGAGGATGTTGGGTTTCGCTATAGACATGGAAGTCTTGGGAAAGGAGAGTATACTCCATGCGTCACCGTAGATCAGGCTGCATGGGGACTGACGCGTTCAATGACATAAATGAGACCTCGGGCATCAGACGGAACTATCCACGAGAGTGGTCTTCTTTCACTTGTTCTTCTGAGTGTGTACCCAGAGTTTTAGGTGTACGTAGGCTATTTTGTGAGTGCTTCTCAGTATATGTTTACGATGTTTATCATTGCCCATTAGGGTTCGGGGACCGGCGGGAACGCCGGGATGCGTCGGACGGTCACGAGACATGTGTACAGCCACATCATAATGGCTTCCCACCCGCATCCGCAGCTTGATCAGCACATAGCCTCACGCCCGCTAGGACACCCATCGTTCCATCTCGTCCCGCAATAGATCTAGCCCGAAGTGTAGGAAATGTTTACCCAACTCGGCTCGCAAGAAAAAGACGCGTTCTTTTCGCTCTTGGACGAGTGAGTTCACCTTCCAACCACTTTGGCGTGCTGGACAATCTCAAGCCGCGTTCAAGATACTTTGCGGCACGACCAGAGCTGTTTAACGCAGGAGACAGTGCCAAATCCTCAGAGGCTGCCGCGCCTACTCCCTCCTCCGTCGTTGCCGCACAACGGCGCGCCTTGGCATCAACGCTCGGATCGGCCTCCTCCATCGTGTCCTCCCTATCGCATCGAAACGAAACATCGCCCCGCCTCCAGCAAACGCACACAACAGCTCCGGATCCATCACCAACCTCCAGTCGGTTCGCGTACGTACCAGAACCAATCACACCCGGTCTGGAGTTTGATGTCTTGATCAGAAATTCGGGTCTAATGTGGATACCTCGTCTACGATGAGCGTGCTCTCCTCCCTGCGTGGTTCCGGGAAAGCCGCGCCTCCATCTACACCTCCGGTCGCACCCCCCGCCTTCGCACCACGGAAGAACAATTTCGCTCCGCCCCCTACCCGCACTGTCGCCCCAAGTGCACCTGAACCTGAACCCGAACCCGAAGCTGCAGCGGAGGAGGCGGGACAAGGGGAGTGGGCTGAGGCGCTGTATGATTACGATTCGGCGGAACCGGGGGATTTGCAGATTAGAGCGCACCAGAACGTCTGGGTCACGAACAGGAACACGGATGATTGGTGTGTTTGTGTTTTCCCCTCCTTGATTGTGCCTGATTTTCGCTTCCTCAGGTGGACGGGGGAGTTCGAGGGGAAGACAGGACTATTTCCGGCGTCGTATGTCAAGGTTTTGTGAGTTCGTGCATTGCTAGTTAGTACTTTATATACACTGTGTGGGCGATGTAATGTTCAAGAACGGATCATGAGCGTCAAGCGATCCTCTAAGTAGGGCACAACTGATGCGGTGTCGCTCTGTCCAGTTGACATGAGGTATCAGACAGACAGGCAGCGGCAGCTACTCTTGGCTTGCTTATGGACATCGTCCGCAACCTACTCCGATCTCGACTCGCCATCTTTCTGCCCCTCATCGTCATCTCCGCGTTCTTTTACTATGAACATGAAAGGCTCCCTCTCGTCGCGGAGCTGGTGCCCATCCTCGTCGATGCTGGTCAGAACGGCACCTCGCCATATCCAGCTACTCCCAGCTTGATACTTGAAGCCACATTGTACCCCAAGAGCAGCGCCTTTACTCCGGCGCCCTGGCGGGCATTGAGTGAGCGCGCTTTGCTCAATCTACGAGAATGTATGGGCAACGGGACGTGCACTGAGAATCAACAGAAAGGTTTGTTACTCCCGTTCCAGTCTGACGAGATCCTTACTAGCAACGAATTAGTCGTTTTAATACAAAGTATGTACTTTGGTAGAGAACTGAGCGGCGCGTTAGGCGGAGAGGATATCTGGTATGTCCCATCGCTTCAACACACGCTCGGGCTTCCTCAACAATTGTTCTCATCTCTCCAGGGCACATTCAACCGTATGTCTCATCGATTCGCGCGTCAGAGAAGTCTTCAATTAATCCACAACAGGCCCGTGCTCTCAGAAATCTGGATTACACGATACTATATGCTGAAGATCTCGAGGAACTGGTGGGCATATACAGATTGTTGCCGCATTTGGTCAGGATCGCGATCGTGGACGACTGGCAAACCTTCGAATGTTGGAGAGATAAAACACACTGTCTTCGCTCTGACCAAAATCCCACGGGGATTCCTGGCTATAAGCTGTTGTCCTTTTACTACTGGGTAAGTCTGAAATCGGCTGTACTTGCCGTATGTCTTGATCAACCTGCTAGCCATTTCCCCGTCACCCACTTGGTCCCCATGGATACTTTCGCCGGAATCGTACCAGAATCAAGTTCCCGCGGAACCCAGGTCCAACAACACCTATCTCGGGTACTCTATAGAGGAAACGTGTCGCAAGACAGCTTTTTTCCGGCGTCTGAACGTCCGAACGACCCTCCACAAGCATGGGTTCTCGCGAAATTGCTCAGTTACTTCGTGCAGGGAATGCATGGCATTCCCCCATCCTGGTCGAAGGACGATTTCGATGCTCTTGCACAAACTACTGGCGTGCAACTGAGACTAGCTGCTGCGGGGCCATCTGAGGACTCAGAGGGTATTGACGACATGGCAGCGGCCCTGCCTGACGCTGCACACTATGTCAACTCAGGCCGGCTTGCTCAGGATGTTTTCATGGCGAGTCTGGCTCGAACAAGGGTTGTCATTGGTATCGGCAACCCAATAATGTCAGTGTCGAGAGGTTATCGTGTTTAAACACTGAGTCTTCCGTAGATCTCCGACTCCGTGGAACGCGCTGTGTCTAGGGGTTCCTTTCATTAATCCCATCTTGGAGTGGGACCAGGAACACCCGGACGATCCCCAGCGTTGGCGAACACAGCATCCTCTGGCTGCACTTTTGCCGAAACCATACGTTTACAATGTATTCCACTCCGCATCGTGTTAGGTCCTGTTCTTCCTGACCTTCATCGCAGGTCCGGAAGGGCGACAGACAAGGCTTGATTACTGCAGTGGCAGCGGCATTAGCAAATCCCATCGAGTCGTGAGTGGCTCGCGTTCAGATCGCTCGGGTCTGATCACGCTGTAGTTTTGTGCCAGGGAATATGACCATGAGATCGATAGAAGCACGAATAGCAGACATTGTCGAGACCGACTGGGAGGCAGAAGAGAGAAGGCAGCGAGAGTGGTGCAAGGATCTGTGTGGCTGTCAGCAACCTTGTGACGCAGAGAATTACGACCTACATGAGTTGTAGAAGTGCACCACAGAGATCAAACAGCCGATTCCACTGTAACCGCTGCAGACGCTGACGGACGCTGGAAGAAAGGGATTGTGCGCAAGTTATCCGGCTGTGGCCCTTCGGCTCCCATCTTCTTTTTATCACGATCGCTCTGTGATAAGTAAGCCTTCGCGCAGAAAGAATGGGTGGCACGGTGACTGACAATTCCAGCCTGTGCCATTCCACGCTCTAGCCCCTCGAGAAGCGTACAAGCCTTGCACAGATCGTTACTTGAGAGATAACCACACCTCTGACACGTTTCTGCGATCTTGTCATGAGGTGAGAAGGAGAGCGAGACAGGTAGAAACCCACGAGGGTTCTTCTGAGTAGCCTTGACTTCCTCGCGGATCTCGAAGGCTTCACCTGAATGGATAATGTCGATAATTGCGCTCGGTCGCGCAGCCTCTAAATCTTTCAGAAATACTCGCGCGTGACCCCGATATGCGTCAGGCGAATATATGCACTCCGTCGAAAAATAGTCGAGCTTTTTGAAATAGGCGTACCTAGATTCATCGTCAGATAATGTAGGCAACGGAAATCGGGGGACCCACATCACAATTTCCTTTTCATATGCGTATTTGAAAGGCTTTGACCGCTTTATCGTGTCTTCTCCTTGGGTACAGATTAGAGTACAGCGGCCCAAACGAGCGATATCTCCTCTCATGACTTGACCAAAGCCTCAGCCTCAGATTGGATCGCTTCGGAAGAAAGAGGCGCACTATTCATTAGGACGGTCTCGGCAATATCGTCCGCATTATGCCCGGTCACTATATGATCCACATTCAGCATGGCTGCTCCACGGTCGAGCGCCTGCCGCCGGAAAACGCCACAGAAAGTGCAGTTGTTCTTCTTCCCAACCTGAGAAACTATCGCGTCCATCGTCCAACCGTAAAGCTCGTCGTAAGACAGGATCTTAAGCGGCATCGAGTACTGTTCTTGATTCCGTTTGACGGTCTTGCAAAAGATCTCTCTATTTGGTCGTAGCTAGCGTGGTAAATGGGGACGCACCTCGAGGGAGTCGTCACGGTAGCCAGTTATCCCTTCGTCGATCGAGAGCAAGAACAGCTCGAGTCCATAATCATATCGTTCGTTCAATGCTTTCATGACATACGCCAGCACCGTGGAGTCTAGATTTCTTCTGAGTAAATAATAAATCCTGATACTATAGGCTCTGGACCTTTTCCTCCTGACGCGCCAATGGCCACGCGATCGCCGCGTTTGAACAACTTGGCTTCGATTATCGTATTGTGGACTTCGGTTTCAAAGACGAAGAAGAAACATTCACGACAGATCTGTTGACCAGTTTTGGGACGCTTTAGCATTGCCCTATTTGTGTTGCAGAGTGCGCAAGTTCGGGGAGGCATCACGATGGACGAGGAGGAAGAGCGATAAATCTGTTTTGACACCCAGTCAAGTGCGCTGTCAATCATTTACGTCTTGACTGCCGCGGAGGCACGTGCTTGATAATACGTAAGCTGTTTGCCATGATTGAGCCAAAGTGAGTCCGTGCGCTCTGAACTGAGTGCGCGGTCATGCATCAAGAGGCCTATCTCGTGTCTGTCCGCTCTACAACATGAACGAGACTCTTATCAGTGTGCCCAGGATTTCTCGGTCATGAACTTATCTCTAATCACCTCTTAATCAGGCCCATTCACCATCACCCATCCAACCAGTGTCCAAACCTCCCTCTTTGCTCTTGCTTCCTTCGCGCGCTTCGACCCTACTGGTCGGTATGTTGCTACTGGGAGAAGGGATGGAACTACAGCGATCTGGGACCTCGATACGCGCGCTGCTGTACGCGTTTTGGATGGGCATGTCAAGCCCGTGACAAGTCTCGAGTACGTATATGATATGCTCACACAAACGAAGCCGGACTGACTTGCACGGGCGCAGTTGGTCGAGGTACTCCCGCTACATACTCACGACTTCCAAAGACTGGAATGTCATCATCTGGGATCTGGCGACGGAGTACATCCCTATGCAGCGCGCGACGACGCTTCGATTCGACGCGCCTGTTGTGTCCGCGTCTTTCCACCCCAGGAATAGGTGATTTTGCGTGTTTCCTTTGTCGACCACCGGACTCACAATCATCCAGTCGGATAGTATTGGTTCTGCTCGATACAGGCGAAGCTTGCCTGGTCGACCGACGGAAGGCGTTTCGAGGACGGGTCGACTTGGAAGAAGGAGGCGAGGATGAAGGATCATCCCGGTCCGTTGCAATTTGAGTCAAATATACAGTGGATGCTTACATGGTCGTAGTCCAGCTGTAACGACCGCGCGTTTCGATCCTTCGGGCAAGTACGTATTCCTGGGCACCAATGCAGGATACCTACTCGTCTTCAACACACGAACAAAATTGGTACTGCTACCTATCTGATCTCATTTCCGAATCTAATCAGTGCATAGATGATCGCGCGCCACCGAATCTCAGGCGCTGGTGCGCTGAAAGGACTGGAATTCACACGAAATGGACGGTGCGCAGGCGAAATCTAGGCCCTGTCGTTCCTTCTGATCTAATATCAGATATCTCGTGGCCAACTGCGCAGACCGAACGCTGCGCCAATTCACAGTTCCTGCGTACCCCGACGGGCCGATCATCGATCAAGAGTTAGAGCCAACTCACCGCTTCAACGACCCCATTGGCCGCACCGCATGGCACGCGATGTCGTTCAGCCCAGACGGAGAGTGGTTGGCGGGTGGTTCGTCCGTTGAGTATCGTCAACTTCTAGCTCTTCTCACATGCTTGCAGGTGCCGCAGACTCGGCAAACCATAAAATATACATCTGGGACATTTCAAATGACGGCCAATTTGCCAGCGCGTTGGACGGCGGACGAGAACCACTGCTCCATCTCCACGTGAGTGCGTTGCACTTGGGCCGCGACATGTCATTGAATTGAACCCAGTGGCATCCCCAAAAGTCGTCAATAGCGTCCACGACGAATCAGGGGAACGTTCTCATCTGGCATTGTCCTCGTCCAGAACGATGGGGCGCGTTTGCCGGTGGATTCGAGGAGCTGGACGAGAATGTCGAGTACGAAGAACGGGAAGATGAGTTTGATATTGTAAGCAAGCCAACATTGCCTGGACTCTGGAGTTGACCTGGATTACTTCTCGCAGGAGGATGAAGCTGAAATCATCAAAAGAAAGATGAAGGCGGAGGAGGAAGAGGTTGACATTGACGGTCTGCCGGACAAGCCGCAAGAAGTGCAGCTACAAGGTGTGATACCAGATGACGAGGACATTGCTTGGGCGGTGGAGGAGCCCGACCTTGATGTAGAGGGCTGGAAGCTGCGCATCGACATGGATGAAGAGTGGGATTTGTAGATGAAGTAGCGAAACATAAATTAGATCTTGAAGCCCAAACCTCGCATACATTCGAGATGGCTCTGGACCAATGCTTTGCATTTCTCGTCACCCTCTCCGTTGGCGTTGTTCAGAAAACAATCATCCCGGGCAGATTTCGTCTGTGGGCACGCACAACAGCTGATGGAGACATGGTTAGATCAATGCACGGAGATGACTCGCGGGTGCGTACGGTTTGAGTCCTTCGGGATTGAGTGGGTTCATTTTGGGGTTGGTCGGGTCATACGGGGCCTGCGGCGTAGATGACGGGGACCATAGTGAAGTAATCTGTGGAGTATGAGAGAAGGCAGAAGCGCGTCCGTGCTCACGAGCGTACTTTGTCAAACATGAATGTTGCTGATCAAGTGCGAATTGTGTTACGTCATCTGATGATCGTGATCTCCAGTCGCTTGATTCAACGCGCCAACCAGAAATGTGAACGCGTTAGCTCGACACTCAGTGTGAGGCTTTCGTAGGAGGCTTTCGTAGGAGCCTTCTGACAATGGGAACCCTCCTCCCGCTCCCTTCGCTCCCAGCTTGCTGTCAATCTCAAAACGTCGGTGCCAGATTCTTTTAGCTCAGTGGATCCCCGAACGGGTGTGCACCTGAGCCCTAGTCCCTTCTCTTGTTCGCTACCCGCTTTGACCGTAAGCTGGCATGAAGAGCGCACTGATCTCATTCGGCCCTCAAGAGCCGTCACTGACATCAGTCTCGCGAGCTCACTTACGAGTGACTCCGACCTTGCCGTCTATGTCTGATATAAGCAAGCCCGCCCAGCAGAGCTCTCAAGGAGGAGAGAGGAACGATGCAGGTGCTCGTGCCCGTGTGGAAGACGTTCCTCGCCCACGGAAAACTCGGGCGTTCTACATGAGCGTCCTAGCGATCATGGTCGCGTCGTTCCTGAGCGCGTTGGATCTAACAGCGGTAGGGACGGCGCTGCCTACCATCGCGGCGGCGCTCAAAGATACGAAGGGCGAGTTTACTTGGGTTGGTTGTTCATCTCACGCCTCTCTCTCTAATCAATACACAGGTCGGCGCTGCTTACGCGCTGAGCAGCACGGCGTTCATCCCACTCAGTGGCAGTCTGGCAGATGCCTTTGGACGGTGCGTTTTCTACATTCCTGCTGATCCGCGGCTAAAGCCTTCTTGCATCTAGGAGACCCATCCTCTTGACGTCGATCGCGTTCTTTGGTATTGGGAGTGCCCTCTCAGGCGCGGCTCAAAACATGGTGCGTTGAGCATGATCTGACAACGCACAATGTGAGCTTTTCACAGCCCATGATGATCGCGGCTAGAGGTGTGCGAAAATAATGTAGACTCAAGGTTAGACTGACCGGGGCGATTCTTTCAGCTATTCAAGGTGTGAACGCCGCTTATTTCTCCAACACTCCGTTCATGTCAGGCAGGAATTGGCGGTGGAGGGATCTTGAACCTGACAGAGGTGTTAATTGCGGATCTGGTGCCGTTGGCTGAGCGAGGATTGTACCAGGGTCTGGTCGGCCTTGCATGGTCCCTTGCTTCTGTGCGTGATTGCGTTATAGATCGTTGCCATCTAATTAAACTTTCAGTGCATCGGTCCGCCCATCGTGGGTACTAGCTCTATGTCGCATACCACAGACTGACTTTCTAACTAGGGGGGTGCGCTCGCTAGTAGCGGAGTCAAAGCGTGGCGCTGGCTTTTTTGTGCCCGACACTCCCTTTCACGTATCAGCTATCTGCTAATGAACCCTAGTCCTCAATTTGCCCTTGACTGGTGTTACTTTTGCATTAGTCGCAGTCTTTCTTCGTGTTAGGACTCCGCCGGGGTCGGTGAAGGAAAAGCTCGGGAAGGTTGACTGGATGTGAGTGGTCCAATCTTCGGTGTGCAATCGACTTTTGAATCTGACCAGAGGCAATGCCCTGGCGATCTTCGGCTCTGGTCTAGTAATCATTGGACTAGCCTGGGGCGGGATTCGGTACCCTTGGGCTTCGGCTCCCGTATTGACGACCTTGATACTCGGGATGCTGTTTCTGGGAACATTTGCCGTTTACGAAGCTACAGTGCCCACCAGGCCCACAATCCCAATCGATGTTATCAGCAACCGGACATCCCTCAGCGGGTAGATTGATTACTGGGCGATGCTCTTTTTTGTGATTCTCACATATCCAATAGGCTGTTAACTGTGGCCACTCACAGTATTGCAAGCACTGGTAGGCCAGAACTCGTCGCTGTGTTCACAGATCTCTTGAACGGCTGCCAGCCATTATCTATTATCTGCCTGTCTTCTTTCAAGCTTGCTTCGGGGCCTCCCCCGTACGATCCGCCGTGGACTTCCTTCCTGGGGCTCTACTCACAGCTCCATTTGCGCTTGTGGCAGGGATTCTAGTCTTGGTCTGGCAGAGATATCGAGAAATCAACTGGATCGCGTGGGTTTTCATGGTTGTGGCGTTTGGGTTGACCAGCACTTTGAAAGCAAACGCATCGACTGCTCAATGGGTCGGTTTCCAAGTGGTTGCAGCGATCGGTGTTGGATTGAATGTGCGTCCTTTCGCTTTGATACAGCATGTTTTCTGATGCGAGCTAGTGTTCTGCTCCTCTATTCCCTATTCTCGCACCACTCAAACCCGAGCGAGCTGGCTCCGCTCTAGCCCTATTTTGCTTCACGCGAGCCTTCTTCCAAGCGTGGGGAATTGCCATTGCCGGCACAATCCTCCAGGTCCGCTGCTTGATCTGATTGTTATAATCCGGGTTCTCATGTATACCAGAATGAGCTGCACCACCATCTTCCTGTTGCTTTCGTTGCTCAATTTCCGCCTCATTTCGAGATCGCATATGCTGCGATCCCTTCCATCAATGCCCTCGAAGAGCCTCTCCGATCCGAAGTTCAGGCCGCCTTTGCGTCCAGCCTGGCGATGATTTGGAAGGTCATGGTCGGTATTTGCGGGCTGGGACTTTTGTTCAGCATGCTTATGAAAGAAGTGCCGATGACGATGTTGAAAGATGATCGGTTTGCTCTGGAAGAGCAGGATGATAAGGTTTACAATTTAGAGAACCTTAATACGGTGCAACCTGTACCACAAGTCACTGATAGCCCAGCATAAAGTGTCACGTGCTTCATATATTGCGCTTTGACCGAGATGTCTCTTCCGAAGAAATTGGACTGCACAGATGAGCGGACCATTCTAAGAGACGGGTTCTCTTGATGCCTGCGGGACTGGAACAGTCCAGAGGGCTGTTTCAGTTGCCATGATCGGTTTGATCAATCCATCAAAAGTCTCGCCATCTCACCCTGATGCCCAACTTGTCCGCGTTTCTCACTTCGATTCAAGATACCCTCGCTGATATTTTTGCCGTCGCTGTTTCTCTAACACCTGTCCGTGTACGTGCTTGGTCACTGGTTTCTGCTCGCCTCTTCGATCTCCGCGTCTTGTGCCTTCTGCTTCCTATGTGCTCGACTCCTGCTAGGCATTCCGCGGACGGCTGGACTGGAACCTTCCAACTTGGCGACGCGGCCAGGACCTTCGAGGAATCTTCGTATCGGATCGCTCGCTTATAGGTATATCCTACAAATTGTTGTTGGGTTCAAATTATGACGCATGGGTCCGCGCCGCGGTGTTGTCATGGCCCCAGCTGCATGGTGTGGGAGGCACTTGGTAATGTACGACCAGCATGAGATTTCTGAGGAAACCTCGTGGGCGGTCTCGCTGGCGTTTGACAGGCTCACGTCGAAAGCAGTCTCGTCTCTTGGACTAGACGATCATGCGATCCAGGTGTCAAAGGGATCGTTTGGGGTACCATCGAGGTTGAGAGCCAGCCGACTATGAGGGACGGCCGTATAGAGTAGATCTCTACTACACAAGCTGTGAAACAAGATCCAATATATTCCTCGGAGGGTGCATGTCATCAGCACTATCATTACATTCAGGCCCGGGAAGAACTTCGAGCAAGGGCTGAATCGGGACAGCACGCCGAAGTTGCTTGTGTCACTGCAACAGAGTAACCGATCAAGATTTCCCTGCGTGTTTTCGGGATCCTATATGAGCAAATAAGGCCCTCCCCAGCCTTCCCATTCACGCCGTTCGTCTGCGCTGCCCGCCCCCGCCGCCCATGCGCGCTCAGGCCGTTTCAGACTCCGCTTGCCGCATTCGGCCGCATTGTTTGTTTGCACTCTTCTGCTTCCAAGCAAGGACCCTCCCGCAATTCTGAGCTCCCCGAGTCGCCCACGGTGTTTTTTCTGCGCCACAAGCACTCCCCCGAACTCGTATCCCCATCCCCTTGACGTTGCGTGACGGCGAAAGCCATAGCATGCTCCATCTCGATCGAAATTATTCCCAGCCATCGCCCCTCTCCGCACCAGCACAGACAAGGGATCATCTTATCTTGCCGACTAGTAACCCGACCGGCGGCGCGTTCACGTCTTCGCAATCCCTGCCCTGGTCTCCGAAGGACAACGACTTCTATGCGTATAGCCCCAGCGGAGGCAACAGCACCAACACACATAGCACCCCAATAACCAGTCACGACATGGCCTACGAAGACAAGCTCGACGAGACCTCAGTTACGCAAAACGCGTCGAATAACCCTATTTCGCCTGCCGGCAAAGTGGCGAATGGAGGCGGAGCAGGGGTCGAGCAGCATGAAAGTGGAGGAAACGCGTCTCGAAGTTCGTCGCTCTCGTCTGCCCCGGACGCGGGCGCCGCAGGACCTTCACGGCAGTCGACGCCGCTCAGCGAACCACCTGATGACGATGAAGAGGACGGGGTGAAGCACAACGAACCGGCTGTAAAGCAGGAGGAAGGAGACAATAGCAAGTCTGAAGACGCCAAGTCTATCACTTCACTGCGCACCCCGGGTGCTTCCACCTCGCCCGCACCCACGACCGTCGGAGACGCCAAAGTCCATCTTCTTTTGGAGCTGAACAAGGAGCTGTTCAAGTGCGTGGAGACTTGTTATTGGTTCGCAATGCCTTGCTGATTTCCACGCTTAGATTTCTATTCGAGTTCCAAAACCGTGCAGTCCCTGTCAACGACCCCCAGTTTCTTGCGTATGTTTCGTTCGTCTGGATGTCGATCGCCGGTGAAACCTCGTCAACAGATATTCGCAACGTCTCCAATCAAATTTGGGATGGTCTGCGAGCGTGATGGATGGCCGCCAGGTATGTCGAGTTGCTCTTTCATCACGATACACCGACTAGATCCATAGTCTCATGCCCTTCCCACCATGGAACCGCCTCCATCCGTCGATTTCATGCCAAACGACCACCTGCGTGAGCTGTATGCCGACCTTCCAAACGTCTTCGCGAAGGAGATCGCTCGTCGGGCTGCCCTATCAAATCCTATAAATCCAATGCATCCGACAAACCCTTCACCTCTCAAACGCGAGCGCCCTGACGATGATGGGCCGCACGGAATGAACAAGCGTCGGGATACTGGCGAAAGCAAAGCGCCAGGTGTCATGGCACGCTCAGTCACACCTAGTGCAGCACCGACAAATCGCGCTCAAACACCATTGACCAATGGTCCTACTCAAGGTGGCAGGATCTCTACACCTGGACCTGATGAGATGCAGCGGCGTCAAGCTCAAATGCGGGCACAAGGGAGGCAGATGTCTCCCCCTACTAATCCGATGGGAGGCCCCGGTCCCAGGCCGGGGAGTGCTGGAATGGGTGGTGGCAATCCGGCCATGGGCGCCAACGCTATCGCTGGACCGTCGAATCCTGGCATCAATATCTCTGCATTGCCACCCAATGTCCAAAACGCATACCAAATCCTTCAGACGCCGAACCATCCTCTAGTCGTCCAGATCTTGCGTGCTGTGCCGAACTTCCAGCAGATGCCCTTGCAGTCGCAGTTGCAGAGAATACTATCCCTTCAAGTCCGTGTCTATTCCCGTGAAACGGTGCATATACTCATAATTTCTTCTGTAGAACCAGCTCCAGATGCGAGGCCAAGCGATGAATGGGATGCCTGGCAACGGAGGCTTCCCCGGTGGGCAGGGAATGGGAGGCAATCCGAGTGGTTTTCCGGGGGGACAACAGACGAGTCCCGTGTCGCCAATGGGTGGTCCCGCTCAGAATGCCATGTTTCCTGGCGATCTCCGCGCCATGAGTTCGACGCCTGGGCCCGGCGGTATGGGACCTGGAGGGATGGGACCTGGTGGAATGGGACCCGGTGGCATGGGATCTGGTGGAATGGGAATGGGGGAATGGCACCCGGAGCAATGGCACCTGGAGGCATGAACGGGTTGTCAGCGCAGCAGCGGCAGTTGATACTACTCCAACAACAAAGGGGAGGGATGAACCCAGGTATGGTCAACATGAATCCACAACAACAAATGGCGTACCAGCAGCAAGAGCGAATGCGCATGATGCAGCAACAACAGTCTGGTGGAGGTGGTTCTGCTCCTTCGCCGACTATGCCTGGTTCCCCGATGATGGGCTCGCCAGATTCTTTCAATGCTCTGCGCTCAAACCCATCGATGCCTGGCATAGCTCGAATCGCGCGGTCGCCGTCTGAAGGTGGGGGGATGGGTACGCCTCGGATGACACCGGCCCGGGCGCCTTCAATGGGAGGCGGCGACGACTTTTCGCGCATGATGCAGCAGCAACCTCAGCGCGGTGGCAATTTCGTCCAGACGCCACAAGGTGGCTGGCAGCAGCAGCAGCAGCCCCCGGGAATGGGAATGCCTATGGGCAATGGTATGCCTGGTGGAATGGGCATGGGCATGCCTGGTGGCCCAGGCCCAGGCCCTCGGCCGGGCAGCGCTTATGGGGGTGCACCTTCGCCGCCTGGCGGACAAAATTGGGGCCCGAACGCCGGAGGAATCTCTGACATGGGCGGTATGCCACGGCATATGTCTGGCACACCGGGTCCTGGCGGGGGGATGCAGGGCCATCAACAACAAAACCAGATGATGGGGGAAGACTTCGAGTCGTTCAATTGGTCGTAGGATCGTCGGTGCACACATACTCATAACTTTTCCCCCCTCTTACGTTTCGTGTTATATTATTCCTTTTGTGTTATGTCATATAGCCCCGTTGTTGTAGCTGCAAATCAGCGTCTCACTAAACTTTTCTCCTCTCGTGATGTCGTCTTATAAAGCTAGCGATTTGAATGGGAATCAGGCAGGCAGAATATGCATGTCTCAACGAGAACCTGGAGCAAACGGCGATGAGGTTCGCACACATGAGGCCTGCAGATTCGTCGTAGAGGGGAAATAGGATTCGCGATTTACGATGGAGCGAATGTCCGATCCAAAACCACAAATTACCTCGGCCGGTCACTGAAATGTAAAATCGACACAATGCCTCCCGGAGTATCTAGATCTTCATGTCTTCCGTTTCTCGCCAAGTTGAATCGCTTCATGCAGAATATCCCCCCAGCATTCAGGATCCTGGTAAAAATGCAACACGAGGCTTATGAATCATCTTCCTCCCGACTCTCCTTCTTCTTTTTCTTCTTCTTTTTCCTTGCCTCCTCATCACGCACCCCATCTTCATCCCGCTCCGCCGCTTTCCGCTTGCGTTTTTCTTCGATTGTTGGCGCGGCTTGTTCGGCAGGTGCAACGAAAGCCTCTGCCCGCTCTGCTCGTCGTTTTGCCGTCGTTTCGTTTTGCTAGAACAGATATGGGAAACGGCAGGCGGATCAACTTTGGGAGACCGACCTTTTGTTTTCGGCGCTCGTTCTCTCGGGCTTCTTTTTCGTGGGCCTTGAGGAAATACTCTCCGGATTCGAGTTGAAGATCGACCTGGGCAGTATGTGGTAAGTCTTACAAACTGAGCCCGGATTAAACGATCAACCTTGCGGGGCATCTGAGCAGGGGGGAACGGTGTGTACACCTTCTTTGCAGGTTTCGAAGGTCCTGCGATGGGCTCCAGCCCTGCTGCAGCACGGGCTTCGTTCTTGGACTCGATAGCCTCGTTTTTCTTGGCCGTCTTCTCCGAAGTTTTGAGATGCCGTTTGCGGAAGGACGGGAGGAATCGGTCCCATGATTCGGTGGCCAGTTTAGGGTCTTTGGCAAGCTCTCGCCTGATCATGAGCTCCTGCTGAGCATGAGTATAATCGACTTCGGTGGGATGTTGAGCTTGCCTTGATGCGATATATGGGGTGGATGTTCTTCATGCAATCGAGCACTATCCTCCGCACTTCTTTCAGCGATTTGTAAGGCCCCATGACACTGACGGTGTTTCCTTGTACGAGGACGTAGCACTGCGTCAACAACTCGATAGCCTGTAGCGCACAAGCACTATGAATACAGGCGATGGCGGGCGGCTTTTGACAAACGTACCTTGAGAGTGCTCCCATCCGGGCCAATGATCCGCTGTCTCCTCTTCACGAAGCGCTCCTTGTTGCGCACCAGATTCCCGATTTTGATGATGTCGCACGCGGTGTTGTCCTCGAGCACTTTCACAGCCTGAGTGATGGGAACGCCTCTAGCAAGTAGCTTGAGCATGTCTCGTCCCTTGAGGATGATGTACGGGTCAAATGTTTTACGGGTCGTTCGCACGGACATGGATCCGCTGACCAGATCCAGTGTGCACCCAAGGTACTATCGAATGGGTCAGCGTCTCCGGATGTACTCTGGGTGCGTCTCACATGCGCATCCAGGGCCTGTGTTACTGCACTCCAAACCTCCCGTAGATACTTTTCGCGGTACTTGGGGAAAAGCGTAGCAAAGGACGATTCTTCAAGGAATGGTTTAGCAGCGATGTAGTCTTCGCGATTGAATTGATCGATTTTCCACTGCAGAATTAAGTTTTGGAGGAGCCATAAGAGAGAAGAGTCGTCTTACGCTGTCGGAGGTGCTTCAGCGCGAGCACAAGGTTGGAAGATAAATTTGCTTACTGGTCAATGTCATCGGTATCCCATGCTGCAAAAATGAATGCTTAGCAGGGAGATCCAAACCACAGCTGGATAGACGCTTACGCTTCTCCTTTCTATGCGCCTTATTCTTATTCACCACCACTACTTCTTCCTCGCTCATGATGGTTTTGAGGAGAAGATCTTCGTCGCACAGCCACCGACGAGCTACTGTCCTTGGACATCTCCGCTCTTCAGTACCACTTCTTCTCGCCTTTCTCCAGTCCTCACCTTATCATGGACACGACAGAGGAATCCATACCCGACGCCTTATCGTACGACGACACTGCCTACGAGGATCAGCTCCCGAGTGCCGCCGAGCAAGCTCAGGCCCAAGCCTCCCTGCGCAACCGGATCGGGGCCAGCAAAGTGTACCTGCTTTCCGACGCAGTCAAAACGAAAGTCGGCGGCAAGGTGCGCCGGTAGCATGCTGGATTCGCGTGCTGTGCCAACATTGGTGTTTTTTCTTTCCACGGTAAGCGTAAACATGGAGAGGATGATGAGATGGACGAGGAGGACCCCGACATGGATGCGGGTGGGTGCTTCGAACTCAGGGTGTCTCGCGTCGTTTCTCATCCTCAGACAGACGGCGCTCTGCGAGGAAACGCGTTGCTGCTGTACGGCACGCCCATAGCCAGTTTACCCACGGCCCGCATCTTCGCGTACGCGACGCACTTCGAGACGAACCCGCTCGGGCTGGAATGGGTACGCGCAACTACGCATCTCGACTCTCATTCTGAGGTACTGACGCAGACCAGGTGGACGATGAGCGTTGTGTCCTCGTGTTCAAGTCCAAAGCCGAGGCGCGCGACGCATTCGCGTTACTGCAGAGGAATGCGGACGAGATGCCCGATGAGGAGGGCTATGTTCCAGCAAAACTGGTTCCTATCGCCGTCTGGCCGCCGGAGGAGCGTATCAACAACAGCTTGGGCGGGGGCTCCGAAATGAAGGGCTCGCTGCTCATGCGATGGGCTCGTCCAGAGGACATCAAGAAGCGCGGCGCGAGGAATCAGAGCCGGTTCTACCAGACACATGGATGGAAGGCGGGCAAGGAGGAGAGCAACTACGACGGCGCACAAACAAAGCGTCGGCGGCGGGATAGCTTTGGACGAGACGAGGCGTCCGAGAGAGCCGCTCTCGATGCGGAACTCGATGCATTCATCCGCACCGAAGATGATGACGACGACGGTCCTCCTCAACCTGATGTCGCAGCCGATGCAGGTGAAGAGACCATTCACGACGATGGGGCATCACTACTATCGAAGATGCGCTCAGATTATATCACCAACGACGGGCGGTCCCTGTTGGAGCGGACGTCTGTCATGCGTGTGCAGCCAGTAGCTCTGGAGCAGCGGCTGACGTCGCCGGTGCCACGACGGGCTCAGGGGACCATGTACGCTGACATGCTGGAGGATCGCGTCAGTCACAAGCTGGTAATCGCATCGGACTCGAGCCTGCAGTGGGGGCGAGAGCGGAAGAGTCGGCCCTCGACTAACGGCAACTCGCGTAGGAGGGACTCGGGCAGACAAATTCGGGGCGAAAGGAATCGAAGGCCGGAGCGATCTCAGGCGACCCGAGAAGATCTGGACGCAGAACTGGATGCTTTCCTTTCTGAGGATAAATTCTAGAAAGTCGACTGTACTGTTGTTGTATCTCATTTGAAACCCCCCATTCTCCCAGTCTTGTCATGCACCGTGCTTGTCCTGAGCGATGCTACCTCTCGGAAGTCGTCTCAGCACAAGTGACATGAGCCCCTCTGGCTTGCAGGGATGAACGGGTAGCTTGCCGCCTACTTTGATTCTGAGCGTATTCGAAAATCAGCATAACCCTTCCTCATTGAACGTACCTTGCCTCTTGTAGCGCGATTTTGTAGAAGTGCGTCTGGCGCTATCGAACTTCGTTCAATGCGGAGGGAGTGCGATTGAAAAGTGGGGGAGCGTATCTCTCTTGAGCGCGATCACGGTCTCGGGCGTCCATACGACCACGGCGACTTCTCATCGCATTTGCCGCCTGATTTCGTTCCACGCTAGAATCATCTGTGAACATTGCTAGAGCTCAGTGACAGTGTCCAAGTCTTCATTAGCCTTCCAAGATCACTGATCATCACGTCTGCGCATCCCACAACCCCGAGAGGCGGACTCTGGCACCCACAATATCGCCGTATGGAAATACTTCCAGCAGAATGTCCGAGATCTGCGGCGTCCATGCGGTAAAAGCGAGAATGACAGGAGCGATAGAGTAGTGCTGGAGACTCACTTTGGGATGTGTCTTGGTCTGCAACGAAGATATAGATGTCAGCTCCACCGAAGACACGTGAACTTTACCTCATTAGAATCAAAGCACAGGACCTGCAGCCCTCCCAAAGTTGCTGCTCGTCAAAGTAGGAATAGCCGATTCAGTATTCAATTCGATAGTAATAGTTGGGAGAAAAGAGGTAGTCGACAGCACGGCGAACGCAGCGAACCATTTTTGCGACATACCATCGAGAGCACAAACGAGCCATGAGCCGACGCCCAATGGCTCTGACGGCGTTCGGAAATGTTTCCAACGTTCGACAAACGGAGGTGGCAGGTTATCCCAGAGATTCATTCCCAGCTGTCTGGGAGAATTTTCACGCGCAGGAGCAGGAAGATTGCGCACCTCGGAGTCGTACTCTTGCCGCATCGAGCGCAGCAGCTCGAGCGCGTCCGAGGCTGTGAGACGAGAGGTAGGGTCCCAGTGGACCATGCCGTCGATCAGAGGGGCGAGAAGAGGGGCCACAGGTGTGAAGTGCTGAGACAGTTGAGCGATTTTCGAATCGAGAGACCAATACTCACATGGAATAAAGCCCTGAGGTCGGCGCCAAGGGAAGCCACGTCCGAAGCGAAGGGATTGAACTGATATTCTCCGAGGCAGATATCGACCGGTGGCGCGGGCATGCCGTAGTATTTGGACCAGGGAGACCGCGCTCTGGAAAGGGAAACATCGGCTGGAAAGATCACAGATAGGTTGTAGTCAAAAATCCCCGTTTTAATCTGGTTGTTGGCGAGCAAAGCACAGCGAGTAGGGATGTCAGCATGATAATGATCAACCGCGAGATGGTTGACAAGGACATTGGAGAACCCCCGGATGTCCTGGCCAAGAAATGAGCGGGGGTACCGATAGCATAATGTAAGATCGCACTCGGTGAACGATGCGATGTTCGTGAAGGAAGGCCAGGCCTGAAAGAAGGTCCTCAAAGAGGTCCAAAGTCTGCCGGATGTTCCTCGGCCAAAGACACTGCGTGACAACCCCTTCATCCCAACTGGGGAAGCGAGTCAATTTCGCAAGCAGTCTGCACTGAACGCAGAGACGCACCGGGGCATCACCGCAAGCCAGTGCCCCCGAAACGGAAGCATTTCCAAGACGGGCACCAGGCCCCGGATCTCTTTGTGCGCGCTGAGAAGCTTCAGGGCCCTATGCTCCGGACTTCCGTTGCGCACGAGCTTGAACGCAACATGATGCTCGTGGCAAGCGGTTTCCTGGCCGAAAAACACTTTGCCCTGGACAGCTGACATGAGTAGCGTCGATATCAGAGACTCCGGAAAGTGCCCACAGCCGACTGCGCCAGATACGGCCTTTTCTCCGATTGACCGACGCGCTCGTACTCCGAGTCGGTGCCTTCAATAAAGGCAAACCGTTGGTCTGCAGGAAAGCCCGGAGCGCTTTCGAAAGCGGGATACATGAAGCAAACTCTATCCTCCGGGTCCCATTCGTGGATCGTGTCGAGGTTTTCAATAGTGTTGAGTGTGTAGCCGTGCTCTAGCAAATAGGCCCGGATGGGACCATCCCAAAAGATCATTCTCTTCATGATATCGAACCCCTCAGTGTATATGGATATGGACTCGTCTAGGGAGAAGGGGATGGTGATGTCGTTGTCGTCCATATCGTCGGTCTCGGTGCCAGATTGAGTGATATGTGCACCAACGAAACGAATGGGGTCACGCGGCGGACCCACGCTCATGTCACGAATCGTTACGCGACGTGATCTTTGTACACATTTGGTCGTTCGCGATGCCTTGCTTTCTGAGATCCAGCATTGACGCAGAAAACCGTCCCCAATACATTTGAACACCATATAGGTACCACATATGTAGATATCTTAAAATAAAAATGTAAGATACGGTACATGATTATCGTATAGATATATGCTCGTTAAATGTCCTCCGATTTAATCACGGTTTGCTCATCATGAGATAGCATTTCGTTCCACTTGATGACTTTGGGATGCGCCTTGACCTGTAACGAAAATATTTAGACCAGCTCCAACGAAGAGACGTAAACTATACCTTATTGGAATCAAAGCGCAGCACCTGCAGCCCTCCCAAAGTCGCTGCTCGCGAAAGCGCCACATACGACTGGCCTGCGTTAACAGCACGAGTAAGCGAGAGCCCACAACCCACTCAGACTAAGTAGTAGACACACACCTTTCTCAAAGACCTTGCCGAGGTCAATCTTGACGCGATGTATCGTCTGTCCCTGACTCTTGTGGATCGAAATCGCCCAGGCGAGAATCAGCGGGACCTGCATCCGGCGCGCCAGGACAGCGCCCTGGGCATCTTCTATCCGGAACTCGTCACGGATCAGCAGGACGATCTCGGTGTCCGATCCATCCAAAGCCGGGAACTCCACGAGCGGATATCGCTCCTCGTGCTTTTCCTTCGTCTTGCCCTTGACGTCCTCCACGGGCAGGTTCTCCTTTTCCGCTTTCGGCGGCTTAGGTATCGGCGTCCTCCCATCGTCCATCACCTGAACATGTCGCGTGGGACCGTTTCCCTTGACCGCGGTCTTCCCACTGACCTCGCTGGGCCGAAAGAACCCGAGCACCTTCCCGACCGAGCCGTTGACCAACCGCTCATCGAGGTTCTTGATCAGCATGACCTGCGCGCCGACCTTGACGTCCAGGCTCGCCGGCGCCATCATGCTCTCGAGGAGCTTCGCCCGCTTGTCGGCCGGTGCCGTGCCCGTGTCGCGCGATGTGAATGCCATTTTCTCGGTCGTGAGGGCGGCGAGACGCGCCGAGTTCGCTTTGTCGACTTCGCTGCGGAGGGGGAAGAGCTCTGTCGGAAGGATGCCTGCAGGGTCCGGAGGAAGCGGGCGCTCGAGCGTCTTGAACGTCGCCGCCGCGGCTGAGGTGATGTTCCCGAGCCGGAGCTGATTAAGTAGGTTCACGAATTCTGGGGCAAATGACGTGAGACTGGGGGAACGCGAGCGATATGAGCCGCTGTAGTGCGCACCATCGTCCCTCTGCCGGAAAACTTGGCTCAAAGTCAGTGTGCGGTCGATGCAGCGGCCCCACTCCTCGACTTCGAACGCGAAGACGGGTGCACCATTCTTTGACACGGGCGGAAGCTGGAAGAAGTCCCCAGTGATGACCAGCTGGATCCCTCCGAACGGGCTCTCGTTCTTCCTCAAGTGTTCCGCAATCTTGCAGATCCGCGTGAACAGCGGCCCGTCCACCATAGATACTGAGCATCGAGTCAGGGGCGCCGTACTATGACAGGCAGAGTACAGACAGACCCTCGTCAATGATGAGCACCTTGGTCTTCTGCCACCGCTTCAGTGCCGGCCGGCATTTCTTGATACATCGGATCTGGAACTCAAATTCGGACGGTGTGGGTGATACGGCACCCCATGCGTGGATAGTCATCCCTGAATCGTGTCAGTCCCCTCGCGCCACACCGCCGAAACCACACGCCGCCACGCACCTCCGATGTTCGACGCTGCCATCCCTGTGCTTGCCGTGACCGAAACGGCATCCGCGGCCTTCCCATGCTTCTTTTTGAGAGCAGCGATGATAGCGCGCAGCAGGAGCGATTTTCCCGTGCCTGGAAATACGTTACTGAGACGCAGCCCAGACCCGATGACAGGGGCACGGACCTGCGCTCCCCGTGAAGAACACACTCCGCCCCTCGTCCACGACCTGTCTCAGGATCGCCGCCTGCTCGGAGTTGAGGGCGACGGGGCGCCTGTCGTCGGCGTGCGCGGAGCTGGCGGGGGCGAGGACTCTGGGCGCGAAGAAACTGTCGAGCGTCTGGCGCGGTTTCTTCGGCGGGTTCTTCGATGTCGAGGGAAGACCGCTGTCCGATTTTCGTTTCTTGCCGAGGGCGACTGGCATTAGGCCAGGACGTCAAGAAACCTCGTACTGTCGTTTGGACAGGATAGAGGAGGGTGCGGTTAACGACTCGGTCTGAAAACAATGCGCGTGACATTCTCGTGACCGCTCCCTGTCTGGATCATGTGTCAGGGATCAGATGGATCAGATCTGTCAGTGTCATGATCGTTGATCGAGCGGCTGCACTCAATTTTTCCTTACAACGACCAGACGATGGCGGAACATTTCGACTCTCGACGGCTGGTCGGGATACGGGCGGAGCGCGTCACGGACGTGTCGAATCGCGAGTTCCCCGGGCACTACCCCGGGGAGGATCTGTCCTGGGACCTCGAAAAATTTCGCCAGGTGCGGAGCCTCGCGCGCTGCTGCCGCCGCCGCAAGCACAGTAACTGACGGGGGTTCGCTTCGACAAGGGCAGAACTTGACAGTGAAGATCCAACGCGCGTCCGCCCGATCGATCGACTTCGACCTCGTTGGCGTCGACGCGTCCATCGCCAACGCCTTCCGGCGCATCCTAATCGCGGAGGTATGCGTTTCCGCTCCCGAGCCCCTCACCGACCCACCAACGCGTGCTAGGTCCCAACACTCGCGGTCGAGAACGTGTACGTGTACAACAACACGACGGTGATCGTCGATGAGGTGCTCGCGCACCGCATCGGGCTCGTCCCGCTGAACGTCGACCCGAAGGACATGGAGATGCGCACGGACGACGAGGAGTCGACCGACCGCAACACGCTCGTGTTCAAGATCGACGTGACGTGCACGCGGCGGCCGGACGCGCCAAAGGACGCGACGGACCCCGCGCTGCTGTACGAGAACCACGAGCTGCTGTCGGGGCACATGGTGTGGGAGCCCGTTGGCGAGCAGGACGAGTTCTTCCGGGACAGGCCGCCCGCGCCGCTGAACCCGAACATCGTGCTGGCGAAGCTCCGGCCCGGGCAGCAGGTCGAGATGACGCTGCATGCTGTCAAGGGCGTCGGCAAGGACCACGCCAAGTTCAATCCCGTCGGTGCGTCGCTCCCTGCATGCTGAGATCGCACTCACTTACCGAGCCCCACCAGCGACCGCCTCTTACCGCCTCCTCCCCCACATCATCATCAAAAAGCCGATCCCGCCCGACCTGGCGGACAAGTTCCAGAAGTGCTTCGCGCCGGGCGTCATCAAGGTCGACCCGCGCACGAAGGCGGTCAGCGTCGACGACGCGAAGAAGCGCAACGACACCGTCAGCCGCGAGGTGCTCCGGCACCCGGAATTCGACGGCGCCGTCGAGCTGAGCCGCGTGCGCGACTACTTCCTGTGTGCGTGTCCCATATTTTAATATTTTATTTTGTGCGCTACCCCGCTGACCGGCGAGACAGTCAACATCGAGTCGGAGAGCGCGATCCCGCCGCAGCGGCTGCTGCTCGAGGCGATCGGCGTCATGCGCGGCAAAATCAGCACGATCCGGCAGGCGGCGGCGGCGCTGCTAGATCAGTCCGGCGGGGACGTCACGATGGGCGACTAGATTTCGTGTTTGTATGCTGTTTTATGACTTGCGTGGCCAGCTGTGATAATGCGAAGCGCTGTACTTGCTTGCACTGAGCGTTGACTCGGATTCAGACTCGCAAGTTCGACGACTGCATTTGGAATGCAACCCCGGGGTGCCTGAACGTGAACACGCATCCATCTCCGCCTCGTAGGTGAGTTCATGCGCCTTGCCACTGACTAGACTGCCTGAGGCCAACAATGCACGCCAAGGCGCACTGGAGAACCCTCTCTGATGACCCATCACGCTTTGAACTGGGATTTCCTTTTTCGGGAGGTATGACTGCTCGCTTCGCTCGCAACAATGGCATGACAATGCTATCATGGCTTGGGCACGGTTCGAAGCCCACATAAATAAGGCGTCCTTCAGCTGGGTGGATTCCCCATCTGCTCCCAGACACACTCCACTTGCCACTTCTGAAAAAGAATACATAACCATGGATCACGTCCACGAAATCGAACTCGAGTCCGACTCGAAGCCGGACCTGTTCGACCTCAGCAAACCCGGTGCCCTGCACCTGGACCTCCCAGCCGCGGCGTCTCCCGCCGCTACCGCCACCAGCACCACCAGCACCACCGGCGCAACGACTCCGCCGCTCACCCTCCGCCGCCGCAACGTGCCCGACGTCCCGCGCGACGTGAGCGAGAACGAAGACGAGGACGACTTCCTGCTCGAGCATCTCAACGACCCGAACCTCGACCTGCGCCAGGTGCGCAGCGACGCCGGCGCCGCTGCGGAGGCCCTCGAGCTGACCCCGCGGCCCAAATCCGTGACGTCGTCGACCAAGACGGGCGCGAGGCCCTCCGAGCTGGAGTCGGGGGCTGGCGGCTCGTCGGCGGTCGAGTGGGATGAGTAAGTCTTGCTCGTTGTTTTGATATATTCTGTGCGGTGTCTGATAAAGGTGCCAGCGAATCGCCGTATGCCGAAGTGCGGATGGCGGTGTCCAAAGTCGACGACCCGACGATGCCGGTCAATACCTTCCGGATGTGGTTCCTCGGACTCATCTTCACCGTCGTGCTCTCGGCATTGAACCAGGTTTTTGAGTATCGCTGTAAGGACATGTTTGTGTCAGCCATCCTTTTTTTTGTTGTTTGACGCGCGTTTGCAGCTCCTTCGCTGTTTGTGACTGGGCTCGTGGGACAGCTGGTCTCGCTCCCTGCTGGGAAGTTCCTCGAGTGGGCGCTGCCCAGCACGACCTTTGTCACCCGTGGGTACGCCTGGTCGCTCAACCCGGGTCCATTCAACATCAAGGCAAGCCGATTTCCGTGCCTGTTCTGCCTGCCACCTAACCGCACGCCCAGGAACATGTGTGCATCACGACGATGATCAACGTCGCCTACAACGGCGCGATCGCGACGGACGTCCTGGCCACGCAGCAGACCTTCTTCCACGAACGCATCTCCTTCGCGTACCAGGTCCTGCTGATCCTCGGCACGCAGACGGTCGGCTTCGCGCTGGGCGGGCTGCTGCGCCAGTTCGTCGTGTACCCGTCGTCGATGCTGTGGCCGACGAACCTCGTGAGCTCGGCGCTGTTCAACACACTGCACACGACGTACGGCGCGCGCGAGCGCGGGCACATGACGCGCCAGCGCTTCTTCGCGCTCATGTGCGCGGCGAGCTTCGTGTGGTACTGGGTCCCCGGGGTCCTGGTCACGTCGCTCAGCTTCTTCACGTGGGCGTGCTGGCTCGCGCCGAACGACGTGCGCGTCAACGCGCTGTTTGGCGGTGTGTCCGGGCTCGGGTATGGGATCGTCTCGTTTGACTGGACGGTGATCTCGTTCTTTGGGAGTCCGCTGGCCACGCCGTGGTGGTCGACGATGAACGTCATCGCTTCGGTCTTTCTGTGCTTTTGGATTGTGACGCCGATCATCTACTGTATGCTGCCGCATTCAACTCGTTTCTTCTATCCGCTTACCTCTTCGCCAGTCAGCAACACATTCTTCACATCCTACCTCCCGCTGTCCTCGTTTCTCGTCTTTGACAACACCGGCGCACCGTACAACACGACGGCCGTGATCGTCGACGGCGTGTTTGACGCCGCGGCCTATGAGGCCTACTCGCCCGTCTTTCTGTCGAGCGCGATGTGCGTCGGCTACTTTGTTGCGTTTGCCACCTTTGCGTCGTTGTTTTCTCATGTCTATCGTGCGTCTTATCTTTGTTGCCATCCCCGCACATTCAAACTGACATGCTTCCCCAGTCTGGCACGGCCGCGACGTCGTGCGCCGCTTCCGGTCGACGCTGCACACCGAGCGCGACGTCCACTCCCGCCTGATGCGCGCCTATCCCGAAGTTCCGTTCGTGTGGTACGCCGTGGCCGGTGCGCTGTCCGCCATCTACATCCTCGTCGCAGTGACCCTCGTCCCGGGCGATGCGGGGCTGCCGATCTGGGCTGCCCTCCTGGCGCTGCTGCTCGCGAGCCTGCTCGCGCTGCCGCTGTCGATCATCAAGGCGATCACGAACCAGTCGATCGGGCTGAACGTGATGGAGGAGATCCTCGCGGGCTACCTCGTGCGCGACCGGCCCGTCGCGAACATGATCTTCAAGGCGACGTGCCTCGCGGGGACGCAGCAGGCGACGAGCTTCGCGGGCAGCCTCAAGCTCGGGCACTACATGAAGATCCCGCCGCGCACGATGTTCGCGGTGCAGATGGCCGCGGTCGTCGTCACGTGTGTCGTCGTCACGGGCGTGAACAGCGTCGTGCTCTCGAATGTGCCCGGGATCTGCACCGACGCCGCGCCGAGCGGCTTCGTGTGCCCCTCGACGCACGTGTTCTCGGATGCCGCACTGCTCTTCGGCGGCATCGGCCCCGCGCGCATTTTGTCCGGGACGTACCGCCACCTGCTGTGGGGCTTCCCCCTCGGCCTCCTCGCGCCGCTCCCGCTCTACCACCTCGCGCGCCGCTTCCCGCGCAGCCCGCTCCGCTTCGTCAACTTCCCGGTCTTCTTCGGCGGCGTCGCGGCGATCCCGGCCGTCTCCGCGTACAACTACGCCGCGTGGGGCCTCGTCGCGTTCGTGTTCAACTTCTGCGTGCGCCGCGCGCACTTCCGCTGGTGGATGCGCTACAACTACCTCCTCTCCGCCGGCATGGACGCCGGCCTCGCGCTCGCGTCGATCGTCGTCTTCTTTGCGGTTGCGCTGCCGGGCGTGCAGCTCAACTGGATTGGGAACACGATCTGGATGAATACGGCCGATGCGAGGGGGCTGCCGCTGCGCACTGCCAACGGGACCTTTGGGCCCGCCACTTGGTGAGCGCCGGCTCCTGAACCCCCTTTCTGCTCGCACACTCCTTGTTTCTGTCATACTCACGCTCACTTATCTCTCTGTATCGCATGTGTCATACTTACACTCATTCCCGTCATACATACATTCCTTCCTGTCCTCTCATGTACTCAAGATATACCAAAAAAAAAAGCAGCACCCTTTACCTTTATAATCCGGATCTCGAGGATCCAGTCCTGTGAATCGATTCTTTTCCCTTCAATTCGCGCGACAGAACAAAACGAGATTTCGAATCGCTGAAGGAAATCCTTACACAGAGATTTAGCGTTGTGTATCCGTCTGACACAGGATACTCTTGCAGCAGAAGTGCCGCTCGAACTTCAGCTGTAGCGTATTTTATAGTCCCTTGCTCGAGGTATTCACATTACGAAATATATGGAACCGCAATCGTCACTTCTCAAATAACACACCAAGCAAAACTACAGCAACTCATGCAATGCCCGGTCATACTGGTGCGGAAGATGTGCACTGCAGAGACGTGAGCCACATGCACAAAGCAGCCGGAAGCACTGGACCCGTCGGGACGCACCTGAGCATGTCCTTCGCAAACACAATCTGGCCAAACACCTTCTCCACATCCAGCACCTCGAACAGCCTTAGCTTGTCCGCCTTGCCCGTCTGCCGGTGCTTCGGCGAGAAATCGTTGTCGCGCATCGCCCAGAGCACCCGGCCGGGCGGCACCATATTGGACATCGTCATGTTCGCCTCGAGGGTTTTGCGGACCGAGATGAACTGCGAAGAAGCATGAAAATCACAGAGCCACAAGCCGGGTAGCACCCACCCAATTCATGTCACCGCCGTCCCCCGCCTTCCAACGCTTTGCTTTCTCAGTCACGGCCGCGGACCCCGAAGCCGCGTCCGCGTCTCCCTGCCCGTCCCCCTCGCAAAGCCACATCGCAGCGGCAGCCAGATCTCGCACGGCGCCGAGCGACAGCCGCGCGACGATGTCGTGCGAGTACACGAAAGACGTGATCAGGTGCTCGGCCCGCTTGCCCAGCGCCGCGTCCACCAGAGACGGCGGCGCGAAGCAGAACACGGAGACGCGCCGGCCGACGGGCAGCCCGCTCGAGTGCACCGTCAGGCACGTCTGCGGGTCCGCCCACATCAGGCCTAGCAGCCCGGCCACGCCCGCGCCGAGACTGTGTCCGCACAGAACCAGCTCTATGTAAAATGTCATTACTCGCGAGAATGCCTGCCGAAGAGGACACACGCACCGTATCCGGGATTGTGATAGAGCGCTTCGTGGACAGCGAGCTGCACCGGCTTTCCGATTCCCCCCATCGCTTGTGCCATCCGCAGCATCCCGCCGTGGGCGTGATGAGACGTTGAGTCGGACCGGCGCGGGAACGCGAATTGGCCCGGGACAGGATCGTCCTCGACCACACCGGTCGTCGCAACCACAAACGGCTCCTCCTCGCAGGTCAAATCGACCGCGATCTCGTTGAGCGACATCGTGCCTGTGTATTCCTCTTAGCAAACTAGCAAGCGGCCAGAAATAAACAAGTTACCTCGCAAAACAAGCACGATCTGACCTCTGCTGTGGTCGGTGAGAACCCAGTACCTCGGCATAAGATGCTCAGTCCCGATCTTCGCCGTGGCGCGTACCGTCTCGGCCGAGGTGTTGGCATATCGCTCAAAAATCTCGTGGTCGTGTTTACCCAGCAGCACATCCCACCATGAATACTGCGGCTTCGCATCGACCGCTGCGGAATCACCACCCACCGCCTCGGCCTCCGATGCGTCGATGGCTTGAGCGAGGTTGGCCTCCTCAGAGGCTGTCGACGTCGTTGGACCGCTCAAGGAGACACCGAAGAAGAGCAGACTGGCTCCGCCGTAGCCAGCGAGTACGAGTTTAGACAATCGCCGTAGTGTCGATTTCAGCTCAGTATTGGGGACGAAGGGCCGTTTGGTAGTGGATGTACGCCCAGATGCGAAGAAAGATTGGGCCCGTGCTTCGCCGATATCCGCAGCCAGCAGCTGTCCTCTGTTGCCCGAAAAGACGACGTCCGACGTGACGCGGATCCGCGATCCGCTGAGAGCATGCAACACACGAATGAGCGTTCCGTCTAATTCAAGCGCAGCGCCGCCACTCACCGACGCGTGCGCTCCACGCCTCGCGATACTGAATCCTTCACATGCATCTCGCGCACGTTCTCGAGCCACCGCGCCTCGTCCCACTCCCGCGTGGCGCCCTGCAGTGCCGCCCACGCGACCATCGCACGCGCGATCTGCGCGAACCCGAACCGCGCGTAGCCCGCCGGGAGGCAGTCCGCCGCCGCGGGCGCGGCGAGCTCGCGGCGGACGAGCGTGAGGAACGACGCGAGCGAGAAGGACGCCTCGCTGCTCCCGGGGATGATGTGCGTCAGGACGTTGATCGAGCTGTGCGCCGCGAGCAGGGACGCGCTGGTGATGTACTCGCTGATGAAGATCGGCTTTCGGGGAGGGGGGAAAGAGACATTCGTTCAGGATCGCGCGCTCGTGCGGTGGATGGCAGGACGGGGCTCACCGCTAAGGCCACCTGCTCGGCGAGCCCGAGGATCGTCGAGACGACGCCGCCGCCGACGGGCCGCGCGACAGGCAGGCCGCCGAAGAGGGTGTAGTCCACGACGGACGCGCTCGCGTTGACCGCGGCCGACGCCACGCCCCGCGTCGCCGCGAATCCCAGGCGCGTGCCGACCCTGAGCGCCGAGAACGTCGCGGAGGCCGCGACGGACGCGAGATCGATGCCCTGCCGGCCGAGTGTGTCCCAGCCCATGGTGGATCAGGTCGAGTCGTGGGGGGGTGTCGTCTGCATGAGGCAGGCGCAGGTGAAATGCTGCGGGAGAGAGGCGAGTGCACGGTGCCATGTGATACTATCGCACTGCGCGCGAGCAAGCACGGACAAGCAACGCCTGTCGTCCGCATTAGGAAGGTGAGCTGGTGCATTGCAGCTGCTTTGACTCCAAGGTGCGACGCGACGCGACAGAGGGTGACAGATGGAATGATGGCTGGAGTATTACAAGTACAGACGATGTGATAAATAGACCGAGTAGATAAAGTAAGATACATATCTAGAGTAGCAACAAGAAAGCAACAGGACACAGAACCGACGAACAGATCAGCCACCTCCCCCAGTGCCCCGTCTCCGCCGTGTCGTCCGTTTCGAAGGCGGTTCTGCGACTGCGCTAGCCGCATTGTCGGCCGGGATCTTCCGTTTAAGCGTGGCATTAGGCACGGGGGGAGTGCCCGTCGGGGTTGACGGGGCAGCAGACACGGCCGCAGCAGCGGTTGCTTTTGCCGGAATCATCTTGTGCTGCTTTTGAGGGGAGTTGTGGGCCGAAGGCGGCCCGTTCTGCGGCGAGCTTGTCGAGGCTGGCGTCTGTGCTGCATTTATGACAGACGACGGCGCGCTAGAGTACAATGTGTTGCCCTGCGCAGGTTGCCCTGCAAGTCCGAAGAATGCCCCGGGATTGCTCGAGAGGAGCCCAGGTTGCTCTTCACGCAATTTCTGGGCAAACGCTTTTAAAGCGTCTAGAAAGGTTCATCGATATGAGCCTCCAGTCCGAAGGAAAAAACGAGCAGAAACCTACCAATCGGGCCAACAGTCTGGTCTCTGGCATAAGATATCAACTCTGCCATTTGTCCAACGCTCTCAGCCAACTGCAAAAAAAGTATAAGAATCCAAGAAGGAATGGTGAAGAAAAGACTGCACGCACCTCTAGACAGCGCATAGTGGCCTGCGGAATGCCAAACCCATTCACAGGCTCTCCTGGATCGAACCAGTCTCAATCGGCACTCTCGGCTCGCCACGGTCCTCGTCGCCCCCGGCAGGAGGAGACGGATCATCTCCTCGCCGCTGGTCTGGCACGGGTCTGCGGCCGAGGATGGAATCGATCAGGACATACTTGTCGTGTGACGTGGCATCAAACTCGAGATCGTCGAATTTGAGCACAAACGGCGTTGCACTGGTCGGGGAAAGAGAACACATCACAAGACGTGCTTTTAATGGCCCGCGCAGAGTGACGACATGCCCGTTGGTGTATCGGCATGTCCATTCTGCAGCAACGCACTCGACGATGGCATGCCCGGGGGAGGCTACTCTTTCTCGTGCACCATCGAGAGTCAGCGACATCGACTTGACACCAGACTGCGTGGTGACAAGAAAGAATCGTGGGAGGATGGGAACACCGATTTCTGGTCACTATTAGCTTTCACGCAGACATCTTCCACTGCACGACGCACCGAAAGGCTTGGCCTCGTTTTTCATGCTATCTCTCCACAACGTCAACTTCATGACCGCTTTCGGCGTGAAGTACTCTCGTATCACCAGGTCCCAGTAGGAAACCTGCATTTTTTGACTCTGGGATTGCATTAGATTTCGCACAAAAGTCTTTGCGGGGTAACGCACTTGAGCCTGGGGGTTGATGGAGCCCAAGATTCCACTGAACTGCATCATCCGTAACACCCCTTGCCCGTATCCAATCGAGTACAACAAGGGATTGGCTGTCATGCGAGGGACCGGGGGACCTGGAGCCATTTCTGGAGGAGAGGCAGAGCCTGTCATCATCGTTCCATCGGAGCTCCCAGGTGCTGGAGGTCGAGGCGCTATTGCCGCCGGAGCAGAAGAGTTGGACGGTGGGGTGCCTTGAGCTGGAGAGGGCTGCATTGGCACCCGCCCTGGACGAGGCGTCAGGGTTCTTCCGGTGGGAGGTCCCGAGGGTGGCGGCTGTGATTCAGGACGGAGATCGTGGTGTTGGGGGGAGTGCTGCGGCGCACGGGTCTGTTGTTGCTGTGATGGAGGCCGGGGAGACATAAAGCCATAGTTTTCGTTGCTGTGATTCATCGACAGCTGCTGCGCTGGCGTGGGAGGAAATGCTCCCGGTGCGCGACCAGGTGTACTGCCTGAAGGAGGAAACGATTCGTTCATATTCAGTGGCGGAGTCGAGGAAGGTGGGAATGGGAATTGTCCGTTCCCCATCATCGGTCGCTGTTGGAACTGATTATGGGAATACTCCATGTCAAACATATGCGCCGGGGCCCGTTGTTGTTGTTGCTGGCCAGTCGGAAGGTTCATCACAGGCGTGTGCGTGCGTGGAGATGATGGAGGAGGAGGACCAGGATTCGGGAATGCATTCGCCGACATGTTCGATGGTTGAACTTGGTTGAGAGAAGGCGGCTGGCTCAAACTCGCCATGGGCGTCCCTCGCACTGGGGTAGGAACCATGCCAGACCGCATCATCTCAACCCGTTGCTGCTGCTGTTGTTGGTGCTGCAGACGTAGCATGTGTTGTTGATGCATTTGATGCTGCTGGTGCTGGTGCTGCTGCTGTTGCTGCTGCTGGTGCTGCTGTAACTGCTGGTGCTGCTGCTGCATCATCGACGGAGGCATCCCTCCCATCCCACCGACAGGGTTCGATACAACGCGTCGCACACCACCCATTCCACCCGACGGCATCATCCCAGCCGGAAAACCCATTCCTCCTCCTGGCATCTGAGGATTGCCCTGAAGTCCACCCATACCACCCATTGCCGGGTTCATGCCAGGTGGCCGTGCGCTTGGACCTGGTCGCATTGCCATGTTACGAGGGACCATGGCGGCATGTCCTTGCGGGAAGCGCATATCTGGACCACCTGGAAGCATCCCCATTGGTGGGTTGGGTCCACCGTGGGGGTTGGGGGGTTGTGGCTGCATGAAGGCAGCGTTGTTGAGGCCAATCATGTTGGGAGCGGTGGACTGGCGAATCATGGGGTTGTTCATGTAGGGGTCGATTTCAGAAGTTGGGAAGGCTGAGGGGTCTGCGGAAAGATATTGGCCAGAAGCTGACATGCAACTACTGAACTGCAGTCGCTAAAAACCGCCCGTCTGCCCAAGCGAGCAGCCTTCGATGGAGCGTGGTGGGAAGACGAAAGGGCCTTGAAATCTCGACGATCGCCGGCGCAAGTCACAGGTATTCGTGCAGGTATGAGATTGTCGAGGAAACAGTGGGCGTGTCGAATGGTGCGGCGTGGGGGAGAGATCGTCCGAAGAGTTGGTGTATTAGCGACCACGTGCCCAAACAGCCCTCGGCTCGGAGTCGAAATTCAATTCTTTCCCGCCTTCACCCATCAACTCACCCATCCCTCGGCCATGGTTCGAAAACTCAAGTACCACGAGCAGAAACTGCTGAAAAAAGTCGACTTTTTGAATGTAGTGCAAATCTCTTTTCATCTGTCTCTTTTTTTGAACTCAGTCAGTGGAAACAAGACGCCAATCTTCGAGAGATAAAAGTTATGCGCCGCTATCACATACAGGATCGCGAGGATTACCACAAGTGCGTCGAAGCCTCACCGACCACGACCTGCCTTTTACACTGTCTTTAGATACAACAAGTTGTGCGGCTCTCTACGCTCTTTCGCCCACCGTGTCTCCATGCTTCCCGCACAAGATCCGGTCCGTGCGCGAATGGAGGCCCAGCTGCTATCCAAGCTATACGATATGGGTGTCCTCAACTCGTCTGCAAAGCTCAGTGACGTCGATAACAAGCTCACTGTGGCCGCCTTCTGCCGCAGACGGCTAGCAGTGCAAGTGTGCATGCTGAAGATGGCAGAGACCGTGAGCGCGGTGAGTTTATTGCTCAAATTCAAATTATGCTTCTGGCCCGGTTTCTCATTCGAGAGGGTTTTAACTTATACAACTCAGGCAGTCAAGTTCATCGAGCAAGGGCATATTCGTGTTGGGCCCGACACTGTTTCCGACCCAGCGTACCTGGTGACTAGGTGTGTTCCAGGAGCATCGCGCACTGTATCCAGGACTAATTTGCACCCCGCTCAAGGCACATGCAAGACTTTGTAACCTGGGTGGATACATCGAAGATGAAGCGTACCATCATGAGATACAACGACGAGGTCCGCTCTTATCTCTCCGTCTGAGATATTCTATTGACCTGTTTTCTAGTTGGATGACTTCGACTTGCTGTAAACTCACTTTCACCTCGACATTGCGCCACATTCCATCTTGGTGTCTGCTCCATCATCCGTCATCCGTCTCGCCCTTGAACCCTGTTTTGGGGTGATCCATCTCGATTTTTGCCTCTGGCAAAGGCTTCAGACTTTACAAGCAGATCGACGGGAGGATTTGCATGGCTTTTGCTCCCATGCTACGATTATCAAATAGAGCGCGCTCTGCCGTCATACTTTCACGTGCTACATCATTAGGCCTTCCCATGGGGTGACCAATCCTCACATCCCTGCGTGTAAATAGACCAGCGGATACTCAGAGTTCATACATAATGGAGATTTGCTGTTCAACGCTCTGAGGATTCAGCATGTGGGTTGTCGAAAACAAAAACAATGGAGAGCAACACAGCCACATTCTCTAAGCTTGTCGTCAGGCCGGAAGCTTTGTTGACTTGTAACACCACCACGCCTAATTTTTCTTGGGTCCCGACGTTCCTGCAAATCTAGACGCGCCGTAGCGCACTAAACACCCGACACGATGGCGGAGGCTGGCGATGGAAACATCAAAGTAGTCGTGCGATGTCGGCCCCTCAACTCTCGCGGTGCGTGGGCCGGTCGGAGGACGAGCACCATCCCCACTCACCAGCTAGCTCGACTGCAGAACTCGCTCGCGGGGCGAAGCCCCTCATCCGCATGCAAGGCAACCAGACCATCATAGACCCGCCCGAAGCCGGCAGCGCGCAGGACTCGAAGCGCTCGACGGAACGCAAGAGCATCCCGTTCAGTTTCGACAAGAGCTATTGGTCTGCTGGGCCGCGCGATGAGCCCGGCTACTGCTCGCAGCAGATTCTGTACGAAGATGTGGGGGTGGAGCTCCTTGACCATAGTTTCAACGGATTTAACGCGTGTATCTTTGCCTGTGCGTCGCGCTCGTGATAATCTGTGCCTCAGCTGATGCTCGTTCTCAGATGGCCAGACTGGTGTGTGGACTTGTGACTCCGAAATGGCGCGTGCACTAACCGTCGACAGGGTCTGGGAAATCTTATAGGTGCGTCTGCCATCTCATAGACGCTTATTTCATCGCGCTCAATGGAATACAGTATGATGGGGTGTAAGCTTTCCTGTGCGGGCGATTTTCGACATCCATTGACAAAACGAGACAGACGGTCCTGACAAGGGTATCATTCCCCTCACTTGTTCGGAACTCTTTGTGAGAGTGAATCAGAAGAAGGCGGACGACCCAAATGTGAACTTCACGGTTGAAGTGTCCTACATAGAAGTGAGTGATTTGTGTGGAACGAGTTGAGTCATCTTCTGACCCCGCCTAGATCTACAACGAGAAGGTCAGGGATCTGTTGAATCCCAAGAACACGGGTAATCTGCGTGTTCGCGAACATCCCAGTCTTGGGCCATACGTCGAAGATTTGTCCAAGCTTGCGGTCAACAGTTATGACGAGATGATGACTCTCATGGACGAAGGAAACAAGGCGCGCACAGTCGCCGCGACCAACATGAACGAAACCTCGTCACGTTCACATGCCGTATTCACTCTTCTCCTGACCACGAAACGGCACGATGTGGACACCAACATGGACACTGAGAAAGTGTCACGAATCAGGTCTGCCCCTCTCTTCCTGAAAGCGAGTCTGAGGAACTGACCGGCTGCAGTCTTGTCGATCTCGCAGGTTCAGAGCGGGCCAACTCGACAGGTGCAACGGGACAGCGGCTGAAGGAAGGAGCTAACATCAACAAGTCGCTCACGACGTTGGGAAAAGTCATTTCCTCGCTCGCACTGGCCAGTCAGGCGGACACCAAGAAGGGCAAAAAGGGCAAGGGCGATGAGTTCGTCCCGTATCGAGACTCTGTGAGTTGGAATGACTTGAGAAATGAACGTGACTTAGCGAGATGTGTCAGGTGTTGACCTGGCTGCTCAAAGACAGTCTAGGAGGAAACTCCAAGACTGCGATGATTGCTGCCATCGCACCCGCCGACTACGAGGAGACGCTTAGTACACTGCGGTACGCCGATCAAGCGAAGAAGATCAGGAACAAGGCGGTCGTCAACGAGGATCCTAACGCGAAACTGGTGCGCGAGCTGAAAGAGGAGTTGGAGATGCTTAGAGGTGTGGCTCGTTGACCTGAATATCTCCTGCATGCACTGACAATGGCTGTGCTGGACAGCTCGGGTCTCCGGAGCCGCGAGCGAAGAGGTCTTCGATCCGACTGTTCCCCCCGAGAAACAGAAGGTCACGTACCAGACGCGCGACGGAAAGATCAAGACTGTCACCAAGGCTGAGCTGCAGGACCAGATGGAGTCGAGCGAGAAACTGATGCAGAGCTTGAATGAGACCTGGGAGGAAAAGCTGGAGCGAACGCAGGAAGTGCACAAGGAACGTGAGAAGGCTTTGGAGGAGCTCGGGATTACTGTGGAGAAGAATCTCGTGGGTGTCCACACGCCCAAGCGGGTATGTTCTTTCCCTTTTTTATCGGCCTTGAATCCTGGGATTAATCAGTTGTGATCCCAGATGCCGCACTTGGTTAATCTGGTATGGCGCTTCTTCTTCGTTCTCGGGACCGCTGATCATTTCATTTCCGCAGAATGAAGGTCCTGACTGGCTGATGTTTCGTTTCGTGAAGACATCTCATGTTTCTCCTTAGATCCGTTGATGAGCGAGTGTTTGATCTACCAGATCAAACCGGGCAAGACGACGGTATGGCACGCGATCGTTCTATGACCCGAGTTCTCACCGCGTTGCTCCAGGTCGGTCAGATGGACAGCGAGAAGCCGGCTGCGATACGGCTCAGCGGGGACAATATCTTGGAGGAGCACTGCTACTTTGAGAACATTGATGGCAAGGTCACACTCCATGCCTTGCCCAACAGTGTCACAGTGCGTCATCTTCTGTGTCCTGTTGAGTCAAACTGACGACCTCTCAGTTCCTGAACGGCAAACAAATAACGCCGGACCAGGTGGGTCCAGCATCTCGACGTTGCGTGCTGTCTCATAGCTTTACTTAGCCGTACAAATTACGATCCGGGTTCCGAATCATTCTAGGTTCGGCTCGATTCGCTGGCCTGTGACATTCCATTTTTGACCTCTTATCTCCAGGAGAACACCATGTTTTCCGATTCAACGACCCGGAGGCTGTCCGAAAGCAACGGCGTCGAGCGACTCTGAAATCGAATCTGCAAATGAGCATCTCGGCGGCCGATCTCGAAGCAGGGGGTGAGGGCATACCTGCCACCCGACCTGACTCGCCGGCGACGTCTGAAGACGAGGCTGATGTCGACTGGACATTCGCCAAACGAGAGGCGGCGCTGGCACGACTGGGCCTCGATCCTACGCTGGACAATCTCCCAGACGACGACCTGAACAAGCTGTACGAGAAGATCACCAAAGTGAAGACGATGCGCGATCACCACATGAAGCCGTCCCGGCCCGAGAGCAGCATGAGCATGAGTATGAGCATGAGCCAGGCAGATGATGTGTGGAGCGAAGCGGGGCGGCCGTTCTCGAGCGATGCGACGGATGACACAAGTGTGGATGCTGCGCCCAGCCTCGGCAGTCCTGAAGTCGATGCTCCACTGAAGGATGTCCAGAACCAGCTTGAGAACCGGCTGCAGCTGATTGCGGAGTCGTCGCCGGAAGCGGAAGATTTGAAGGAGGAGAAGGCCCATATGGAGCATCAGCTGAACATGGTCAAGACACAGATGCGGCGGCTGATCGATGCTCGTGCGCGAGGCGAGCTGGATGTCGAGGCCGCTGCGTTCGAGCCGGTGATCTACTCTGCCCGGCAGTTGCGGTTGATCCGGAAGGTGCTCGACCGGTGGCGAGCTCATCGAGCATTTTCGATGGCCGAGGTGGTGTTGTCCAATGCTGTTATGGTCAAGGAAGCAAACATCATCAGGTGAGCGGCAGTGCTTTTTCCTCGGTTGCGCAAATGGGATCTGACCGATTGCAGCAAGGAGCTTGGGAAGGATGTGTCTTACAACTTTACTATTTCTGCAGGAGGGTCGTTGGCGGGGCCTATATCTGCTGTTGACACGATCGCAGGCTTGGACGAGTTTGGGGACGTCGCTGACCGGATGCTAGCGTCTTCCACGCAGCCTTCTGTGGCTGTCAAAGTGCTCGACAAGCGGCATAACGCCATCTACACCTGGTCGCTGGACCGCATGCAACAGCAGCTCGGCCGCATGAGGAATCTGACTACTTACATCGACCGACCTTCTTACACCCAGCATTTCTCTTCTGACGAACCATTTTACGACACCACGCCATCAGAATACTCTTTCGTTGGCAATGCCCTAATTTCGCTAGCCCCGCTTTCTCGCCGGCTGTCGTCGACATCGACTGTCCCCATTTTCTGCCGGTACACCGCCGAAGCGATTGGATCCTGTCGTGTTGACATAAAAATCGTCCACTTCCAATTGCCGGCGAAGCACGCCTCGTCTTCGACCCGGACTTCTTCGCCAGGCACGGTACCTCCTGGTAGCAAAATTGGATTCTTTCTAACGGTCGACACGGTCAAGGGCCTTTCGTCGCATGACTTTTCCGCAGTGCACCTCCAGGTTCGCCTCTCCTCTTTTGTTGGGCCGACGCTCGTCTCCGAGGAGCTCTTCCCTTCGACGGCCCTGGACATGGACGCTTCGACGCTCTCGGAACTTCGCTTCCGGCGCCATTTCTCGATCGTGGCGACGTCCAAGGTGCTCGCCCACATGAAAGAGGGATATGCACCGATCGAATTGTTCGCGACCGTCCGCCCCATGTATCTCGAGCGTCTCGAACGGTGGGACGAAATGCGAGAACAAAAGCTTCGTCCTCGGCCGTCGACACCCGTCGCAGAAACGACTAGTGCTGCCGCTGCTGTCCCGGCTTCGCTGCCGCTGATGCGCCGGTCCGAGACGGACTTTGTCGTGCAGCAGACACATGACGTCGTCGCCTGGCTGCAGATGTGCGAGCTAGGGCCGGACGGCCAGTACGCTCCGGTCCCGGTGCTTCAGCGCGGGAATCTCGACCCCGGGTGCTTCGTTCTGCACCAGGGCCTGCAGCGGCGGCTGAACTTGATGCTGTCATCCAACTCTGGTCAGCAGCTGCCTTGGCTCGAGTTTACCAAAGTGCGGATTGGGCATGTGCGGTTGTTGGATATGAACGGGAGAGTGCACGAGTCGACGTCTAGGGCGATGGTCACGCTTCCATTGATGAAGGAACAGGTGCTAGAATTCAAGCCCGACGGGACTGGGCAACTGGCGGCAGAAGCGTTGTGGGACACTAGCATCCACGATTCGCTCCTGCTGAACCGGGTGACCGAAGCAAGCCAGCGCATCATTCTGCAGCTCAATTGGGCCGTGGCTGTGGACACCTGCATCGACCCGGTGCAATTCACGATGGACGTCGGGATCACGATTCAGACCCGAGACGCGCGGCCGCCATCGAAGCTGATGGCTTTCCTGGGCTCAACCAAGATCCTCAACAAGTCGAGCACGCTCTTCGCGGTCAAGCTCTCGCCGCCGCTGACCCGCTCGCCCAAGGACCTCTGGAGGCTGGATACGTCGGAAAAGTACGTCCGTGGCGAGGAAGCGCTCGGTTCGTGGAAACCCCGCGGTGTTTCTGTCGTGCAGGACTACTCGAGGCTCGTATCGACCGAACGCCGAGCAGCCGACGTTCAGGCCATCCGGGTGCTGTTGACCAGTTCTCCGCCGCCCGAGGTCAATCCCGAGACACTGGCATGGAAGGCGGATGACTTGGTCAAGAAGTCGGTCGGGCTCTGGCAGAAACGATTTGGACATCGCGGAGAGGTAGGCTTTCTGGTTCCTGGGATATTGCAGTGGCGCCTGACTCCATGTCAGATCATTCTCAGCCAGGACCCTTTGGAATCGGAAGAATTATCGAAGCCGTCCAAGAAGAAGCCGGCCGCGTTTGTTGTGCCTGAGGAGAACCTCAAATTGATCTCGGAGACGAAGGTCATCCCGCGAAGGTCAGTTGTGCCGCATAGAGAGAGACGTCGGAGACTAGTTATGCTCATGCTGAGACAGCGACGCACATGGCTCCACAAAGAAGGGGCATCTGCTGATTATGACTGACGCGAGCCAGAACATCTGGGAGAAGCGTTGGTTTGTGTTGAAGCGGTTCGTTGGCTTGTTGAGACCGATGTTCAATTGCTGAATACCAACCATGCTTAGGCCCTATCTCCACATCTACTCCCACTCCAATGAACTGGAAGAAGTGGGCATCGTCAGTCTAGATGGTGTGAATGTAGAGAGCGATCCACACAAGGAAGCCCTTCTTGGAGTGAGTCGTTGACTGTCGATGGAGCGGAGCACATCCACTGACCGAATGTGATTAGAAGCCGTTTTCGTTCACGCTCTTCACGTCCTCAAATTCACATGCTCTTGCTGCTCCCAGCGCCAAGGAGCTCCAGTCCTGGTGCACGAAATTGGATCCGACACGACTACCTTCATGATCTATTACAGTAACGGCCCTGCACATATAATCTGTTCACCCTCGTTGTCTAGATGTTATCTTTACCCATGTAATACACTATCTACTTGCCACACTCCTTGTTTTATGGGATTTCGGTTGATTATACAATATTATGGAATCGGACGGAGAGGTTCTTTGACGCTGTGTTTCTCGATGGATTCCGTCACTGAAACTTGCCGGCGGCGGGTCGGGATCGCGCTGATAAACACTGGCAGCTCGCAGCTCGCAGCCGTAGCCGCTCCCGTACTCGTCGTATGGCCGGCGGCGCAGCGAAAAGCATCACGGATGATGACCGAGTTGGACAGCGGGATTCCGGCTGGTGCTGGGATTCCGCCCTCCCGGGACATTATGTACACAGGGTCGACGTTTTCTGGGTGTCATTGGAACGAGCGGGCTGAGCGAATATGTATGTATGTATGTACGTGCAGATGAGTGTGGGAAGGAAGTCCCATGACATGACAAGACATGACGAGGATGTCGCTGACGCCAAGGGATCCCGTCCGTGTCCGCCGCCGTCGCCGAGTGTTGACGCTGCGGCTCCGACGAGGGATTGATGACTCCTGCCTCCTTTCCTTCCTGCACGCACCCTCCCTCCGCCCGAACTTTCCTGGCACCATCCGGTTCTTCGCTGCGAGGTAATGGGGATTATGTGTTCACGCTCCGGGCTTCGAGGGAACATATGGAAGGGAAGTAGTAGGTAGCAGTAGTACAGTCCTGTCCGTCTCGCGTCGTCTGCTCGGGGTGACGTGTGGTAATTCGGGGCGAGGGAAGATGTGATTTTGGTGGTGGTGGGGGGATGGCGGTCATTGGAACAGCATCGTGGCCGCCATGATGAGACACGCGAGTGACACGTACGGCGAGAGTCGTTCGCCTGCGAGGTATGGGCAGTCAGCGGGGGTGCGTGCTGCGTCAGGGAGAGGCGCTGCGCGGAAAACGCACCAATGCGCGCGGACATGAAGAAGAGCCCGAGGAAACCGGTCTTGTTTCTGTCGATGAGGCTCGGGAAGAGCGCGCGGACGTAGGTGCAGGTGCAGATTATGAGCAGTATGACGAGCAGGAGCGACTGGAAGTTAAACAGAGCCGACTGGTGGGGGACGTCAGCCTTTTCGTAATGGAAGCGGGGATTTGTAGCTCACCATGATGCGTATGACCTGGACCAGTGCGTGAAGTGGAGTGAGGTGTCGTGTTTCCACGTGAGGGCAGCAAGCGGGCCTGTGTGATTTGCACTGCCACTTGAGGATTTTACCACGATCCGGGCCGGGAACGGTCAACGGGGACTTCAAACTTCGTATCTCAAGTGGAAGAAACTCGGGAAGATGGTCATGCAAGGTTGCGTTCGCGGAGAATTATTAGTGCGGCGGGAGCTAGACCACTACACCACTGATATCAGACACTAAGTATGGAAGACTGGACACATCACTCGAACTCCAAGGCACGACTAGTAGGTCATGTTCACGCGCTTGTTCCCAAATTCGTCCCATCGCCTCGTCACGACATCGACAACGAAGTGCGCGACATCGCTCCGTGAAATGGAGATCCCCTTCGTCTCCCGCTCGCTGACCCGATACATCTTCCCCTTACCCTTCTTCGCTACCTCGTCCGCGACGCACGGGCCATCCGTCAAGAATCCCGCGCGGATGATCAGGACCGAGTGCAGCGATCCCGGCTGCGGAAGGCCGGCGCGCTGCGTCCAGCTCGCGCCGCCCATCACGTCCTCGGGCGGCTCGCCGAGCGCCTTGGTGTCCCACGCCCACCCGGCGCAGTGCGCCGCGACGCGCTCCATGCCGAGCTTGTCTTCGTGCGGGATGTTGAGCGTCGCGTACAGAGGCTTGAGGATGAGGGGCAGCGCAGAGAACGCCGTGGGGCCGATGCCTGTCGACGAGAGGGAGATGATTTTCGGCTGCGGGATGGTCGCGGGCATCGTGCAGAGAAGGTTGAGGTAGCATTGGGTGACGAGGTTCGGCTCGCTCATCGTGAAGCCTTTGCGGATGCTGAAACCGGAGGGGACGGTGCCTGGACGAGTCGTGCCCAGTCAGCGATCGTGCTCTGCATGAGGGACGGAACAAGACGACGTACCGACGGTGAAGACCACTGCGTCGACGGCGCCGGCTGCGGTCCATGCACGACGCGTATCGGCTTCGTTCAACGCATCTCCTTTGATCAGCCGAGCGCTACCCGCCTGGACGTATTTCTGGATGGTGGCGTCCTTATCGAAGACAGATGGGGAGCGCAGAAGGAAAGTCACTGTGGCTCCCATTTCTGGATCCGATGTCAGATTGAGTGTCGGACGGGAATGAAGAGAAACGGTACCAAGAAAGCGGATAGAAGACAAGTACCCGATGTTGCGGGAGCCGCCAATGGTGAAGATGCTGAGCGACGACATGGTTTATAGTGTGATGCGTGAGGGTGAAGGCGCTGTGTAGATGGGATGGACGTTGTATTGGATCTCTATTCAGCGGCCTCTCTTATTCAGAGGGCTCGGTGGAACGGAAAACAGCTGCATCGCAGTTGACAGTGCAATTCAATGGTTTGAAGCGTGTCGGGTGAACGCAGCAGGAAAGAATGTCCGGCATCAGGAAGATAGCGCGTAAACATGCTGACCTGATGATCTCCGATTCACCGACGCGCCGTCTTGATAAGATGGGGAATTTTCGTGGCGACAAGGGAAATGCTTACTTGCCTTTTCGTCTCTGGCGACACCCTACATCTAGTTATTGCTGCCTACAATGCGCCAACTTATCGTTTAACTCTCAATCCAAGACGCTCCTTCAGCAATGGTCCCACGGTCAAGTCTGCTAGCAGCCAATAGCATGATCCGTCTGGCGTTGAGAATGGAATCCTTTGAGCCGTGGGTAGTGCAAGTTTCTAGACAGAGGATTATGTCCGAGCCTGCCTTACGACGAAATGTCCATCACGTGAGGTCCAAGCGAGTTCTCGCCGTGTCCACGCTGGGTCCACCGTCGATCTTCGGTGGCGGAAGAGTACAACATGTCAGCCAAGAAAGCTGTCTAAGAGTGCCGGGCATCAAGAAGCGCAGGTCTGCATACGTCTCTCCCTTCGAGCCGGGAAACATACCGGAAGGGTTTGGGGCGCACGAAGAGGGTGTTGATCATCGATCGTCGCCGGGCCTTCGCACGATCACCCACTTATGGTTTTAGCTCATATCCTGGCTAGAGTGTCATCGGAATGACTCTCACATGTACATCTATGATAGCTTACTTGAAGCACGGCGTGCGCGGGTTCTATGCTGAAATTTCGTGACGACTATTCTACAAACAAGTTCTATGCTGGTTCCGAGGTAGAGTAAAAGTGAGAGGAGCGAATAAAGATAATATATAGATAGTCCGCCGAGTCCCGAGTCCCGTAGAAAGAATGGAAGTGAGGAAGGGGCGCGTGAGGAGTCGCCCTCAGTCGCAAGCTTCGGCGGGAATGTCATTCTGCCATCGTTGGTTAGTGCCAGAACCACCAGCGCAGACTCGCTCGACTCACTTGTCGGATGAAGGTCAGCATATGACAGGTGATGTAGCCTTTAGCAAAGCCGGCACCGGCGTATGCGAACAGGTACTGCCACTTGCGTTTGAATGCGTCGTAGTCTGCCCGGTTGCGCAGTCCCGGGTAATCCTGGGATACGAGATCCTGCGAGAGATTCGCCTCGAGCCGCCGGCCCCATTCCCTGAGCGTCCGTGGGTAGTGGGCAGCGTGGTTCTCGACACCTTCAAGTGTGAATCGGCCTTCAGAGCCGACTTGAGCTGCGGTCACGAGCGCGGTGGCACTGGGGAGACAGGAGTTGGGCCACATATACCGTCGCATAAAGTCCTCAGATCTAGTTTAAGGGTCAGCGCTGCCGTGTGATCAGGAGGCCAGCAAGCTCACTGATAGCCGGAGTATCGACATTCAGGGAACGTTGATGCACTAATCACGACTGTTGCGTGTGAAGACTTTAGCGCAAAGTCGACAAGCTTGAAGTACAAGTTGTAGTATTTTGAGCCGACGTGCTGAATGGCGGTCAATCAATGACGACAAGAAAGCGAAAGAAATGACGGACCTCGAGCATCTCAATACTGACGAACGCGTCGAATGCTTTTTCGAACTCGGCGGGGATCTCACGGTAGTCCATCAGGTGGACTCGAATCTTGCCCTCGAAGCCGGCATCCCTGATACGTTCCTCGGCGAGCGCCTTTTGCTCGATGGAAAGGGTGAGGGTGTCGACCTCGCAGCCGAAAGTGCGTGCAGCCTGTGGATCATGTCCATGTGATGAGTTCGGGTCTTGGAGATCCCAAGCAACGCACCTCGATGGCCAGACCCCCCCAGCCACTGCCGAACTCCAGGATGCGGTCACCGGGTTTGACGCGGGCTTTTGTGAGAACATGCCGGATCTTGCGAAGCTGGGCTGCTTCGAGGTCCCCTGGCGTGGGCCCAGATGTGAGGTCACCGCGGACACCCCCTTCGGCATCACTCCAGAGCCCGCAAGAATACATCATCTCCTTGCTGAGGAAGGCCTAGGTCGCGTGTTAGAACAAAAGACACATAATAGCCATGACATACCTTGAACAACTCGTTCGACTGATCGTAGCTCGCGATGACATTTAAGCGAGCCTGAGATCGCGTCTGGCCGAGCACGTTGTTGTATAATGCCGACACGGCGGACGAGATCTTGGCGACGGTTGATGATAGCGTGGCCTCCATGCCCGCCTGGTTTTCGAGCCACAGCTGGAAAGATGTCGGCACCAGGACACCGACCGCATGAAGAAGAATCTTACGTTCATTGCGCTTCGAAGATTTGAAACTTCGACATCTCCAATCATGAAGGCTTCGCTGACTGCGAGAATGTTGAGGAGGGGATAAACAAGGGCAGAATGTCGAGACACTCACAGCCGAGATCACCAGATCTGCAACAGAAGCACGTTAGGGCTCGACAAAGGTAAATCTCGGCAAAGTCCGCGTACAGTATGAGCCGCAACCAAAAGTTTTCGTTGACGACTTTCATATGGACCTCATTGCAACCCTTGCCGCGCTGGCCATAGAAACGGGTGCCCTCAGAGTCGGAGAGCGTTAAGTGGCCGACGGTGATAGCGTCGTCGAGCACGGAGAGGATGGAGGATCGCGCTAGAGAGTAACACAGACGCGTCAGAAACGCGTCGGGACGCGAAAGCAGAGGGAGAGTCGCGTCTCACCGAATGTGCAGACCCAAGAGTAGGGGCTGAAGGAGAGGGCGAGGAGCGAGGACGAGGTGGACTGGAGGGCCTTGGACGACGGCGCGAACTTGGGTGGGACGCACGACTGGGAGATGGTCGAGGGCATTGTCGCGGAGGCGGGGGCGGATGGATGGATGAGGAAGTGCGAGATGTCGGACGAGACGACGGCTTTTATGTTCGGTTGGATTTGGGAGTGCCATTTTTCTTCGCGCTGTGGGGCATGTCGTATCGAGATCGGCATCGGCTGGAAGTCACCACAGAATTCCTATAGACTCCTTGGCCAGGACCAGCCATCCCAATCTGGCGTCACCCAAATCAGGAATGCAGACTGGCTCTGAGTTCGAAAAAGGTAAATGAATCCCCACTTATTCAAACGCCCAAAAGCGCACCTCAAGGCAGGAAGGTAGCTCGCATCTTTCCACGTGCGATTGCCTTTTCTTCTCACGCCGAATGAATCCCAGGATTCCTCCCGGGATTCCCTCTTCCCCACACTCTGTCACCGCGATTATCCCGCCTCGTCCGTCCATGTTCCATGTCGGGGCTGTGGCGGCACTCGGTCACCCCAGTCCGTCCGGGTCGCCGCGGCCGCCGCCCGAGCCGCGCCGACCCTGTCCAGCCAGTCACCTGCGAGCGTTTCCCCCCTCGCTCTTCGGCTGCGTTGTCGCCGATCTCTGCGTTATTATGTCCTCACAACCCGGAAGGATAGCAAACAGTCCCGTGAGAGCATCAGATGTCGCGACAGCCGGTGCGGGACAAGTCGGACTTTATTTGGTGGGGCATGAGCGTGCATGGCAAAAAAGCGACGACTTCTGCACACTGGATTTCGATCAGGAATGTCTCGAGGCCCACAGCCGGTGGCAGGTGCCCGATGATAGAAACAAGACGACATCTATTCTGCGGAGGTGATGATATGCGCGGAGTAGCACAGAGAACCTGTTGACGGCGAACTTTTGCGAGGGACAAGCTTGGGAGATGGCGTGCTCAGTCGTATCGTGACTCCCCGGCACGATCAAGAATGCGTGATGGCGATCAGCGCCACCCGCATCTCTCTCTCTCCTTCGGAGTCTTTCCTGTCGGCTGGGAGTCTTGGTGTCACGTTTCCCCCCGACAACGCACCGGCCACGGGCCTCGATTTCATGTCCTGTTTTGTTTGACATTTCGCATGGTGTCTCCATGTGTTCTTCGATACATTTCACTCTTCCACTTCGGGTTATTCACAGGCTAGACACAGACACGTAGAGACAAAGACACTGTCGCGCTCTGACACACGCGCCGCCTGGAAGCGAACATCGCCGCGAGTTGATTTTCCTCAGACTTGGCACTCGGCCGGGGGATCCACCAGTGGCGCGAGCAACTCGATTCAGCCTCGCTTCCTGCATGGCGAAGACGGGGGAATAAATGATCGTGACTTGCATGCACAGGAACCGTCGCAGGTCCGCAGCAGTCCACTCGAGTGCGGTCCTCGAAGCCTAATGAGTTTCGCACCTTCGACCCAACCCAATGCAATGTAAACAACTGGTCGCACAAACGCCTCGGTTGGTCGATCTAGAACCACTGAAACCTTAACGCACAGAATGTGTCAAGCGCAGGAGCATTGAGTTTGCATAGCATAGTCTCTTCCTGCGGCGTGACATCGGGGGTGTAAATGTTCTTTCTCTGCAACCGCCAAGAGAGTTAGTTAGTGCGACGAGTGTCCATCGGTGGCCCCGCGAACGTTTGGTCGTTGAGCCGATCCGATGCGGCCCGCAAGGCGCGCCTGATCATTGGAACCCATCGCTGGTCTGGCCTGTCTTCTTTCTGGGATGATTCATTTTCAGGCATATTGGGGATTTGTCGGCTGTCACGCCGAGACGTTGCGGGAAGATGGCAGAATTCCCAGGCCGAGATAGCAACATGCGACTTACATACGACTTACGTGTGGGCGGACATATGTTCGGGTTCCCGGTTGCAAGCAAATATATCTTGCGGAGGTAAGCAACGTAAGTCCTGACATTCGGAGCCCAGCCGAACCCGCCATCGTAGTACATATGACCTGGAGATCACTGCGCGACGTGGGCCCGAAATGAGGTCAGCCCGGGCAACCAACGACTGGCTAGCATTCTTCGCGAGAATCTTAGCACCTTCTCAGAGTGATCGACGCGGGTCCAGAGGGTTTGAATTGAGAGACCGAAACGTAAAGTGGAGGCCGATGTGCGAAGCTAAAGATCGGGGGCGAGGTGACTTTCTTCTTGATGCATTCAACCTCCGAGTTATCTCTTGCGCCTTCACCCTTCATTCATTTGCACTAGCTTCAATTCAATCCAACGGGGCCTTCAATGGGGAAACGGAAACGACAGTTGCGTCCTCTCGCAACAGACTACGCGCACAGACGCAGATGTGATCCCTCGAACGCTCACTGCCAAAACGTCGGCCAAGTTAGATGCGCGTCTCAGAGTTGCGCGACGGGTGCAACAGAATAATATAGCCGATTCGCGACGTCTCCGACCACCCAATCGAGGCCTACACGGACGGACATCGAAACCGAGTTGCGAAAAAGCGGTGATTATTTCAACGACTCACCCGTCACCAGATTTTCGCCTGTGACAGCGCTACAGGACCAGATTTTCCACTGATGGGACTTGATAGCGCGCAGATCTAGCGCCTGGAAGCGAATCAGATAAAAAGATGATAATATTTGGAACACCAGGCAGACAACGACTCACATCGCGGATCTCGGACTCGCTCATAGATCCCCGGAGATCCCGTTTGTTTGCAAAAATAAGAAGAGAGGCGCCTGCAAGCCGCTACTCCTCAACCGCATCAGAAAAGAATGAAGCACGGTGAACGAGAGAGAGGCGCGCGCTGACGTCTTCTAACAACAGACTGTGCAGCTCGTCCTTGCAATCTTTCATCCGGAGTCTGTCTCCGGAGTCAACCACCCACACAAGGGCGTCCGTCTGTTCGAAATAGTTGCGCCAGTACGGGCGGAGCGTCCGCTGCCCGCCGACATCCCCTGATGGATCGGACATCAGCATATACGCACCTCGCATTACGCACGAGGCAGAACCAACATATGTTCAGAGTGTAACTGCTTGGCGGGACGGGACATCAGCGACCGCTGCCGAGCGACAGCGGAGAGACGCACTTCGCATGCGCAAACGTCTTGATATTAAACCCGAGCGTCGGACTTACGCTCATGATATCTTCTCCGTTCAGCTTCTTCAGGATAGTCGTCTTCCCCGCGTTATCGAGGCCGCTGCATATGACGCGCGTGAGCGTGAGCGTGCAGCTGCGGTTCGTCGGCCGTATGATGGGGACGCTCCAAGCTCACAGGAAGAGAATCCGCATTTCTTTTTCTTTCTGCCGGTTCTTTCTGATTATCGTCAGTAGACCCATGAGCGGTTGGACGAAGAACGGGAGTGCGGGAAAGCAAAGCGGAAGTGTGTAGATCGCATCAGAGGCGGTCACGCGGGAATCCTTCGGCAGGTCTCGGCAATCTGGGAATCCGGCTGATCCCGGGTGCAACCGCCCTCTGCTTTCCGTAAATCTCGTTCCGGGTTCTCTGTGGAGCATGTCTAAGCACGCTGAAAGCGGAACGGGACACGTGAAGGATAAATACTACTGCGCAGGGTCAGATGGTAGGCTTCGGATTCCATGAAAGCTCCATCGTTCTTATTGGCAGAAAACATCAACCAGGAAACCAGGGGTCACATGACTGACGCGGTAACCGTGACACTTGTGACCTTCGCATCTCAAACACTCACTTTTAGCTCATTACCGCTGCGCGCGGGAGACGGGGTCTGCAAGCCGTCTAGTTAATGTCAGAGAGTTTCGAACTGACTCTCTTCTCTCATCGAAGTGAGGTTTTGTGCTCAGTTCCTTTTCTACCGGATTTTTGCGTTAAGTCGTAAGATTCAAGGCGACGGGTGGTTCACCACATACCCCTCCAAACCCCAATCTACGCAGCCCGTGTGCTTCGGTATCCAGTGCCAAAGGCCAATGTGTCCTGTGAAACCCTTACTCCCCGAACTGCAGATACACACTGAATTCCGACGCCGCCCTGCAAGGGCGCACAGCCTGCCGCCGAAAAGGGTCTCGCTTTTACATCTCATCGCTCTCATGAGGATTCGTTCCGGCCCCGAATCCTTTTCTATCCAAGGACACGCTCGCCCCCTAAGGGATCCAATCAGCAAGAGCTTCTCTCCAGCAAACATGGGAAGTAAAGGTCTTCAGTAACGATCAATTGGTGCCCGGCTACGACCATGCAGCGCGCAGCGCTCGCAATCAGCAGAAGGTGGGCCCGACTGGGACCTTATTCTTCATACAGCTCACATTCGGTGACATGCGAGATTGAGAGAAGAGCAGGAAGTCGTCGGCACTACGGATAATTTGTGTGTCCGGGTGATTTGTGTGTCCGTCGGGCAATCGGACGGACGGACGTGTCTTGTCATTCCGACTTGGATCTACGCCGTCGCTGGTGCAGAGGAAGCCAGCCTGTGACCGCGCCGCATGCCCTCCGAATTTCTTTCTGCGCTCTGACGTGCATACCAACAGGCCCCGACGCAAGAAGAAGCATCACCACAAATACATCATACATATGTCTTCTGTTTCTCTCGGAATGATCGTCCCCCCTCGATTGATCGTACTGTGACTGAAGCTCTTCGACTTCTTGGAAGGTGACAAATCATGTCAGTCAGACTGTCTGATCTGGAACCCAGGTCCACGCGTAGTCCGCAGAGTTTCTCAAGAGAGACACCTCCAGTTCCAAAGGGACTTTGGATCGCGGAACCTTTTACGTGGAATCTACTGAGCTTCTACGCACCGAACTGTGGACCATATGCGACACGGCGCCCCGAAAACGTTCTCGATACTTCCGATATCATTAGGGCCTATGGTCTAGGCACAGAAAAGGGCGCCGGTAGCTCATAAGTTCCCTTCTCCAAATGTCGAGCCCGACCGCGTCCGATGATTGTCCGGTCTGCTGCAAATAGATGCATACAGCCGCTGCAGGGTTCACACAACTTGCGAAAATCCCTGAGTGAGGGCTGCTCCTACCAGTGCAAGTGCCCGCTCCAGGGCTATCATCTATTGCATTTCACGATCAACTCAGGGGAGAGCAGTGTGCGGCAAGGTAACGTACATCTCCTGCTGTGCATTTGCAGATGAAAGTCGTCCTGTTGCACGTACCCCTCGATATATTCACCTGAGAGATCAACAATCCATACCAGCCAGGGTTGATTTCCTGTGGGAATGCCGTTTGTATGCGACTGCCAATGCCAAGATATCCAATCGATTATGATTTGATCAGATCAATCGCGTACTTGGACAAATGCAGTCTACCCGCTTTCTCCGTCCACCTTGGTCGTGCGCCCCTCGATCGAGAACTTATTCTTAAACTCTTTAATGTGTGACGAACTCCCGTACGACGCCGCCGTCGCCGCGATTAAGGCGCTGGTTCCGGAGAGCCTGCACACACCGCGAGTCGGGATCGTCTGCGGCTCGGGTCTTGCGGGGATCGCGGAGAGCATCAGGGACCTGGTCCTCGTGCCGTACGATGTGGTGCCCGGATTCGCAGAGAGCACAGGTGCGTCCGGTCTATGTCTCATTCCCACAAAAAATGTAAACGACGTGATTGCCAGTCCCCGGGCACAAGAGCTCGCTCGCCTTCGGTTTTATGGGTCCGAAGGAGGGCTGCGTGCCTGTGATAGCGATGCTGGGCAGAGTGTGTCTGACTCTCTCAAGATGCGCCGGAAGCTCATATACCCAACTTCCCAGTTCCATCCGTACGAAGGACACGACATGCGTACAGTCGTCTACCCCATTCGCTTGATGGCCCGACTGGGAATCAAGGAGTTAATTGGTGCCCGACTTGCCCGGCGCAAACCCTCCCCTCTGCTGATTTTTTTTGCACAGTTACCAATGCTGCAGGAGGATTGAACCCCAATCTTACAGTGGGCACCAGTGCGTCGCCGAAAAAATCCCCGGTTCCTCGTACGACTCTGAATTGCTTCTAGTCGTCGTGCTGCACGATCACCTGGCTATCCCCAATCTGTCAGGTATGAACCCCCTTCTCGGCCCGCCCTCCTCCCCCAGCGTGCCGCGCTTCCTCCCCCTGTCCGATGCATACTCGCCGCGCCTGCGGCGGCTGCTTTTCCTCGCCGCACACGAGCTGAAGCTCGAGGCATCCGCGCTCGCGGAGGGGACCTACGCCTGGGTCAGCGGGCCGACGTACGAGACCCCGGCGGAGGGCCGGTTCCTGCGGCTGGTCGGGGCCGATGTCGTCGGGATGAGCACGGTCCCGGAGGTGCTCGCTGCGCGCGAAGCCGGTATCAGCGTCCTGGCACTTAGCCTGGTCACGAACGCGGTGGTCATCCCACAGGGGTACCGCAGCATCAAGGCTGAGGTTGCTGCTGAGGTGCGTTGCCTCGATCGTGTTCGCCGCAATTTCTGATACTTGGCACCAGCTTGCGGGCTCGCCCACGGTGGCCCCGGTAGAGGCTGTGGTGTCTCATGAAGAAGTACTGGAGACCGGGCGCGCCAAAGGAGAAATTGTGATGAAACTGGTGGAATGGGTCGTTGGGGCTATCCCCAACGCCGCCTAGATTTTAGAGCAGATTACTGTTCACATAATGGGGATGAATTACGCGTAATGGATGCCTTGAGCATCGAAGTCTTTTTACATGGACATCTTCACAGATGTTGGGTCAGGTTCCACGCTACTGGCTGGCAGAAGGCCTCGCCCATCGCTTGGACACCAGGGGTGACATTGCAGCGGCAACACGTCGGCCTTCTTCCGATAACAGATTGTAGGTTGAACATGCATTGCGCTAGAGCCATCATTCAGCGATCCAAGGGAGGACAAGTCAGAAGCGTACGGTGCTCATGACATCCACCTGGATCCCCAGGTCCGTGAGGTACGACTTGACGGAGGGCGGTGGATGGGCGAGGTCGTTACCAGTCCCTAGTATCAGGATCTCTTCAGGTTGCTTCAGCCCCTTCACAACACTTTGGCGGATAACGAGCCCCACGTACCAGGTTTCGGCACGCACACCTCAAACATGGCCAGATGCTCGCGCTTCCAATCCGTCACCCGTTCGGGCACGTCCCACAGGAAGACTTTGCCGTCGAGGAAGATCGTCGCGCCGGTCAACAGCAGGCCATCTTCGAGCATGATCCCCTCTTCGGAGACCGCGGATACTTGCACGGGTGGAGGCGCGTCGGACGCGAGGATGTTGGTCAGGCCGAAGTGGGCTTCGCCCGGATTGCGGCGACGCGTGGTCGTGTGTAGTGATCTCGTGGAGAGCGCAGGAGCAGACAGCAAGTTTCTAGAGGACGCCATGAAGTGTCGGGCGAGCGAGTTGCGCTGGCAAATAGGAGAGAGACGAGACAGTCTTGAGGCGGACATGATGGGCCAGTCGAAAGCTTCCACACCAAGTTCAGTCACCTGACCTTGCGCTCTGGTCAGGTACTACGTCATAGAGTTCATTCTGAATCCAAGCCCTATCTTCATGCGGAGGTTCTCAATGGAGCCCATATGCCCGGAGGACGAAGAGGAATTTTTTTTCCGCCTAGGGCCGGTGAGCACGTAGTGGATAATCAGGATTATAATGCTATCCGTTCAAGCTTGGACAATCATCACGTCGCGTAACGAAGAAGACGTTACACATCGTCACACACACGCGACTCTTGGCTCGACTTGCGCGACGACGAAATCTGAGCTGGGATCTGTGCAACCTTTCGACTATCGGGGAGAAGCTTGCATCTGGCTGGGCAACAGCATACCACGAGGATTGCCTTGCCGTTAGGTTCGGGTGCGATTCGCCCCGTGACAGCGTTGATCAGCCTGCAAAGTGTCAACATGCTTTGCGCTGACCATCGAATATGCATCGGTCAGCTTTTTTCCTTGGCTTTATTGGTATCACCGCAAATCTTTGAATCTGTCTGGATTTCTTCATGAGCATTGGATTCTTCAACACTCGGGACCGGGCAGGCTTTATGGCCGATGTTTTCACACTCGGACTCTTTGACCGACAGTTGGGCCACTTCGACTCTACCTGGGCCATGAGCGTCACCAGCTCTGCAACAACTCCGTCTTGATCTATTGCAACACATACTTGAGCCCAGCGCTATTGCATTTGCGACCTGTCCTGATTCCCCACCGACAAAATTGTCTATTTTCTATGAATGCCACCACAAAATAATCTATATTTAGGAGACCAGAAAACGCCATCTGTCCAGGAGAATATCAATGTCAAATCTAGATGAGCCGTATCTCTTCTCTTGGCCTAGTTTCCAGTACAAGTCGCACGACGTGTGTCCACAGGCTCGACTTTCAACGCCCAGAAACCACAACCTGTGAAACATCGTTTGAGCCAGCATTGAGCAAGTAGCAGATCATCTCGGACTTGACATCGAATGGCCAGGAATCTAGATGCCAGAGGAGCACGGACAGGGATGGAAAATCTACTATGAATTTCTTTATCAAGGTCGCGTGAATTACTGGGTGTGTTGCTCGCACGTTGAAATCTGGTGCTGGAAACAATAGAAAGTCAGTCATTACCGCCAACTCGGCACCGGCATCCGAGTCGAAGATTGACGCGTGGCAGTGCCGCACTGACGAAACCCATCTCTCTCACCCGTACCGTGACCACTCCCGTCCTCGAAAATGCCGCCCAAAAACAAGGCAAAGAAGGGTAAGAAGGCCGAAGATGAGGAATACTGGTGCGCTATACGTGCCCACTCCTTCAAATGCCGACCGATCTGTCTGCAGGGAGAAAGCCGGCGAATCTATCCCATCCTCTCAACCCGTGGCAGATGCGCCGTCTCGATCTGGCTTCTCTGGATTCACGGCGCTGGATATGAGTGTGGACGACACTGCGCAACCGGAGGAGGATGAGGATTTCGGTGGACTGATGGTTCGCGCGAATCGCTCCATTTTCGTCCGAGCGTGCTTACTGACTGCTGCTGCAGTCGACCCTCAACAAGGCAAACAAGAGCAAGAAGGATAAGAAGAAGGACAAGAAGAAAGCTGTTGCCTACGATGAGGATGAGGACACTCCCCTCGATCCTGCCGTCGATGATGAAGCTGCCGGCGCGTCGAAGAAGCCGACGGAGATGACCGCTGAGGAGCTCGCTGATGAGGAATGGGGCCCAGTGAAGGAGAAGAAAAAGGGCAAGAAGGGCAAGGGCAAGAAGAGCAAAGCCCAAGATGACGAGGATGAGGATAAAATTGGTGCGTCGCGTCGATCTGTGGTCTCATGTTGTTATCTCACCGGTTGAAGCCGAAGAGACGACAGAGGCTGCACCCCCTGCTACCGCTAAACCTCCTGCTCCTGCTGACGACGGTGATGACAACGCCGATGACGATGCCGCGGACGCTGGTCCGAAGATCCTCAGCAAGAAGGAGAAGGAGAAGATTAAGAAAGAGAAAGAACGAGTATGGTTTTTTGATAATAACATTCGATCGTGTGTGCTAAACCCACTTCTGCAGGCCAAGAAGAAGGCTCAAGCCGCCGCGAAAAAGTCCACTACTGGGGATGCCGCCGCAGGCGACGACGCTGACGTTGCACCCGCAGCGCCTCCTCCGGCCGATGATGCTGCAGACAACGAAGACGATGCCGATGAAGGCGCGGCAGGCAAGGGAGACGCGAAGAAGAAGAAGAAGAAGAAAGCAAAGAAGGAGGAGGAGCCCGCACCTGCACCTCCCGCTGCTTCAAAGAAAAAGGGCGGTGCCATCGGTGCGCTGAAAGCCATGTTAGAGGAGAAAAAGCGTGCGGAGGAAGAGGTCCGCCGAAAAGAGGAGGAGGAGAGGGCCCGGCTAGAGCGGGAAGAACAAGAGGCTGCTGAAGTAGAACGCAAGAAGGAGGAGGAAAAGCAGCGACGCAAGCAGAAGGAGAAGGTGGGCCATTCTTCCGATGTTGATGACGTATGTTGTAACAGCCGAGCAGGACAAGAAAGAGTTGGCCAAGAAGGAGGGACGATTCTTGACAAAGAAACAGAAAGAGGAAAAGGCCATGGCAGAGATCCGCCGACAAGCTCTCCTCGCATCCGGTGCTCATATCGAGGGATTGCAGGGCTCGACTGCTGATGCGCCAGTCAAGAAGGTGAACTACGGTACTCGCAAGAAGAAAGGGCCGGCAGTGAAGGACGCTTCGCCGGCTCCAGAATCGCGACCCCGGTCTCCGGAGCCTGTTGTCCCTGCACCAGAACCACGGACGGAACCCGTCCTTGAATCCAAACCAGATGTCGTGAGCGACTGGGATGCTAGTAGTGCGGAAGAGGAAAATGAAGTCAAGCAGGGGGCGGCTGATGTCAAGGATTCCTGGGATGCTTCAAGCGACGAGGAAGAGGTCGCTCCTGTCGTTGCACCCAAATCTGTCGGCGCATCCAAGCCGGTTGCCGCAGCGAAACCCGCAGTTGTGGCCAGCTCGTCCAAAGCCCCGGCTAAGGCACCGGCCAAAGCACCAACCCCCGCTGTCAAGAAAGGCATGTCACATTGACTCTTGCCCGGGACCCGACTGACCATCATTGGTGTTAGCTACGCCTACGAGCAATGCCAAGACGGCTGCCGCACAGAAACCTGCCCCCAAAGAGGAGGAGGAGGAGGAATCCGAATCAGAAGAGGATTCATCAGATGAGGACTCGGATTCAGACTCTGATGATTCGGATTCAGATTCAGACGGCGACTCGTCATCATCTGAGGAAGAGATGACGTCAGCTCAACGAATGGCGGCTCAGAGGAAAGCCGAAGCGGCAGCCAGGCGAGCCAAAGCCCGCGAGGATGCGCTGGCTGCTCGCAGCAAGGACGATCTGCGCAGTCCGATCTGCTGTATCCTTGGACACGTCGACACCGGAAAGACGAAGCTGTTGGACAAGGTACGGCATCGGAATCCTTCCAAGATCTGTGTTCCGAGCCAAGATTAGATTCGTCAAACAAACGTTCAAGAAGGCGAAGCGGGCGGAATTACACAGCAGATCGGTGCGACCTATTTCCCCGTGGATGCTATCAAGACAAAAACCGCCGTGCTGAACAAGGTATGTTGCACCCAAGAGGATCGGCCCAGGCTTATCCTCTGCGCAGGACGGGACTCAGGAATACAAGATCCCGGGCCTTCTGGTCATTGACACGCCGGGTCATGAGTCGTTCACCAACCTGCGTTCGCGTGGAAGTTCCTTGTGCAACATTGCGATCTTGGTTGTGGATATCATGGTGCGTATGTTTTCTGCCCCTCTTTCCCATGTCCAATAGGGGTGCAGCATGGCTTGGAACAGCAGACCCTCGAGTCATTAAGGTTGCTTCGGGACCGGAAGACCCCATTCATTGTTGCATTGAACAAGGTGCGTTTCCGATTGTTCTTTAGATGGAACTGTGGCCTCATTTGACCAGATTGATCGAATGTATGGCTGGGACGCGACCCCCGATGGCGCATTCCGCGAGTCACTGGCCAAGCAGAACCGAGCCGTCCAGCGTGAGTTCGAGGATCGGCTGACCAAGATCGTCGTTGCCTTCGCGGAAGAAGGGCTGAATGCGGTGCTCTATTACGACAACAAGAACTTTGCGCGCAATGTGTCGATCGTGCCGACCTCTGCCGTCACTGGCGAGGGTGTTCCTGATATGATCATGCTGCTCGTGAATCTCACCCAACAGCGGATGAGCGACCGCCTGATGTATCTGTCGGAGCTCGAGTGCACCGTGCTCGAGGTCAAAGTCATCGAGGGACTGGGCACTACCATCGATGTGGTACTTTCGAATGGGATATTGCGGGAGGGAGACAAGATCGTCGTGTGTGGTCTCAACGGGCCTATCGTAACACAAATCCGGGCTCTATTGACACCCCAACCGCTGCGGGAGCTTCGTATCAAGGTGTGTGTGTTCTTATCTGGGGCTCTTCCTTCATCGAATCTCACGCCGCGTCCAGTCCAACTATGTGCACCACAAAGAAGTCAAGGCCGCGTTGGGTGTGAAGATCACGGCGCCCGATCTCGAAAAGGCGATCGCTGGTTCACGCTTGCTTGTTTGCGGGCCGGACGACGACGAAGACGATCTGCGGGACGAGGTGATGTCTGATCTCACGTCGCTTCTGAACAACATCGACAAGTCGGGCCGGGGCGTGTGTGTCCAGGCTTCGACTCTCGGATCGCTCGAGGCGCTGCTCGACTTTCTCAAGTCGAGCAAAATCCCGGTGTCGGGTATCAACATTGGCCCTGTACACAAGAAGGATGTGATGAGGGCTGGGACGATGCTGGAAAAGGCCAAGGAGCTGGCGTGCATCCTGTGCTTCGATGTGACAGTCGATAAAGATGCCGAGCGCATGGCGGAGGAAATGGGGATCAGGTTGTTCAAGGGTGAGTGTTTAAACCGTAACCACCCCAGGGTCGACCGTCGCACAGCTGACTCTTCTCTCCGCAGCTGATATCATTTACCACTTGTTCGATGCGTTCACGGCCTACAACCAGGAGATCGTCGAGGCGAAGCGGAAAGATGCTGCGCCTCAAGCCGTCTGGCCGTGTCGACTCAAGATCTTGGCCGTGTTCTGTAAGCGGGATCCAATCATCGTCGGTGTCGACATCCTCGACGGCAGTCTGCGGGTCGGCACGCCTCTGGCAGTGGTCAAAACAGATCCGGCTACCGGCAAGAAGGAGATCATCGACCTGGGCAAGATGTGAGAGCGCTGTCACTGATCCTTCGGTGCATTTGCTGACCTTGTGTGCAGCACATCGTTGGAGATCAACCATAAGGCCTACGATGTGAGTCTTCTACCTGGTCTTCCCTCGAACATGCTTCTCACCGGGATTCAATCCAGCTGGTGAAGAAATCGCAGGCCGGTGCCGGCGTTGCGGTCAAGATCGAGCACGCTGTCTACCAGTCCGCTAAAATGGTCGGCCGACACTTTGACGAGAAGGACGAGCTGCTGAGCCACATCACACGGCAAAGTGTGGACGTGCTCAAGGTGGGTTGCGGTGTGCATTCTGCCTGCCCTATTTTGGTGCTCATCATTCTATGCGCAGGATTCGTTCAGGGCGGATGTGCTTCCCGAAGAGTGGATGCTGATCAAAGCACTGAAGCCGGTGAGCAAAAGCACGCTTTTCTTGCGAATCTTGCTAACAGACCTTGATTTCAGTGGTTCAATATACAGTGAATGATGTGTATCTAGTCGAAATATACGCATGGACATGCCGCACTCGGAAACAACCGCACACCTGCTTGATCCCCAATTGAAGTGAATCGCTCTGAATCCGATCTATTTCTACGAGATACGGAATTACAACTTTGAGCGACGCTCAGTTGGGTATGGTCCAGAATGACTTTGGACGTGTTTGTGAATACATACAAAATGCTTTCCGTGTATGATTATACAGCTCACTTCAATTCGGCAGGCATATCCCCGCCCTGCAGGACGGCCATCAGGTTGTTGATCGCCGTCGTGACCATGTCCGTTCGAGTCTGGAACGTGGCGCTGCCGATGTGCGGCACCATCACACATCTGGAGTTGAATAAGCTGGACGCAGAGAGCTCGAATGCACAGAAAGTCACGCACTTGGGCTGTTTGCAGAGCGGATGATCGGCAGAGATCTTGGGCTCGCCCTCGATCACATCTAATCCGGCGCCCCAGATCCATTTCTCTTCCAGGGCTTTGGAAAGCGCGTCGGAATCAACCACTGTACCACGGCTGGAAGGGATCAGTGCGCGACCTTGATCAAATCGTTGACTCTCACCCCGCATTCACGATGACGCTCATCGGCTTCATCTTCTTCAAAAAGTCCTCCCCGATCGCGTGGTATGTGTCCTTCCCTCCCGGCGTCAACAATATGACCAAATCGCTCTCCAGCGCGAGGCGGTCGAGATCGACGCGCTCGATCGACTGCAGCTCGAGCTTCTTCTTGAGCGCGGCGTCGCGCTCGGCGTGTGCGGCGCTGATGGTGTTGCCGGATTTCGGGTTGCCAGAGTAGATGCAGTGGGTGATGCCGAATGCAGCGAGCCGCTTGAGCGTCGCCTGTGCGATGCGGCCGAAGCCGAGGAAGCCGACTGTCCGTGTCGGCGACGTCGATGTCGTGCTGAGCTGTGGACCGCAAAAGAGGAACGGGGACCAGACGAGCGACGGTTGGGCCCACTGAGGAAGAGATCAGTGAGCGAGGGATCGCCCATGCTGGCTTATCACGTACACTGCCGGTTTTGACGAGGTTGTAGATCTGGCCGTCGCTGCGGCTGGCCATCAGTGCGAGCATGACGGCGACATCGGCGACTTGGGTGATAGTTCAGGACACTAAAGCATGTATTGAAGAAGATCGACCGCACCTGCTTCTGTCAGCACATTTGGAGTATATCCGACCCGGACGCCGCGCGAGACAGTGAGAGGAAGGTCGATGTGTTCTAAAGAAGATTAGATAGGACACACGATGGTGGATCCGCATGGACACGCACCGTATCCAACAGAGACAGTCGATACGACGCGTAGAGTGGGTCCAGCTCATATGCAAGTTTCCTCACTTGGCACGCCTTCAGCCGTAATCCATCCAGACTCACCGGCATCTAGAAGCTCCTGGTCTACCTAATGCGGGGGTTAGACGCGGGATATACATAGGGAGGGATCGCGAATCGCACCTTCTCTCCTAGCAGAACCATCAGCCCCGCTGCGCCCTTAATGTTCTCCAGCAGCCATGCCCGATCGCACGCCTCATCGCGATCCCAGATGACGAACTAAGTGCGACGCATCAGGATCGTGTAACCAGTAGCTGAAGAACGGAACTGACATCCACGACGTCCTTGTGCTGCATCAAGATGGGCGTTGCCTGGCCCAGAGTCTTGCACACGATGACCTTCGGTTTGCTGGAATTGACGAGCGAGCATCACTGATTTGTACAGCGTCCCATGTAGCAGAGGCAGTCGCACGAACCTGGAGGACATATTCGGAGAGAGAGGAGAGGTTCAGGAAAGAGAAGCAGCGGAACTGGATTCCTGATCGTTCCAGTGCAGCTTTTTGTGGGGGGAGAAGGACTCACGGGATCTATCGGCCCGGACGTGAGAATCGGCGTACGGACCGATGGTCCGACTATCCTGTCTCGGCCAATCGTCGTGGATCCATCTCAGTACCAGTCCTGCTGTGGATCTGAAAGTCTAACTTCGCCTCAGACACTCCTACTTGCCATCCAAACCTCACTAAAATTCAAGGGCATGGGCGCGAATAACGCCCACGACCGACATATTTTCGGCCAAGTAAAAGATGTCAGAATCTTTCTTATTTTCTAAGGAGAAAAAAATTACTGGCTACTGAAATTCTGTGTAGAGATATTACGGGGATACAGATTTGACAAATAAGAGCTCGAAGACTTGGAATCTCAGACGAACGGAGTGCACACGTGCATATCCTCCGTGAATGCCCTCTATACGACGCGCAACGACCAATCATACGAGCCACCTCCGCCAACTTCGGCCTGCGCGACATCCTTGGGACGAAAGAAGGAATCGTTGCGTTGGCAGAATTCTTGAAGGAATCCGGGGCATTCACGAGAAATGGACGAGTGTGGCAGGACCGAGAGAATCCCGTGCTAGAAGACGAACCGGAACCGGAGCTATCGGACGACGAAGAGAACGACGACGACGACGACGACCTGGACAACGGCTGAACAACACCCGATGCGGCTCCAACCGGCCCTAGCCAAGCCAATCCCCCCTCCCCGTATGGTTATGTTCTATGCTCTATGCTGCGCTCGAAACTCCTCCACGACATCTCCATACAACCGAAATCAGGCAACGAAACATGCTCGATTGAAACGGCCGAAAAGACGTGATCGTCCTTCCATACCTGCTGCCCTTGGGCACCGCGTCTTAGTAGTTAGTTTACTTGTTGCGGAATACAAATGCGGATTCAAACAAACAGGAGTGCACACGTGATCGTATCTGGCGGTGTTTGCTGCATGATGGATTGATGCATCAGCCTGGCCTGTCTAATCTCGGACGCGAGCGACCATGGCCGCGCCGTTCGCAAACGGCACAGGCAATGAGGAAAGGACTCGAGAAGCAGCACCCGACTCGCTCTCAGGCCTCAGCTCCCTACTTACGAGCACCGACAATGCCGCGTCGCAAGCATACCTGAACCACCTCACAACGCTCCCACTCTCCACCCTCGTCGTCGAGCCCGAGACATTGCAAACCCAAGCGCATCACTTGACTTCAAGTCTGACCACGCTCACGCTCACATCTTACCCCACCTTTCTCTCGCTGCACCAGACGACTGCCGCATTGACCGCTTCCCTCACATCCCTCGAGTCGTCATTAGACGCACTGCTTAATACGAGTCTTCCCGCGCTAGAGAGCAGCGCGGCCAGCTGGAAATCGAGGACGGATGACGTTCTGTCTGAGCGGCGGAAGGCACGCGTCGTGCTCGAGCAGCACGATAAAATACGCGACCTGCTGGAGATCCCTATGCTCATTGATACCTGCGTGCGGAACGGCTATTTCGCAGAAGCGCTGTCCCTGGCCTCCCATGCGCGCTCGGTCTCGTTAGCACCTGTGCCGAAGATTCTCACCTCCGTCTTGGCCGAGGTGCAGAACTCGATGACGCAGATGATGCTTTCGCTGTTGTCGACGCTACACGAGCCGAGCCGGAAACTTCCTGCCTTGTGGAAGGCTGTCAACTTTCTGCGGAAGATGGAGGTGTTTGATGAGAGCAGCGGGGTCAGCGGAGAAGAGCAGATCGCGCTTGCGTTTCTCGGAGGCAGGGAAGCCTGCTTACGGACAGCGTTGGAAGGCATCTCGCGGGACGTTCTCCGGCTAGCCGGGGGGACGGGCATCGGAGATCGCGAGAAGGAGGACCTGGCGCGATTTCTGAAGAAGTACATCGACGCGTGGCGAGAAGGTGTTCACGATGTCGTGACACAGTTCACGACGATCTTCCTGGAGCGTTCTCCGGCCCCGGCGTCGCCTGCTACCAGTGTGTTTGCGTTGCATTCCTTGCTAACGACGTATACAACGCAAGCTCTGACGACGCATCTTCTGCCGATCCTCTCCCAAACGCTGTCTGTGCTCCCCATCTCGGCGTTGCCATCGCTGCTGACCCAGTTGACCTATTGCGCGACTGCTTTTGCACGTGTCGGACTGGACTTCCGGGGTGTCTTGAGCGGCCTGTTTTGCACAGCCGTCCTGGCCACGGTCGGCGCAGACCTGAAAGCAGTCGGCGCGAAGTGGATCGAACGTGTATCTTCGGCCACTGGCGACATCACACCTCCGTCGACGTCTTTGCGCAAGGGGACCAAGATCACTGCGCCCTCTCAGTGGCTGATCGTGCCGTCTCTGGCAGCCTCTCCCCCAGAGGGCCCTTTTCCGGAATCCGCAGCGCATGTCCCCCCGCAGGTCATTGCTTCGTATCCGCCTCTCGCTGAATACACCAACGCTGTTCTCACCGTGCTCAACGGCATGCGATTGCTGGCGCCGATCTCAATCTGCGATCAACTCCGATCAGTGTTGGACGGTGTCTTATCAGACAGCGGGGCAGCATTGCGCTCTTACGTCCGTCGTTCTTGTGATGGACAGGATCTGAGGACGGCGACGAGTGAGGAACGGGAGCGGGAGGAGCGGATTGCGGTTGCTGCCGGGCAGATATTTTTTACCGTGCTTACCCCCTTTTTGCGGAGGGCACTTTCGGAGGGAGTGTATGGGACACCGCTCTCGGACGACGTTTTAGAAGGCGTACGAGAATGGGAGAGTTGGTTAGCGATCAGGACCGGAGAGTAGGTACCAAGATAGCCTCGATTATTTTTAGCCGGCACGATCTCGGGACTGCGGTTGTCAAGAACCGGATCTCTTGTACATACTTGTTGTGAGGTGCAAATGTTACTGTGGCAGTAGCGATCAACGTCGTTTCTCTCCCTCCCTCCCTCCCTCCCTCCCTCTTCCATCGCCTGTCCCTACCCTGCCTGCTCCATGCAGCGCGTTTGGTCCACGTATCTTGACGGCCGGGGGCGACCAGAGCAACGGGTCCACCGCAGAGAGGTGCGTTGACTACGCGAGAGGATGACGGCACGGACTTACGCTCAAGATGCTTATTCTCGTGGCGTACAGAACTCTTCGTGAGCACGCAAGTAACCTGACCCTTGCTCCCCCCACTTATGTAAACCCGTTCTCGTTTCCCCCAGCAGGGACTCCTCCGTCGCGCCGTCTATGATGTCCCAGATCGCCCTCGTCCCCAACGCCGCTGGCTTCTCCGACCAGCAGCACCTGAATCCTCCCCACGCTCCTTTCGCGGAATCCACAGCAGGCTCCAGCCGGGCAAGCTCCCCTGGACCCATGTTCAACGGATCGAGCCTCTCACTCACTGTCAACTACATTCCCTCCAAACTCCCCGCGCTCTCGTCGGGGGCGCGGAAACGACGCACGGGCAAGGGCAGCGGGGGGCCCTTCCCGAAGCAGGGCGGCGGCGTGGACGCCTTCCGGAGCGGCGCCGCGCGGATCCCGGGGCAGCACGACGAGGACTTCGACTCGGGGTGGCTGAACGGGCGGGGGGGCGGCCCGAAGCTGCGCTGGACGCCGTTCAAGTGGATCCTGCTGCTGACGAACACGCTGCTCGCGGCGTACTCGCTCGTCGCGCTCGTGTTCTGCCTGCTGACGTGGTTCGACGTGTGGAGCCACGCGGACGTCGTCCGCGTCGCGAACCGCCCGGAGCTGGTGCTCTCGACGCTGGCGGCGGCGGCGGCGCTGTTCACGTCGCTCATCGGCTTCGCGGGGATCCTGCTGAACAACCGGCCGTTCCTCGCGGTGTACACGTTCCTGCTGTGGGTGTGCTTTGGGCTGCTCGTCGTGCCCGGGTACCTAACGTACAAGCACCGGAACCTGAACGTCGAGGGCAAGGTGAACAACCAGTGGTCGCGCGATCTGAGCGCGGAGGACCGCCTGCGGATCCAGAACCAGCTCCGGTGCTGTGGGTACTTCTCGCCGTTCGTCGAGGCGACGGTGAGCGCGACGTGCTACGCGCGCAGTCTGCTGCCCGGGTGCAAGGCGCCGTACCTCGATTTTGAGAAGAAGGTGCTCGAGCGGTGGTACATCGTGTCCTTCGGCCTCGTTCCGGCGCACATCGGCGTGATCGTCGCCGGCCTGCTGTGCTCGAACCACGTCACGTACCGGTTCGGGAAGGGGATGACGCCCAAGGCCTACCAGCTGACCATGGATAGCATGGCTGTTATCATGGACAACTACGCTAGGTGAGTACCGGGGCAACGATTCTTCTCTCCGTTCCGCGCGTGTGCTGACGATCACCCCACCAGCCGGCTCGCAGAGCAGTACGGCCCGGAGGTGGCGACGAAGGTGCTCAACCACTCGCGCTCGAACCTCGACCTGCCCGCAACGTACACGAGCGGGAGCGCGCCGCATCGGCCGGGGCACATGCGCAACCGGTCGCAGTCATGACCCCCATTTGTATATACCCCCCACATCGATACCGGACCCGCTGGTTGTACGGGCTTCACGGACTGCTGCTGCTTGTTATTCGTAAAGTTATTGCGCAGTTGTTGTTGTGCTCTGCCCACACGTTGTAATGGATTTTTTCCCCTTTCTCGAGCGTGCGACGAATTATCGCGAAGCCTGCCGGAGCACCACACCCATCCCGTTGGTTTCGCCAAGACAAGACCGTCACCTGACGACGGCAAGCCCTGCGTTCTCCTTGGAAGAGCTCCAGTGCGACTTGCACAGCGAAATGCTTCGAAGAACCGCGCCATCGGCCGACTGCCAAGAGTGCGTTGGCAACATGCACCCACCTGGATGGCCCTTGCCTGTCGTGGAAGCGCATACAGTACATGAGCATGCTGGCCAGTGCGTCTCACAGGCGGAATCCGTAAGTATACATATAGAGCCAAAATATGCAGATACAGTGCGCGAATCCTACGCGGCATGTGCCTGTGTGCACACGCCGAATTCAATTATCGCGTGGGCCCCCGTAAAGCCTGTTGCCTCCTGTAACTGTTGTACTTTCCTGTGCCGCGCCAAGGAAGTGTCCCATGCAAACCATGCACACTGTAACTCACGTAACCGTCGCGAGAGAGTCGCACTGGCAGGACAGGACGATGGACAGTGGGCATCCGGGCATTCAGTTCGAGGCTGTATGCATGCGCCGTGTTTCAGAAACGATGGGGATCTGTGGCCTTGGCGCGCATCGGGGTGACAGCTGCTTGCTTGGGTGCAGATGGACGTCAGCCATGCTTATGGAGACAGCCATGGGCGGAGCAGATGCCATTGCAGATTTAGAATCAGATTCAGAATCACTGCAGAGTCCCTCACATGACGAGCGCGATCACGTGTCAAGCCTCCTTGATTGTAAGTAAGTTGTATACGTACGTAAGAATATTTTTTTAGAACGAGTCCTTGAGAGAAGAGAAGATAAAAACAGCCGTCTATATCGTACGGGCGACCTACGCAGACTGCGCCTGCAGCATGGGCTTCTCGAACGTCTCCGCGCTGGCGGCGCGCATCTCCGGTGCCAGTGCCGGCTCGGCGAGGAGGACGCCGGGGTGGAATGCGTTGAGCGTGTAGATCGCGAGGAAGACCATCGCGCCGTCGAGCACGTTGAAGTAGATCTGCGTGCGCAGGACGTGCCCGTGCCACCCGCCCGCGAGCTCCACCGTCCGGTAGATCGACCTGTCCCGGCGTCAGCCGTGCTGGGGCGTGGGGAGGGGAGGGGCGAGGGACGCACCGGATGAAGAGCAGGAGCGTGGAGAACCCGAGCGCGCTGACCATCAGGCGCAGCCGCGGCGTGAGCGCCCCGCGCGCCTGGAAGTCCGCGCTGCGCACGGGCGCGTCGCGGACGTAGTGCACGAGGTAGTCGAGCGCGAACACGCTGAAGAAGATGATCACCACTGCGGGGTGGGGGTGTCAGACACGACGACGGCGACAGGCCGGGAGGATCGGACGCACCGAGCTGGAACACGATCCCGCCGAGCATGATGTTCGCGCCCTGTCAATTCGTGTCAGATCCACGGCCGTGCGAGCGGTGGGGTGGCCAGCCGTACCTGTTTAGATCCCGCGGGTGTGTTGGCCGACGAGGCGATCCCGCCGCCGGCACCCTGGACCACGAGCGCGATCACGTCCTGCGGAACAGCGCGTCAGTCCCGGTGCCTCTGGAGCGGGGCTGACAGTGTACGCACACAAGGGATGAAAATGGCCGTGTCTGATACGGGGCGGGGGGTCAGTGGCGGTCGCGGAACCCGATGAGCGAGCGACTCACACGTCTTGGGCGACACGCGCGAGTACGCCGGGCCGAGCCGCCCAATGATGCGCGAAAAAATCACAAACGTCGCCGCGAGCAGCGGCGTCGGGGCGATGATCGTCGTCGAGATTCTGGGAGATTTGAGATTAGGTCGGCGCATTCCAGAGGCAGGAACCACTTGGACGCACTGGATCAGGAACGGCGTGCCGAGCTGGGGCGAGATGGACGACCAGAGCCGGCCGCTCCACCCGATGATCTCGCCGATGCCGCAGAGCACGGCGGTGGGCAGCAGCCACCACATGCGGAACTTGGCCGCCTGGCCCAGATGCACGACTAGATAGATCAAATATTCAGATTAGATGAGATGAGATGGGATTCTAGATAGATAAGAATCTGGCGCGCACTGGCACTGATCGCGTACAACGCGACGAAGATGACCGTGACGGCTTTGGTGGGGATGTACCCGTACTGGTCGAGGTTGAGCTGCTGGGTGGTCTCGTTGAACGGCGGCTGCAGCTGCTGCTGCGTCGTCGCGTTGGCGAGATCCCGAATAAGCACTGGCCGCGATCAAAGTCAACTCAACGGCGCCAGCGAGGGACAAGGGGCAGCCACCCACCTGAGTACAGAGAGGCCATGGCGATCAGGGGAATTTGGAGAGAAGAGGAGGAATCGAAGGGGAGGAGAGGAGAAACGTGAGGACGAGGGCCTACCGTACTACATAGAACGCGTTATATCGACCCTCGGAAGGTGACTGTGCTTTGATGACCAGCGCGTCGCATCCGTCCATCCGATCCGGTGCTGTGCCAGTCCTACCACTACGCAGCAGGGTGCGAATTGAGCCAGCGCTCCGCAGTGATGTTTACCCACATCCATTCATTCATTCATTCATTCATTAAAGGCTACAGGGGCTGATCGGTGTGTTGATCTGCAGCCTCACATTGTGATTCAGAGGGCCAGCCATCACTCGGCACTGGGCGGAGGCGACAGAACTGGACAGTGCGCAGCACGGTCTCGATTTCCCGACGTGGAATCGCAACCACATTCTGGGGCACATCATCTCACCCCCCTTCAGAGCTCGTGTCTGGGCACAGCTATGTATCTGTCACCCGGTTTCGTGTCTGGCAACGTACGAACGCCGCATCTGTTTCGTTTGCATCGTGCACCCTCCTTCAAGTTGCTTCGATATGTAAATGCTTCAGGCCTGCGGGACAACGGCGATTTGAGGCCTCGTCCACAATTACACGGGAATAATGATAGCCGGACGAATCCGTCCTGTCCTGTCCTGTCCTGTCCGCCACTCGCCTAGCCGTCAGCGCCTGCAGCCCTCATCGCGGCTTTCTTCCCGTGCTTGCGCGCGCGCGCCTGTCCGCTCGAAGCCGAAGCAGGCGGCGAGAATCCGAGCATACTGCTCGTCGTGGATTTCGCGACACCTGCCTCTGGCTCTGGGACGGGGGGCCCGGATCCGGCATCAGCATCGTAGGGCGGCAGCGAGAGATTCGGATCACCCCACACGACGGGCTGCGGCGAGTGATAGAACACGATGCCGAGCTCGCGGCAGTAGTGCTGCACAGCCGCGTGGAAGGCCGTCTTGCGCGCGTTTCGCAGGCCCCAGTCCTGCCAGGTCCTGGTATCAACCGACCACAATAAAACAAGTCAGCCAGCGACGGGGAACAACAGCGCGCGCGAGGGAACCGACCGACCCGTTGTGCCCGATCCCCATGGTGAACTCGATGTAGCGCTGGAACGAGATGGTCTGCAGCGTCACCCCCGTGCTCGGGACGAACCACCGGTTTTCCTCGGTCGACAGCCAGCGGTTGACCGCGGCCTCCAGTGCGTCGAGTTTCGCCAGCGGAGTGCGCCAGGCCACCTGCATCGTCAGATTCTCGTATGTTTTCTGGAAAGAGATTAGCCCGAGCGCGTGCGAGTAGAAGTGTGGGCACTCACCCCAGACCGCCGGACGTTGACACTACATATAGCATTGGGAGATGTGATCGGAGTAGAGGGCAGCACGTACATGAACTTGTTCGCCAGCAGACTGTTGAAGTAGTACGATTCGACGCCGTCAGCGCGCTGGAAGACCGTCTGCGCAGCACTCAGTTACCAGGCCCACTCCCTCTCCGCAACTCACCGCGAACAGCGTCATCTTCTTGACGACGACGACCTCGTTGTCGACGATGCACCGATCGCCCGTGTCGAACGGATGCGTGACGAACAGGAACACGATCGCGTCGAACGCGCCGCTCGCAGCCGCGCGGAAGACGAAGCTCGCGCCGATGCCCAGCGTGTAGATGCTCGACAGGCTGGACGCGATGTCGACGCCGAAGATGCTCAGGCTGAGGAAGAACTGCACGCCCAGCGCGCCGAGCAGCAGCAGCTGGTCGAGCGTCGCCATCGCCTCCCCGACGTCCTGCATCGACCGCGCGAGCGCCCGCCGCTCCTTGCACATCTTGAGCAGCGTCGTCTTCACCTCCGCGCGCGAGAGGTCCCCGTTGTTGTCCGCGTCGAACACGCGGAACGCGGCGTCCGCGGCGCGTGCGCTGCCGCCGAAAGCCGGCTCGAAGTCGCGCGGGAGCAGGTAGTTGCGCGACGGGTGTTTGAGGGCGGTGAAGATGGTACGCGCCAGTCGCTGATCATCACATTCATTGAGTTGACGCGAGTGCGCAGAAACAACACGAACCTTGGCTTCAGACGGCGAGTTGAGCTGCAGATAACCGGCCTCATCTTCCCCCTTGATGTTCCTTGCGTCATGTAGCACGACGTCTTTGAGAGCCTTGGCCGCCGTCCCCACCAGAGTGGCATCGGGATCGCCCCGGGTCGGCGGATATCGGTGGTCATCCACCACGGAGCCGGCGGACTGCTGCCGACTGGGTGCAAAGCGCTTGGGTGCGAAGCCGAAGCCATCCCTGTCCAGAACAGGCGGGGTAAACCCACTCCAGAATTGCGCCGCCAGATTCCCCGCGCGGAGCTGCTTCGGCGCATAGGCGCGCAGCTGCTCGACGACGCGGAGGGTCTCGTGCACGGCATCGATGCGCTCCTGGAAGGCCCTGCGGTGAAACGCGAATGCGATGAGCAGCGAGAGCAGCCGCTGCAGGCTGAGCACGAGCGTGAGGAAGAAGAAAAACTCGACCACTTGGTACAGAGTGTCGGTGTACGCCTCGTGATTGGCATGCCGTGAATCAGTGCCCGGGTACATGTGGAAGATGTGGTCGAATATGATGATCCAGGATACCCAGCCGCTCGCCGCGTAGAAAATCGGCTTGACCGCGTTTTTCGTGTGGTTGTATATCTCGATCCGCGATTCGATGTATGCGGGCACGTGACCCCAGAACGCATTGAGCAGGAACCTGGCGAGCGAGGGTATGACGTCGATGATCATAGCCAGCGTCCAAGAGACGAGCAGATTGGCTGCAGCCCAGAAGAGCCACGCCTCGACGTTGACGGTGACACGGTGCCGGTACGCTGTCTCATCGCGCTTGTACCAGAAGAATACGAGCAGGACGGCCGGCGCGACGAGGAGGGCGGCGAGGAACGTCGAGCCGATCAGGGATGAGAAAAGCAGCGTGAATATCCTGCACGGGTCAGCATCTCTATCAATACACCAGGCAAGACCCCGCAACACCTTTTCACACCCCACCCCGTCGTCTGTTTATGGGCGCCCATCCTCTCCTCGAATTTGGCCTCCACATCGACCAGGTCCTCTTCATCCGACCAATCATAATCTCCGTCATCGTCATCGCCGTCAGTGTCGGCGTTGGAAACCACATCGTCGTCGTCTTCGGGTCCCTGATCGGGAGGACCAGCCGCCTTGCTCTTCCCCTTCGCAGAGACGTTGGGCTCGTTGACGGAGCGGTAGCTCGGCGTAGGCGACGACGCGGGCACGAACAGGTTGGGCTGGCTGGCGTGCGCCTTGTACGGCGGGGACGCAGGAGCAGCGGCGCCCAGGTCCTGCGATTCCTCCGAGCGCGCAGCAGGCTCGGACGTCGGCGCCTCCGCGCGGACCCTGCTGTGGTTGGAATGGGGGAGCTCAAGGAGGGCTGGAGGGGTGCTGGACATGGTGGGAGACGGTGAAGGGAGGTGTGTGCGCCAGATATAATATCGGGCGAGTGTGACATATGAAAAACCGGACAGGGTGCGTAAGGGTGGGGCGCGTACTCCACACAGGGGCTGAATGTGTTGGTTAGGCTCTCGGAGAGATGGTCATCGGAGTAGAGTGCCCCGTTGGTAGTCAGATCGCTGTCGCAGGAGGCCCGCGGGCCGGCTCGTGTGCTCAGAAGCACCACATTCGATAGTGATTCGAGGGGAGTGACGGAGGGACGCCGGACGCGGCTCGTAAGATGGAGAAACTTGAGGGAGACGGATAACACGTCATCGCGAGCGTGGAGAGACCGGATGGTTACCACAGATTCAGAGCGCGTTTGTACCCTCGGGCTCAGCGATGAGGGTGGAAGAGAAGCGTTGTGAGACAGGCACTCGTGCGTGGGACGCAGTGTTTCCGTGAGTCGGGAACAGGACGCGAGCATTCGACAGAGACCTGTTTAGCGTGTTCAGTTCCATCCTTCCGATGAGTATCTGTGCTGGTGTGCGACCGCGGTTGCTCGCGTGTTGCCAGACAGTCCAATGAATTTGCGGCGGGGCAATGGCAGTGATCATGATGAATGATGAGATCACCAGGATCTGCGGCACTTGCACAACATCCACAACTGATGGGGTTCGAGCTGTTGGTTGAGGAGTGCCAACAAAGATCAAAGAGGCTCTGGAGTGCTCGGGCAAGTAGAGTAAAGGACTCGGAGCTACCGAAGCAATTGATAACGACGAGTCGTCGAAAGCGTTTATTTTGAAGGTAGGACGTGTATTCGACACAGGTTGTTGGTGAGATGGTCGTTGGAGCATAGTGCCCCGTCTGCGATAGCTGCAAAGTCCGCGGGTCGTTGGTACGATTGGTGCTCAGAAGCAGCACACTGATGCGGGCAAGTGAGGGACGCGTTCATGAAGAGGAGAACGAGGAAGGCGCAATAGCACGTCAGAGCGAGCGTGAGAGCGCCTCAGGCTCAGAGGTGGAGGTGATTGCTCAACACAAAGTCTATGGTGTTCTGGATGAGGACATGGATTTCTGACGGGGAGCCGTTCAGAGTGTCCAGTTCTATCCCTCCCCATCCAGTAGGTACCTATGAGATCGTTGCCGAGATGCCATCAATATTAGAGAGAGCCTTGGCGACAGGTGTCAGATGTCGTTTATGTAGCTTGATAAGCACGTGATACTCGATCACAGCTTCTTGCTGAGGCTGATGTGCCGCCCGGATGAGCTTCGCACCGTCATTAGTCACTGAGACATAGACGGGTCCCAGCTGGCTCTCTGACCGATTTGCCCATCCTTCTAGTGAATGTATTCGACAATCGGACGAGAAGGTCATCTACGGATGGCCAATTCACTCTTGAGTACTGGTGGGAATCCTCTAGACTCAATGTGTGCGTCCGGCATCACACATCCAAATGTGACAGTACGCATGGTGATCCCACCGGCATGTGATACCTCCGCATCCCCGACTCGGACAAGTTGCCCACACCAGACACATACACCGCATCATCATATGCGCATTCACGATCCTTCAATCAAGCTCTCCTCTAACCCCCATCCACCATGTCCGCTTTGAAGCAATACACGTACGAGGAGGTTTCCAAGGTGCCCTTAGACACCGTCGTTCCCCACCGCGTGTGCTGAATCAATTCCACTGCAGCATAACAAACCAGGCGACTTGGTACGCATCCCCCTTCCCCGCACCCCGACGAGCCCACCGCGGCTTACCCGCGTTTCTTTCTCTCCCAGTGGGTCGTCATCGACGCCAAAGTCTACGACTTGTCCAAGTTCGCCGACCTGCACCCGGGTGGTCCGAGCGTCCTGTTCGCGGAGGGCATTGGTGCGCAGTCACGCCATCCGTGCTTCCACGTCCGCTCATCTCAACTGCCACAGCTGGCAAAGATTCCACAGAGGTACGCAGGATCTGAACCACCGTCTCGCCGCCGCCGAACGCCGTTGCCAGGCCTTCTTCGGCCTCCACCGGCTAGAAGTCCTGCACCGTCCGCAATACGCCCGGTTCCAAATCGGCGCGATCCTCGGCGAGGAGCCGACCATCAAACCCCTCGCACCGGGCGAGCTCTCGAAGGTGCCCTACGCCGAGGCGACGTGGCTCGTGAGCGGGTTCAAGAGCCCGTACTTCACCGACCGGCACCGCAAGTTCCAGACGGCCGTGCGCAAGTTCTGCGTCGAGGTGCTGCAGCCCGAGTCCGAGAGCGTCGAGGCGAGCGGGAAGAAGATCTCGCAGGCGGTCGTCGACAAGGAGGCGGAGGTGAACCTGATCGCGATGCGGCTCGGCCCCGGCAAGCACCTGCAGGGCCTGCGGCTGATGCACGACACGGTCGCGCCGGAGGAGTTTGACTACTTCCACGAGGTGGGTCCGTTGTCCCGCGATGCAGCTCCCCGTTTCTGAATCGAACAAGTTGATCATCAACACGGAGACATCACGATTCGGCGGACGCGGATTCTTCGACGGCAATCTCGCGGGCGCCGTCATCGGGCTGCCGCCCATCCTCAACTTCGGCTCGCCCGAACTAAAAGCGCGTATTGTCCCTGAGGTCTTTTCAGGCAAGAAGTACATGGCGCTGGCGATCAGTGAGGCCTTCGCTGGGTCCGATGTGAGCGGTATCCAGGTCCGTGGGCGCTGCTTGTGCCGCTCGATTAGGGTAATGGAAGCTATATAGACCACTGCCGTGCGGGATGGCGACTTTTGGATCGTCACCGGAACAAAAAAGTGGGTGCTCGCCTCAAATAAATGCAGATACACCAATCTAATCGCGTGCTCCAGATGGATCACCAATGGCGCGTTTGCGGATTACTTCACCACGGGCTGCAAAACCGACGTAAGCACGCTATGCTACATTCATTGGTGCATCTGACGCCCTCCCCAGACCGGATTCACCGTAATCGTGATTCCGCGCGACGACAGCGTCGGGACGAAAGCCATCAAGACCTCGTACTCCTCGACCGCCGGCACCGCCTTCGTGACATTCGACAACGCGCGCGTGCCCGTGTCCTACACGCTAGGCAAGATCGGCGACGGCATGAGCGTCATCCTGACCAACTTCAATCACGAGCGGTGGATGATCACGTGCATGGCGTTGGCGTCGCAGAGGACCGTCGTCGAAGAGTGTCTGAAGTGGGTCTTTGGTGGAGGTCTGGCCCGTTCGCTCACGCGGCTGATTCGGTCTGTAGATGGGCCTCGCAGCGCATGGTGTTCGGGAAGCCGCTGACGTCGCAGGCTGTGATCCGGGGCAAGCTCGCGGCGATGATCTCGCGAGTGGAGAGTGCCCAGAGCTGGCTGGAAAACATCACACATCAGATGAACAATGTGCGCACCTTCGTGGGATGATAGTGCTCCAATCTGACTGCTTCCAGATGACATACAAACAGCAGAGCTCGCTGTTGGCTGGGCAGATTGGGCTGCTGAAAGCGTTCGCCTTGTTTTTCTTGCTCGCTGTGATAGTGCGCTGACCCTCCACGCGCAGATTTGTGACACGCTCTGGACAAGAGATCGCTGCTGGTATGTCTCTGATAGTAGACGCATCGATCGATGTCCGAACTCAACTCTTTCACAGATGCAACACAAATCTTCGGTGGACGAGCGATCACCGCGACCGGAATGGGCAAGTACATTGAGAACTTCAGGCGAAACATCGCGTTCGACTCGAGTGAGCGATCTCTGCCGATCTACCTGCAGTGCTGTACCAACTCACGTGATTCTCTAGTTTTGGGTGGTACGGAGGATGTGTTGGCTGATATGGGTGTGAGGCAGGCGCTGAAGAAGATGCCTGCCGACGCACGACTGTAAAAAGTTGAACAGATACGATATGCTTTATCTCCAGTTCTTCTGAACCGAGTAACTTGGATACTCTTCGCGCCCTGGCAAGTGCTCCCATCCAGGCGATTTCGAGCGCAGGCAAGCGCTTGGCCGTCGAGTGTGATTTCATGTCGCTTCAATTCTGTAAAAATAAAACGGGATCCCGATCGAAGTAATTTTTCACGCAAGTAAGCAAGCGGTGGATCTGCTTAGCCGATTGTGCTCTCCACGTCGCTTCGAACACTAAACGGCGGCGTGAGCTAAGCCACAGCGACAGAGAGTCGATTTTCTCTAAAGAACACAGCTGATCCAGGCAACATTTTTTAATCCATTTCCTCCAAGTACGAGTTCTATGATAGGATTGACGACGACGATCAAGTGATCAAAAAGTCGAGAAGAACTGTTACGTAACCGGAAGGAACGGTCCATGCACCCGATTGGCTGGCCAGCCACGTGAGGTGCTTCTTCCGCGGCAGGGTTTACTCGGCGCCACAGTACATCGATGTGGCCCCGTGAAAGCTGACCCCGCTTGCTTGCCTGCCGTGCCCTTCCATGTCCTTTGGCGCCCGATGAGCGCTGCAGATACCCAGGAGCAACTGTGCGCGCCCTACCTCTCCCCCAGCGCCCCATCCGAACCTGACCCGTCTGTCTGCGCGCAGAAACTGGAACTACTACAGCAGCCTCGTGTCGTTCAGTGCGTCCCGCGTCTGGTGCCATGTGTGTGTGTGTGTTGACGCGCCGTGACGCGCCTTGCAGCGCTCCTGTACTACGACTACGTCCTCACGCTCGAATGGGAGGTCGCGCGGTACTGGGGGCTGCGGTGCACGGCCCCCAGCGTCCTCTTCTTCCTGAACCGGTACGGGACGTTGTTCGGGATGGTCCCGGTGGTGATGCAGAACTTCTGGGCCGCGGAGAGCTCGCCGCGGAAATTCGCGGTGCGTGGCGGATCGCTCGCGCGGCAGGGCTTGGGTGAACTGACTGCGTCGTCGTCTCGTCCCAGTAGATGTGAGTCAGCACCCGTGTGTTATCTGTATTTGCATAGGATGCTGGAATGAACCCTGGTCCGTAGATGCGACGTGCTGGAAATGTACCACAGCTTCTTCTCGCTGGTCATCCAGATCATCATCGGGGGTGTGTCCTGTGTCCCCCCCTGCTGCCCGTCCCACGGAATTGTTGACTGCGTCCCCAGTCATGCTGATTCTCCGGACCTACGCCCTCTACGAACGCAGTAGGCGCGTGCTCGGGTTCGTCGTGGGCGTCGCGGCCCTGGTCATCGCTGTGGCCGTGGTACGTGCGTCCGCTGGGCATCCGCTCCTCCTCCTCCTGCCCCCGCCTGCTGGCTGAATCATTCTGCGCCAGTGGGCTGTCGTAGCAGGCCCGACGACGGCCGCCGATGTCAAGATGCCGCCGCTCGATCTGGACCGCGGGTGCGCGGCTGGTGTCACCCGTTCCCAGTACGTGCTGTCCGTGCTGAGATGCAACCCACCGCCGGGGCTGACGCGGACGACGACTTGCAGGGCCGCGGGGCTTGCGATCGCGTGGTCCAGCATGATGCTGTTCGACTGCGTGATCTTCGTGCTGACGCTGTACCGCGCGCTGAGCCGTCGGCGGGCGCTGGGCTTCCAATTATTGACGGTGCTGCTTCGTGATGGTGCGTTGCGGGTGCGTTTCTCGTCTCGTCGATCAGCTTCTGAGTGTGTCTTCCCAGGTGCGATCTATTTCGGGTGCGTTCGGCTTTCGTGTCGATGCGTTCTGTGCTTGATGGTTGCAGCGTTATGGTTCTCATCAACGTCGCCAATATCCTGACCTTCTTCGTAAGCGTTGGGCCTCTTCATGCGTCACGCCGGAAGCTAATGTTGCGCAGATGGGCAAGGTGGATATTATGTTCACATCCGATTTCCTAGTCGCCTGCTCATCTTGCAACCAACAGCCCTATACCAAGGGTGTGCTCGCCACATTCACCAGCACGTACGTCGTCGTCGTCTACTCTACGGCTCCTTCGGTGCAGCTAACGCCAGCACAGGATATCCTCTGTCATGATATCCCGGCTGATGCTCAACCTGCGCGACCCAGGACTCCAGAAAATGCCGGCATCGCACGGCACCGGAACCACAAGCATGTCTCTGGGAAGCGGGACCGATGCTCCGGCCCATGGTGTCTTTTCGACGTATGTAAGCCAGGCCGAGACGGCGAACACCGCTGGTACCGGATATTGTGCGCCCAAGGGCTTGTCTGTCTCCTTCTAGCCTTGACTTGTGCTCGCAGATTCGGATCATATGGAGCTCGAGCAGCGCCTGGGTGGAAGATGATGCTTTCCAGAGACACATTAATACCTGCATAAAGACTTGATACAGCATAGAGACCCGATACTTACCGCACTTACTCCTGATTGTATTGATAGCCTTCCTCCTTGAGCCCGCGCGGTCAGTCAGCTCACACACGATGTGGTTCAGGATCAGCTCCCAGCAATATCTTTCTCGGTGGCCGAGGGCGGGTTTCACGCATAATTGCACATGTTCTACATACATAACTGGCTAACCAAACGTCTGGCTCTGTAGGACGCTGAGTACCGCGAACGAATATCGGGAAAAGAAGACGCACCGAACGGGCGCTGCTCTTCGCCTTGGACAGCCTCCACTCATCCGGCTTCTCGTACTTGTTGTACAGCGGCTCGATCTTCTCCTGCTTCTTGCGCTTGCTGATCTTGTTCGCGTCCGCGACGCGGAAGAACTGCGGCGCGACCTCGACGAGCCACTTGGGCTCGACCGCGGTCACGTTGTGGCAGTACTCGCGCGTGGTCAGCACCAGCTCGTGGTACACGAGCCACTCGGGGTTCCGGTTGAACAGCGCGGACGACGGGTGGATGTACACCGGCGTGCCCTCGACGAGCGTCTTGTAGCCCTCCTGCGGGTCCTTCTTCGCTGCATTCCGGAAGAACCCGGAGCAGATCGCCTTGCGCACGGTGTTGTAGTCGCGCCCGGCGGACAGGATCGAGTGTTTGTAGCGGTCCATGATCCCGAGCAGCTGTTCCGCACGTCCTGCGCCCGCCGCATGCTCCGTGCCTGGATAAAGTTCTCGTAGCACCACGGATTCGAGAAGTTGGCCTGCTTCCAGCCGTTGTAGACCGTCAGCAGCGTCAGGTGGTCGCCCTCCGGCTGGTGGAACTTCGCCTTCTTCTGGTCCGCCTGGCCCTGCTTCTCTTTGGGGCGATAGAACACCGTCTGCACGGACAGCATCGCCACGATCGACAGAATCTCCTCCGAGCACCCGAGGTCGACAGAGGCGATGACCATCTTGGCCTGCGCCGGGTCCATCGGAAAGTCAGCCATCTTCCTCCCCAGCCGCGTCAGCAGCCCCTCGTCGTCGAGCGCCGACAGCGCATACAGCGCCTCGAGCGCCGTCAGCATCGTGTCCGCCGGCGGCGGGTCCATGAAGTCGAAGCTCAGCAGGTCGTTGATCCCCATGGCCTTCAGCTGGAGGATCGTCGACGAAAGGTTCGTCCGCTGGATTTCGGGCACCGAGTTCGGCAGCATCTCGTTGCGGAACGCAGCCTCGGTGTACAGCCGATAGCACTTCCCGGGCCCTGTGCGGCCGGCGCGGCCGGCACGCTGCCGGGCCTGGGCCTGCGAGATGGGCATCACCACGAGCGAGTCCATGCCCAGCCTCGGATCGTACGCGCTCTGCTTCACGAAGCCCGGGTCCACGACGTAGTAGATGCCCGGGATCGTCAGACTGGTCTCCGCGACGTTCGTGGCGATGACCACCTTCCGCGCACCCGGTGGCGTGGGCTCGAACACGCGCGACTGCACCTCCGAGGGCAGAGCGGAATAGATGGGCAGGATGATCAGCTCAGGGACTTTGGGGCCCAGCGCTTTCATGCGCTCGAACAGGATCTCGCACGCCGTGTCGATCTCCTCCTGCCCAGTCAGAAAGAGCAGAATGTCGCCGGGAGGTTCCGAGAGATGGATCTGCATCACCGTGATGAGCGAGGCATCTAGATAGTCGCTTTCGGGATCCTTGGTGTACAAGATCTCCACAGGATAGGTCCGACCAGGAATCGTGAACAAGGGACATCCGAAAAAGTACTTGGAGAACTTTTCCGCATCGAGCGTGGCGGATGTCACGATCAGCTTCATGTCAGGACGTCGCTTGATAGTTTCTACCCAGTGGATGAGATCAGCCCAGTCCTCCGATAAGTTGAAAACCACTCACTCTTCAGCAAACCAAAGAGAACGTCTGTCGAGATGGTCCGCTCGTGGGCCTCGTCCAACATGATCACCGAGTACTGACTGCACAGCGGGTCGATGAGACACTCGCGCTGCAGCATCCCATCGGTCATGTACTTGATCCGGGTGTCGGGACTCGTGCAGTCCTCGAAACGGATCAGGTACCCAACCTCTTGGCCCAGACGGCACCCGACTTCCTCGGCCACACGTTTGGCAACCGACATGGCTGCCACACGACGTGGCTGGGTGCAGCCAATGCGGCCTTTTTCGGCATACCCGGCCTCAGCAAGGTATTGCACCATTTGTGTGGTCTTCCCTGATCCGGTTTCTCCAATGACAATGAGGACTTGATGCTACGCGCAAGTCAGACAAAGAAATCAGTGATACCTAAGCACTGCACACCTTGGCTACGGCTTCCAGCAACTGCTCCCGTAGCTTGAATATCGGCAGACTCTTGCGCTGATCCTGAATGCTGAGATTGGTTATCTCTCCAAAGGTCGTCGCCTTGTTGAACGTCGACTCCTTCCACTTCGGGACTTCGCTCGCCCGCTGGCCCTTGAGGTTGCCGCGCATATCCTGAGCAAACATCTTGTCCGCATCAGTCGCCATCGGATCGAGCCACGGTTGGGTAAAGTCCCTGGCATGCGAATCGGCTTCTTCGTTGGCTTCATGCTGGCGCAGTTCTCTCCGTTCTTTGGCCAGCGACGCCCCGCTCAGTGCAGCACGATTCAGCGACCCATCTGGCGCCTTGACGATCTTCACCGGACTGAGCTCCAGCGTGCGCTTAGTCTGCCCCGCAAGGAACGGTGGCTCTTCTTCTCGCACTTCGACATCCAACTCTTCGTCGATCTCGCCCCGAACGGCGGGGTTGTGCAGGTCTTCGTCGAGTTCGGGATACTCAGACGCGTCCAGTGCACCGGAGGATATGAGCTGTTTGAGCTCCCATCGCTCAGGTGAGGTTAGGCGCTTGGCGGAGCGGATAGGTGCGTCATTGACGGGGCGGTCGTTCCCCGATCGAAGAGGGACAGCGTTGGCGCCTGAGGACGCATACGACATGCGTTTTTGCTCCTGCTCAATCATCTCAGCCTCCGTCTGGATCTTGAGGTGTGGTGAGAGATCACGACCGGTCACTTGGTCGACGTCCTTCATCGAGAGACCGATCCGGTTTCCGGCGAGACTCATGACTTTGACTTTGACCGGTTGACCGCGACTGAGGAAATCGGACGCAGAGTTAACACGTCCAGTTTGTATGTTAGATATATGGATCATGCCTGCATGGGATTGAGGCCTGCAGACGAGATAGTACGACATCGAAAACGCACCTTCTGTCCGTCCATTGACACCTTCGAGTGTCACAAAAGCCCCAAAGTCGCGAATGCCCGACACCTTGCCGTCGTAGATCTTGTACAACACGGGTCGGTCATCCAGCGTGCGTCTCTCATTCCTGCCCTGGTTCCGCCCGTACCCGCCTCGAGGCGGACTGGGACTTCGTCTCCTCGGGGAAGTGGAGCGACCACGTCGCTGTCGTTTGGGAGACCGTTCCGAGTCGGCCGGCCTCTTCCTGCCCGCAACGAGGTCCCCAAGCTCCTGCAGAAACACATCATCCGGGAGCGGCACGGGTTCCGTGTCCTTCATCGCCAGCCCGGGCAGCATCCGCTTCTTTTTGTCCTGCTCCGACAGCTCCCCTTCCAACGCCTTTCCTTCCCCTTGGACGACTTGTGCTTCTTCTTGTACTTGGGGTGCATGCTCAGGATGAGACGGTCCACATTCTCGACGAAGGAGTCTGGGAACACCGCGCCGACTTCCTTGAGCTTGGCTTTGAATGCGGGCAGGCTCTGTTTCGACTGTTCGTGGAGAGCGATCACAAATTCGGCGAGCGTCTTGTCGTTCATGCCCGTGTGGTTGTCGATTTCCTGCACGATTTTGGCGACCAGCGACAAGAATTCGAGGTTGTACAGGTCCCCATTTTGCGCCATGCGGAGTCGTGAACGGTGTTGGTCAGCGGAGTGAGCGGTGAGTTGCTCACGGGCCAAATAAGGGTCAATAGACGCGATCACGAACGACTGAAGATCTCCGAGTCATCACAGTCGTCCCCCAGATCTCTTCGCACATTATCATGGCTTCTTTCTCATCAGACTCGTTTAAACCTCTTCTCGACAGGCTCGTGCAGACACCCGAGTACTTTACTCCAGAAGATCTCACTCTTGCGCTTAACCACCTCTTCACGCCTGACGCCGTTTCCCCCGTCCAGATCGGCGCGTTCTTGACTGCGCTGCACATCCACCGTGTCGAGAGGCGGCCGGAGTCGCTAGCTGCAGCAGCGGCGGTCTTGCGAGAGCGGTCCCTCAAAGCCACCATCGAAGATCGGGAAGGCGATTTCATCGTAGACGTCGTCGGCACCGGAGGCGATGGCTTCAACCTATTCAACGTAAGCACGACCGCAGGGATAGTCGCGGCGGGCGCCGGTGCCCGAGTAGTCAAGGTCTGATGCGCGATCGATTGCACCTCCCCATACGTCCCTGACGCATCACCGCAGCACGGCAGTCGCGCGTCCACCTCCAGCTCGGGCTCGGCGGACCTACTTCAGGCTCTGGGCTGCACATTCACCGCGCCCACGCCGGGGACGACGACGCCCATCCCCCGCGTCCCCTTCACATTCATCCTCGCGCCCCACTACCACCCCGCGCTCGCCTTCATCGCGCCGTACCGCAAGGCGCTCCCGTTCCGCACGATGTTCAACATCCTCGGGCCGCTGATCAACCCCGCCAGCCCGCAGGGCATGGTCCTCGGGATCGCGGAGCCGGAGATCGGGCGCACGTTCGCGCGGTCGCTCAGCGAGGGCGGCGTCTCCCACGCGCTCGTCGTGTGTGGTTTCGAGAAGCTCGACGAGATCAGCTGTGCCGGCCCGACCCATGCCTGGGAGCTGAAGGACGGACGGGTGACCGAGCTCACACTCACCCCGGCGGACTTTGGGGTCGAGACCCATCCTCTGAAGGCTGTGGGCGGCGGATCCCCTGCTGAGAACGCAGAGACGTTCAAGAAGTTGCTGACATCTGGAAAAGACATCCCAGTGGCCATGAAGGCTGTGTTGGATTTCGTGCTGATCAACGCATCTGCGTTGCTGGTGGTGGCCGGGATCGCAACGGATTTCAAATGGAACGCAGCTGGCATTGGAGAGCATAACGTCTGGAAAAGCTTGGGCAGCCCTGCAGACTTTCAAAGAGGCGGGACAGACAAGCAGCTCTTGAATGCCTGATGAATTGCTTTCCGCTTACAAGGCGTGTGTCTCAGCGCGGAAACCAAAGATGAAAATACAGGTTTGTTCGTCGTACACCTCTTCGTAGATATGTTACGTCAAAGCTCCGTCCCGATTGTCCCGACTTTCGCTGGAGCTTCAATCGCAGCCAGACCGGAACGGACCAGCCTCACCCGCTCATCTATCAAGTCCAGAGTACTGAGAATCGACGCGAGTTCTGCTTTGGCATCGGTTGGAAGCGAGGCAGAGGGAGCTTGGGCCGTGGGCGGCAGCTTCTTCCCGGACGAGAGCTCGTCCCACAGCGCAGTGACGACACCCGCGACCCACTCTTCGCGATCCTCGTTCCTGACGCGCTCGCGGTGCCTCCTTTGAGTCTTCTCCGCGGCTGAGCCCATGCGCATGTACGTCCAAATGTTACTCAGCAAGAGCACAAATATGAGCACGTAGAGGATGCTGGTCGAGTTTGAGTTGTCCCAGGCATCGCGCAGGAGCTCGAGTGCTCCTTTGGTGCTCGTCTTGGCGACACGGTAGGCGCCGTCGAACGTGTCCCAGGCCCATTGTAGACCGCGACCCTGGCGTGCTTTGCGTTTCTCTTGTTCGGTGGGCTCTGCGACATTGACTGCGGCGGTCGAGGCCTCGGCCGCAAGCTCGGGTACAGCAGCGGCTGCCAGATCCACGCCCTCTGGCATGAACTCAGACTGATGCTCTTTGATGTACCCTCGCATCGCCTTGTCCAGATCACCGTGGTACACCTTCTGGCCGTCGATGGCCGACTTTTCGATGATGCCTGCGCGTGCACGGTTAGTCGGTTTTGCTCAGCTCAACACACACCAACGCACCCTTGATGAAGCTACGCCCGGTCCAGTCCACCTGAGTAGTGACCACAACCTTGGTCGAGAACGACGTGCACCACATAATGCACGTTCGCGTCTTGACAGAAAACACGCCGCCACTGGGCACATCAGGTGTCCGAGTGGTTGTCAGCATCGACACATAATCGTCGAAATCGATGTGTGCAAGCTCGTCTCGGATCTCGCATTTCGTCGACTTGGGCCCCAGGCTCGCGTTCAGAGGTTTGATATACGACATGTTGCGAGTGAGCAGCTTCGACCCGGGCGTAGCAGGAGACCAGTCCGATACCTGGATGTCTGAATCAAGTAGTGAGTTACAGTAGATCGAGCCAGTGGGTGAATCACGACTGACCAGTCAGTTTCTGATTTACAGCCATAAACTCTTTGATAAATCCGCTGGCGAAGATCAAGTTGTAGATCCGTTCAGGAGTACCAGGTATGACAATCTCGAGGGCCGTCTCTGAGAAGTGAGCTCCCTGTTTGCCACACGCGCAGACCGTTGCCTTGTGCTCATTTGCTGCTGCGGGACCCGATCCGATGAGGGTGCCTTCGGGGATTGTCAGTCCCGTGTCGTTTGCAACGGAGCCTGAGCCGATAGAGATGGCGTCACTGGGGCGGACCAGTCGCCAGATGTTGTGAATGACGTCGAAAGTCGTGTCGCGGGACAAGAAGGAAGCAAAGGTATAGTCCGCCCGCGGGGTGACCACATGAATAGCGTTGGGTATAACAAAAGCTGTTACTTTCTTCTCCAGGGTCGTAATTTCATAAATGGAAATCGTTAACTGCGCTATGGTGAGAAGGGACATGACACATCTCCGCAAGTGACTCACATCAGTGACCCAGCCAAAAATGTTGGCGTGAAAGCAGAGATGGTTCTCAGAGACGTAGATTCGTCCTTGTACAAGAATATCGCGCTGTAGAGCGCATCCATAGTCTATGCATGTCATGTCAAACGACTCTCAGTGTCCCGCTGACACCACGCACCATCAATAAGATAATCCCCTTCTGGGATGCCCGGGAACAGTTCGTGAAAGTCGGCATTTCGTTTATTGCTGGCGACTGCGAAACCGGTCACCGGAATATCATCCTCTCCAAGATCCAGATCCAGTCCACTTTCGTCGTCATCTTCCGTATCAGTCGTGTTTCCGTCAGAACTGTCCTCCAGACCGGAATAGTATGCTCCTTGATGCTCATCTGCATCCTCGTGGCTCACGGCCGAGCCCGTCGTCTGTCTCCGCCGGTGCTCGCGTTTGTCGCCAGATTTGGTACTGGTGCTCGTGTTCTGTCTGCGATGTCGGGACGCTGCCGGCTCTGGGCTGGCGGTGCTAGTCGCTCTGCGGCGGGCCGACATCTGCGGACTCTGCAGAGGAGACGTCACGAGGGACGGGCCGCCTCCGCTCGCCTCGCCAGTGTTCATGACCTGGGGGTTCATCGTCGTCTGGTGGTCTACTGACATGCCGTGGTTCGCCATTGCCAGCCCTGTCGCTGCCAGCGCGCCAGCCAAGCCAACGGGCTTCTTCGGGACGCTGCGTTTCCACGGCCGGGACGGCGACTTGCTCTTTCCACCCTTGGAGGATGTGACCGAGAACACATCAGTGTCTCGGCGGCTCGGAGGAGGGGATCCACCCATAGACGACACTGGACTCATTTCTCGGGACCTTGTTGGCGGAGGAGAGTCAACGAGTTCAGGTCTGCCCTTGCGCACCTCAGCAGAGGCTGCCGGATCCGGCAGATTTGGCACAGCTGGGGGTTGCGCGTTCGTCACTTGCTGTCGTTTCAGCGACTTATTGGAAGATTGCGTGCGAAGCGGGGGAGGCGGAGGTGTTGGCACTTGACTCGACTTGGATCCCTTTGGAGTAGGTGGGCGCGATGGAGTGGTAGCAGGAAGTCCTTCGATGGGAGGCGCAGCTGCTGCTGGTTTTGGCGGCACGGGATGCTCGGGACTCGCATCATTGGCCACGACAGGCGATGGTGGGATGACTGTCACGCTAGGGTTCCCACTGCTGCGACCAGAGTGACCAAGGGTCGAACCATTCCGTGACGAAGACTCCACAGTCGATGGCGATTGGCTACGAGTGTCGGATGGCGAAATGGGGGACGATGAGCTAAGGGAGCGATCTCTCGGGTGCGTTGCTGCGGGGGCCTTGACCAGTTTCGAGAGAAAATTGGGCGCCATCACATAACTCGACGCCGGGGTATAACTGTTTGGAGAGCAGAAGAAGCACGCGACTGACTATCTTGGGTGAGTGTGAGACGCGTTCCCCCTATGTGCACTTGACGTCCACTGTGCGGGGAGAAAAGGTATTGAGGTAAGTGAGGAGCGCGCGTTGACGCTCATGCTCACGAGTGATGTCAGAGAATGAGCTTACGAGACAGTCCGATGATTCGCTTCGTGGTCTGTGCTCTGTCCTCTCCGTTTGTCGCCTAGAACAAGGAAGAAAAAGGAAAGATCGCGTGGCGCGCGGTGGGAGCGCGGGCGGTATGAGACGTAAGTTCTGACAGATCGTTGGACTGACATAGATCGGTCTAGTGTGATTAAGCATTGATCCGAATGATAACAGCTGATACACGATCAAATGATGTGCATATCCGAGCAACTTTCTTGGTTACAAGAAAGCGTTTCATTGTTACACCAGTAGGACGTATATGTGCCGAATGAAGGTCGAGTCGGTCTGCATGGCAATATTCACGCCAGAACCACCTAGACAATAGTAATACAGGGACTAGATACAATATTACAAAGGCACGTGTGTTGAAGCCACAACCGCATCACAGGATGACTCGATGATGAATTCAGCAAATGGGTTGTTAAGCTGCCGCGCGAGCCAAAGCGTGTACAGCAGATATCAACCCTGGCGCATCGTTGGCAAGAACACGCTCCTCCACCAGCTCCGACAAATCAACCTCCAGATCTTCCATACCCAGCACGCTCGCCTTACCCAGCTGCGTCGTGTTGGGTTTATACAGCAGTTCCACTGTGATTTTCCGCCGCCCGATCAGATATCTTAATCGCACTTCGTTGTCGGACACACTCTGGAATTCTTCCATGATGAACCCGCTTTTGCGCAATAAGCCAAGCAAGACGATATGCCTAGGGAGGATCAGCTCGGAACGACTCGAAGGAGCTTTGGACCTACTGTTCATAGATAGGCATCAAACGACTGTCGTCCTCATTCACACCTGCCGCCTTGACCGCTTTCTCCACCTCAGCTCGATCGGCCCTTAACGTCTCCAGTGCCTGTGTGCCCGCCTTCACCTTACCCTTGATGTCGTGGACGTCTTTCTTCCTCTGTTCTATGCGGTCACTGAGCGTTTGCATCGCGTCCACTTGTTCAGATAGTCGCTGTTCGGCGGCAGAGATCGTCAAGCGCGGCTCGGGGTGGCTGTGACGGATCCGGGTAAGGGCGAGGCGTGCGTCGATGATCTTCTGGCGCAAAACAGCAGCCCTGGTAGCTGCGTCCTTGAGTTTGCTGTATTCTGAGAAATGAATATATCGTTGCGAGCAGTGCAGTATAGTCGACTAGACGCACTTCGTTCGACCTCAAGTTCCCCTACCCGTAGCTGATCCCGTGCGTCAGCTAATCCTGCCTTGGCCGTGCGCAATTTTTCCTTCTTCTCTTCACATATAGCCTCCAGCTCTTTATTGTCTTCGGCAGTCACAATCGTAGCGTCGTCGATGTCGCTCACGATAGCAGTCACATACTTGGATTTGGCATTCTGTTCGAGATACCGAAACTTCAGTTTGCGCAGAAAAGCCTGACAAGACATAAGCTGGGGTTTTCCAGAGATGTGGAGCACTTGCCGTTTGTATGGCGAGATCTTGGGCTGTCACAGCGGGATCCTTAACGTCAATCTCGTTCTCCTCCGCGTGAGCATTGAACAATGCGGCATAGCTCGCCAGATGTATGTTGGTATTTTCGTAAGCAGTCTGCAGCTCACTGGCGCTTTGAAGGATGGAGTCGTTGTCCATTTCAGTCGATCACTGAGAGGTTGTGCGGTGACTGCACAAGGCGGCTGCAGACTGCATAATGAGGACTGTCACATCACGTGGATGTGATGAACGCGTTGTTGACTTCGCCCATGTGATCCGTGATTGAGGTGGCTTTAGTAACGGCTGTGACTGCACGCGCTTCATCTGTAGACTGCAGCACAGAATTCCATGAGACGGATAGATTATGTCCTCAACGACCTCTTATGAATTTCTGCACTCATTGAACGCTGTTCAGCTCCAATGTATGGAACTTCGTTTGCACCTATACATCCTGACCCTAATCCAGCTGTCCTCCACGACCCATCAATACCACTCCAGATTCTCGCAGGCCCAGGCAGCGGCAAGACTAAAGTGGAGGACGAATTTCTTCACGAAACCTATCCACTGATATCTGCTCAGGTTCTCACCTCTCGCATCGCCTACCTGATCCTCCACCACGGCCTTCCTGCTTCATCCATATGTGCGGTCACTTTCACAAACAAGGCGGCAAACGAGATGCGCGAGCGGCTTGGCAAGCTCATAGGAAAACAGAAAACCGCGCAAGTACGCATGGGCACGTTTCACGCCCTGTGTGCCTTGTTTCTGCGCAAGTACGCCCAAGTTGTGGGAATCGGACAGAATTTCACAGTTTGCGATGCCGACGAGAGGTGCGTACTCATCGCAGCTCACTGAAGCGCTGTTTAATTGAGTTCCTTCTTAGCAAGAAGATCATTGCGGGTCTGCTTAAGCCTTACAAAGAGGTTCTCGCCGCGCAAGACCTTACTCTCAAGGACGGCACTGTGCTGTCGCTGATTTCTAGAGCCAAAGCGAAAGGTCTCAGTGCGAAAGACATGATGGGTGAATGTACGTCTAAAGTGGGGACCGATAACGAATTGGACCGCATCGTCGCGCGCATATATCAAGACTACGAGAAGGCGTTGAGGCGGAGTAACAGTCTCGATTTCGATGACTTACTCGTCTACGGTGTAAGGCTCTTCTCTGAGCATCTACCCTCAAGGAATTGGTGCAGACATGTACTAGTCGACGAATTGCGAGTCCACCTCTCAGTCCCGTTCATTTGCGTGCTCATGCTTTGTTGGATCAGCCAAGACACGAACGTCACCCAATATGAACTTCTCAGAGCACTGGGTGCATCGACCGAGGGTCGGGTAACAGTTGTTGGAGATCCCGACCAGTCGATATACGGGTGAGCTAGCCCTTAATTGGGGTAAACGCCGCTCACATTCATTGGCCTAAGATGGCGTTCTGCAGAGGTCGGAAACTTGGCGCGGATGAAGACCGGTTTGTGACCCCTACTCCTCCGCTTGGCAGGAACTGAACAGGGATGCAAGACTTCCACGGAACCCTACAGATCTTTCTAGAGGAGAACTACCGATCAACCGGCGCAATTCTCAAAGCGAGTCTCGCTATCGTCTCTCAGGGCAAGTCTCTGGCTGCCTCTCATCTTGTCTGACCTTTTCTCAGATAAAACCCGAATTCCCAAGACGCTGCTGACTTCGCACCCACAAGGAGTTGTTCCCGTGTTGCGTCCCTTTCCTTCGGAGCAGGATGAAGCGAACTTCATTGCTGTCGAGATCAAACGTCTCGTAGCTTCCACGGGCGGTGTACTGAGATGGGGAGATTTTGCCATTTTACGTCAGTCCTACCTTCCACATCTTGAGAGATGAAATTCATCGGGGTCGCAGTTCGATTCAATGCGCTTTCTCGGGCGATCGAGAGCGCTCTTCAGAAGGAAGCCATCCCTTGTGTCATTCTTGGTGGACACAAGTTCTTCGAACGACAAGAAATCAAAGATATTCTCGCCTATCTCCAGCTCGTCGACAATCCGAACTTCGTTCCGGCATTGACCCGGGCCATCAATGTCCCCTCAAGATCTATCGGTGAAAAGGCAGAATTGAATCCACATTGGAGGACTGTCGAAGTCTGACGTTCGCCACAGTCCATTGCTGCGGTCATCGACCGAGCCGAGAAGACCAGATTGTCGCCATTGGAAGTCGTTGAACACATCTGCGATGCGAAGCAGCCCGACGTGAAGCCCGCTTTGAAACACAAGTTAGTTTCATTCGTCAAGGCCATTCGTGTTCTGCGGCAATTGGCTGACGAGGTGTGTACGCTGATTCTGTCGCCTGATATCTGATTGACTGCCGCAGGGAGCCTCCCCGCCCGATCTTATCCGGCGGTTGCTGGAATTGGTCGAGTACGAAGATCACCTGAAGAGGACCCAAGATCAATGGGAAAGTCGGTGGGAAAACGTGCAGGAGCTGATCACGTTTGCGAGTGAAGTTGAGTTGTCCGAGGACAGGTGCGCGCAACGACATCCTTGAATACGTTCTAGGCGCTTAGCAATGGATCCCGGATAGTGACACGACGCCGCTGCGATCCTTCCTACAAGCATCGATGTTGTCCTCAGAGGGAGACAACCAGAGCGAAGAGGACAGCAAAGAGGTGAGCGCTGAACGCGCCTAGGCATTCGGATTCTGACCGCGTGAAGAAAGTGACCATTTCAACCTGCCACTCGGCGAAGGGATTGGAATGGCCGGTCGTGATGATCCTGCGGGTGAGCACAATCTTTGCTGTAGCGCTTGTGCTGACAAGTTGACAGTGGAAGGAGGTATATTCCCATTCTACCGCGCTGAGGACGTGCAAGAGGAACGTCGTCTGCTCTATGTTGCTTGTACTCGCGCGCAGAGTTTGCTCTATCTTTCTCACGTAATGAAACGGAAAGCAGGCGGTGAAATCAAGACGAAGGACGTTTCCGAGTTCGTTTCGACGGCTGTGAAGAAAGATTCTGTGAGTACAGTTCCATCTCGCTGTAACACAACTGATCGTTTTCCTAGACTGTATTCAGCTCTCGAGCGTCCCAATTCAGTGCTGCTGAAAGGAGAGTTGTATGCCATGTATTGCGACGCCCAGAAGCTAGCGAAGAAGAGGTCGATCGAAGAGTCGCTGAATTGTATGCGTTACTTTCACCCTCTTTCCCGTGGACTCACGCGATCCAGCCGGAAAACTGCAAGATATCTCGCTCTTGCCGAGGTGTCTGGTAAGATCCCTGAAGTGACCTGGCATCCAGCGCTTACTGCACTTTCACGTATGCGCTCATTCGGGACGGGTTCTGAATCTGACTCCTCGCACAGCGAATTCGGCGACATTTGCGACTGCAGGGCACCAGGTGCCTCTTTTGAAGCGAGGACTGTCATCCGTCCAGACCGGGAAACTCCCGGCGGGGTTCCATTCCGAGTCGGAAGCAGTCCGAGTCCCAGTTCGTGCTCAAGTTGAGAAGACAGCACATCTGCCCTCTGGATCCCATCCAATACAAAGTCAAACTATCCCTGTGAAACGGCGGTTGGGGATGGGTCGTGGCACGATGGGATTTCCGAATAAAAAGTTCAAACCACCCTTCATTCAATGATGCTTAAACAACCTGTAACTCGGAAACTCTAGCTCACCAATGTATAATGCTTACTCGAATCTAACCTCTTAGCTCGATTATCTTCCCCGCAAGCTACAAATTCTAGACTGAACGTCATGCTACATCGAGTCGACAGTGCAACACTCTTCGATGGCTCCCAAGTCGGATAATTGCGGTAGCTGACATGATTATGTAATGTAGTATGGCTCCCATAGATTCCCGATATATTCAATACAACCGACGACAAGCCGCAGAGTCGGTCAGGAATGCAGCCAGCCTTATCAAGATTTGGAGGTAATTCCAATAGCGATTTGGATCATCAACGTCCGAGTTGCAAGATGAAGAGTCAGGATCATAGGTGATTTGTGATCGCTTCCCGCGTACCCTTGACCAGAACCATCACAATAATGTCGACCGAGAAACCTCAATCGACCCGTCTTCCCTCTCTCAATCAGCTTGCGGCACGCATCAACCTCAACGCGAATGGAGCTCCGAGCCCCCCTGCGGCCGTCGGCGCCTCATCGCGCCCTCGGCTATCCGCGTTCGCCTTACGCACCAACTCGAGCACCAACGTTTCCACCGCATCATTGTCTACGGTCGCATCCACAAATGACTCGGTCGCCGTCAACGCACCCTCCACGCGCTCTGTGTCGCCGTCGGCCGCTAGCGATGCGACTTTCGACTTGTCTACCCCCGTGTCCGCTGCTGGCGGCGACCCCAATCTGACGTCCGAAAAGCTTGAAAAGCTCAACGAAGAAACCGTCGCTCCGCTTCCGGAAATCCAGAAGAAGGAAAAGGTGCCTGTGGGGTACAAGAACATTCCTAGTCTGGATGCGATCACGGCGAGGTTACAGAAGACGCGGGCCCTCAGCATCGATGGGACAGCCAAGCCGCCTGAGCCGGAGATGATTGAGGATCCCAAGACGCCTGGCTTTGTGATGAAGGCGCCAGAGCACCCGCTCATGTATCCGTGGTGAGCAGCGGGGGCGCATGCATGTTCCGGATTCGTGCTTATTGTGTACCAGGACGATCTTCCACGATACGAAAGCGAAGATGCCGTTTACCCCTGCACCGACGACGGGCTCTGGACCCAACGCGCCCTCCTCCGGGCCACCGTCGGCCTCGCAGGAAGCCTTCCCCGTGCACGCTGCGGAGACGGGCGAGTACGAGGCCGGTTTGACCGTTGTGGGTGAATTCTCGACCGTCGAGGAATTCTGTCGGTACTTCAACTGGCTCAAGCCCCCCTCGCAACTCGAGCGCAACTCGAACTACCACCTGTTCAAGTCGGGCATCAAGCCCATGTGGGAAGACGAGGCGAATGCGAACGGAGGCAAATGGGTGCTGACGATGAAGAATAATGCGGCGTTGTTGGACCGGTGTTGGAACTGGCTGGCGATGGCTTTGGTTGGTGAAGAACTCGAGGAGGGACAAGACCTTATCTGCGGCGCTGTCGTGAGTCTACGGAGCAAGGTCGACCGCATCCAGGTTTGGACACGGATCAAGGACGACGTCGAGAGGCTGAACAGCATCGGGCGCAAACTGGTGAAACTATTGGACGTCTCAGAGGCGGATGGAATTGGATTGGAGTTCCAGGTGCATTGCAGAGTCACCGCCTTGTTTTCAGCACTGATCAATCCTCCAGTACAACACTGACGATCGCCCTTTGCCAAACAAATTCTTGTCCATTCAGTCGATGCCTCAGACCTCTTATCGCTCGTCCTTCACGCCCGGTGGCGTTCCGGGACGGTTGAGTGCCCATGGACGGACCGAATCTGTCGGAGCCAACGGTGCACCGTACACTCCCATCGAACAGTCCTCAGCACCAGCCAGCGCTGGCCCGGCTAGCGGTGCATTTGGCAGCTTCGGTATCGGGATCGGTGGTTCTGCAGCTTGGAGAGGACAGAAGCGGGGTTAGGTAGTTACATGGAAAGTACGCTTGTCTGGTTCGTTGTACTACGATGTAATTCATAGGCTCCGCCGGCGACTCGTCAAATGTATGGCTTGTATTCCCGTGTTCCACATCGACATTAGTACATATCCTAAAGAAACCAGAATAGCATTGATCAACGGCCGTCTAATGACCGTTGGCGTCGAAAACAAGATGGTCATGGCCGCCCTCCGCGTTGGGGACGTATGCTTCCTGCGGCAAGCCCGACTCGTCTAGTCCTTCCGCCGCTTCGATGATTTCGTACAGCCTGGACGCCACCTCCGGTGGGGGCACACGTCCGCCCAGAATATCACGTGCAGGGACAGCGGAGCCGTAGAAGTCGCGGTTCGCATCTTTGCGCTCGATAAGCACAGTCCCCTCGAGCGATAGCCCAGCAAAGAGACCTAAAGATTCATCAGAAAGCTGTGAATTGCAAGTGAGTCTTCCCGCGCACCTTTCGATTTCGAATACGAGAACATGGGTGTCGGCGTAGAGGCGATCGCCGACTCGATGCTTCCACCGGTGCCAATGGGTCCAGCCGCGGCGCTGACGTTCCCACCGATAGTCACGTTCCCGCCTTGCGATAGCGCGCGCACGGCCTCCTCGTTGCGGAGCACAATCACGAAGTCGGTGAGGTCAGCACCGATCTGGAGGCCCCAGCCAAGGCCACCTGTCGCGATGCATGAGGGAGCAGACCACGAGCCGTCAGGCAGTCGCGCGATGACGATCCCCGAGCCCGCCTTGCCGGAGAAAACGAAGCCGGCCTTGAGGACCTGGAAGATGGCGAGGCCTGGTAGCGGTTCAGCGTCCCAGTGGAACCGCAGTAGACACGGAGTTGGCATGCGCACCTCGGGCTTGCTGGAGAACGGCCTTGGGTATAGAATTGAGTGCCGACTCGGGTCTTTCGGGGTCGGCTGGAATGGGTGGGTGGGTCAGTCGAGAAGCAAGGAGCGTTGCACTCGAGTCACCTAGAAAGCTGTCCAAGATCTTGGCTGCCTTCTCTGCTTCGCCGGGAAGGCTGAACCCCTGCGCAAGCTCTCGCGAACCACTAGCAAGCTTCTGACCACTGTTCTGCGCGAATGCGGTGGCCTGTATGCTCGCTTTCTTCGCGCCTGACTTGAATTTCTCGAGGAATGACATCGTGGAGGGTGAGTTATGGGGGATGATGTAAGTGATTGATGCTAATCGAAGATAAGATAAGATTCGAAGAGATTAGCACTGGATTATGGTAAGATACACGGCGGTACTGATTACAACAGCAAGACAGTATATATGGCATACATTGTCCACAAGAAGGCTTCAGAGTCCGCGGCTGTGCTGAACGAGAAGTGCTGGCGTGGTTATCCCGATGAACCCGCAAAAACCGCTACATTTACAATCATCGCGCCTGTGCTATGGCTTCGCGGGCGCTCCGTTTTGATACACAAACTGAGTCTGTATCGGTTCGGCGGGCCGTGGGCGATAATATGACGACGCCGGTGGAGCCATGTCTGCCGCCAATGTCGGCATCGGCCAGGGCAGTACGGCCGTTGCCGATCCGGCAGTGGCGGGCGGAACGGCGGTCGGAGCAGATGGCACAGGCGAAGCACTGGCTGTATCGCCCGGTGTCGACGCCGGCAAAGCTGGACTCGCAGACGATGCTGCGTCATCAGTATCTCTTCTCCTCTTGCTGTTTCTCAAGTTCAACCCAGTCGCTTTCATGAGGATTTGTTCCCTGACAACCGTAAAAAACATCGGAACAAGGGAAGCTCAGGCACACACCTGGATCGAGAATGACCCCATTGACCGACAACCCAGTCCCAATCTGGTTCTGCGGTGGTGTTCCTTGTCTTACTGTCTTCCGCCAGCTTCCTCAATCGTTCCACTTCTTCATCAGACCAGGCACCCGGTGCCGGTGCGGATGCCGAAGCTTGGGGCGGCGGCGGCGGCGGCGGCGCGGCGTACGGGTATGGGTGGTAATATGCCGCAGGATAGTGTGCATAACTTGGTGCCATTGGTAAAGGATATGGCGCTGGGTTAGCGACCACGATTGGAGGTGGCTGGTAGAACGCTGGCATCGCAGGATACATCGGCGGTGGCGGCATCGTTAGCAGCTCAGAAGGATTGGCGAGCTGGTGCTCATAAGATCGGGAATAGCATTTAGTGATGAACACACGAGGGTATCACAAGTCCGCTTCGCTTCAGTGAGCATGACCAATGGATCCATGGGAGTCCCTGGGCCCATCTGATAGCACTGTGCGATGACAAGAGGTGGTGTGCTTTTCTGGTCCATGTCAAAATCAACCACCAAATGAAGAATTGCAACCCACAACAAGTTCCTCCGCAGCTCCATAGAACTCAGCACATAGATTCAGCATCCTCCATTGGAATTCATAGTACTGTAAAGGGATTGAGAATGTTATCATCTCCAGCAGAACCCGAACCTGCTGATTCTGTGCATTAACTTCTGGAAGTGAAGGCGTTGCAACGGCTTTGGCAGAGTCTTTCTTGACCCTTGACCCTTTCGGTCGTCCAGGGCGTCGTTTCGCCGGAGGTTCGGTCACTGAAGACGCGTCGTGGGACCTGGGGATACACTCAATGCCCACCGCGCGACGAGTATCTCGAGGCGGAACTCACACAGGTGTCCCCTCCGCAACAGACGCGACACTTGGCGCGTCGGTGGTCGCAACCATAGAACTGTCATCTGCGGGCTGAGGGGGCAGATGTACCGGGCCTGGACTGGAAGAAGACGCGGTGGTCGAGGTGGTCGCGGGATGAAGCGCGTATGAGAGCGGTCGGTAGTGTTGTATATTCTCCATTTGCACGTGAAACGCGCTTTCTGACACCCTGTCGCGAAGGTCAGACGCGAGATGACAATGTGCGGTGGAAGCCGTTACACGGTCTCACAACAGACAAGATGGGCCGTCGGTTACTCCGAAAAATGTGAGAAACGTGAGAGTAACTATTTCTCGACGGCTGATGGGTATGGCTGTGTTTTGGCGGTGTCACAGGCCATATGTATGGGTGTAGAGGTAAGCACATCTTACATCCAGATTCCAGACGCATAAGTCCAGCCTGCTGACAAACGAGAAAGATAGACCTGCGTGCGAAATTTAAAATTCACCAGTCTATCTCCTCACTTGCCCAAAACTCATGAGCTTACTGCAAACAATTGTCACAGTACTTTGATGGTCCAAATAGTTTGAAACAACACGCTACGGAAACCTATTTTGTGTCCACCGCGATGCCTTGCACGTACGGAGTGCACCTCCCTCCAGATGCGCTCGCTGTGGACTGATGACTACTCTATGGTATTGTTATCTCCTGAGTTCAGGTCCGCAAGCGCTGATCCCAGCTTTGATCGCAGTCGGTCTATACGCAGTCTGAACCTGAGATAAGAAATTGAATATAAAGATCCGCACCACCCCATCCTCCACTCACAGTCGCCATGATTCTTTCTGTCCTCTCATCAGTCGTACTCATATCACTCGCTGGAACCCACGTCGCTGCCTCGACTCGGGATCAGTTTCCTTTTGTGACAGAAACGCAAGAGGACTTTTACGAATTCAAATGGCCAATCCGTAGGGTGGCCGTCATCGGGGCGGGTGTTAGGTGCGCCAGCCACATACAACATTTCTCCTGCTGATCAGTGGCAGTGGTCTGATCGCGTACCGCGAACTCACCGAAGCGGGCTTCGACACTGTCAAGATCTTCGAGCGCGATGAAATCCCGGGTGGAGTGTGGCATTACACGGATGAGCTGCCCGACGACGCGCCGATACCGAACCTGGACCCGGTCGTGGGTGACTTCGAGCCGTCGTTCCCTCCCCAGGGAATGTCGTTGCCCTACGAACAATTTCATTTCGATGACGCGAAGGAGAGATTTCGGAAGCACCGGGCACCGCATGCCGTGTGGAAGTCACTGACTTCGAATGTGCCTGCTGTATGTGAGATACTCCTGCTGAAGTGGCGATAAACTGACGCGTGTGGATTCAGAGCATGATGCATGTGTGTAGACTCTGTGTGTCTATATATCTGCCGTGATGCTGACACTGATCTCGAGTTCACGGGACTGCCTTTCACACCCGAGACCAGTTTCCGTACGTTTGAATACTACAAATCCGATCGCTCATCCACTGGGTTCCATCAGACATCCCACAGCAGACTCTTTGCCGCTACATCCGTTCGGCTTACTCCTACTACGGCATCAACAGCAATGACAGGAACGAAAATGCGTCGTACAGCACTCGCGTTGAGCTCGTCGATAAGCGATACGACGCGGAGGGCAACGAACGTGGTTGGACTCTGACACTGAAGAAGTTGACGACCTTGGGACCTTTGCTGAGTCGAGAGGAATGGTGGACCGAGGACTTTGACGCGGTGGTTGTGGCCACCGGGACGTTCAACGCACCCCACATCCCGAATATTCCAGGCTTGGCGGAATGGAAAATCCGTTTTCCTCAGACCATTTCGCACTCCCGCGAGTATCGATCTCCGGAAAAGTTTGCCAACAGCTCGGTTCTCGTTGTCGGCGCTGGGGTACGAATCAATTTCGCTCGACCTTCCAGTGGTTGATCTCCTGGCTTAGCCCAGCGCCACAGGTGTTTCAGCAGACCTGCAGTCCAGCGTGGCTGCTAATTATCTTTCGCTGCGAGTGGGTCTATCGCTACCCAGATTTGTCCATGTCTCTGATCTCTCTATTACAGCGGAGCGCCAGTGAATCTATCCGTCGTCCAAAAATTTGACATTTGACTGATTGAAGTTGCCAGAGTCGGCAACGCCCTGCAGTTTCTGCAGCTCTTGAAAGACGGAGTCCGTCTCGTTCCTGGCATTGAGCGTTTCCACCCATCCAACCGAACGATTGAACTGGCGGATGGGAAGTGCTCAGCGGCATCGATCACATCATCTTCTGTACCGGGTTCCACTACACATTCCCTTTTCTGCCCCAGTACCACAATTCGTCGTGGCAAGAGGATGGAACGTCGGTGAGGCCGCTGATTACTGACGGGACGCACTACCGCTCGCTGTATCGCGACTTCTTGTACATCGAAGAGCCCACTCTGGGTTTCGTCAATAGTCAGTCATTTGTGGTCAGTTCCTTCCTACCTACTGATATCACTCGCGCAGTGAACCTGGGGATCGTCACCTGGACTCATGGCGATTACACCGCTTTGGCACTGGCAAAAATCTGGTCTGGCAAAGCCCGACTGCCGAGCCAGGATCTGATGTGGCAAGACCACTATCGTGAACTTACTAAGCGCGGAGGGTACAGTAAACAGTTTCCATTGCTGGGGGCGCCGCATCATTCCTGTGAGTTATCCACTCACCTTACTATCGGCAACTGAATCGCAGCAGCATATATTGCATTCTACTCTGGATGGCTCAACAGTGCTGCTGCTGAGTTCGGCGGAAAGATGGTGGGAGACAAGCAGATCTATAAACTAGTCATGCTCACCCGAAATTAGATCGACGGAATGCCCAAAGATTTTATCCCCGCGATCATATCCTGGCAACGAGATCTATTCTACAACACCAATCCAGTTCAGATCCCCCCCGATTTTCCAACTGCGCTGCTTGACGAGCCGGTGGATGTTCTGCACTGGATGACTGGGCGTTATTGAGGGAGATCAACGTGGTGCGGTCTCACACGCGGCCCCTGAGACTGCTGCAGGACCTCGAAGATACACGTAGTACAGGGATCACATAGCAGCTTACAGAAACAGCAATTAATCGACACGCTACTGTTCACCAATCGCCTCCTCCGTCGCCACCGTCATCTCCGCCCCAGTTTCCTATGAACAAGGCTAAGCATTTGGAAATAGGCAGCACCGAAAGGAACGCACCATCGTCACCTCCACCGTCATCACCACCTCGATACCCGTCATCGCCCCTGTCACCCCCGTCACCTCCATCATGCCCATCGAACGCCTCGGCCAACAAGCCGCCCGCAAGCAAGCCTCCTCCGCCTAGCACAGCATGTCAGCACACGAGTGACTGCGGGCCAGACACAGCAACACATACCTAGTAAAAGGGCAGAGCCCATTCCCATCCCACTCTTCTGCGGCGGCGGTGCTTGCTGCACGTAAGTCGGCTGTTGAGGCTGCGATGGCCGTCCAAACATGCCGCCCAGCAGACCTGAGTACATGAGCTCGAGACCTGGCGGTCACTAATTAGACAACGACGCGGCGCACCTTTGTTTTCGGGCGGGGGCTGCTGGTACCCCTGCTGCGGCTGATTGTACGGCGAGTATCCGCCCTGAGGTGGGGGCGACTGTTGGTACCCGGGCCCAGGACCGCCGTACCCTCCTTGCGGCGGGTAAGACTGCTGCTGCTGCTGGCCGGGATACGGGCTACCGCCACCCTGTTGCGGGTAGTATCCTGAGTTGTTCGGAGGCGGTCCACCCGCCGGGGGTGCGTATCCGCCGCTTGGAGGCCCTGGCGAGGACGGCGGGCCCATGGGGTGGGTCCACGTGGTGACCGGTGGCTGAGCGTGTGTGTTCACGTAGAACCAGGCATTGTAGCTGCGCCCACAGTCAGCTCAAGTCTTGAGGGTCCCCTCATGCAATCGATAAGAGAGGGGGCATGGGAGAACCGACGCACTTTGGATCAAATTGGGTGATCCAGCCCGGGGGCAGAGGGCGATTGTCGGGGTTGTTCCCTCCTGGGCTTGGACTCCCGTAGCCGGACATGGAAAGTAGACGCAAAAGCTAGGAACTAGTGCAGATGATGCCTTTATAGTCATGGACTGCCAAATTGCTGTGTGAATGATTACATCACATGTCCTAGATAGCCACGGCTGGGCCGGTGAGCTCAAGGCTATTTCATGGCGATCATCCGAGCTTCTTCCAGCCTTCTGATTACCTAGCTTCTGATCCCTCGTACTTAAGCACCGGCCAGAGGCGGGGAATGTGCAGCTTGCGGTGGCATCGACTCTCGACACGATCACGTGTTCGGTATATACCAGTTGGTCTTAACCCCGATTATCCATTGAAGCAAAGGAAAGCAGCATGGATACAAACCTTCGCACTGTCCGCCATTGCGTCTCTTTACAGACTCATGGTAGGCCTCCTTTACTTGCGACCCTTTCCCTTGGTCTTCTTCGAGCCCTCTTTCTCAGAAATCTCGCTGGCGCTCATCTCCGAAAACTCATCGCCGCTGGCCGCAGTCTTACTCTTGGTTCGCACCGCCTTGGGCTTGCGGATGTGGTGCTCCGGGATCCATTCCTCTGCTAGCTGTTAGCCTCGGGGACTAACAAGCAGGATAGTCATTCACCTTGATATCCACCTGCGCCGGTAGCAGTGACTGTGACAGGCGCACTGACGGGTGCAGGCTTGCGCTTAGGGCGGCCGGTCTGCTTGGGGCCAAAGACCTTGAAGGCGCCGAAGACGAGGCCAGCAAGCATGCCAGTGGCCATCAGGTAGGTGGAAATCCTGAGCAGAGGTTAATCAATGGAGCTGCTGAAGAGACGAATGGCTTGCATCTTGAAGTCGAAGATGGAGAGCTCGGGCTCAACCACGGTGACGATGGAGTCGTAGGCACCGACGTGGTGAACGGATCCCTGTGACAGCTTGTCAGACACTTGGTTGCATTACATGGCTTACACGCACATCGAGAGTGTGGGCAACCCAGATGTTCAGTCGGATATCCCCGGGCTATTGCAGAGTGAGAAATGATATCATACTCCGATGTGAATCATGGCCACCTTGAATCTGAAGAGATAGTCAATCAAAAGAAGCTGAGAAGAGCGCGACGGTTTGTGCTTACTCGCTGTTGAAGGTGTACGGGATGTTAATCTTGCGGGACGACGACAAAAGAACGGAGAGCGGGAAGCTAGTAAGCTTGACGTTGTCAAATCAGCACTGGCCCATGTCTCCGCACACGAGATTCCCCACATTTTTAATGAGCGCATCGTTTTGTACATTGAGCACGGATCCACCGACGCCAACGAGGGAGATGTTCTGCCCAGACAGATTCTCGACGGTAATCGTAATGGTGTTCTTTTCTCCGTTTACGACATCTGCGCAGTCGGGTGAGCAGGAGGTGTGGAGCGGCGCGGTAGGCGCGACGTACGGCCGAAGACGTTGCTCTCGGGGAATTTCGCGGTAGCTACAACCGGTTCGGTAGGGGCCTGCACATCCTCAGCCGTCGTGTCCTCCAGAACAACTGTAATACGGTCAGTTGGAGAATTCGCTGTGTGCGTTGTGAATCAAGCTCACCCTGGGCGGAGAAGACAAGGGCGACAAAAGACAGCACAGTTCCGAGAGCCAAGAAACGCATTATAATCCTAGACCGTGACGGGGAGTGAACCAATTTGTGTGTGGAATGGTAAAAGGACAAGCAAATATGTCGTGGCTCTGATTTCGACGTGACGTGGTTGATGACTAAGCGATATGGTCCTAATGTTTACCTTCGCTCCCTCGACTCGTGCTCCTTCCATGACCTTGATTGCAGCCAGGTGCGCCACAGTTCATTCCTTGGAAAATTTGAATAATAATAGCTTATCTAGGATGCATGGAGTTTCTACATATGAAATAGCACATAAGAGCGTGTAAGTATTAGCATAATGGTGAATTACAACCAGTCACGGTTCTGGTACAGCAGATAAGCCCGGACAATCTCCGGAACTTTAAGCTGTTCCGAACCATCCTGGACGACCAGTGATGTTTTGTGCAGTGTGCTGAGACACTTGTTGACGAGTGCGACCGGAATTCGGACTTCACGGGTCACCAGTGCAGCGACGTCGGATTTGCGGACGCCTTCCGGTCTGCGTGCGAGGATCTCGAGCACGTCGCGAGCAACAGGGAATTCCCGGACGCGGGGGCTGTCGAACGCCTCGTTCAAGATGCGCTCCAGATCGGTCTCGGCAAACATAGCCATCCCCTCTTCACGAAATCGGTCGAGGAGGAACGAGACCGGCTCGCATTGCGCCATTTGGGCGAGGAGAACGGTCGGCAATGGGAGATGTCCGACGAGGTTGAGGAGCTCTTCCGCGTCGTCATCCCAGGTGTCGGCGATGTCCGTCAGGGTGTTTTGTGCAGCGATCGGGGAGAGGGCGCCGAGCGGGGGAAGATACGGCTTTTTGTAGGCAGGACCGAGAGGGCGCTGAGTACCTCGAAGCGTGAGGACGAGTGACACGGAGGAGATGATTGACAGATCAGTCAAAAAGTCCTCGATCTCGAGCTTGGCTTCCGAGTCCCACACCGCGTCGAGGTCGTCGAACACAATGCACGATGCGGGCAAAGCACTGAGCTTGGCCTTCACCGCTTTAGCATCAGACGAGACATTTAAGAACGAGGCCAATTGGGACACTACGTCAACAGCCGTTTTCAGCATCTTGCATTCGACCAGAAAGCGACGATTCGCAAAGGTGGTGACGATCTCCGCCTGATGCATCAGCACGCGAGCCAGCGCCGACTTCCCAGCACCGATCTGTCCGAGGATAACCGCGTGAGCTTGCTCAGTGCCCGCGAACATCTTGACTAAGGCTTCCAGTTCTGCACTGCGGCCGTGGAAGATCTGTGGAGCAGGCGGGATCTCGACCACTGGCTCGGAGACGCTCTCTGTAGGCAAGAGTGCCTTGATTGGGGACATGGCATCCGAGATCTGCCTCTCGAAGGATTCCCCAGCCGTGTCCTTCCGTTTGACAGCTACGCTCATGGAGATGGAGGACTTGATCTGCGCAATCTTCGTCACATCTAGCTTAACAGCGATATTTTGAAGCTGACCTGGAAGATATCCAGAAAATACTGCAACTCCTTCTCGCATTCCAGTATCAAATCCCGGTCGTTGTCGGCTTCGATCAGGCGACGAGCGTAAGAGCGCTTGGATCGGACCTGGAGAACGTGTAAAATGCGACTGAAAGCTCTGCAGGAGAGTTAGACTATGTCGTAGTCCGAATAGAGAGCGAACGTACTGTCCAAGATGATCGAGCGCGTAAGACAACTGGTGGCGATGTTCTTGGCGCTCAGCGTGACGAGCCGCAACTGAGGCAAGCTCGAGAACCATTTTCGAAAGTCGCGTGCAGTCTGTCTTGTTCGCTTCCGTAGCCTGGGGACGATAAACGATAAGCACGGTCCAAAAACCAAGAGCAGCCTCACCTCCACGGAATTGGCCAACAAAAGGACGATTCCTGCGACACCCTTGAGGAGAGGGATGTTGGCGGCCTCTCCTACAACGATCGACGCTTCCAATATGGCCCCGACTGAACTCGCCACCCCAACCACAGCCTTGCTCAGTTTCGATCGATGTGCCTTCACGGTTGGTTCACAGTCAAATGGCACGCCATTGTGCAAAGACAGAGTGAGCGTCTTGTTCAAGGGACTCGGGGGAGGACTATCGAACGGGTCCGGACTGGCGCAGCGCACTGGTATCTCCTTGCCGGCCGCATACTCATCGGAACCCTCCAGGGAGCAGACCGTCGAGTCTGTATCCGCTGTATCGACCAACGTCGCGTCTGTGTCCTGGCGTCGAGGACGGAACAGCAGCGAGCCCCGGCGAAGGCTGGTCCGGAGACCCGGCTTCTCATCTGATGTCTGGGCCGGAGCCGAGGCGGGGCCGGGAGTCTGGGGCTTGCGTCGCTTTGGGCGATGCTTTGAGAGCCAGGACAGCATCGGAGGACCGAGAGATGGCGAGGGGCAGAGCACGCAGGCATCTGGGACTGCCTTGATCTTCAAATGGGATCATCGTCGGAGCATTGCCTCGCCCGATGAGGGACGAAGACACCCTGTGGTCTCGGCACGAAGCCACATGGTGCCTGAGAATTGTGGTGATGATAGGAATCCTGTGCCGATGACACAGGAAAGAAGCAAAGGCAGGAAAGACTGGAGAACGGCTTGCAGGGAGTGATATCGACGCCTACAGAGTGGCGGAACTATTACGACTTGGATGTTCGTGGGCACCGATGTTCTCTAGAGTCCAGTCAAATACGGTTCAACAGACCAAGTTAATATTGGATGCTGAAAGCGCTCAAGGCCTGCCGCTGCCGACCTGTGATGCAAGGCCCTCATCTCTCACGTCTTTCACCCAAGAACAGCCTTCTAGACAGGTCAGATATCTGCACGTTGCTTGATGGTAGAATTTCGGTCGTCATCAGGGGGTTTGAGCGTCAAGGCTCGTTCCACTTTCTTGACCTTTCGTTGGTAAGTATGTAGTTGCGCATAAGTGTAGTGCTTACGTGTATTCAAGGAACCCCGATCAATTCGTGCGGCGATACGGCTACCCGCATTCGAGGGCGAGCGAGAAGTTCCTTGAGAATGTTTTACCTCACAGTAAATCCAGTTCATGGAGTTGAGTCCTCAGGTCACAGAGCTGGGTTGCAACTTCGACTCTGGTCAAGCTGGAACGGGAGACGGCCATGGCAGACCGCGGTGATGCCGCCACGCACCGCCACTGCCTACGTCATTATGCTTTGTCCGCAATCTTATCCGACGCACGGAAAACCGCGACGATTACACGATTACAGACGTTGCCGCGGCAGACCCTAATACCGGCTGATTTCTAGACCATGCTCGCCTCGCCTTCCTCCTCCAACCATGTCCAATCCTCATCCAAAGCCTGTACAGGAACCCGAAGAAGTCTGGAGTGCGGAGGAGGACCAGTACGAAACTGACCCCTTCGTCACTGTGTTCCCTTCGCGATCACGCTCGGTTGCTCAGCGGAACCCCTCGACTCCGTCCTTACTTGATGAGCGCGCCCCACTTCTGGGCGCTCCCCCTCGGCCGCGGAAGAAATTCTTCCGACCACGTCCGCTCTGGCTGGTCCCCTTCGCGATCACCACTGCTCTCGTGGTATGTATGCGCGCCATGCCGTCCGAGCCACGTCCTCAGCGCTCCCATAGCGTGGAATGACCCTTGCGCCACGCGTGGAAGTCTATACCCAATTGGCATGTGCGCAAATACAACAGCAGACCAACCAGGCGATGGACTCGGCCTTTCATCCTACCACTGTTCGGGTGCACGGGGACTCTGCGCTTCCCGTCGCATTAGATTACCGAGGTGCGGCACCCCCCACGAAGCAGAGATGCACATCAGACCCAGCCGTTGCTGCGCGCATAGGTATGTTGTCTCTGACGCGTGGGATTTCCTGAAACATGTTATATTTAGCGTGGATACAAACGGCGTACTCCACCATTATGGGAGTTCTGAGTGCGGTCACGACTGGATGGTGGGGACAGCTCAGCGAGCGGTACGGTCGGACGACAGTCCTTGCCATCTCTAGCTTCGGCTGGCTTGTAACGTGCGCCTCTAAGATTCTATTGTCGGGGAATTGTCTTATACTTGGACCAGGGATGTGATCTTCATTATGATCTCCAACGACAGCTTCCCTCTCTACGCACACGGAAACATCCTGATCCTGATTGCCCCGATCTTCGAGGGTTTTCTTGGTGGCTGGTCCAGCTTGCAATCTGGAACGTCGTCATATATCTCGGACTGCACTTCTAGCGGCAGCAGAGCCTCTATATTCTCGAGATTTACTGGCGTTTCCTTCCTGGGCTTCAGCGTGAGTGCTCACACTCCAGAGGGTATCGTAACTCAACTGCCTACCAAGGTTGGACCCATCATTGGAGGCTGGCTGATCAGGCATCCCTTGCCCTGGCTAGAAGGGGTGACACACCCTCGTCAGATCCCAGGGCATGCTGTCAACTCCGTATTCTGGGTTTCGGCGGCTGGCTCGCTATTCAACTTACTTTACATTCTTTTCATTACACCAGAATCTCTGCGGCGGGGTGCCACTAGCACCATCGAAGCCGAAATCGAAGCGGATAGCGGAACCAGTTCTGCCTCCCCTCGTCGTATAATCCATTGAAGCTCGTGGGTAGCGTTTTGCCCCTCTCGCGATCTTCCTCCCCGTCCGCATCCCGGTCGACCAATCCTCGCGAAAACGGCTAGATTGGAGCCTGACGTTCCTTGTTCTAGTTATGTTCATGTTCATGCTTTGCACTGTGAGTTCATGGGCCTCCATGCTCCGGAAGTTGACTAATAGAGGTCAGGGACTATTTCAAATCAAATATCTTTACGGTAAATAGGCTGATTTCCGCCTTTGCATTAGTGCTGACTCTTTCCAGGTCGAACTATCTACGGATGGGATGCCGAGCAACTATCGTATTACATCTCCTTGATGGGAGGTGGTAGAGCTGTCTTCTTGCTCGTATTCTTTCCCTGTACGATTCTTCATTTGAGATCGGTGTCCATGTCCTGATCAACTTCAGACATCATTTCTCGTTTCAAACCCAAGTCGCCGCCCAAGACTGTGATAGGTGCTGATGGACAAATCGAGAGGGTAAAGCCCACAAAAGGACATCTCGCCAAAGAGATGAAATTCGATCTCCGACTCGTTCGAATGTCGCTTTTCATCGACATGCTGTCCAACGTTGCAGTCATCCTCTCCCCCGCGCCATCATATCTCCAGCACATCGCTGCTGATGATCCGCAATTCCGAAAATCGCAGGCAATGTTCGTCATGTCCACATGGATCGGATCCTGGGGCGCAGGATTGCCGCCTGCGATTCACAGCCTCTCCTTGTCGATTGTGCAGTCGCGAGCTCTGTTAGAGGAAGAAGCAGGTTCGGCCGTTGTCGATGCTCCGGTCGGTCGGCTTTTTGGTGCATACGCAGTATTGCAAGCCCTTGGGCAGATGATTATTGGGGTCAGTCAGCGCTTACATGTATTACCATACGTTCTGACCCTCCGACAGCCCATTCTCTTTGGGTTAATCTACTCAAAGACTGTGGGAACATATCCCAAAGCGATCTTCGCATCTTCAGCATGTCTGACGGCTATTGGGCTGCTTCTCTCTGTTTTCTTCCGCAACCCTCTGCTGGACATCAAAGGCAAACGACGAGCCTTGCCCAGACAGCGCGCAGCGGATCTCCCCCGCGGACGGTCGCGAGGGACTAAAGATTTGCGCAGCGGGAGTGAATCCAGCAGCACAAGCGAGACCGAAGAGTCAGAGGCTTGGAGGGGATGATTTCGGATATTTGGTCGCGATTCTATACAATCTACATACACACTGCATGGCACATGCATCAATCTTATCATCAGTCCTGTGACCCGCGCGTCGTCCCGGGCAAGCTTTGCGGCAGCGTCCGGAAGCGCGAATTGCTTCGTCCGGGCTTCAAACTAGCTATATCGTGCCAGGATGTAACTGTACATCGCCCTTGAGAAAAGGTGGGATATCATGGCGACGGATAGGGGCTGCTCACGTGCGGTTTCCTTGTCAAGAATTCTTCTCCATCGCCCATCCCATGTCTCTGTTCAAGAAGAAGTCTTTTTCGCGTTCTGCCACACCGGTCAGCTCGTATGTATCTGCCCTGTCTCAAGCTGAGGCACACGGGCTGAAGACCATGGGCCCGACCTCGACGCCGGCCTTGTCCATCTCGTCCTCCGTCACGTCGTCCTCCGAGGACACCGTGCTTCATGAAGACCAGGACAACGAAGATGGCTTGGCGCTGCCACCCCGTGCCCCCAACTCGTCCGAGGTATTCTCGACGGTTCACACCGAGTTTGGGCACTGCTCGAATGACGCATACCGCTATGTCTCGCAACACCCCGCTGGAGCTCCTCTCCCCTTGCACGTCGAACAGGACCCCCCGTATTACATCCTCTTTTCGACCTACATCAGGTGAGAGCGGTCTCTCTCTGTGTGCCGCGTGGTCTGACTCCCATAGCTACCTCATTCTTATCGTGCTGGGCCATATGCGAGACTTCCTTGGTAAACGGGTTTACCCGGCGTTCTACAGGCACTTAATGCCTCATAATGTGTGTTGTCTAATTGTACGCGGAGTCTTTTCTGATCGTTTTCACAGGGATACGCGCCTCTGAACTCGGATTTCGACTCGTTCTACACTCGGAGACTGAAAACACGGATGGATGAATGCTTCAACCAGCCCGTGACCGGTGTTGCAGGGCGGACGATCCAGCTACTCGACCGGTTCTCCTCCGACTACAACCACACGCAGCTCCTGGCGGGTACGCGCACACGCGCGCTGAACATCTCGTCGTATAACTACCTCGGTTTCGCGCAGGGCACGGGCGGTTGCGCCGATGCGGTCGAAGCGTCTATCCGGGAGCACGGAATCACGACGTGTGGCTCGCGTCTGGAGGGCGGGACGAGCGACCTGCATGTTCTTGCCGAGTCGCTTGTGGCCCAGTTCGTCGGGATGGAGGACGCGACGATCAGTTCCATGGGCTTCGCGACCAACTCGACGTTCATCCCTGCGTTAATCGGCAAAGGGTGTCTCGCTATCTCGGACGAGCTGAACCACTCTTCGATTCGGTTCGGTGTCCGGTTGAGCGGTGCCAGTGTGCGAATGTTCAAGCATAACGACATGCACAGTCTTGAGACGCTTTTGAAAGAGGCAATCAGTCAGGGTCAGCCGAAAACGCATCGTCCGTGGAAGAAAATCTTGCTTCTCGTCGAGGGTCTTTACAGCATGGAGGGCACGCTGGTCAATCTTCCTGTGATTATGGAGCTCAAGAAGAAATACAAAGTGCGTGTGCTTCTGACTGCGTTGTCTCCGAGTCGGTTTACTGACTTTTCGCCTCAGTTTTACCTGTTTGTGGACGAGGCCCATTCGGTTGGAGCTCTCGGGCCGCACGGCCGAGGAGTCGCAGACTACTTCAACATTCCTCCGCGGTCCATCGACATCCTCATGGGTACCTTTACGAAAAGCTTTGGTGCCGCGGGCGGTTACATTGCTGGAAATAAGGCGTTGATTGACCGGTTACGAATCCGGGGCCATTCGGGGACTTATGCCGAGTCGATGACACCCCCCGTGCTGACGCAAATCATCGCGAGCATGGCCAGCATCATGGGCGTCGCTCAGCCTACTTTGATGCGCAGCCCAAATAGCTCGTCTTCGACCCTGCAGCCTGCTGGCGAAGTCGAGATCTATCAGCACCCCGGTCGGGCACCCATTTCGTCTCTGCCCACCTGGCTCTCGCTCCCTCCGGCTCTGGCTGACGGCAGGGAAGGCAACTCCCGGCTCCGGCGCTTGGCGTTCAACTCGCGCTACTTGCACCAGGGGCTGATCAAACTGGGTTTTATCACGTATGGGCACCCTGCGTCGCCCATCGTCCCGCTGCTGCTGTTCAACCCGGGCAAAATGAACATGTTCCACTGCCTGATGAAGCACCGCCGCACGCCCATCATCATCGTCGTGGTCGCCTACCCGGCCACGCCGCTCATCACCAGTCGGGTCCGGTTCTGTGTCAGTGCGGCCCATACGAAAGAGGACATCGACACGATCTTGCGCGCTTGTGACGAAGTCGGAGATATCCTTGACCTCAAGCATGGGATACCGCACAGCCAGCGATGGAGCGTCGACATGATCTGCGATAGAGCACTGGAGGTTGTCAATGGATTGTAGATGGGAAAGTAGCGTATCCTTCGTTCCTGTAATTTTATCGTACATATTTTACCCAGATTATACCATCGCGTGAGTGCGGGGCACAGCAATAGCGTTGGATTTTTTTTTACACCCCACTGGCAGAACTTGAACAGCGCAGGTCAGGTTTCTCATGGGGTGAATGGCAAGCAATCTCGTTTCTCGCACGCAGAGTCAACGCCTTAGACTTGCAACGCCTTGTGAAGGAGGCTGTGGTTGGATCGCTCAAGCCAAGGGCCAGGATCAATCAGAACGAAAACGGAGGTTCGAAGACTGGTTGCTGTACATAGCGCATATGTCATTTCATGGAAGCATACTCGACAAATACCCGCGCCGTCTACCACCGCCAACCAAGAGTGCACCCACTCCCACTCAGCAAAGCCACACATCATGTCGACTTGGCCTTGGCGATGGACTTCCTAACTGCGTCCCTCCGGGCCTTCTTCGCCAGCATCACGCCGAACCGCTCAAAGTCGTTCAGCGCGGCGCGCTTCACGACGGCCGCGCGCTTCTGTGCCCAGCTCGACTTGTCCCACTTCTCGACGACGGCCTCCTGCTCGACCTGCTTTTTGATCACGCCCGTGCCCGCGCCGCGGGGCAGTTTTGTGAGCGCGAAGGGGGTGAGGGTGAGGTGCTTGTACGGGAAGGCTTGTCTTGGCACGCCGGTGGTCGGTCCGTCAATGATAGCCTGCAGAGGGTTCAGAATGGCCGCGGGAAGATGGTGGGGATGTGCTGCATACACGGTTGTGGTCAATGATCTCGGCAATGACGGCAATTTTGCCAGAGGACGGACCGGACTTGAGGAGGACGACTGAGAATGAACGGATAAGAAGAGGAGCTCTGGGAGGGACTACTGACGCACCACGGCCGACTTCAACGAAACGCTTGAAGGTGGAATCCTGGCATAAGAGCGGATCAGCTTGGACGTCGGGGAGCGGGATTTTTAGGCAAGAAGTCGGATCTCTTGTAGATTGCGAGCGCAGGGGGGATGTGCAGGGAGGTGGATGGACAAGGACGGACACTTACACTCATTTTCGATCTTACTTACGAGGGCGACGACGGCGCGAGTTTTTGAGGTTGACTTGGTGAGTGTCGGTAGTTGCCGAAGGACTGTGCAGCCATGATTCATCGTCGCACGTGCGCATAGCACAGCCTCGGATGATGGTCACGATAAGATTATCATGATCGGTGATCGCTCGGCTTCAAGCCCCTCTCCGCGTGCAGGCCGGAGACTACTTTTTGATCGTCCAAAATGTATGAATTGCGTTATGAAATGTAGGTATGCAGTGAATACAATGCTAGATGTACTTATGCCAAACTAATAAGATCCTGTTGGTGCATCATGGCTGTAGTCACACCGATCTCCGTATCGGCACCTAAAGGGGAGGTCAGGACCGAGGTTTGCTTTATCAATGTACTGTCACTCGCCTGCCTTGGGCAAAGAAATTGCAAGGGGTGTTTTTCCTATTCTGTCTAAAATCGTCTCCGCCATTCGAGCCTCCTCGTCCTCGGCCCCGTCCTCGGCCGCGACCGCGCCAGGATCCTCGCTCTGACGCACTCCCATCGGTGAATGGCTGTTGCTGCGGCTGCTGTGCGCCGTACTGCTGTTGGTGCGAGTAGTCCAGCTCCTGGTTGTTCCAGTCAGGATAGCCTTGCTGCTGTATCGCCTGTAATGGGAATTGCGACAGCTGGGCGAGCAGTTGCTGCAACTGCTCCGGGGGGAGGGAGCCTAGTCCCATGTCGAAAGATGCCGCGGCGCTCTGATCCCCGACGGCTGGCGCAGCCAGCTGGCCGACGAGATCTGCTACTGAGGCAGGCGGCGCGCCGATGTCCTGGACAGGCACTTGTTGTTCACTCCAGAACACCTCGTCGACATCCGGTCCGCAGGTCATTTCTGTGAGCTGCTTGTCCGTTTCTTCCTCAGAAATCACCAGCGGAGGCTCCGCCGGCGAGTCCGGAATCGACGATGGGTTCATGTAAGCAGCGATGAGTACCGTCTTCTCTCGCTCCGTCTGGATGATGACTTCTTGACTTGCGGACCCACGTGCAGGAACGTCGTTTGGAGGCAGCTCAAACGCTGAAGAAGGCGGGTCAGCGCTGCTCGCCGTCGCCAACACGAGACTCACGCGATGGCTCAGCCCAGTCCAGGGTTTCCTCGAACACCAGCATGTGGAGAGCCGCTCCCTCATTCCGATCAAGATCACGCAGGCTGTGCTGTTGATAGCCCCCGCCCTAGAATAAAGCATCTCAATAAACGCATACGCTACGACGAAAAGAGCAGGGCTGACATCCGCATCGTTCTCGTCTCCGTAGTCAGCACGGTCGATCAACCGAACCGCCTCCAGTGCATGGTCAGGTGCCCAAGTCACGGTCTTCTTTTGCTTTCCCGTCTTGACTGACACGGTGCTAGCCGCGGCCACTTCAGATCCCGTGACCTGGACGGGGGACTCCGTGCGGAGCGATGCCGGCGTGATTGGGGAGCCTTTCCGTTTGTTCATGAACTGGAGTGCCTCTTGGAACGGATCGATCGCATTCGGCTGCGCGATGTTCGAGTCAGCATCTTCTTTCTTGAAGGTCACAGGTGCTTTCTTGAAGCTGGGAAGCTTCTGCTTCTTGGGGGCTGAAAAGAACGACGAATCGGACTTGGCGTCTTTGACCGCTGTAGACTTGACTCCAGCCTCCTTCTTTACAACCTTACTGCTGCTCGCAGAAGACGTCGTTGCCGGCTTCTTCAGGGGCGGAGGTTTGGCCGGGGGCTCCGACAACTTTCGCTTCCTCGACTTGGGATCTTTCATGAATAGGTCAATTGATGATATTTCGGTCTGAGGTAGCGTGACCACGCACCATCCACCGGTTCTTGTTGCTGCGACTGCGGCGTCTTATCCACAAGAGAGCGCCACCGCCGTTCGATATTGGTCCCCATATCCCTGATTGCTATGGATTCGTTCCAATCGTTCATTCGTAATTGGTTTAGGAAGAGGGGAGGACATGCAAAAAAAGATCGTTAGATACATGCGCTTAATACGAGGACTCTCAGAAAAAGTTCGTAATTCAACAATTTCATAACGCTGGGAGAAACCAGTGATCACAGCACAGAAACGGTGCTCACCAGCTGAGGATGTTTCTTTGGCCAGCTTGACAACGACCTTGCCCAATTTAGATGATTTGAGAGTCTCTACTGTCAACGGAAGACGGTCGACAATCTGCAGCAAGTCAGTCTTGGCATGCGTTGACAGTGCGAGACTCCTCACATGGAGGAGCGGCATGGTCGTTTCACTCAGATCTTCACCACCATCTGCAGCCTTGTGGGAGGACATGAACGCCGCCTTGAGCCACTCTCTGGTGATATCCATCGCAGCCGAATTCTCGGCCCATGCACGGAAATAGTGGTTCCCAGCCCCGTCCCGGATCTTGGTCAGGATCTCTAATCGCGTGGCCCCATCTACCTCTGAGGGCCCATACTCCAACACCCGATTTGTCAACGAGGTGACTGCCGCAGCCCCTGTAAACGCGTTGCCTTGCAGCAGAGATCGGATCCCATTTACGAAGGCGGCTTTGCGCTCCTGGGGTGAGGGGCCTGGGGCCGCAACGGGAGGCGAGTGAGCTGGGGGTGGTGGCAACTGTGGTGGACTCTGCGCTTGCACCTGGGGCTGTGATTTGCCGAGGGGAGGATAGTATGCGCCGCCCATGAGAGGATTCGCAGACGCGTGCAAGACATGGGGAGAGAGCGTCCCCTGAGTCGGTGATGAGGCGAGTGAGGATGACGATTGCTGGACCTGGGGTTGCGGGTACGGCTGGAGGTAGTGGTATGGGTTGAAGGGCGGTTGTTGTTGTGGCTGCTGTTGTGGGTGTGTCTGCTGTGCAGGTCGAGGTTGTGAACTGGGCGGGTTGGCGTAATTGGATGCATACGGATCGTGGTGAGCGCCGTTCGGTGTCGTATTGTTCATCGTCGTCAGAGCAGGGCTGAGACCATAGTCAATATCCATATTGCGAAACTAGCTTGGGAAACTCACTCAATCATGAGCGATTGCTGTGAGGATGAAGCCGTGCTTGAGCTCGTGGCACCATTCAGTGTAGAGTAGTTGGACAAAGGGATGGTGTCCATGGCCTGCGACGTCTGTGGAGTAGGCCATCGTCCGCCATAATATGGCTGTTGGTGGGAGCCTCCGTAGAATGCGCCCGCGAACTGCCCGATGTTGTAAAAGCTGCTCGGCGATGACGCGTTGGTGGACGCCACTGTTCCCGCTGGTGACGCCGACGGCCCTGGACCACTGTCTCAATACAGATTCAGGTGGATTCCATGAAACACACCTGTCAGTTCATGAAGATTCGTGAACTCGGACAAATCGAGGGAAGGCTGAGGTGAAGCGGCCGGGCCGCCTGGCGACTGCTGGCTATGGACGACGCGCTGGCCCTGTAGCTGGCTTTGTTTTGCCCATTCGTGTGGTTGAGACGGAGGAGGAGAATGGTGAACGTCTGGGGTTAACCAGTTGCTGCTGTACATCGACTCCATTTGCAGGCGACAGTTACTCGTATCTTAGAGCGCTCTTTTGGGGCTCTGTTTTTTTTCTCAATACGGGCTTGGGTGGACACACGGACAGCACTGGCTTTCAGCACTGGTCGTTGGTGCTAGCGTGACCGCTTTCCGTCGCCGCCGTGGTCACCGTTCTCCGCAAAGTGGTTTGAAGGGCTGCTGCTCTACAGCGGCGAGTTTGATTGTCGGAGTTTGAATTTCGGTGGGTCACAAGATTGAAGGCCATTGAATTGAATCAACAAAAATATTGCTTACATAGTCAACTAAATCAATCAGTAAAGCAAATTTTCAGTCACGGTGTTTCAGAAAATCGCCTTATCTTTCCAACTCTCTCCCACTTACGGTACCATTCTAAATCATGGCCGACGTTGACCAGCGCCGCAAAGATGTCAGTACCTTTCCCTTCCTTGAATCTCAGGCTCTCATCCACGTCTCAGATGGTGGCAGGGCTCGAAGCTGCAGCTGCAGCCATGAGATCGTCCTGTGCGAGTATCGAGTCTGCCTCGCTTGCTATGCGCCAGTGCGCGAAACTGGCCGAAGACTTCGCCGCTTCCTTCCAAAAGTCTGGCGGCTTGCTCAAGGGCAGCAAGGGCGACGAAGACGACGACGAGCATGCGAACGGCAAGCGCAAGCGTGGCACCAAGAAGGAGAAGGACCCCAACGCACCCAAGCGTCCCGCATCCTCGTACTTGCACTTTCAGAACGAAGTGCGCAAGGACCTCAAGGAACGCTTTCCCGAATCCACCAACACCGAGTTGTTGAATATGATCAAGACTCAATGGCAGGACATGTCTGAGGCGCAGAAAGCGGTTCGTTCACTATTTTCGCGACGGCACGCGTGTCTGACGCGTCCCAGGTCTACAATGATCGTGTCGCGAAAGAGAAGGCGCTTTACGCTGCCGCGAAGACCGCGTACGACGCGCGCTCGCCCGAAGAGGTTGCTCGCGCAGACGCCGAGGCAGCTGCTGCCGCTGCTGTGCGTTCCGCGTTCATCCCTTCGTACCCAATTTCTAATGTGTTCTCAAGGCCAAGAAAAAGCCCCGTGGTCGCAAACCCAAGACGACCGCTGTCGCTGCGCTCTCTCCCACTGTTGTCCTCGCCTCCGATGAGGAGGAAAGTACCGAGTCGGATCAAGAAGATGCTCCTCCCATCAAACGCATGGCAGCCGCCGCTTCCTCATCCGTAGCCTCGGATGAAGAGGATGAGGACGAGGACGAAGAGGAAGATGAAGAGGACAACCAGCCTCCACCGAAGAAGACAAAAAAGGCAAGCCCACCTCCGCCTGCACGGAAATCTGCCGTCAAGGAGAAGGACCGGAAGAAAAAGTCGAAGGCATGATCCGTTGGTACCCAAATTTCCTTTCGTGACATTGTTTATTGGTTACGTTCACACCTTACATTGCTTCATAGTGTACTGTACTTATCTACTAACCCAACAACTCTCGTTCTCGACTCACATGGGCCCGCTATACATATCGTCCCATTACCTACAACTTGCGTCTTCCTTGCACATACTTGTTGAAGATTCAGCTCGCTTGTAATGTCAGTGGACCGCTTTTTTGCAACTTCCTTCTGGCCCCTCCTCCCTTGAAACCCTGGGCGGCGTCCCACCTCAAGCCTGATGGGTCGAAAAGTGGTTTGCAACGATTTTTCTTGAGCTTCGGAGTTGCCAGTAAGTTCTGAGGCCTAATGAGAGCGCCTTTGTGGGAACCCTCTTGTGTGTGCCGGATCTCCAGCGTAGCTACCCCACATTTTGCAATGCGGAATCTACGCGCTCTAGACTCGTTTTGAGCGAGACGATGGGCAGGATCGCTGCGATATGACCTGCACAGTGGTCAATGCACATCAGCAAGCACTAGAGGATGGCGAACTGTGGGTATCGTCAGCTGACATCCATCGAGAAAGAGTTCTTCGAATGGGTGTAAGCAGCGTTTTCTCGATATTGGAAATCTGATCACGATCCCGGATGCCAGTCTTCAAAGGGGTTCATAAGCTGCACTGAGGCGAAAGTGGGGGCGTCGCACCCTATTGCCTGTATCTCGAACGAGTAGAACGTAATATAACGAAAGACATTCCGTTATCCTCGCAGGTTCATGCGACTCCCGCAAGTCATCGAGCGTTACGTCGGCGGAGCTGAAGAGGTCAATGGGATCAGGCCGGAAAAGCACTGGCCCGAAAGCCTGTAACAATTTCGGCGAGGCAAATAAATTGGGCTTGTTTGCTGTCGCAAGAGCGTCTAAGACGGCTTCTTTCACTAGTCCAATGGCAGCAACGCGAAGCTGAGGGAAATCCGCGTCCGTCGTCAAGTCCTGCAGAATTTGCATGCGGAGTTCTACAGGCGAGTGCTTCAGCACCAGGGAGAGGATGCGAAACGCGTGGTGTCGAGTCTGATCGTCAGGATGGTTACTGGCCAGGACCGATAGCAAGCCTGAAAGCGGAGCTATGGTTTCGAGATCCAGACTGGCGATGTTAGGCAGTGTCTTCATTAGCAGAGCCAGGCATTCATCCAATGCCTCGTTCGTAGTCAAGCAAGAAAGCAGCACCGGCTGTTGGCGCGTCAAGATTGAATGTGCTTCAGCAGGTGGCATGTCAGAATGGGCGAGAATAATGAGAGACGTCAGGGTGGGAGAGCCGAAATCATGGCCCCAAGACGAAAACGCTGTCTGGGATTACTTTAGTCCAACCCTCAAACAGGGGCACAGATAATTGACTGCCTTGACGTTCATGACTGCTTCCTCTCCTCGTTCCCAGTCGGAGGACATCGTGGACCGAAAGACCAGTCGCGGATATAGCGACATAAACGTTCTTTGTGCCAGTGATGACTGGATGCAGTGAGAGCAGTTCGAGAGAGTGGTATCAAGAAGGCCGTCTAAGATGACCTGCACACATCTGATGGGCGAAAGTTTACGCAAATGAACATATGTCACTGACCGAGCAGCCAACTGCATCTTCGCTACCGACCATCTTGGCCCAGCGATACGTATTTAAAGCAAGCGAAGCGACAGCATCCAGAACGTCATGGCCTTGGTCTTTGTCGAGACTCGTCGCCAGAAGCGCGATATTTGATTGGAGCTGTTGCACAAGAGGTTGGATAGTTTCTGATGGTGATTTCTTGCGTAATCTGAGACGCGGGACAGCTGGAGTAGTATCAGGCAGATGTTCGTGCACTCAGAAAGATAGCGGCACACCTGAGCTACACAGCTTGACCAACAAGATGAGCTGGTCTGCTTTCGATCTTTGACCGGGCTGCTCTTCGTCGAGTTCCTCCGTCTCCAAGAGTACAGAAAGATGCTCCAACGCCTCCTGAACAGCAATCACGGTTTCTTTTGCAGAAGCACATTCTCCAATGACCGCTAGGATCTCATCTGCAGCGGGTTGAAGGCAAGGGAGCAAACACGGCACCAAGGTCAACGTGTCCTGGATCGATCGTGAGACGAATATGGCGGAGAATTGCCAAGCTCACGAGATCGTCCTTGATTGAAGACGGCGCATGGCACAGAGCAGTGTATATTCGGGAGAGTGGGACGATGGGCGCGCCGGCGTCTTGGGTAGCAGAAAGAATGAGCGCCGTGAGAGCCTCTGCCTCTGGAACGTCCTGTGCGATGAATGTAACTATGCGGAACTACTGTCTGGTGGAGATCATACTGCTGAAGAAGATCCCGTAGTTTCTAGAAGAGCTTGTAGATCGTTCGTCATCGTTGAAAGCTTGGAGCTTGAGGGCATAAGTAAATTATCAGGCGCGGACGATTGCATCAGCAGATCCGATGCCATCGATTAGATTACCAGTCCCGAGGAACAAGGACTCCGCCACTTGCAAAAGTCCAACCAATGGCCGGCCGGCAAGTACATTCGAAGTGGCGCAGATGTTCGTGACGTGACGTATCGTGACAAGCTTTGACCCTCAGTGCGGAACACATCTTACTTCCTCTTTCATATCTCTTGCCTCTCTGCGTCGCTTACATGACAAATACTCTGAGAAAAGCATTAAATCTTTAGTCAACCTCGGATCTCTTGATGCTATCTTGATCCCTCGATCCATTCGCTCGAGTTCACTCCTCCGCGTCTATGAAGCACTGCTCAAATCATGAATCTCGCCGCTCCCTATGCATCCCTGTCTACAACTCTCGTCATGCCACCACCAGAACTGTTTTGTTTCTCCCTTCTCACATCCCTCAACTCAAAGTTTCGAGACGCCTGATATCGAGAACACCTTCTAGATGTCGGCGCCTTTTGCCATAATAGCTACTCCCAAAGCAAGAAATTCCTTGAGGCGGCTATTCCAGCCCGGAGATTCTTTCTCCCAGGCTCTTCCAGGCTTTTCAATAGCGTTCGTCGTGCCGGCCGCGGCCGATCGAGTTGCACAGGCTATCTGGGATATCTACGAGCGGGCTGGAAGGACTTGTTCGATCAACTTGTGGCTGACTGTGATATACTGATGGTTGAGCACCTTCGTGGCGGCAACTGCAAGGCTCCCCAGCTGTCTGACACAGCTCACTCCACTGCCGTCGTATGCATCGTTGCACCACGGTACGACGTCGATCACCTCCGACCTGGTCGCACACTGATATGCCCTCTGATCCTGTCTTCGAGGACAACAAGTGTTATTGGATCCCGGTCATGGAGCATCTATTCTGGATGCTGCAGCTGATCGGGTGTGGGTATGACTATACCCGAGGGCCGCGCAAGATCGCGTTCCAGGAGATGGATAAGCAGAAGCAGACGAAAGGGCGGTGAGTAGACATTCGGTACCTACATCTTGCTCCCGTCAACTGAAGGAGTCAATGCTTGAACCTGATCAAGAGATTCAGCCCTGTGCGTTGTGAGCGTTTCTATCTATAGTCTCAACCAGAATTCTGGGCCGGCAAGAATTTGTCATCGATTTGTTTTTTTTAGAAGACCGGGGTGTCTAGGTCTACTGAAGTGGGATTGAGCGTGCCGGTTTGCCACAAAAAGAGGCCCAATCCGAACTTCCGTCAATGTCGAAGCCGCGGCAAAAGCACAAGACTCGCCTTGGAGCTCGGCCGGTGACCCTCCAGTCGGCATCCCACACGAGTCCTTTCCTTGTCTCGCAATCCGAACATTTGTTTGCGGCATCTCATGTCATGCACTGCCGCACTGTCGGCGTCCGGATGGAACTTCTCACCACGATCGAAGATGAATGCGCCCAAGAACCTGACGACAAATTGCACAAAACCCGACAATCATTCGCGGCAAGATAATTTCATGTGTTGGCGATGCCGGAATCCACGATCGGAGATGCCGCCCATGCACGGGCTCGCCATCTGGTCAATGCCGATATAGTCGTCGTGTGAGTGGAATGGATATTTTTTGTCCCGGTTCGGGAGTTGAGAAGTGAATCTGAACCTGCTTGACGTGACTGTTACTTATAAGCATGTGTCGTACTCAAGCTCCTCGACATCTCCTGGATAGATGTCTGTAGAGATAGCAAAATGATGTCATCAATCTCGAACGACGATCTTCGGACAATGCCGCTACCCCGCCATGCCTTTCTTCTTCCCCTATTGGCAGCAGACTCAGCGGCTGCCATATCAAGCAATGCTCTGCGAGCCCAACGGATGCGCCAATTCGAACTCTCCACCCTACCTTGCATAACATACATTCGGACGCGACGGCTTGGCGACATCCGTCTGGGGACCCCACGCCAGGGCCAATCAAGTATCAAGTGGATGCCCCATCTTCTTCCCGTGTAGATGTCGCGCGCGTTCCCAAGATCTATTTGCGGGGGATTCGCGTAACCTATCAAATGTCAATGATTCTCTGCTTCTGAGCTTGATGTGTGTGGCAGTCCGCTTTTCGTGCGAGTCCAGACCCGCTTTCCCCCACCCCTACGACGCAGGGTCGAGCCCTTCGAGACCCCTCGCCAGCATTCTGCGAACACTTTCTCGTGCTCTTTTGAGCTCGAATATGCCTTGACGAGAGCCAGGATCACGGATTTGTGATCATTGTATCTCCGTGATTTTCCGGCGGATGATCAGCTAGCGAACAGTTACGATACCATGCTCGCTGGGGGGCCATCTTTCGACGTGGCAAAATTGATCTAGATCCAGGATGGACGTGACTGCGCTGTGGTCATATAAAACGCCCGCCGTGAGTGAGGGACGCCAAGATGCCGTTCTTTCTTCCCAAGACAACGTTCCGCGACAGGAAAGCCTCGAATCCCACTTGGACCGAGAGTTCGTCCATTGCTGGTGGTTTTCGACTCAATATTGATTGTTCGCAGCGGATATCCTGAACTCGGGCAATGCCTTGAGTGCGCCAGCAGAGGAGACCGACGTCACTGTCGTCGGCGGTGGGATTCATGGACTCATTTATGCGATCCACTCTCGCAAGCTACACCCGGATCTCAACATCTCGCTATATGAGAAGGCTTCCCGGCCGCAGTGGAAGGTGACGTTCCTCAGAAGCAGCGGCCACGGGACGATCGCTGACTGAGCTGTAGATCGGAGAGTCGACTCTGCCGCATTTTGCGCAGTGGACTAAGTCTGCTGGCATGAAAGCCGAGGTGAATAAATTACTGAAGCGGTGATCCGTTTCAGACTGACGGTGGGAGCACAGTATCTTCTGCGCTTCTTTGGTCTCCACAGCGGACTGGAGTTCTTTTTCCTCGACCGCGAGAACCCCGAAGATTACAAGATCTTCTGCAACAATGGACCTCCCCCGTTCCTGGCCCCTGGTTACCAACTGCAGCGGTCCATGTCGGAGCTGGTCTTCACCGTCTTCGCGCAACGGTTGGGTATCAACGTATGGCACGGTCACGCTGCAGACATCCAGAACACCGTCTTGTCACATGCTGGAGACCAGGTCCCCATCATCCGACAGTCGGACAAAGCGCCGGCGCTGACAGTCAAGTCGCCACTGGTGGTAGATGGCACCGGCCGGTTCCGGCAATACGCGAGTAAAGCAGCGCGCGTCCGGCGGTTTGACGGCTTCAACACAGACGCGTTCTTTGCGTATTGGGAAGGGGTCGATGAAACAAGGTCCCTGAGGTTGGTTCGCACGCCGTGCAAGTAAATCCTCTTGGCAGAGCTGATTGGTGGGCGCACAGGAACTGAAGACCTTCGAGGGTGGACACACCAGCCACATCTGCTTTCCTGAAGGGTGGATGTACCTCATCCGGATGCTGTCGTGGCATGAGTCTCCCATGGAGAATCTGCTCGATATGATCCATTACGTTCTGGATCACGCCGCGCTGGAGACACCGCACGATGAAATGCCCTCGGTCAGTCCTTCTGTTTCCCGACTTGATTGATGGATTGCTGAAATGTTATTTCAGAGCGAGGAGCTCTGCCAGATGTTCGGTTGCAAGATGAAATGGATCTGGAGCATCGGTTATGCGTGCCGAGATGATACTGTCTATCCTGCCGATCTCCACTCGTACGGAAGTTCCGAAGGCGAGCGCAAGTTCAACTTCATCACGCAGAAGTACAAAAAGCTGGGCGATGTCATGCGCCATTTTAAGCTTTTGTCAGACTATCATGGCAAGTGGAGAGAATTCGCTGTTTGCCGGAGACTTGCTGATACCTAGTCCAATAGGGCCAGGAACGACTTGGTACATCCGCAAGAAGTTGTCCTATCAATCCGAGATCGTGTTTGGTCCGGGCTGGGTCACTGTCGGTGACGGCATCGGTTTCACCAATCCGTTGCTCAGTCCAGGAATCAACACTGGCATGGCATCGGCCACGTATGCCGCAGAGCTCACCGCGGCTGCCATCAAAACCAGAAACGAGGAAGAGCGCCTGGCGGTGTGGAAGACATATGACGACTACTGCGCCGGGGCTATACCTTCGCTCAACTTGATGAACCAGTTCCTGTATTTGACATTCATGCACCCACTGCTCGGGCCTCGCGTCGGGTTTTTGTGGACAATCGTCATCGGACACGCGCTGCCCCACTTTTCGCTGCCGCGGGCTGCCTTCACGGTCGACCTCCCGCACTTTGCAGGATTCGCCACCCGCTGGCTCTGGGGCTCGCAAGTCGACGACTGGCTCAAGGTCGCAGAGCACACTGTAGCCAAGCTCATGCCCGTCGACCTGAACCAGCCTGTGCCTCAAGACATCGTCGACGACGTCCTCGCTTTTTCTGAGCAAGTCAAGTCCGAGGTTTTGGCTGCCGGGAAGTATCAAGGCTTTCCATTCCGCTACGAAGGCGAGTTACGCAATTACGGCCCGATGCTTGAATGGGACGAGGAGAAATACGCGGGGCAAGATCGGTTCCAGACCCAATGCGCGTCCTGCGCGGCGTGGCTGCCTTGTCGAGGCGATTGGCGCAAATGCACCTACTGCGGTGTCATGCGGCCGCTTGACGTTTGCGAGGTCAGTGTGTTCCATTGGTTTCTTGCCCCTCATCTTGACAGATCGTTGCAGATCAAATGGAATGTTCCTCCCACCAAGTCCGAGCTCAGCAAGTTTGCAGTCATCGCGCCCAATCTCATGTCTGTGGGCACCGTTCTTGTTGATCATGTCAGAAAGGCAAAGTGTCCGTGCTCGTCGATGTGATGTAGTTGAGGCAGTAGTTCAGATTTCTCTACTATATAATTATTCGCCATCATGTGACCCATGCGAGCAGAAAGAGGCGCGTCTTGTTTGTTCGGAGATCCCCGCCTTCTTTCTTTCTTCCTGCCTCTGTGCTCCCATAATCATTCACATTTCTCTATTTCAACCTTTCACTTCATATGTCCCAGCGCTCTCAGCATACCCGGCGAGCTCGCCATCAGGCGTCTCTCCTCCCCGTCACAGCACACAATCCTGGCTTAGTCTACCTCATGGGACAGCCAGTGACGCTCGATATAATTATCTACATAGCTCGCCAGATGGACCGCATCTTCTGCAGTAATGGCGAGGAGGGAAGGCTTCTGAAGGTCGGCCCCGCAGCCCTCTCTCTGGAGCAATTCATCTACTTGATCGTCAAATCCGGCAATGTCCATATCGCCACCCTCCTCGCGACCTTGATCTATTTGGAGAGGCTAAGGTCTGTGCACAATCTAGATATGACAGCAGGTGCGTGTCGGACGTTTCTCGCGACGACTATGCTGCGGCTTATGATGCCCGTTAGGACGGGCAAGCACCCGCCACCGCGTCTTTCTTGCGACGCTGATCGTTTCGGCCAAGTACCTCAACGATTCCTCGCCCAAGAATGTCCACTGGGCAGCTCACGCGCGCCATGCGTTCACCCTTGGCGAGGTGAACTTGATGGAGCAACAGTTGCTCGCTCTCTTGGACTACGATCTCCGCTTTGACGAAGAAGAGGCTTGCACGACCTTCGCTCCGTTCATTTCGTACTACCTCCATGCACGATCTGTTGCTGTGGATCCCAAAGTCCTTCGATCAACTAAAGCAAGACCTGAGCTGGAATGTCAAGAGAAACAGCAACGCTCGCCAGTCGACTCTCAGCCTCCTTGTCTTACGCCTTCCTCGTCGACATCCTCGACATCCTCGAGCGTGGCATCGAGCGCGTCTGCTTCCCTTGTGTCTACTGTCCGCGGAATCGCCAAGCGTCTATCGCAAACTCATCTGTCATCTCTGCGCTCGTACAGTTCCAACACACTCAATACTCCAAGCCGCAGCTGTGACTCGAGTTCCTCATCTGAGATCGGCTCGCTTGTCGACGATACTGGTTCATCCTCATCATCCTCGTCTGGCTGGGCTAGCGACTCGGATTCAGAGTCTGATACTGAGCCTTGCATATATTCTGACGACAGCACGGCCTGCTCGGACTTGGAAACGTCCTATCGTCCCAATCACATTCCGGCTCCTACTGCGTCAAAAAGGCTGTTCGTTCTCCGACCGGCGCCATACTGCGGACAGCGGATTCCTTCGAACCGGTCTCGCAAGCCGTCGGACACGTCGTCTGTGAACACCGTCATGGCGGCGTCACCGCAGCCGAGGCGTTCGTCGATGGTCCATGTTGCCGCGAAACGAGCATCTGGGCTTAGCGTGAACTCCGCCGACCTGCCGCTCAGTGCGACGATGCCCAGTATTCCCCGGCCGAGCGCATCAGGAAGTTTCCTGAGCCGGATGTGGGGCGCTGCGAGGGGTGAACGGTTCTCTGGGATGGTGGAATCTCGGTCGGATGGGTTGCCTGCGACGCAGAGCGCTTTGAAGCGGCTGGTGCTGGTCCACTCGCGTTCCAACCTTGCAGGCCTTGGCCGCGGTAACCCGATCTCGGATCCTTCGCTGCAAGTCTGAGGGCGTTTTTCCCTTGATTATATCTATCTGGATCGATTCTTGATTGCTCTTACTCTCGGCTCACGGAACTTGCCATTGCTATTCACGATACCACTGGCCCTCAGATGCCAACAATTTACCTATCTTCATCCTATTACTATCCATACCACTCGCACAACTATCCGCATGCTTGTAGATACAAGTCTTGTAATCAATCGTACAGTACCACAAAATAAATTGCATTCGAAATGTGACTTCAAGATGGCTGATGCTTTATGGATTCTGTGCGATAGACTTGATCAAACGTCTCTACGAGAGATTCTGCCAGGGTCTTGTGCTCCTCCCAAGCTGCTACCGGGGTCAAGCCGACTTCGGGATTGCCCCAGCAATCGGTTTCTGCGCCAAACCGGACAGGCTCGTCTGTGAAAGTGATGAACGACAGAGATACCAGAGTGACATGCACCACAGCGATCGCCGCATTCAGAGCAGTTATCGGCAGATGACGTGTCCCGAATCGACCCTGTGGTCCATCTCAGTCTGGAGTCGATGACACGAAACCAGGGGTGCTCACAAGGAAGAAGAAAAAGAATTTCAGTCGGTCGAGAAGGCTCCCGGTTGCGACCAGAGCCTCGCTGATATTCGTCGCGGCGACTCCAGGCTGTGTGACGAAATGACGGACTTGTTTCGGCGGAGGCGAGGTTGCGAGTGCGCGGTAGTCGAACAGGGTCGAGATGAGGTCGATTTGGTATTTCACGCTCTTGTACGAGCGGTCCGTCTTGACCAGCTGCCAGTCGGCTGGATTGTAGAAGAGCGGTGATGCCTCCAATGAGGACGACCAGATGACGCGGGACGCTGCCGGGTAGCTCGCGCTTTGCAGCAGAGGTTCCAGGCCACGGAACTGGGTGGCTTTGTTAGAGTTCGCGCGCGAGGTGCAGCCGGTGCACGCACCATCACATAATGCCCGAACAGATTGCTCTGCCAGACAAGCCCGTATCCATCCACGCTGACCTCTCCGACGTGCTGGGTGTAGAAGTTCGGCCGGGTGACCGCGCCGATGAAGTCGGTGCATAGCTGCTTGACGCATCCGATCCAGTCTATTGCCTTGAAGCTGGCCATGCCGGCGTTGAATATGAGGTGCGAGATGTAAGCGTGTCTGGAGGGTGAGCACGAATGCGTGTGCGCCAAGCTTCACAGCGTACCGTTTCGAAACGCGTTGTACGAACGCGAATACGGTGCGCAGATCAGCCAGGTCCACCTGCTCGATTTCGATTGTGACGTTGCGTCGGAATGCCTCGGCGCGTCCGTCGTATTTGGGTTTGGAGCGTAGGGACGCGATGGACGCGTCCAGCTCGTCAAGAAGCTGTTGACGCGCCGTCTCCCCGCGTTTGGTGCTGCGGCAGGCCATGATGAGCGTGAGGCCATCGAAAGGTGGACCTGCTAGCGTCGGCTCGACGTTGTTGCTCGCCCATGACTGAGGTTGGGCGTCAGGTGGATGAGGGAGGCAGAGTTGTCCGAGTAACCGCTGGCAAATGCCGTATCCCACACCGCTACAATATTTCCTTCAATGTTGTGGTCAAGCACTGGAGAGCAGGGACTCTGACCCGTTGGCGCCGGTTACAATGATGACAGGCTGGGCCATGGTGGTAGAAGGAATGAGGTGTCTGGTTGCATCTCGTACGATACGCGCTCGTCATCATAATGAAGGGGACAGCCTGGGACAGCTTGACCCCAGGACGGACTGAGAGAAACAAAAATGGAATACGCGTAGATAGACAACAGACACAACAGATACACGACTATGCCTCAGACTTCTTCTTCTTCTTCTTTTTCGGAGAGTCGTCACCATTGGCCCCTGCTGCGGCAGCTTTCTCGGCCTTGCGAGCTGCCTTGCGAGCTTTCCGTTCCTCCTCCGTCTCTGCCTGGATGAATGGATTAGCCTGGGCAAGTAAACGCACAGCAAACGCACTGATTTCATCTCCACATCCCCATTTGCAGCTTCGCTCTCTCGTCGTTTCCTCTTCTTCTCCTTCTTTGACTCCTCACCATCGACGTCCATGGAGTCATCGTCGCCCTCCTTGTCCTCCTTTTTCGCCTTCTTGCTGGCTCGGCGCTCCTCCTTGGCCCGCCTCTTTTCCTCCTTGACGTCCTGGACGACCTTGACCGCGATCTCCATAGGGTCTTCACGCTGTGTCGGCACCAAGTCGGCACTGGTGTTATACGTCTTGGCTTCGCCAGACATCGAGAACCGCGCCTGCTTCTTGGCGCCTGCGTCAGCGAATCGGCGCACACCGCCCTCTTCCGACTGGTATTCGAGAGCCCGCAGCCGCGACTCGAGCTTCGCCCGGTTCGCAATACCGATGGCAGATGCAGCGGTGTCTGACTTGCCATCCGAGTCTGTCAATGCGTCTACACGGATTGAGAGTGCTGCCTTGGTCGCAACCATACGGGCCATCTGGAGACATTTAGGTTTTGTTTGTTGAAACGATCAAGAGCGCATACCTTGCCCTTGAGTTTGGGTGGTGCTTGACCAATTAATGAAGCCTACGACGCGTCAATTCAGTCCTAAGGAAAGGATCTCACGAGAGACGAACATGGTAGATGAGTCCGTATTTCGGCGTGTCATGCTTTGTTTTGAGGGCCCGGAAGAGAGCTTTCTCAGCTCCGAGGATCTGTACTGTGCTGGCGGGGTGCTTGGCCAAGCTGAGCAAGCTTCCGGCATGGCTGATCAACCGTGCGCCGACCAATTCGCCGACCAGTGCCGTCAAGTTCGGTGCGATGGCATTCATCCGGTTGCGCAAATATTCTGCCAGCTGGGTGCGGTATGCAGAAATGGAGATGACTTGATCACAGAGGGAGTGGATATGGGCAATGTCAGAATCGGATATTTCCGTGCCCATAGAGATTTCGGCGGCGGCTTTCAGCACGGCTTCGAGATCTTCGGGGAGAACGGCAGCAAAGGATGTGGTGGCTGCATTAGTGCGGAAGCCTGCGCCAGGGTGAGAGGAAGAAGATGACACTGAGCAAAGCTCACGAACCCATCAGCTTGATAACCTTGGCATATGCGATGTTATCGACAATAATTTTGGCCATCTCCGGGAAATGCCAGCCATACCATTCCTGTAATCGTCAGTTGGAGCCCGAGCAGCAGGAGCGGAAGCATGTCCATACCTTGACTCGCATAGCATAGATGTTGATTTCCTTGTCCAGATCGTCCAGCAGTGCGATGGCTTGTACGACCATGGTGTCTACTTTGTCCGGCGAGAATTTGAGCTTGAACCTGCAACAAGGTTCAAAAGGTAGTCGTAAATATGTACCAGATACATACCGGGAGAGCGAGTGACTGAGACCGAGACTCATCGTCGCCAAGTCCTTGGGGTCGATGCCATTCAATAGAGCAGACAATTGTGACCTGATTCCTCGCCACAGGTCCTCATTCTTCCCCTCCAGAGCACTAACATTGATGCTCAGTTTTTTAGCTATTGACCGTGCTGAAATGAGTGGACATGTGAGCGACATGTGCACGAGGCGGAAAAATGTGAACGAGGCGCACATAGTTGCGGGTCAATCACAAGCAGCGAGTCCTTGTTCTTCCCCTTATTCACCACCTCCTCTGTGAGGAACCCCTTCAGCCCTTTCCCAAGTTTCCCATTTTGCAGCGCAGTGACATCCTCGACGGCAGTAGCGGTTGAGTGGAATCGATGTATCGCCTTCAATTTGAGACTTTGTGTGAGAAAAATGTGTGAGATGCAATTTCTGAATCGATTGCGGACAACGCACAGTTTTGTGGCCTTTTCCGGTGTCTCGAACTCCTTGTACAGATCATCACTCTCAAGTTTTGAGGCATCGCCGACTTTGAAGAGGCAGTAGCCCATCGCGGTCTCGTATAGAACGAGCATGATGGCGACGAGCACAAAGATTATGTGAAGGAGAGACGGGCGCCTGCGCGAAGCAGAACTCGGATGGGTAGTACCAGGTAGTACTTTTTGGGAGTGAAGAAATTTCTCGATCACGTGTAGCAACATCAGATGCAGCGATCGAAACGTGCATCACCGCGCTTAGAATTGGGGGGAAGATTTAACTTGGAATTATGTATGCATGAGATGGGGAATGGCAGAAGTATTCTGCCTTATAGACGGATGGATACTTGAGAATCACCCATGCGATCTCAGAACGCGGGCTTTTGGATAGACAAACATTGAGCATTCTCGTACTTTGCCCGTCCAGAGATCAGTCGGCTGCCGACCATGCCGGTCAATAAGCTTCAAATCCCAGGAGACCCTGACAAGCGCCTTCGACATCTTCAATCTGAAGGACGATCGACTCAGTCTCAGTCCCAAAACGAGCGAAGGCAACACTCACCTCCTTCGGCGCAGCGGCCGTGAGAACGGTGGAATGCTCCTTTCCGACCACGACTTCATCCTGAACGAACAATTGGAACTGAATCAAACGTCCGAGAGGTTGAACCTTACTTCTATCCGAATTCCAATGTTGTGGAAGTGACTGGGGTATGCCGAAGAAGGCGGAATGTAGATTCCTTGCAATCAGAGTCAGTGGTAATCAAAAGATCAAACTAGGAAGGCCGACCAGGTTCGATGGTGATGACCATTCCTTCTTTGAGTCTGGGCAACGGGCATAACGAATGTGGCTAACTAGGCTCGAGAAATCGCACATACCCACCGAATCGATCGAAGTGGGCCGATTCGTGCAAATCTACGGAGAAGGTGAAATTGGATCCGCGAATGAGTTCATAGACAAACCTAGCCCGATAGGATGCGAAACATAGTGAGGGAACAAGACCTGTTCTAGTTCTCTGGCTGGCGGACTGATCCCAATCTGCTTCAACTCGTCGGCAAGCAATGAGCATGTCCTGTTGTGTATGTCGTGCATGCTCATGCCGGACGACTCCGTGCAGAGTTTGACAAGAGCTTTTTGTACCGTTAGAACCGCAGTATACAGGTCTCGCTGCGGAGGACTGAACGTTCCAGAAGCAGGAAATGAGCGTGCTACAAGATCAGCCCTGGAATATTACGCAAGGTGATCAGACAAACTGATATCGGACGCATAACCACTGTTATAGACGCTCAGCCACCAGTTCAGATAGTGTATGATGCGGCACCGACTCGTATTCACAAGCAGCATCAATCAAGAGCATATCGTTCTCGTCAATGAGATGGTTATTTGACGTGTAGTGGATGATCAACGCGTTCGCTCTTGGACATGTAAATCAGCTGACGGTGTAAGTGTAGAAGCCGGACCAACCCGGATGCCACAACCGGAACATAAGCAGGTCGTTCGGACCCTGCAAGCGCACAGATGTACTCAAAGTGAGCAGCGAGAGCTCCCTCAGACATGCCAGGTCGAGTAAACCGCATCGTCTGTCACTGGTCAACATGACACGAAGCATTGAACACGCCTTCGCACCTTAGCATGCGCACGACCACTTATCTCAGCTGCCCGTTGCATCACGTCCAGCTCCGCTTTACTCTTGATAGCTCTCAACCGGGCAATCTTGGGTGCCAAGGGTTTCGGCTTGGAGGATCTCAACGCATCGATGACATCATCCGAGGAGTTTCGAGGGGCAATAGACGGCGTAAGATACTGCAAGAGAGATCTTGCGCTCATAGCCTTCCGACCAGTACTGGGGAGGTCGGCGAAAACATTGGAATACCGCAAGATGAGAGGTTTCAGGTGGTCGGCAAACTTCTCGATAGAGAGAGCATCATCGGCGTCAAACAACGCCTTGGAATCTTCGAAAGTCGTCCTGTTGTTTCGGTGAGTATGCGACGAGCAGGTGCATGCGAGAAAACTTGCCCACCGGGCACCATCCCACTTCTCCTTCGCAGGATCTCTCCCCGCCGAGAATAGCGTCATCCTGTATCCCTTTGGAGAACGCGAGGTCTTTTCTGGGAACCGGTGAGAACAGCTTTCCAAAGACGCGACCGCGTACCGAGAACCACCGCCGAGTCAGGTTCATCGAATCCAGTGAGATACCGAAAGTCGGAAGCTTGACGGAATTTATAGCTGTAACTTGCTCAATCGATGATGTCGCATTCGTTCCTCGTCACGCACAAGATCATCCCGCTCATATACTTGATGGTGCCTCCGACGCAGACTACGATGCTGGACTCCGGTAGACCATCCATCAGCTTTCTGCGACGCGTTTCATACTCTTCGGCGGTGAATCCAGGTGTTAATTCATTTCTCTGTACTGGACAGAGTGAGTATGACCGTTCCAGAGTGCACGCATTCAATAACCTAGGTGCGGATGGGATTCGAAGAGTGGTTGGCCGAACGCGGACGGCTTTTGAGCGAAGGCACGAGACTCTGTCGCATATCTGCGAAAGAACAGGGCGCGACGACATGCTATGTGTCCACGGAATACACGCGTAGACATGAATGACGGAGGTGAGACCTGCACCAACCGAAAAGTATGGCTGATGCCATCAAGCGTATGTGATGAGTTTCGGAGGTTCTCGGGCCTCCGACGAAAGCTTTTCTTTTGACTTGTCAAATAGCATATGCGACGTTGAATCACAAGAAACCTGTATACCGGACTCATAACTGTCCAAATTGTACCAACTTTCGGAGCAAGTGCAGATTCTTGACTCGAAATTTCCGCACGCTGATAATCCCAATCACGTGTGTGACTTTCCTAAACAGGTGCCAGCCAGATCGGTCCAGACACTTTCTGCCAACTCTTGACCTCGACCGGCCGACAACGCGCACACCTTCGTAGCGGCAGAGAGCTCCAGCATTGCCAGGCTGTGGCCTGATCAAATTCTTCCAATTCTATTGCGACAGGTCCGGTATCTCCATTACCCTGTCCTGTTACTTCTCGCTCAACGAGTGCTAGGATTTAATGCGAGCTACATGCAATGCATCCGGCCAACTAGAAGCGCGTTGAAGATTTTATATGGGAAGTCCGTATTGCGACTTCCCTCACGCCTCCAACATGGCCGGCATTACTCCCCTAGGGCTTTCAACAGACGTCCGTTTGCTTCTCTTTCTCCGAACTTCTTTTCCGACAACGCGCCCGGCCCTTCGCTTTCCATTCACGAAGCCGTCAATTTGGTGGCAGAAAATCCGCTTCCCACAACACAATCCTCATTGAGACCCTCCGAGGCCTCGCTTGCAGCCGCGCAGGCGATTCGGTTGTGCATCCAGCAAAAGGGCATCTCCGATGCTTTTTTCGTGCTCAACTCCATCCGATACGCTGTGTACAAGCGCTTGACTCCTCCGCTCCCTTCAAAATGACCGGCATGTCTCTTTCCAAACCCGAGTTTGAGGAAGCCGTGCTTCAGTTTGGCTCCGATGTGTCCCCCCGGCTATCTGCGCACACACTTCTGCACGGGTTGCTCAAGAGCGGGATGAAGGAGGAGGCGTTCCAGCTTTCCCGCTTGCTCATGGCGGAGGGAATCAAACTACGCAGCGTCACGCTCGATACAATTGTACAATCTCTAGTGCCGGTGCAGCCCCAGCGCCGGAGACGTGGTCTCTCGCACATGTTTCCTCGTCGCGAAATCCTCTGGGACGTGCGACCGATGTCCTGCTTCTGCGGCCGTCGATGATGGCTGACCAAGGCATGCGATTTGCGTTGCACCTGATGTTTTTGGCCAGGCGGCATCGTCAGCGTCGCACGGACAACATGTTCAAGCTTTTCATGGCGGCAACCTTGCTCAACGGCGAGCTGATCATATTTTCTCTGCTGTTTGGCTGGGCTTGTCGGGACTGGCAAACGGCCTTCAACCTGGAATTGAAGCTGGATGTGTTACCGGAAGATCACCCGCTGCAGGAAACAACCAAAGTCGAGGGATTGAAGCTGCGGCTGACTCATCTGCAGAGCGAATCCATCTTTCCTGATGCCGAAATGCTGGACAAGGGCCTATCGGTGATCGATGCCATCTTGGCATTGGACGGGGAGCTCGACTCGGTGTCACATCGACGTCTGGTTGCTCTCCAGGCACTGGGGAATCTGGCTGGGCTGCTGGAGCGGCAGCAGATTCCGTTTGCGCAGATCTCGACTTTAGTGCGTTCGATGTACAAGTGTCCCAGAGTCGACGACGAGATTTGGATCGTCGGTCTCGGTGGGTGCCCAGAACGCATAAAGGCTTACGACTATTTCCACTCGGTGCTCGAGAAGCTCATCCAGAATGTGCCCAAACAGCCTCCGGCTGTTCGGTCAAAGAAAGCGCTGCGGCCGAACTCGATCGTCAGAGCCTATACTTTCCCCATTCTTCCGCCGTTGTCAGTGCAGAGCTACAACGCCCTTTTGCACTATTCTCTGCGCCATCGACTTTCGCCAGGCATGGGTAATCAGCTTCTCCGCCACATGACTGTGGAACGTTACGAACCTCTCGCCCCGGACTCGGTCACGACCAACATTCTGCTCCGTTCGGCGACATTGCTCCGGAAAGACGAGATGTCGACCGATGTGCTAAGTGCCCTTGTGTCAGAGCAGCTTCAATTCATCACTGCTCCACCGCAGAAGACGGAGATCGTCGTTGACGAGCGAAAATGGGGTCGGAAGCTTGAACGTGTGTCGACTGCACGGGTCGTGATCCCGCCACTACGTACCGACCTGGACGTCTATCTGATCACGACGTACATCTCCTATCTGGTGTCGCGGAGACAGTCGCAGGCGGTGAAGGAGCTGCTGTTCCAGATCATTCCTGAGCTGGACAGCAAAAAGTATCCGACGAACGAGAGCCACGACAAGGCGCAGCGCAAGTTCGGCCGAGAGGCCCTGCTCAGCGGTCTGCAGCGAGCGATTTGGCTGGGACCTGTGTTCTTGACGTGCATGCTCAACGCGCTATCGAAGCTGGGCCATCCTGCTCTTGCCGATCGTGTGTGGCAACTAGCAAAGAAGGCAGAAAAATGCAGCTGGCTGCGGCAGCACGTGCCAGAGCGCGAACCATGGATCTTTGGCCCGGAAGTTTACACGGTGATGATGGACTGCTATGGGCAGCTGTCGAGACGACAGAAGCCTTGGAGGCTCACGCTGGATCCGAACCGACGAATTTCCAAGCGGACGGCGGGGCACTCTGTGTGGGGGTCGTTCCAGTACGAATGCCAGAAGTTGCCCGACCGTAATGGCCCGGATGTGAATGCGCTGTTGCACCGGTTCATGGGACATGCTGCTTTGCAGGTTTTCTTGCGGTTCATGCAGCTTCCCAAAGTCCACCAGCAAGTCACTCAGCTCAAAATATGGCTTCCACCAGAGAATCTTCCCAAGCCCGATGCGCGCTTTTTCAACTCGGCACTTTGGGTTTTCCGTCCTCGGATGAAAGCACAGCGTACTCGATTGCACCGAGAGCATCTGTCTCAAGTTCAGGATGCGTTTACGCGAACAGGTGTGCCAGCGCAAGACGGAGGCTGGAATCCTGCGTTGCAGCAGGTCGCGGAGCACATGGTTGCATCTGGGTACCCAATTCCCTATGGATTGCGATACCTGTTCGTTGGGCACCTGGAAAACATGGGGGATGCGGCTCCTGTTGACCGTCGACCCGGGGTCTTTGCCCATGGGCGATATCAGCCTTCCGGGAACCAGAGATTCAGACTGCCGACCGCCAAACACCGAGGCCTGCCGCTGGCGAAACGGTATCGAGCCAGTCGCCGGAATAGGTAGTGGATAGACTAAAATCAGGGCTGTTGTTAGTACTACAACGGTGAAGTAACAAAAAAAAGACCATTAAAAACGGTTGTATAGACATCGATCGTCTGATGGGTACTCGAGGGGCGCGTTACTCGAAGGCGAAGCTCACGTGCCATCACAGATTTCAAACTCAGCGCGGCTCTCCCAAGCGCATAATTCCGCCTACGTGAAGGACGCAGACGTGTTTAGAGTTCAACCACTGTGTACAGAGCTATCTTGCGACTGTTGACCGTCAGAAATGAGTTTCGAGAGACCGCACCGTGGTGGTGGCAACCGAAGACGCTACAGAGGTGAGAACGCTCGAGCCAAACGACTGAAGAAAATCTCTCCAACGCGCTTCTGTAGACGACTATGATGACCGCCGCCGCGAAACCTTCGAATCTCCTGCAGACAAACTCAAGACGGCTATCATCAAGCTGGGCGACATAGTGTGTCCTGGCCGCGTCCTGAGACCACGACTGACTCCAGACTAGGACGCGAATGACGAGCTTGTTCAAATCGAGAAGCAGATTCGAGACCACACGCCTCTGGTAGTGGCCAATATCTCTGAAGCGATTCGAATCAGGTACGTTCCATGCGTTGCTCATGAAAACACGCCATTGAACGCCGATAGCGTTACGGAGCAGCCATATAAAATCCCGTACTACGCGACTCTCGTCCGGCGCTTGCACGATCCAGCCGCGGACGCGCCAGAGACTGAAGACATCGGACCGTCGCTGGGGAGACAGATCTTGGAGGACTTCTGGAAGGGGTTCCACGCGTACTTGGACCAGCTGGCGTGGCGAGAAACAAGATTGTGTGTGAGTGGCGCTTGTGGCAATCACTACCCCCGAGTTCTCATTGTCCTGCGACCTGTCCAGATCCACTTCTTCGCACATCTCACTGTCGCCAAGCTGATTTCAACGGACTCCATGATCGCGCTGTTACAATCCCTTACCGCAGTATTGGAGGAATTCGGCGTCTCCCAAGGACGGGCTAAAAAAGCTGCAGTGTGTGCGGCGGAAGGGTTGATGATTGTGAGCACAGAAAACCGGTTGGAAGTTCTCTAGTTCTCAGCTCATACCACATTGATAGGGCGGGCCGATCCTGAAAGCTACTTCTCCGACACAAGTTGAGGAAATGATCCATGCCATACAAGCATACAACGAAAGCGCGGTGAATACCAAATCTCTGGTTACCCCAACATACAAAATTGGCAGAGCTGCGGGCAACGAACACTCTAATGAGGTCAGCCATGGTCTTGGTCATGATCATCTGGCTGCTTGCTTAGAATCCTCAGCTACTCGACATGGCATTGCAAGCGCTGCAAAGTCTCAACGACACTGACTTTGCAGCCACAGCAACCAGTTTCCTGCAGCCTTATTCTGGAATACCCGACCTGGATCCTGCCACGTTCTCGCCTTACAATTTGCCGTCGGTCCTGGTGCCTCCCGAGGTCATCGAGTTGGACACTTTGTCGTCGGAATCTGGCGAAGACGCCCAGGTGAAGAAAGAAGAATGGCCAGAACACTTTGTGCGGCTATTCGACAACGAGGTGGGTTTCTGTTGCCTTCTTGTATCTAGACCTGACATGTGGGGCCACAGATTACCGCAGACCCAACGACGCCGGCGGGCTACGCTGTTCACTCTGCGCTGCGCGACATTGCGGATATATTCGAAGTCAACCGCAAGGAATCTGCCAGACTCTTGCTTGAATACCCGCGGTGGACAGTTCCGGGGACGTTCAAGCCCAAACCAGGTGCTGCGGCGACCGTCGAACCGGTCCCAGGCAAGGACTGGCAGCTGGAGAGCACCGTCATCGAAGTGGGACTCCATCACTGTCTTCTGCTGCGAGATTGACTTGGAGACAGAACGTATTGGGCGCGTACTTCATTTTACCAGAGTCATCACAAAAGTCCGTGTACTACATCGCTCTGGTCACCGACCTGTGTAAGCTTTCGGCGTCAACCGTCGGACCGGCGGTGGGCAAGTCCATCCGCAAGCTGTATGGTCTCCTCGATGAAGGGCTCGATGTGGAGGTCGCTCGCCGATTTTCGGAGTGGTTTGCAGTCCACATGAGCAACTTTGGGTTCCAGTGGGTGTGGAAAGAATGGTGAGTGCCCGGGCGCATTTGCTCTCCACAGGTGATTCACGAGTCCAGGGTCCCGGATCTATCTCTGAGCATGTACCATCCTAAGCGGACGTTCATGCAGCGGGCACTAGAGCTGGAGGTTCGACTGGCCTACCACGATCGGATTCTGAAGACGCTCCCTGCTGAAATGCAAGCCCCCGAAAGCGCCGTGATCAGTGAAGAGGCGCCGGCCCCTTGGTACGAGTATGATGATTCAGGTGAGGTGGCTATATGCGTGCGAACTGACGGCTAACATGTGCTGTAGCTGGTCCCCATCACGAAGCTGCCCAGTCAGTACTGAACCTGTTTCGAGGACGGGCTGTTGCTACTGATGTGATCGCGCACCTGGACGGGCTCAAAGCCACTTTGGAAGACGATGACAAAATCATCCGCTCAATCGTGGTACAGTCGCTGCTGAACGTCGGGTCGCGGTCATTCTCGCATCTGCTGAACGCCATCGAGCGCTATCTTCCGCTGCTGCGAAATCTGGCTGCGGCTGGGGGCGAGGCGAAGCTGGATATCTTGCGCGCGTCGGCTGTGTTTTGGAAGAACAACCGGCACATGGTGGTGATCGTGTTCGACAAGCTGATGCAGTATCAGATCGTGGACCCGACGGATGTCGTCGCCTGGGTGTTCAGCACGGGCCAGAGCTTCAGTGCATTTGAATGGGATGTGCTGCGAGGGGCGCTGGACAAGGCGGTGGGCCGGGTCGTCGTTGCCCGCAAGCGGGTGGTCGGATTGCGCAAGGAGGACGACGAGAAACGGGCCCGGGTCAACGCTGGCGACGACGAAGCAATGGAAGTTGACACTCAAGTGGTCAAAACCGGTCGGTGTGTCCTTGTTTCCTTGCTGGCCAATGCTGACGGATTTTGGTAGACGAGTCGGCTGCTGCAGACAGTCCTGCGCTTGCAACTGCCGTCAAAGCATTCACTAGTCTCACCCGGGAACAAAAGACTGCCCTTTCGCGAACAATCGACGGCTTCGCGGATCTCCTCATGTCCAGCGATGTGACGAAACTTGTGTGGGAAGCACGGATGGGTTGGACTCGCACCGAGTGGGATATGTTCGAGGCCTGGGGCTGGTTCAGACATTTCTGTCGTGTGGTGCGTTGATTTCTGATTTGTGTGACTTGACAAGTGACGATTTTTAGTACGCGCCATACCTCCGAAATTACTCGGAGACGCTGTATACGGTATCTCTGGCCAAATTCGAAGGCGCGTCAGATCCCGCTGCGGAGCTGCTGCGCAAGACGTGGAGTATTGCTACTGGCCAAGAGTAATCACTCAGATTTGTTGTTCTCTGTTTGCAAGTCGATTTGAGTCTGAAACGGCGCAAGAGAACCAGTCGCGTTGAAGCGGTAGACATCGGCAGTGTCGTTCAATTGGAGCATGGTAATGTGAGGTCAATGCAAATGAGAGCCGATCCTTGTGGTGCTCAAATGCACACGCCTTGAGCGCTGTGTCGGGTTTGTAGCTTTGCCGGACTGGAAACCGGCGTTATGTACATTCGTCCGGGACGGATGGCATCGGCGGGCTTATTTCGCGTACAACGGAGGGAGTCGGAGTCGGACTGGCTGATCTTGCCATCTACAAGACGAGCAGGAGACCGGGCTCACCTTTTCAGAGTCACCCATTTCGGATACCTTTGGCTAAATTAGTGAAAAGAGACAACATGTAGATGAATACGGATACAAATGTATTTATTTAATACAGAAATCTACAGCCTATCTTGTAAATCGACACAGTTGAGTAAAATCACAGTATGTATGAGCAGCTCACTTCTTCGCATCCAGCAAGCCAGCCGACGTCTTCTGCCTCTGGACCATCTCTATCGCCTGCGCAGGCTTCAGCGCGAGGATCTCCGCACAGGCATCCGGGTGTTCCGACTGCGAATGGCCAGCGAAGTCACTCCACGGCGACGAATCCGGGAACGTCGTTCTGCATACCTCATGAGCTAGGATCCAAAGCCTAGGGAAAGCGCCTACCGGCAGTTACGACAGTACATGGTCCCGCCCCGTGTGTCGTATAAAAGCTGGAGATGCCTCAGGCTGAGCTTCCTTGCGGCTGGAGCGGGCAATATTGGCCTTGGTGCTGGCGAGCTGATGCCGCGGAGCGGAGGACTCGCGGATGATGGACTAGACGTCGACGCTAAACGTTTTGTATATGGGTTCTGAGCGGACGGCTGAGCGGAGACCGTCCTCCACCGGAGCGGAACAGATGACTGGGGTTTGGATGGGACGGATGGAGCGACGCGTTCTTCACTTCTTTTCCTCTTCAGATGAACCGCAGACGGTTTTGGAGGAAGGGGGTGAGAAGCTCGGGGCTTGACGACGTCCATTGCCTCTGCTGAAGCCACAGGCGAGACGACTCCCGATGCATGGGGCGACGATAGAGCAGGAGATTTCGGCGACGAAGATACCTCCAGAACTTTTCCTGGCTCTCGCCTCATGGCGGACAGACGCAGCTGGATAAACTGAGCAAGGTCACAAAGCGATCGAAAACGGCGCAGCATACCTCCGTCACCTCGGCCACAAGCTGCTCCCGTTCTCTCCGCAGCATATCGGCGTCCACACTGGCCTGCATGCCCCGCTGCCGCTGATCCTCGAAAGCCGTCCGCGCAGCGTTGAGCTGCTCCAGCAGATGTGCGACCGCCGCCTCTCGCGCCTGGACCGCCTCATCACGCTCCGTGCGATACTGGTTCGCACGCGCGTTTGCCTCGCCCGCCGACGCCCGATGAGCCTCCATCTCGCGCTGCAACGCGTGCGCCCTGTCCTCAGCCTGCTTCCGCCGCGTCTCGTGCTGCGCCGATTGCTCCAGCACGGCCGTGAAGGCAGCCTTGGCTACCTTGAGCTCGGCGTTCGCCTTATCGAGATCTGCGGACAGCCGTTTCTTGTCTCGTCGGGCGCGCGCGAGGTTGTGCGATAGTACGGCGTGGACTTCGGGATTCTCAGCAGACGCGCATGCAGAGGCGGTAGGCGCGCTGGAAGGTTCTACCGGGTGCTTGACTGGCTGCGTGTAGTTAAAGTTCAGCCCTTGCACGGGCATGTCATCCGAGGCGCGCTTAGAGGTAAACTGGTAATCGATAACAGAGGCGGGGACGCCCTTGGTCTACAGCATGGGATGAGTCCGGAACGATGAATACAGAGAAATCTGACTCGCCCGATCATGGGACTCCATGTGAGTCTCGGTGGAATACGGTGGTAGCTGGAGGTGAGCGTTCGCGTTCAGTTGTGGGCGCGTTCATTTATTTTCTCACGAGTCATCAGGAACCAAATACCCTGTCCAGTCAGGGACTGCGAGAAGGTAGAGAGCATGGGGAGAAGATGCACAAGTCGAAGGGCAAGGAATGCGGCAATGGCGCCTGTTCGTAAGTACTGTAGGCGCGCTAGCGAACAAGCAATATTGCCGCGTCCAAGGCACCCGTTAGCGGATCAGACGTTCCATACTAATGTTGCAGTATCGATTGATCCTCTTCGACGGCCTGGACAAAACTAGAGACATTTTAAATGCTACAGCCTGCACAGTTTGAACATCCTTCCTGTTGTGAAGCCACAATTTCCGAATGGTGGCGGCCCAGAGGCCATTTTCATCCTCAGCACCGCAGAGATGTTCCATCAGCTGCTGTCTTCACCGATCATTAGATGGATTATGACTGTATTCAATGTAGATAAGATAGACGAACGACGACGACCTACTCTTCTTTGGGGAGCTGATATTTTCTGACACCGTACTTCTTTACGCTCTTCATGCCAAGCAGCGGGTCACGACGAGGCGGGGCCTGGAAATCAGACTCCGAGAGACCAAACTCGCTGAGATCGACGGACACCGGGGCACGCTGGGTCTTATTTCTAGCGGCGTTTCCAGCCTTGGGCTCCTCGACGTCCTCCTCTGCCGCAGCGCTCTGAGCTGCATTGGGCTTGGGAGCCGTTTTGGGTTTGGTGCCCTGCAGGTACACCACCGCCGTCCGTTTCCGCCAGTACACGGGCTTGGACTCGGTCGCCACATCCTCGAGGGAGCTACGAACGAAATTGACGCGCTCCTCCATCTCCGCCGCCTCGGGCGGCCGCATGCGGGGCTTCGTCTCGAACATCACGCTCACGCGGGATCCCATCTCCAGAAACGAGCGCGCCTGCGCTAGGCGGTGCTTCAGGTCGGCCGCGTCCGATACCCACGTGAGATGCACCTCCTTCTCCACGTTGTGCTTCGCGGAGGTCTTTTTGTCGGCCTTGGCCTGCTTCTCCGCCTGGTACTGCAGGCGTTTGTTGACGATCCGCACGATGGGCTCCGGGTCCTCCGTGACGAGCTCGACGAAGTTCTGGTCCAGGTCGATCTCGTCCAGCAGCCGGTTGAGCGATGTGGGCATCAGTGATTTGTCTTCGCGCACGAGGGTGACCATGGCGTATTTCTTGCCGATTTCAGCATTTCGGAGGCGCCGTGAGCGTTTTGAGGACAAGTTCTGGCTGCTCATAAAGCGCACATGAGATAATGACGCGCCAAGGCAGCGGAAATGGATGGGGCGCGAGGGATGTAGCAGGGCGCGCGCAGCGAAGTGAAAGGAAGAGAACGCGTTCATGGCGGTCAGTTGAGTCGGGGGTCTGTCGTCAGATGCAAGTCTGTTCGTGCTCTCAGTGTACCTGAGGCATAAACGCGCGAACAGAGCCTAGAGTGAGGTGGTCGTTGCGACTCGTGACGCGACAAATCAGGCCTGACAACTCTGACAAACACAGCCATGTATCTTACTATGAGTGCGACGCGCCCGACAGTCATTCACATTACACAACGAGGAGCGTTGATCATACAAGACAGGAATGCAGGTTTACACGGTATGTAAGAGACCGTGGGGTGCTAACCAATCCTGATCATGGCGAATTCGAAAGAGGCTGGTCATCCCACGTGCCGCGCGAGTATATATACCGAGATCCACCTCATTCCGAAACATTCGCAACCCCCTCCACCGTTCCATCATGACGAGCACCCGCGACACCTCTCTGCAGAGCGACATCTCCAAGATGAAGGCCGAGGGAGACGGTTCCTTCAACCGCCTCGCGTCTGTCTTCCGCGACAACATCGAGCCGGGCGGCAAGTTCGCGCCGGAGAAAGGTGAGTACCCTTCACTTGCGAGGTCTTCAACGTGCCGACGTGAGCCAATCCCAGGACGCTACCACCTCTATGTCTCGTTGGCGTGCCGTGCGTTTTCCCCTTTCCTAATCGGTTATCGATAATAAACTACCTGCGCACACTAGCCTGGGCAACGCGCACCCTGATCGTGCGCAAGTTGAAGGGCCTGGAGGAGTTCTTCCGTGCGTGTCCCCATCGCACCCCCGATCCGCATGCTGACCACCATCTGTAGCCGTCTCGGTAGTCTCGCCGCGGATGGGCAACAACGGGTGGCCGTTTGCGCAGGTCGACGCGTTCCCCGGGGCCGACGCCGATCCCCTATTCGGCGCGGAGCACGTCAAGGATCTGTACCTGCGTGCGAACCCCGACTACGACCGGCGGTTCACCGTGCCCCTCATCTGGGACAAAGTAGGCAACTCCGAGCTGTGACCGGGCGGGTATCTGATCGCACTGATGATTGCAGGTCAACAACACGATTGTGAACAACGAGTCGTCGGAGATTATCCGGATGTTCAACTCCGCGTTCAACGATCAGCTGCCCGCGGACAAGGCCGCGCTCGATCTGTACCCTGAGGAGCACCGTGCTGAGATCGACGGACTCAACGAGTGGATCTACCCTGAGATCAACAGTGAGTCGTTCCTGCGTCTGGCCATCGCTCTGCTGAAGCTTTTGCAGACGGTGTGTACCGAGCGGGATTCGCCACCAGCCAGGAAGCCTACGAGAAAGCGGTCCACATCGTCTTTGGAGGGCTTGACAAGGTCGAGAAGCTGCTCGAGGGCAAGGACTACCTAGTCGGAGGGCGTTTGACTGAAGCGGACGTGAGACTGTGGGTGACGATTGTGAGTCTCTGGCTCGGGGACGAATTCCCATTCATGACGGCATAATAGGTCCGCTTCGACCCTGTCTACGTCGGCCACTTCAAGTGTAACTTCAACACCATCCGTGACGGCTATCCTCAAATCAACCGGTGCGCGTAGCTCCCGATGTCCGACTTGAGCAGCGAAGGCTGACAGGATTGTGCAGATGGTTGAAGAACTTGTATTGGAATAGCGCTGCGTTCAAGGACTCGACGGATTTCAACCACATCAAGACGCACTACTACTGGTCCCACCCGCAGATCAATGCAACTCGGGTTGTTCCTGTTGGGCCCATCCCTAACATCCAGCCTTTGTGAGCAGCTTGGTCGTGTCGGGCGTCGTTGTAATTCCCTACCATCAAGGAGATTGACTTGTTTATGAATCCAATGTACTCTTGAAGATTATATATGATTTTTCCGAGGATGCGTCTCAGACCCTGAAATTGAACTGATAGGAATTGGTGCTCGATTCAAAGCCGAACAGCAAGTCGATATGAAATGTCTCTGTAATCGACTGTGCTCCTTAGACCATCATCGCTGCCACCGCCATCACCCATCCCATCACGGCTAGATCTGGACCAACACCGGAAACTGCACTGTTGGGTTTCGATGTTGGCTGGCCGCCCGCAAAGCTGCTGACGGGGGGTGTCGAGATCCCAGTGACCGTGCTCTGTGCAGTCGGCGTCGGCGTCGGCGATGTCCCAGGCGCGTTCGTGATCGGGTTCTGCGAAACAGCGGATGACGATGGCCCGATGGCACCGAGACTGCCACTGGGCAACTGCGAGATGACGATGTGCGACAGGGTGCTTGTCGGGGGCGCAGAGGCGGTCGCCAGTGTCCGGTTCGGGTTTTGTCCCGGGAGGGTCAGCTCGGGGAGCGTGAAGCCTTCCTGCGAACACGCGATCGTCAGGTCTGTGGGTTAGGATGAGTCCAATGTACGATTTGCACGGGGCGGCAGAGGAGAGTCAGACGCACCGTCCACCAGGGTCTGTGCGGCGGCAAAGTCGGCGACCGTCGCGTTTGTCGCGAGACCCTCGCATTTCAGACACTCGAAGTATCCGGACTGGAAATGCGGGGTGCAGCATTGCGCAGGGGAGCAGCTCTGCGGGGGATGCGAGATCAGGTTCCCAGTGGGAGCGCGTTGGTTCATGGAACCTGCCTGGCTGAGAACCACTCCCACGACGTTGCAGATCGAGTCGCATGGCGTAGAATTGCCGCCGCCCGGGGAGGTCTGGCGCCGCATTGCCGGGAGTGGGCGTCCTAGACGCGGAGCACCGAGGACGGCGCCGACGCAGGTCAGAACCAAAGTAATACTCAAGGGGGCGGAGAGGAACATGGCTCAGGGCACAACGGTCGGCGTCTAGCAGGCGGTGGGAAACCAACACGCTTGCTGTCGAGTTTGGCGCCCAATCGTGATTTCGGATCCATAGCTCGATGTTCACTCGCGATACTTACCAGAGGCAGAGAGTATGGCTGAAACCCCATTAGAATGTTTGAGGGATGCTCTGAGTGAGTATTTCAGAGGCCAACGATCTTAAAAAGAGTGAACGATCGAGTCAATGCTCATTCGGAGCAAGCGCAGATCTTCAAAGCTTAATCTTATCTGATCCCAAGTTTTTCCGGACCGGCCCGCCACCGGACCATGTTACTGGTGACAAGTGTTTGTCAACGTCATCACTGGCGTTCTCGACTTCGGCTGTCGCTGGAATGGCCCAGCAAGTCCCCAGCTTCTTCTCGAAACCCGCATACGTGCGTGTTCACCATATCCAGTCGCAGAGACCCCCCAAATTCACCTCTTGCGCTGTGTTTTTTCGCTAGGACCATGCCGTCGCGGGAATAGGCGCTGGCACCGTCGCGGTGCTCTGCATGAACCCGCTCGATCTGCTCAAAGTCAAGTTCCAAGTATCTCGGAGCAACCCTGCTGGCGGAATCGGGAAGCAGATCTGGTTCTCGCTGCGGGATATACAGCGGCAGGAGGGATGGAAAGGGCTCTACCGCGGTTTGGGTCCCAACATCGCCGGGAACGCGTCAAGTTGGGGGCTTTACTTCCTGTTGTGCGTCTCCAAAAAAAAAACGCGTTCGGTCTCGCTCCCTGACACGTCGTCTGACCAGTTATAACATGCTGAAGAAGCGCGCGGCGGACAACAACCCCAATCCGGCCGCGCCATTATCGTCGGGGTCCATCCTGCTCTGTTCTGCCCAAGCGAGTTCGAACCCCTGCATTCTTCACCTCTCGCGTCAGACGCGCTGACGACGTCCTCCTCCCTAGGTGCGGTAACGGCGATCATGACAAACCCGATATGGGTTGTCAAGGTCCGCATGTTCACGACAACAGCAGGGGCCCCGGACGCGTACCGGGGTGTGTTTCGTGCGTAGTCTTGATTACGCCCCCGGGATCTCGTGTATGACGGACCCCCCTCTCTCGCAGACGGGCTGACGTCGATTTTCCGTACGGAGGGCGTGCAGGGGCTGTTCCGCGGGACGACACTCGCGCTGGTCGGCGTGAGCAATGGCGCGATCCAGTTCATGGTCTACGAGCGCATGAAACGGTGGGGCTTCGAGCTCAAGAAACGGCAGTTCGAGCTCTCCGGGAAGAAATGGACCACGGATGCGGACAAGCTGGTGCGTGGGTCAGGTCGCTGCTCGGACACCCGAGTCCCGTTGACCCGGGTCCCAGTCAAACACCGCGTACTCCGTTATGTCGGGCGGAAGCAAGATCGCCGCGCTGGCCTTGACTTACCCGTACCAGGTCGTCCGGTCACGCATCCAGGTGCGTCCAGATTCGTCCTGACATGGATCTCGGTCGAGCAGATCGGCAGAATAACGCTACGCACCAACTATACCCGAACATACCTGCCACAGTGCAACGGACGTGGGCTGAAGAAGGGGTGCGAGGCTTTTACCGAGGGCTCGGTACCAATCTGGTGCGCGTATTGCCCGGGACGTGCGTGACATTCGTCGTGTATGAGAATATCGCCTGGTTGCTGCGCTCAACGGCGGCGCGTCGGGACGGTCTAGAGTCATAGCACGACGCGGAAAAAGTACGATTTACCAGCAGATAATCGGGGAGATATGTACTTGGACTACTTATTAGATGTTATATAATCACACGCCCACTTCACTTGTATGCAGAGACACCGCACCCTGACCCGGGATTCCAGGCGCGTCGACACTCGAACACGGCCCTCGTGACTGGAATCCCGAGACTCTCATCAAATCCAACATAATGCGGCGAATGTTGAGATCTCAATGTCCACAACGTTCCGTGCGTCAAAGGAATCTCAGGATTGCGAAGCCCCATTGATGGGGATCGACGACATGACCTCCGTCGAAGTGACGGTCGTCCTCCTGGGAAGATTAGCCTTTGCAGCAGGATCTGCTTCTCTTCGATCGGGGCGACCTTGTGGTCTTCTGCGCCAAAAAAGGGAGCCGCGTGTCTGAATCGGGACCTGCGGCATTTCCAGTCGACAGTCTCCGCTGGTGACCTGCTGTCGGAGGATCTCGTGGGCGTGCCATATTTAGGGTGAACCCCGCAAGGGCCCAGGACGGGTATGAGCTCCGCATGGTTTTTCCGACAGTTTCCCAGACCCGGGAGACAGCGCATCCAATAAACAGTATCAGAAATTCTGACTTGAGATAGCGCGGTGAGGTGCATGCGGCCCTCGTCATATCTCGGTCCCTCGAGCTTCTCCGCATGAAGCCAGCTGCCTCTTGGATGACTAGCGACCGCAGCCTTGGGACAAACCACGGGAAAGCGTGCCTCGAGCTTGCCGCGGCGGGGAACTCATTGAGTCCGAGCGAGTATAGGCCAAAGCATCCCCGATCAGACCAATGCCGTATGTTTATTGCCATCTTGGGACGCTGCCGCGCCCGACTGTGTCACTGGCAAAATTTCGGTCTTGAGAACCCGGTTCGCCTTGGACTTTGGAGCGGGTGCTAACACGGGACGAGCATTGGAAGGTGTTCTGTAGTTGGTTGAGGAGCTTATCACGCACCATTGATGTTTTCCGTAATGTAGAACCGGCGCAGAATAAGAATGGCTTCCTCCCTTCGATATCCGCCGTGCGCCTGGTACGAAGGATGCGTCGGGTGTTCGATCCTTGGGCGCGGTCAGCTCGCGCTTCTCTCGAGACGTCATCAGACAAAGAGGGCGCCCGCACTTGTCATTGACGCTGATGACTCCTTCACAACCGCCGAACCGGTCGTTCGCACATCCGTAGAAACTTCCTTGATCCCTAGCTGCCGCAACGCAGATGCGCACATAATACACGGCTCCACGGTCACATACAAGACTGTCTCCGACAACGGATACTGGGCAGGCCGAGTCGAAGCGGCAGGTGTGAGTTCCGGATCAGCAAGAATCTCGTCGATGGCTTCCAATTCGGCATGCCGAGTAGCCTGGTGAGAAATGCTGATATTGAACACATATTTGCGGGGTCGCACATCATCGACCCACGTTTCGAAGCTGGTTCGTTCTATTCCGGGCCCGTGCGATGATAACGTTCTCGCGCACAAACACGCACCCGACCGGTACTTCCCCAGCCGTGAATGCTTCTTCTGCCTGTCCAGAACGCAAGGATTAGATCCCCCACGCGTGGTGCAGCGTTCGGTACCATCTTCATTGCTTCGCCCATGAACGAGTCGTGGGATTCCATCGTCATGCGCTTGGCGGTCGGCTTAAAGAGTAGATGCGGAAATCGAAGGTGGTGGTAGAGGAAGAGAAGGCGGCCGAGGTCGCTGAATTTGTCGTTGTTGTCGGTCGTCAAATGGCTCGTGCGATGGCGAACTCAAAGCAAGCTACTGCCCTGGTCTCAGAGAACCACGCAGAGAAGGAACGAAAATAGGGCTGCGGTCCTAACAAGAGTTCTTGCGGAGGTGGCGATTGAGCCTTGACAGTGGCAGTGTGATAAGATAACATGTTCCTGGTAAACTACATTCTTGTCTGTAAATATGTGTGCATGTACACGGAATCTAGACAGTGGCTCGAGATGAACAGCTGGATTTCAGACTCGACTGTTCCTTCTGTCGCTGTAGGTGCTCTCTCTGGGGTTCCAGCGCCCGTGGAATGGCCTGTAGAAGGCCGCATTGGCGATCGCGACGAAGACACTCGCAGCTAACAAGAACAGCAGAACGATCCATGACACCCACGAGAATGCAACGAGCGTTGTGAGCAGCCGACATGCGTGATACTGATGGCAGAATCCGAGGTTTCCCCACAGTGACTGGGAATGCGCATGTCAGACATAGTTTTTCCGCGGCAGAATGTCGAGTCCGCTCACCGTCGCGATTGCCGCTCCAACGAGGTAAAGCAGGAACAGACTGCCGAGGACGACGATCTCCGCGAAGAAGGTGAAGATCCAACGGTCCTCCCGCATATGGTGGATAGTCAGGACACTGCAGCCCTGTCAGCTTCCTCATCGGACCAAAGGGAACAATCGACGGACGCGTAGACAGCCCAGAACATCCCCAACAGAGAGCTGAACAATAGCTCAACAACAATAGGATCTAGAAATACGCAAATTCTGGTCAGCCTGGGACAGATCCATGCGGGGCTCGCGAGCCTACCGTAGAAATTGTGTCCGTTGTTGAGAGGATCGCCTGTTGGCAGATGTGTCGTGTAATGCAGTCGTGCACCGCAGAGTGCAAAGAGAACGAAGGAGAGAATCGCCTGCACGGTCGAGAATGAGCTCTTCTCAGTCTGCTTGGAAGAAGGGTGTGCAGGAAAACGCACAAATAAGCAGTACAAGCAAGTCCGTATTAGCCCCAGCATAGTAGATATCGAAGTCGACCTGGGATTGAAGCTGAAGCGCTGAAGATTGTAAGGAAGCTGGTGTGCTCTACCACTCGTTGGAGTGGGCTCATTTTATAAGGTTGCGCCTTGCTGTTATGCTACGTCATGCCAGCCACTAGCCACGAGGCTTCGCTGTGCTAGCGCTCATTTGCGGCACAAGAGTCTGACATGCTTCAGTTAGGCGCGGGGGCTGCCAAGATGGCATGCGCTCGGGGTGCGGTCTAGGTCTGGAGTGCTTAACCTAGCATGGGTGGAGGATCAAACTCAAGGAAACCGTGGATGAAGGGAAGAAACATTCTAAGCGGGACAGATGAATGAATGATTTCCTGTAGCAAACTACAACGATTTTAGGGATGCGTCAAACGACGCTGGCAATTATGCGTACTCTATCTAGTTATAGGTAGCAGGCATGCTGAGGTTAAATGTCCAGGGCATTGCTTAACACGAGTAAGATAGCAGTTAGGTTAGTTGATAAGATCAAACAGGTAAGGGTTACGACGGCGCTCGTTCAATTCAAGTGGATGGGGGAACGATGGGGTTAGTACATGGGCGCCGAAGGGAAGATGGAGAGAAGGAAAGAAAGTCGGAATCCGCATTGTTCTACTCGTCGGCCGACCAGGTTGAGGGGCACGCGATGCCGTTGGCCTTGAGCAGATCCTGGGCCATCATCGCCCTCGTTCGCCAGCGCTCGACATCGCTTTTGAGGCTAGTCACGTTGTCCTCGAGCAGCTGCTGGTGCTCAAGCTTCCGCTTGCGACTTTTACGAGCAGCGAGAGTGTTCTGCCGCCGTTTCCACTCGATCGAATCCTGCTCGCTGGGCGTCGGCGAGATTTCCGCCAAATCTTGCTCGTTGAAAGCGGCAGAGTGAAGCCGCTTCTGAACAAAGGATGCAGGCACAGCCTTGCGGGATGTCACAGACGGAGTGACATACGACCGCTTTTGAGTTGGGGCCTCGGAAGAAATGAGGGCCTCTGGCTTGAGATTTTTACGGGTGCCAGTTGCCGCCGCACGCTTCTTTTGAGGAGCAGGAGCGACAGCGGCTGCGACTGACGCCGACACGCGTGACTTGAGGCTAGTGGCTGACGGATCTATGGTATCGAGCGCTGGAGTCCCAGGCGAGATCGTATATAACGGCGGGAGGGATGGGAAGCTAGGTTCCTTGGAAGTGAACTCGAAAGTCGGATAGGCCGACAGCCCGCCGAACAGCTCCAAGTTATCCGAGTATCCAGCATCCGAGATGAGGGGACCCGACATCATGTCAGCCTCGCTCTCGAAAGGAAGAACGGGTGTCGTCAAAAAGTCGCTGATGGGACTATCGTCGAGCGGAGAAACAGTAAAGTCGTCTAACGGAGCTTCCATCGGCGACGTGAGATACGCATCAACGTCGAACGTGCTGGCGGCTTCGTTGAACAATGGGGAGGCGGAATCTGAGAAGAGAGGAGAAGTGCAATCGAAGTTATCTCCCAAGCTAAGAAACTCGGGCGATGCTGGGATAAACATTTAGGCCAGATAAGGAATCAGTCAAAGCGGACACACTTAGGAGCTCTTCGATTGCCTTCAACGTCTTGGCCCTCTCCCCGTCTGGCGGCGCTTGCGCCGCCTCGGGAACAGATTTGGGTTCAGTGGGGTTGTGTGATAACATGGTCAAGTAATTCTGGCGGATAGAGTCGAAATCGAAAATGGAAGACACGGGAGGTTTGAGCGCTGGTTGGGGTGCTGAAGCTTTGGAACTATTGGGTGCGAGACTTGGAGGCGGAGGAAGATTCTGAGGTATGCCATAATGGGCGACGAGGTCCTGTGAAGTGGTAAAAACCGGCGATGTCCGAAGACGGTCGGGGTGGGTGTTTAGGAAGACATGGGAGGAAGTACTATGAGCACTTGAAAGGGAGCTTTCAAGAGATGGGCCATGGACGCTAAGAGCCGTTGACGAGTGGGAAGAGGCACAAGGGTTCAGTAAAGGGCGAACATCTTGGCACTGGGTTGTAAGGTTATTGTTGTGTAATGAGGTGGAAATCGCGACGGGGGCTGGGTGCTCAGTGGGGATGGTTGAAGAAGGCGGCACGGGGGGCGGCCTACGTCTACGATCCGTGGTCAGTTGAGTTTGCAAGGTGTCATTATCATCATCATCGTGTATTAGCCCATCGGCGCCATCCTCGGTGGTGGTGGTCAACATCAAAGCTGTGCGTCCACGACCTTCCGGCTACGGACACGAGGCAGATTGTTTACTGGTGTTCGTATCCACAGAAGTTATGATTGGTGCGGTTACGCTGCCACCAAACACGAGGATGCAGCGAGGACATCACAAATAGATCGTTGGTGGAAGTAACTCACGGATGCCTCAGACAAGTCTTGCTAGGCTGGCGTAGAACTGCGCAGACTGTAAGTCTGCTTCAGCTCTGATTGTGGTGGTTGGGACCAAGGGGTGTATCGAGTGGCTGTGGGCTGGCTCTGACTCACCCTTCGGCTGATAGTACCTGCCGGCGGGCCGTACCGTAACACATGTGGGTTTGCACTGCACTTGCTGACGCATATTCCGCGAACGACGCGCGACAGGACGCTCATCGGCACAGGGACGAACACTCCAGGGACATCCATTTCACTCTGTACATTCTCATTCGCAGCATGCATTCTGCCAGCGCGATCAACCGTTCTGCATGCATTTGTTTAAATAGGCCTCGGTATCTCCGCAAGCAATCATGATAGGACCTCCGTGTTCAGGATGTACATAGACAGACGTTGCTTCCCTTCTCAGGGCGTACCTGGGTCGACACACGCATGCTCTCGCTTATCGTCGTCGCCCTATTCCTCTCCCAGGCAATCGTTGCCGCGAGTTTCTCTCGTCCCCTCCTGAAATCCGTGGTCTCAAACTCAAGAGAGAACTGACTGAGATCCCGACGACCTGTCAAGCCGGATGTGCGCCTTTCGGGCCATTTCTCACCGGTGCTGTGAGTTTGAAGAATCGGCTTCTCGCTATGCCTGCCTTCGCTCATCGATCCTGATCAAGTCTTGCTCGGTGACTCAATGCTGCTTGTCTGCATTCCAGAAGGGTTACTTTAACTGCTTTACGTGTGCCGGCACTGCGGTCAACGCAACGGACTATACTCTTGCTCAGGAATACGTCGACGGCGAGTCGCTTTTGAAGTCGGGAAACGTTCTATATCTTATCGCGATCCAGTGCTGACGACGTCTTGCATCGGTGAAGGCATGGCTTTGCCCGTGTTGACTTTTCCCGGACAAGATCAGAATCGTGCCCTAGCTACTGCTTTGCCACCGGATGCGTCCGCTGTCCCAGTATTTGCTGTACGTCTCGAAGCGACTACATTTTCACTGATCATGAATCCTCATCCTTCCCCAGTCTGCTGCTGTCCCAACTTCAACTGCTCCGGTCCCAGCGGTACCCAGTCCGAGCAAAAGCAGCGCTGCTGGTCGCAATCTGAAGGTCTCAGTCACAGTCGTAGGGTCGCTGGGTTTATTGAGACTTTTCTTGTGATTCCCGGTACATCGGTTTTTATACTTCATATGTGGAGTTTCACAGTTCCAAACGATCATGCGTTCAAAGACTTCTGCTGCCTTTTATTGGTCTCCATGGCAAACGCACGTTCCATGGCTTTCAACCGTTCCAATCTTTCTCCCTCCAGATCTGTGCTGTTTTCACGCGCAATTCCTTTGCCGTCATCTCTCAGCTTGAAACCCTTCTTGAGCTTCATCATGCCAACATAGCCCACTTCACTGACACCCCGCACGACCCGATCCGCGTGTCGCTGGGCAGCTGTCATATGCACCAGTACATGGGCCGGAGGGCCTTGGCGCGCTCGACGGATGGTACAGGGTAAGATTTCCCCGCCCGCTCCCTGACCCGTTCTCGTGTCTTATTTGCGATCTTTGCACGACGCGCGGAGCGTAAAGTATCCCGTAATTCTGCGGTGACGGGCATCTTCACCCGGTCGTAATCGCGCTGTAAACTGGCTTGCACTTCCTCTCGCAAGGTCTCCAGCGGAGTTGCTAATGCGAGTGAGATTTCTTGGGGGCACCAATAGGCTCAAGTAAAAATGCTCACACCACTCTTTCACAAACCGTGAAACATAGGTTCGAAACTAGGCTCGTCTTGCAACAAGCTGTACTCGGAATCGGCTTCCCGTTGGATGTCCAATAATGTCTCGTCCAAGGCCCCAATCCGGACCAGACGACGCGTGCGCCCGTTCTTGCGTTTGCGAATGATATACGACAGCGCCAGAGGCTGAGGCTTGATACGAGGAAGAGGTGGATTAAACAACGTCGCTCTCATCAGAGCACCCGTCATGATCCACCTCGACCGTCGTCGTTTGATTTGTTCAGCCTGAGAGACTTGAGTACTTGAGGGCGAGCTGCCATCCGGAACAAACGCACTCGTTCAACTAGAACCAGTCGTTTCCAATCTTCCTTCTCCCGTTTCGCGTTGATTAGGCGCGAGTAGCGCTGGAGAATCGCGCGCTGCCGTTCGTCCCCCGAGCGCTCGTTTAAAAGCATCTAGTAACTCAAGAAGGCATCAGTATTGAGATGAATCACTTGTGTCACTTCAGACCTTATAACCCGTGTTTAGTCCCTTCCTCGTTTCCTCCGTGCCAGTCGAGTTCTGATAGCGGCGGAAGAGAGTAGACACACGCCAACGTATCTGCATTCGAGATTAATATCGCGACGCACGGCGTGGTGGAACTCACACTCTCGTGGGGCGCGTGTCGAAGCAGGTTTCTGTAGAGAGAGAGAGTAGGTACGCGATGGATGGCAAGTTTGAAGAATGGAACTCGAGGCCGGACACGACGAAGGGGAGAGATCAGACGCGCGAGGTTAGCGCGGAAGGCGACGCTGGCTTGAGTCGGCGTCGTCGACATGCGATTTAAACCATGAGTGGGAGTATAAAGTAAAGCAACCCTAACCCTATATAACTCGCTTTGACCAGATCAGATCCTGATTCAAGCCTGAGTTCGAGGCTAATTGGTAATTGCCTTTTGTGATGAAATGCCCAAGTTGTTTCTTTATCCTACATGTTTCCGGGATTCGCTCGCGTACTGTCGAGCAAAAGACCAAGTAAATCAGCATCGACTTGAACATAGCACTGTTTGTTTCAATCCAGAGGCGTTGATTGGGTCTGGTTGGCAGTGGCTGGTTGTTGACGTCAGAGCTAGTGAAGAGTTCGGATCCGTTGGCACGCGTACGCACACATCAATCTTGACTCAGACCCTCATCTTGTTTCTTCTCCATGGCTAATGTCGTACAACATACCTCTTCTTCCCGACCTCCTCGCAATTTCCTCATTTCTCTATCTCATCAACGTCGCTGAGACCGTGTTTGCGCGCCTTATCCACGCAGGGTTGTTGGGTTCCCTCTGCATTGGAATCGCATTCGCCCACAGGCAGCCCACATCCTACCTACCTCCATTCAAGATGCTTCCACCACTCTCGGCTACATCGGGCTGCTCGTGATCGTGTTCGAAGCCGGTCTCACCACAGATATGACGCTGCTTCGCAAAAACCTCGCGCTCTCCAGTGCAATCGCGTTGACCGGAACCGCCATGCCAATCTTTCTGTCGATCGTCCTCTTGCATTACGGATTCAAGTACGGGACGCTCGAGTCGTTTGCGTCCGGCGCTGCGCTGAGTTCGACGTCGTTGGGCACGACGATGGCACTGCTAAAACCGGAATGGCGGGCGACAGTGGCCGGAACGGCGTTGATGACAGCAGCTCTCTTGGACGATGTATGCGGCTTGGTCATTGCGGCCGTACTATCCCAACTTGCCGGTGCCAGCGTCGTCATCCCTTGGTACATCATTGCCCGCCCCATTCTCGTCTCTCTGGCGTTTGCGATTGGGACGTTCTTTGCTGCTTTGTCGTTAGGCTGCTTATTCCGGTGGTATCCGGTGAAGTTGCGGAACAAATCTCTGCTTTTCATAATGATCGCATTGCTCACTGGATATGTCGCTGGTTCCCACTATGCAGGCACCAGTGAGCTCTTTGGCGCGTATCTGGCGGGTGCATTGCTAGCTTACATCTTTCCGCGAGACGGTAGTCTCAGTGCATTCGAAACCCACATCCGACCTATCCTCCATGTTTTTCTGTCCCCCGTATTCTTCGCTTCCATCGGCATGGCATTGCCTATTCGAGCGCTGGGATCGATAAACGGATCAAACAGAGTCGTTTGGCGCGGAATCGTGTACTCGATGCTGATGGGCTTGGCCAAGTTCTGTTCCGCATTGTGGATGTTGGTTTGGCGGACCGACGTCCGATCTGCGGTCCTTGTAGGCTTTGGAATGATAGCTCGTGGTGAAGTGGCCCTCATTGTCACTCAACTTGCCCTTCCTTTGCTGAGCACTGAAGCATACGCCGTTGTGACGTGGGCGACTCTGCTCAATACTGCCGGTGGAGCGATCCTCGTGGGATGTTTTCTTCGAAGAGTGGCTGAAATCGAGTGAACTATGGTCTTTCATCGCTTGCAAATTGAATCTATTGATGTCGTTTCTTATAATTGGATTTTTCCCAACTAGATGCTTGAATCTCGTTCAATCCAAGGCAAGGTACTTGACTTGCGTTTGCCAACCCGATTATCAGTGCATCAGGATTCAATCAGTGTATTGAATGACAACATTCAAGGTAATATACACATTCCATTTGTCTTCTCTTTCAATTGCCTTCTAAATTCACAGGCGGTCAACGTTACCGAGATCTTCGCAAGCCACCTTAACACGAGCAGAGAGGGTCTTCTCGCCCTCACGAACCCAGACACGGGGATCGTAGTACTGTGCGATCAGGTGAGGAACGCAGCGGCACATAGAATGAACAACTAGCCTTCTTGTTGGGCTTGTCAGCACCCTCCGGGTTTCCGACCTGCGACTGGAGGTATCCAGATTTGCTTGTCACGAAGTCCTAGGGGCCGAGATAAGGTTTCTGTCTTCCAGCGCAAGATGTGAACCGCACCCGAATACCAACGAGGTAGGCAAATTGGGTATCAGTGTCCACGTTCATCTTCACTACACCGTTTCCGACAGCAGTCTTGATTTCTTCCTTGGTCGAACCAGATCCACCGTGGAAGACGAGGTAAAGAGGCTTGGCGTTAGATCCACCGAGCTTGCTGCTGGCAAAGGCCTGGTGCTTGTTGAGCAGTTCGGGGTGGAGGCGAACATTGCCAGGCTTGTACACTCCGTGGACGTTACCGAAGGCAGCAGCGATGGAGAAGTTGGGGCTGATCTTGCTCAGAGCATCGTGGACATCGAAGACATCCTCCGGCTGGGTGTATAGCGAATTGTTGTCGACGCCAGTGTTGTCAACGCCATCCTCCTCTCCACCGGTAATACCGATCTCCATCTCGAGCCACAAACCAATCGGAGCCATGCGCTTGAAGTACTTGACACAAGTCGCGATGTTGTCCTCCTTAGACTCTTCAGACAGATCCAGCATGTGCGAAGAGAACAGGGGTTCTTGGTGCTCCTTGAAGTAAGCTTCGTCGGCCTCCAGCATGCCATCGAACCACGGCAACAGCTTGTGAGCGCAGTGGTCACTGTGCAGGATAACGGGTCTACACAACCAGTCAATATCAATCAGAGAGCGGAGCCAGAAAGATCGGAAATTTCGAATTCCAGCGCATCTTCTGAACATACGAATCGAAGCTCACTTACACGCCGTAGGCCTTGGCGACAGTTCGAATGTGGTGAGCAGCGGCGATGGCACCAGCAATCGAAGCCTGCTGCTTATCGTTGGCCAAACCCTTCCCAGCGAAGTAGGCAGCTCCTCCTTGAGAGACTTGGAGGATGATGGGCGATTTGACATCCCTGTGCTCGCCAATGAACTCGGTGATATAGGTGTGCGCAGAGTGGGATCGTTACCGGGCGGCCTCTAGGACTGCATTGGCGACAGACGAAGATGTGACGTTCTGAAATCGCCAAGTCAGCCCCGGATGATACTTCAGGAATCGAAAGAGACGTACGATGGCCTAGGTCGGCAAGGCTCGGGTTCAGGAGTTCCCCCACATTCCACGGCAAATACTCACAGGGATGGCGAACTGGAGGAAAAGACATTAAGGAGAGGTATATGGATCTGGTTGACGCGTACACACCTGCTTTTCCTTTGCGTAGTCGAACACTTTGCGAACATTTTCGCCAGTGAGGACGCCAGTCTACATATACTGTCAGACAGGACAAGCCGTCGGCTGGGGGTCATCACGGACAGGTACGATATCAAGGAGACCCATGGTTGTAGTGTTGAGCAAGAAAGGATGTAGTGGTTTGGAAGAAGATGTGGGATCTGGCCATCGATTGCTGACGTCAATTATATCTCCCCAAGAAAATAGCCCCTATTCATGCTCTAGATCCGGCATTTTTCCACCACGCAAAAGGTTGTCAAGATATCACATATTCTGACACGGTCCATGCGAACCAGAAGGTTTTCTCGTCTGCCTTCTTCTCATTTCTCGAGCTGAGACCACGCCAGAATACTTCTGTCGGATTAGACATCATCATCTCCATCCAGGCATCCTAGTTCTCTATCGCGACGACCTGGTGCTCCTAAAACTCAGGCTTGGAATTCGGCCCGGGCCGCAGGGATATCGGACCGTTGAATTCCGCCGCACGAAAAAGTTACGAGTACAACATAAATGCTACATTTGTTTCCCCTCATGAAAGCTACGGCTGAGAGTTGATCAGTGCACGACTGAAGATCGAATGGCAGAACTGACCGGAGCAGAGACCGATTCTTCGAGAACCATTTTTGATGCTTGCACAATGATCTCCCATTCCACGGCATGCAATCTCTTCGCAAAATCATCGAGCGAAGTCTCAGCAGTCAACGCAATCTCCCGAACGATAAGAGGCTCCCCTCGGTCAACGTCCCTAACGACCCGGTGCACCATGACACCAGAATGGGAGATCTCGCCCTTTTGGAATGCTTCGTAGGCGCGCTCGATGGCATTGGCTCCATCGAATGCTCCTGGTAGCGCAGGATGCAGGTTGATAACGGGTACACCTTGTCCATCTTTCGCATCTCGTGCGATGTTCAAGAACCCGTCACCGAACACATGCATCCATCCAGCCAAGACCACCAAATCCGGCCGCGACTCAAAAACGCGCCGAGCGACCTCTGCATCGTAGTCATCCCGTGATTTGCCCGGATTAGAATTCAAAAAGTTTTCAGAGCAAGGTATCCGGTCGGGATATTCGCTTCAACTGCCCGCGTCAGTCCGTATGCTGCCTTTCGGTTCGAGAACACCAGGACGATCTCAGCATTAGGGAGAGCAGACGTGTTCTGTGCGTCGATCAGAGCCTGGAGGTTTGTCCCTAGACGACAGTCATCATCGCTGCTTGCCCAGGGGACGGCTTCGGAGTCTACCTGAGCCGGAGATGAGGACAGCGATTCGACGCGCCATTGTTGCCGAGCAGAGAAATCAGCGCGTCTACTCGGTAAACAAGAGCAGATAAGGCGCGTCACAGCCACAGATTACTTGTCCGAACATTGACAAAAATGAGCGTTCTTCCCGTGCTTAAGTCTTTTCCCCTCGTCGTTCTCATTCCAATATTTCTCGCACAAATCAACCCTCATGAAACCGACGCGCAAAGCCGCGCGATGTTCGCTCAAGCAGCTGAGACATCACAACCACTGCCTTTACCTACGGATGGCTCTCATATTTGTGGCAAGATAAACGACTGCGCGCAGGGCAATCCCATTCTGGAATCGGCTCACAATGCCACCAAGACCCATCAAGTTCGTGTCTCATCGGTCGATCTTGCTCATCGCGCCTTGCTGGGCGTCGCTGCCGTCGTTCTGGGAACCGCCTTCACAATCTTTTTCTCCTTTCCGAATCTGCGACGAACAGCATCGGTCTTGGTCTCTCATGCATAGCTGTGCGGCTTCAAAGATTATCGCCTCGCTTGCCATCTTCACAAACCTTCATATTCGACGGCGTGGGATTTCTCGATGTATTGCAGGCTCTGGCGGAAGGTAGACCTCGACTGAAGCCGCGTCGCTCGATGCAGAATACGTCGGACTCGGAATTGATGGCACTGATCGAAGCTAAACCTTCCACCTCGCGAGCGCCAATGTTCAAGTTCAAACCTTCGCGGTTTGTTCCCCCAAACGTGTACTACGACGTGCTTCGAACCACATCCAATACATTGCCGGCCCTCTCTTCGTCAGTGATTTACTCGACGCCCCCAATAGCACGACGACCATTTGCTTCCGTTTCCAATCCTGCAGTCCGGCATCAACATCGTAGACCGCAAGCCCGGCAATATCAGGCTCATCCGCATCAGCCCACAGCGGTACCTGCACATCCAGTCTTCATCGCATACACATCTGATCCTTACCGTCTTTGGTCGCCTGGATAGTCAATGGTGTACGCCACGCCCAGTTTTCATCCTCCTGGAAGCCAATTTGATTTTGACCGCCGCCACGACAAACCAGCTTGTTTCGCGCGGTGAATTCATTGGTCATTAGTGTTTGATTATGCAATCGATTTGTATCGTAGACATGATATCTTGAGCTGCAGGACAGCAACACTCTACTTTCTAGAGAATCCCGCTCGTTACGTTCGAACCCAGCAGATTTTGAAAGTCCGATACCCGGACTCGTCTGCTCGCCCCAGTCCTGTACCTTGTCGACTTTGCGCAGCTTTATCCACGATCGCAAGCCGAAGATCGCCGTGCGCGCCGGCTGACTCGAAGACGTCGTCCACCGTGGTGTGGAGCCCTTCATGACGGCCCGTGGTGCGCACGGCAATCTTCATGTGGAACACTCCCCCAGGATCGGAGCCGGAAGGCTTCCTAAGCGTTCGAGCGACGCATTCGTGGATCAGTCGCGCGTGATCTGCGTGATAGACCACGTCTGCAGCTAACAGAACGTCAAACGGGACATCGAACGGGGGATCCGTGCTCGGCTTAGCCCAGTCAAGCTCGTGCGCAAACACCCGGCCGGAGTCCTGGTCCGAGGGGAAGAGTGTTCGGATGTTGAGTGCGAGATTCGTGAGGATCGCAGGGTGGTAGTCTGTGGCGATAACAGTCGCAGCGGGAAGCACTTTCGCAGCTGCGATAGCGAGCAGACCTGTTCCGGCGCCGAGTTCCAGGACACGCAATGGCCGGCCTTGGAACTCCGGCACCAGGTCGAAGGCAGCTGGATCGGCACAGATCTGCTCCGCCATGATGATGGCACTGGCCCAGCTCTGCAGTCCAACGGAGGTATGGTCCGACTTGATGACCGGCCCGTCATTAAGCTCGATACGGAAGATTTCGCCGGACTGCAGGGGAAAGGCGAAGCTCCGCGTGACATCGTACTCCGGGTCGTCCTCGCTGTGCGCAAAGCGAGCAAGGAGCGCTGTGGCTTCCTCCAGAATCAAGTCCCGCGCCTCCTCCGGATCGATGGTATGATCGTCGATGGGAATAGAGTCCACTCGTCCAATAAGCCCCGTGAGCCACTTCTTGGCGAAAGCCCG